TTAGCTACTTCTATACTAGTTTCGTCGCTATTTATACTAGTCTATTCTAGATTAAACTAAGATTTACCGGTATATAAATCGCTAATACTTAGCGATTTAGCTATAGTAATACTCTATTTCGGTAGTATTTTAGTAATAATTCTATTACGTAATAGTCTAAGTAGATCTTCTACTAAAGCGTCTTTTAGTTTTAGATCTACTTTTTAGGATAATATATCTATAGGATTTATTTTTCCTAGTCTATATTTAATAAAAAAGTTATATAGAGATAGGAATATATACTATCTTACTTATCTTCTATTTAGCTTTAGCTACTTTATAAAATTCTATAAATTTATATAATCGGATAGAACTTCTATAGATTAGATACTTCCTTCTAAATAGTATTACTAATATTTAAATAAGTAAATAATAGCGAATAGTTCTTAATCCGGGGTAGAATAGTTAAGTTTAGTCCTACTAAACTTTCGGGACTAAAAGGCTATAGAGTACTATTTCCTATCTTTATCCTTCTAGGATATAATCCCTCCTATACCTTTATTAAAAGTATTAGTTTTTAATCGCGTATCCCTTTCTAAATCGAAATAGTATAGTAATATTAGTAACTAAAATACTATAATTAGATAGTAAAACGCGAGTCTTTTATAGATATTAAGCTAGACTTATCTAGGTTTTCTTCTATTTTTTAACCCTTTTAGTAAGGAAGTTAATAGGAGTATAATTTATAAAAACCGCGGTATAAACTATTAATAAAAGTTATAGAATCTAATAAATACTTAGATATTATAATAGCTTTTAGGGAGTTCCTAGTTCCTAATAGATTCTATCCTTTAGAGGTCTATAGAGACGCCCTTCGAATCTACTATAAATCCTAAGAACTTTACCTCTTCCTAATAGAATATATACTTTAAGGCCTTTATATATAGGCTAGCTCTCCTAAGGTTTTTAAGGACTTTTTAGAGGTATTTTATATAAGATTTCTTTATCGGAGAAAATATTAGTATATTATCGAGATATATTATATAGATTATATTAAGGTAGTCTCTTAGTACGTTATAGATATAACTTTAGAATATAGTAGAGGTATTAGTTAGTCTAAATAGTATAACTATATACTTATAATACCTATATCGAGTATAAAACGTAGTCTTCTACTTATCTCTTTTCTTAATACGAATTCGGTAATATATATCTTAGATATTAACTTTACTAAACTATTTAGCTCCCGCTAATCGGTCTAGAATTTCTAAGATAAGTAGTAATAGGTACTAGTTTTTAATTAAGATTTTATTTAGCCCCCGGTAGTCTATATAAAGACGTAATCCGCTATCTTTTTTTAGAACGAAGAGGATTAGTACTTCTATAGGACTTTTAGATAGTCGGATTTATCTATTTTCTAGATTCTTATCGATATATTCTTAAAGTTCTTTTAGTTCCTTTTAGGATAAAGGGTAGATTAGTCCGTAAAAGGGATTTTCTCCTAGTAATATATTAATAGTATAGTCTATAGCCTTATTTAAGAGAAGGGTTCGTACGTTTTTCGTAGAGAAGACGTTATAAAATCTTTATAGTTCTAAAGGTAAATTAGGAGATTCTTCTATATCCCTCTCCTCTTTATATAGGAGCTATACTTCTTTAGGTATTTTTATTATAGTATAGACGTATATATAGTTCCTATACGTTTTTATAAATCGGTATAGGATTATCGCTTTATAGTTTAAAATATTAAACTACTATTTTCGGTTTAGTAAAGAGAGATTAATTTTTTAATTAACTAAGGTTATTATTAATAGTAGTACTAGACTACCCAAAATCCTTAGATCTTTATTAATAGTAATATAGGATTATATAAATATTCTAGTAATTCCTCTACTATCTATAATAGTTATAGGGATATTCTATACCCTATATATAGTTACTTCTTTACGTCCTACTACTTTAATAATAGAAGGTATAAGCTTCGCTTTTTAAAGTTTCTAAGTTTTTATAAACTCGTAACTAATAAGATCGACTTCCGTATAACTATCTAGGTCTATATAGGTTTTAATTTTTCCTACTAGGATTAGAGTATAGAAGCGTATTATTATTCCGATCTAGGGGGTCGGAGTAGGGAAATCTACTCCGACCCGCTCTTATTTCCCTATTATTTTATTAAGGATCCTTTTACTTTTACTAGTTATACTTTTATTTTCTTTATTAGGGAGTTATTTAGATATTTATTTAAAAGATAATCCTTACTTTAATAGGTATAATAGGTAAGTTTCTTCCCTATCTTTTTATCGATAGGGTTTCCTCGCCTTTTCGACCTTAAATCCTTTAGATTTCTTTTTTTAGAGGAGTTTTCGTTTTTATTATATTTTTCGAATTTTTTTTTTTCTTCTTTATATCTAGGTCTCTCTACCCCGATTCGGTCGCTTTTCGTTTAGGTTTCGTTTTTTAGTTTTAAAGCTCCTAAAATTTTAATATAATAGAAACTATCTCCTTTTAAGTTTTTAGAAGAGTTAGGTTATATTTATAGATATAGGCTTAGAGTCTATAATTAAGTTTTAAAAAGAAGATAAAGACTTTTTATTCCTCGCTTTACTTTAGGAAATATTTTTCTAAGAGATTTAACTTATAGTAAAAGTCTCTTAGGTCTTAATCGTTTCGCTAGATTATTTATTATATTTAGTTAATAATAATAGCTTATATATTTATAGAATTTTTTATTAAGGATAAAGTCTATTCTTTAAAGTAAGTCTATAAATCCTATATAATTTAGTTTAGAGTTAAGGATATTTTATCTAAGTAGTTATACTAAAGTTATTAGTAGTTCCTATTTATATAGAATAGGGTACTAAAGATCTTTTACTTTTTAGTACTATATTTTTTACTCGCTCTTTTAAATTCTAAATATAGCCTAAGTAACTAGTCTTTTCTTTCTTAGATTAAGAATTCTTCTATAAAGTTAGAGTTCTTAAAACGGATTTCCTAACTACGTAGGTTTAGGGAATTACTACGGATCCGGCTATAATATATAGATATTTCGGCTACTCTTTTAAGCTATTTAATCCTTATTATAAGGGCTTAGAAGGTTTCTTTCTTAAGGATTACTTAAGAATTATCCCTATTTCACTAAGGATTTAGGGTAGTTTCGGAGGGTTATCGGTTATCTCCGCTAGCGGTAGTAGGTACTTCTAAGAGTCCTAATAAAGATTAGGTCTCTCCCTCTTCTATCTCGTAGATAGTAGGGTTTTCTTATAGAGGTATCTCCTTATTACCCTATCGGGATCGTAAACTCTATCTCGTTATTATTTCTTTAGGTAGTTAAAGAAGAAGATTCAGAATTATTAAGGTAACTATTTATTAAGGTAGTACTTATTAACTAGGTAAATAATAATATAAGAGGGATATGTAGTTAGAACGAAGGGTATTCGATTCTATATTAGTTATAAGACTAAATCTTGCCTTCCCTTTTCCTATAGGTGTCTTCCTTTTATGATTTAGGTTCCCCGCTTCTCGGGACCGGATTATATTAGTTCTATCCTAATATCGTGGGGTATTCGGAGGGGTCTCCTCCGTCTAAGAAAAAGGGAGCCTAAGGCAAAATAGTATAATAAAGAAATACCGTAATATTTTGCTTAATCTTTTCTAGCTTTCTAGGGTTAATATAGGTCCCTTCGGGGCGGTTTTCCTTATTAAGATACTAGTATATTACTATTTTATATAAATAATAGGGGTTCCCGTATAGGCACCTCCTTTTTTTAAATAGGATCGGCTCCTTAGTTTAGGACTTTGATTCTTAGTGCCCCTACTAGGTTAAGAATGCCCCTTTTAGGGGTATAGTAGATAATACCTTTTATACCCCTATTTCTCGATTTATTACGCGGAACGACTCGAGGAGATCACAGATTTAGTAGACTTTCTTATCTATAACGATCTCTTAATATCTTCCTTACCACTAAATAGGTAAGACCTCTTTAATAGCATATAGGAAGTCCCTATTTACGTCTCCGTTATTAATACCGAGGCTAATAGCTTACTCCCTTAGGGTATTCTATTATTTAAGCTATTATTCGATATCTCTAGTCGGTTTTTAGATAGCGAAGACCTTCTACTTTATTCGGACTTCCTCCTCGTATATAGTCGATCTCGCGAAGCGATCTCTAAAGTATACTAGTCTCTTATACGGGGTCTAATAGTCGGTGATAGCGGTATAGTGGATTAGGTCTAGGAAGGTATAAATATAGTCATTTATATTAGAAAGTCCTTTTGTCTCCCTATCCTATTTCGATTAGTCCACTTTAAAGATATCTATTTCATCTCTCTAGTCTCTTTTGTCCGATTCGGTCCCTCCGTAGGGATATTCCGGCCTAATAGGCTCTTCTTTCCTAACTAGTCTCTCTATCGGGGGGGTATCTAGGTTATAGTGCTTCTAGACTTATTTTTGTGTCGTATATAGCTTCACCCGGGCGAACTAGGTACGCTATTAGGGCGAATCCTTTAGTTTTTCGCCCTTTATAGCGGAGAGAATTATTGATGCTTCTATTATTGGGGTTAGGTGCTATATAGCCTTAGCGGGCTACTGTGCAGCTTTAGAGGTTTTCAGGTGCTAATAGGCGCTATATCTTGTGGATAGCGGCCTTATTTCGTGCGAACCGGGCTTATAACTGTCAACTGACGTGGTATTCAGTATAGTAGGGGTCCAATTAAGGGAGTTGAAATCTCTGTATTTCTGTATCCACTATTCTAGCAGGAAATATGACTATCTGACTAATATCAAAAATACTGCGTAGACGGGATAAACTAAACTTCCGGTATGCCGATCTTATGCTCCGACATCAGATGGATACCTGATTCTCTAGGCAGACACCCTTTCTGCCAATTTTTCTGCCTAACTCAATTTTTCTGCTATATCATATGAGATCAAGTCTATATGGTAAACAATGCACTTTTTTTGTCAAAAAATCATACATTTCCATGCAATTAAGCTAGCTTCATATCAACTACCCTCATTCCCGTCAGTTAGTAGCCCCATCATCAACGCTTGGAGAGGCGTACGACCAGCCAGGAATTCCCGATTCCCGATTAAGCTGCCTCCGCATGTTGTAGATATCCAAGGGTTGAAGACACGACGTAGGATCATTGGCTCGGGCGATAGAAATGATCTGGCGGGCAGTAAGACCTTGCTCAAGCTGCTTGCGGATCTCAGCTGCCTTCGTATCAAGCTCGCGCTTGCGATGGATAATATGGGTTTCCGGCGGGGATGGGCCATGATTATGGCCCGCGTTTTCCACAGTCAGATGCCATATGTTAGTATCATGTTGAAGTCGAAGAGAAATTGCAAATGGGCACCCGGTTGCAAGACTGGTCCTCTGCCTTTTGCGCTCGTGGCCGAGTCGATCGTGTGGTGTGCGGCCTCGATCACAGCGGAGCCGGACGGTCTTCTTCACTCCCCGCTTTGTACGTTTAGAGCGTGAGATTGACACGGCGTAACCGTGCGTACGCGCGAAATCATTGATGGTACGGACTGCGACTTTGATATCGGTGTATTGTTGATTGAGAGCGGGGAGTGGCATAAAAATCAGTGTAGCAGGTGGCTCGGCAGTAGTTGACTCGGCGGTAGTTAAGGCGGCGGCCGGGGGCTCGGAGGGGCCTGTGGGGCCGATGGGCCTTGGCAGCGTATGGCGAGACTCGGGGACGCTGATCTGGGTTTCAGGGATAACCTCAGGCTCGTCATCATCAGACAGTAGATAATCAAGCTGTAAAGAAGCCATTTTGATACAGATGCAATGGATGGAGATTTATGATGAATGGGGAGACAAAATAGGAGTATTTGATTTTTTCAATCGAAATTGAGAGGATTAGAAATGGATGCCTGAAGAAATGGGCATTAATTGTAAGTATGTGGAGTTCAAATTTGGAAGGCGGTGGAGGATATGTGGGGACATCAAGAAGGGCGGTGTCCTAGTTAGGAAAGCGGTTCTAGGCAGGGTTCCTCCACAAAGGGCGGTGTGTGTACATGGTACCAGGGCTGTCCCTAGACCTCCGCAATGGGCTTGAATGGGCCCTACCTTCGAAGCCCAACTAAGCCCACGGCCCATTAGTGGGGGCCCATGAGGCCCCCAATAAAACCCATTCGTATGCATAAACACAGTCTTAGCGCTCATAAAATTGCTGATTAATGCCTACATTTTACGCATGCTCGAGTCTATGAGCTTACCGCGGAAGAACTCGGTCAATTTAGGGCTTAGAGGGTAATCTGAATACCTAAAAATACTAGAAAAATCTAAATTACCTACAAATCTGCCAAGAATTAGCATGTTCGTATTTTTTGAGGCCCATAGCCCACCGATGGGCCTAGAGACCGGGCCCAAAGCCCAGCCCATTTGTAGGTTGAGCCCATTTGTAGGTTGGGGCGGGTTGGGCCTTATGCTTTGTGGGGTGGTGCGGATGTCTAGCTGTCCCCTATATGTACAGTGTACTACATCGAACCTTGACATAGAATAAAAAAATGTATTGCCAGTTGTATTTCTTCATTTCATAAAATCTGTGCGATGAGATGATGAGGTAGATGCAAAAAAACAAACCGTGCACCATCACATCAACCATCAAGATTGATCAAGATGTGCCCGTATCATCGCAAGCATAAATGTCCCCATTGTAGATGTCAGCGAGATATTTCCATCAAATCCTGAAATATCGACAGCGAAATAAATGAGAGATCCTAAGCGAACCCGTTTCTCAGGTTATCGTACTTGGAGCCAGGATAGTGCAGCTGATTGCCACTCTGATCCAAAGCACCGACGCCTCCGAAGGTATCGACAACCTATATTTGTGTCAGCCAGGTGCGAAGCACACTCTAGAACAAGTCAAAAACCTACAGTTGTAATCAAACTGTCTCCACCGCCCTTGTCACTGCTGCTCTCCCACCACATACCACCACCCAGACCTCGGGACTGAATGTACTGCGCTTTCTGACGCGCAATCTCGGGAGTGTCATAGCTGACAAATAGGCGACTACCTGGGTTGTAGCAGTAGCTTGCACCAGCCTGATCCAGGACAGTGACTCCACAGCCGGGGAGGGGCAAGCCCTTGTAATCCCACACGCCATTCTCCCAGGTACCTGCTCCAACGCCATTGTAAGGTCTTCCGGGGCCGTCGGTGTTGGCAAATGCCCGGCCGTACAGGGGCATACCCAGCACGATCTTGTGTGGGGCAACTCCCTGCGAGAAGTAGTAGTCAATTGCTTGGTCCGTGTTGAAGGGGGTGCTCGCAGGGTTGTCATTGGAGCCATGGAGGTTGGCATTGTGGCCAGCAACTGTATCCCAGCTACCGGAGTAGTCGTAGGCCATGAGGTTCCAGAAGTCGAGGTACTGATCCATCTGGTTCAGATGCTCTTGGCGGTAGTGCTGAGGGCCTAGTACTTGTGTCAGTTGTATCGGGATATTATATGGGGATGGGACTTACCAGCTGGGGAGGCGACAGTCAGCAGGAAGTGATAGCCGCCAGCGTTCGCTGCACTGTAAGAGTCCAAAGACTGAAACGTCATTAGCTAGATGATCATGGACTAGACTGAGCACACATACCCCGCGCAGTCGTCGAAGTGCATCGACAAACTTGTCCGCCTGGTCATCATTCGCAGGATACTAGATGTCAATCAGCATCGACCATTCCACGCCGTGGGATCTGTATAGTCACCTCATAATCAACATCAATTCCATCAAGGCCCAGGTTCTTCACCAGCTCTGTAGCAGAGTCCGCAAACCTCTGCCGTCCACCCTCACTGTCGAAGGCAGGGGCAAAGCTGGGGGAATAGGTCCAGCCTCCAATCGACAGAAGAACCTTGAGCTTATTGTTTCTCTTCTTGAGTAAGAACAGCTGCTTGATACAGCCATAGACATTGTTTCCGGAATCATTCCAGGAATCAGAAGGATAGTGCTTATCAGTGTCGGCCCAGGTGTCGGACAGATAGACCTCTCCAGTACCGGGGCGGATGTTGGCAAATGCGTAAAGCACATGCGTCAGGCGCTCGGCAGGAAGGTCCTGGGGTTGGAAGTTGCGACCATAGATAGCCTAAGGATAACTTTGATTAGTTTGATTCGGGATACATCGGATGTCTTGTCGTCGGCTCATCCATGGGACACATTGGTCAACCATCTGGAAGTCATGGCATCCGATCTTCACTCACCCAGTTGACAAAGTATGCCACAGAGCGGAACCCGCCAACATCCCGAGAAGCGAGCCCGGTGCTATTGGTGCTCAGGACAGGAATGTAGGCAGCTTTGGCGAGCCAGCTCAGGCCTAGAAGGAAAGGAATGACCAAGTGCATGATGAAGGAGCGTCGAGGTGGTATCGTGATGGGCTCGTTCCAGCGAGGATTGAAGAAGAGAGGTTGTCGAGTGTAAGAATGAGAAATGATCCCTCTATTTGTAGTCGAGGTCGACAAACAAATAAACACCTCGGAGTAATCTCATGGCGGACAATAGTGATTGTTTGGTCTATTCAGTCCGTTTGTGTCTGCAACCTCAACTCGATACCCTCCTCGCTAGGACCTGGGAAGGTGACCTTGCGATACCGAGTCTGCCTTGTTCTGACTGCCATTGATCTCGAGACAATGGTTGTGCTTGGGCTTGTCCCAATCAGCAGGTTAAGCAATGGATCAATACACATGGTCGATAGGAACAATGTTTCCCGGGTTGTGGGGGTTTCAGCGACGAATTAGGCAACGCCCTACTCCACCCTTTCCACATTGGGACGCCTCATTGTGAGGTAGGAGGTGTATAGACAGTGTCTATGGTGGTAGGCGCCTACCGCATGGTCTACCATATCCCCAGTGTGTAACATCCTGAAATTGGTGGCTGACCATTTGGGACGACACAAATATCCGTTCTCGCGAGGGAGTGAAGATTCCCCGGTCGATTAGCCCGAGAGATTCCTAAGGGTGACATTGTCATATGCTATCTACAGCCTTTCAGTCTCTGGTGGAGGGATATATGGCCCGGCACATATTGGGATATTCACGACTGGCTGGGGCTCTGCTTTGGGACGTTGCAGCCAGACCTCTTTGGCCTGCATGTGTCGAGATTGACCGCGGGGGCCGTACAGATGTAACTGAATGGTTGTATTGAAGTAAAATAAAGCGTTTGATATTGATCAAGGTTAAGATTTGGGTCTAGGGATCTGCAGGCTGACCCTTTGATATAGGCTGTTTGGACCGCAGGCTGCAGGAACCCTGGGGTTTGTGAAGAATGACATTGCCAATGTCGCCCGATGTAACACTCAGACCATGCGACCAGGGCATGTGCCATCTCGGAGCCCTGCCGAGGACGAAAAGAAGCGTGAAGAGAGGAAGACAAAGATCGCATGATCAAATGGAGAACGACCCCTCACGTGCCCTGCCTTCATCGTTCATTCATCCGAGCCTTTTACAATCTTGGGATTGGACATTCTACAGATAGTATTGAGTTCTAATTGCCGAAGATGCTTACTGAGTTTGACTTGAATGCCATAGTTCCATTGAGAAGACGGCGCTTAGAGCTGCTACATTCGGATACATGTATGTATACGGAGTACCTCACAATCACGCAAAAGTTCCCACGCGATACATCACCACAATTCCGATGAGGCTCCAACATCTTTGACCATGCCCAAAATACCTCACTTCACCGTAACCCTCACTTCCTCCACCAGGGCAATGCCCAGCTTCAAGCGATCCAGGAATTTCTCCTCATCAGCAGCGATCTGGGCAGCAGCGTCCGGCGCGTAAATTTTGGCTGCAAAGGCCTGGTAGGCAGCCTGGTCCGCAAAAGTAAGCTCAGCGTAGGCGTCAAAGTCGAAGTCTGCTTGTTGTCCGCGAAGTATAGTGGCCGGGGTGAAGGCGTTGCGCGGGGTGGAGCCCTCCGGAGGGATTTCGACGGTGTTGCGGGCGATATAGTTTCGATGATGAGAAAGAGGGAAATCCTCGCCTGTCATTCTCTTGATCATTTTGACGTGCGCTTCGTAGCGCCTTCTGAATTCTTCCGGTGACAGGCGGGGATTGCGGTAGAGGAAGACTGATATTTTGACTGGCATCTTGATGTTCGAAAACGTAGAGTGACTTAATTTTCATTCGTTTGGAGGTTTAATCTCAATCAACAATCCAGCTGGAACATCAAAGGCTCAAATAGTCAAAGATACCAAAATGAACCGGTCATTTCTCGGCGGGTTTACACTCCCTACTTTGTATCAGCAAGCAGTGCGACGTGGATTCGGCGGGGCTCGTTGTCGTTTACATTGCTGATGGTTGATCACACGCAAACCCGTGGTATATCCCTGACAGCAAATCTTGAGAAAAGACACGAGATTGTCGAGATTGTCGAGATTCTAGATCCTCAACAAGGGACTTTGTTGTTTCTGACCAACTAAACCTTTTCCGTGCAACTAAACCACATTGCGACACCAAACCATGGAGCCTGCGCGACTATCCAAGGCTCAGCGCAGAGTAATTACTTCGGGGGCCTGGGGTTAGGTGACCTCCAGAACCTCATCATCTTCTTTTCTTGTCCTCTCTCCATAGCTACTATCCCAAGAATCGAACATGGAATCAGACACCCCTCCCTCCAAATTCCACCTCATCGGCCGTGGTGCCTGCGGGACTGTTTGGGCTGCGACAGAGGCTGGCCCAGCCTATAAAAGAGAAGACGGTAACCCAGCGCGATCGTTAACAAACGATTATGAAATGCATCAGCGAGTTCTCCAAAGCCATCGAACACTCACAAAACTGAAACAAAAATCCACTGAACACCCTCGGTATCCTCAAATACAAATCCCAGCCTGCCACAGCTTTATCCAGGCCACAGACCAATGGTGGATAACAAACCTGGGCAAGTTTCCTCCAGAATATTCACCATGCAATACCCTCCACTCACAGCGCATACCTCCCTTCAACCAGTCCACCAGAGAGCTCCTGATCCACAACTTCTGCGCAGATGAACTCAAATCAACATTACTGCAGAGCATACCCGATCGAGACTGTTTAGTTCGGCTATATCTCGGTCGACACAGGACCCATGTTCGTGAATATCAAACCCCGTCCCGATTCAGGGCATTCTCACTACGAAACTTCCCCCTACATGCGAATCAACTGGTAGGGCTTGGTGTTCCCACAAATGACGTGCACAAATATGCCGAAACGATGGCAGAAACACTTGCAATGATGCACTGGATTGCTGGTGTAGATGGCAATGACGTTGAGATCGTTCTGGCGGCCCCCAATGACGTTGAAACCAACGACGATCGCATGTCTAACGTCCTTGGAGACCATAGCATGTGGCTGCTTGACTTTGATCTATGTAGGGATATGGCGATGGATGAGCAAGGAGGCGCGCAAGCGGTCAACGCCTTTTGGGGCAATGATCCATATTATCCTCGACCAGGAAGGGACTTGGCACTATGGAGTGCATTCCGAACGCAGTATCTCAAAAGCAGTGACCAGTGTCTAGATCTTTGTGATCATCAAGAAGGGGTCAGGCGGCGCTTGTTACCTCGGTTGTTCATCGAGCTACTGGAGAGGCAAGGGATGTAGACAACCTGTACGGAGTACCGGTCTCACTCTCTTCATACCAGGCACATCTTTTATCTCATTCTGGTAGTCTAGCTTCGCGTGTATTGTATACCTCGTCTTTCGGTGATCTCGTTCCAAATGTCTTTCATCAGATATGCGCTGCTTCTAATCTTCCCATCTCGAAACGTGATCTTGAGATCTTATCCAAGACGGAGAATAGTTGATATGTATGACATCAAGAATTACGTCAGTTTGCTAATTCTAGACAGTGCCGAGGGTTTAAATGTAATGTTTAATATTGCGATTGAATTCTTGTGATTGATTGCTGACAGGAAGCTAAGATACATGAAAAACGGACATAGGAGAGAGGTTTCTGTGGGCTAAATGTGGGTATAATCATAACAAAGAAATAACAAGAAGAAGAAGGAAAGAAATAGAATGTAGGGACCATATAAACGCTGTGTAACGATAGAACTTTTCGTGTTGGCCAACAGTATTAGGGGTATTGGTTGGCAATTAACAAATGGGGATGGGAGCGATCGAAATGTCGTATCACATAGTTATCAGTTGCTGGCTCTGACAGTCCGCGCGACGGGGATGCTTGTCCTTTCCGAATACCCGGGTGGTGCGATCCCCAAGTCAACCACCGTATCACTGACAACATGGTCAGAGAAGTTGGTGGGGGAGGTCACATTGCGTGGCAGGAAAAACTCGTCAATCTCCTCTTGTGTGACAGTGACACCGAGGGAAGCCTTGAGAGATTCGGTAGATTTCGGTTGGCTTGTGAACTGCACCGGAACGCGGAGAGAGATTGTTGGTGTAATGAGGTTGGTTGCGGGGGTGTGATATGTCAGGGAGAGATCGAGGGAGTAGATGCGAGAAATGAGACAGGAGTGGAAGGTTGGGACGAAAGCTTTGGACTTGGGAAGCGTGATGGGGACGACAACCGACGCGGTATAGTAGGTGTCTCCGGTGAATGTAGAGGAGGGGCCGACTGACGAATCGGATGATGACGAGTCTGCAGAATCGCGGCGAAGACAGTCGACGGCTGATGATTGCTTCTTCCACTGGGCGGATGCCACACACATGGTCAGCAGAGGCACGGAGTCGGTGTAGAGACCGCGCCCAACCTGGGCGAAGGGCAGGCCCGTCGAGAAAGGGAAGTCTTCCCACGGGCTGGCACTGAAGAATGTGTTTGCGCGGAGTCTGCTGGTCATTGTCCCAAGTGGGGGAGGCTGCTCGTCTCCAACCGGATCGAATCGTAGGTTCACAGTAGCCACAGTGCTCACAGTATCAGTCGGTTCGCCGCCGGGGGAAGCAACTGAATGGGTCTGGGCTGTGTTGACGAAGCGACAAGACGGCCTAGCTTGCCTCGCAAGGTCCCGCGCTTGACCGTCTTTTCTTTGCGTGTGCAAAGAGATGAGAACTCAGGAATCTCGATAGGAGGTTCTTCTTCGGCGGTTGGAATAATTCGGACTTTCTTGGCAACAGCAGCGACAGATGCGACTCCGGTGCCCGCTGGTTGTTTCTGGAAAACAGATGCTCGGACGATGTAACAAACTTGTGACATGCAGGGTGCCATGTCATCAAGTAGATCCTTGCCATTGCTGGCAAGTATAGGATCACCTAATGTTGGTGGAAGCATGGTGTGACATCGGTGAATTTGAGCATTCTGCTTGGTGTGAGTGCAGACTTGGGGGAGTAGGCTATCCGGGACGATGAATGTGAAGGGAAATTGATATGCACGGCCACTCTCTAACACTCGAGGGGTCGGGTATTCTGTCTCGTCGATTGGCTGGCGCAACTTAAGAAACATTTGTTGCGATCCTGTACGGCCAGGGCATGATGCCCGTTCCACCGTGGTTCTTGATGTGCCTTTGCGCCAATCAGCATCAATTTGTTTATATCACCAGATGGGTCTTGATGCCAAGCTACCTTCAAAGAAAATTTCAACCTCTTCGAACCGTGTCTCATGTTCAACGATAATGGTGACGGTGCCATCGATGCTCTCCCCCGTTGTATAGGAGTTAACACGGCCGGGTTTTTGGCCATCTATCTGGATATCGATTTTTGGTTGTGATCGCCGTGTCCAAGCATCTAGCTTTTCCGAGCCACCGCTGATAATTGAGGTCGCCGACATTGTTTCTTGGTGGAGTTGTGTGACAGGGACAGCGAAGAGGATAGAACGCCGTCAGCTGTCTCACTCACGTAATGTGGGAACAACAAAGCAACCCGCCAAATGGAATGAAGAGAATTGAATATTCAAAGTAGCAAGCCCGAGTAGAGATCACGTATGGTTTTATTTAAAAAAGAAATAAGGAGAAAAAAAAAAAGTAAATGGTGGAGCCCGTCGACAACCGCACTGGAGACAGGGGAAACAAGTGTGGAGGAGCTTTCGCAGCAATGTGAACAGGGTTTATATTCTTGTTTCACCGGAAGCCCCCAAGACTCTTATACTCTTATAAAACCTCGAGTGACTCACAAGGGTCAGATAGACCTGTCTTCGTTCTCCTGCCTCGGAAGATGACGATATGATGCGGATGGCGCCTCACAACCCAAAAGAACAGCGACTCATCATCCTCCGCATCCTTAATATGCCTCAGCGTACTCTGTAAGGAAGGCCTAGCCTGAGATTCACCAGAGACATGAGAGTGATTGGTCACGCGGATGCGAGGATCCATCCTTGCACAGTTGCTCACGCCCTTGGATTGACATTCCACTATGTCAAAGTACATAGAACCCGAGACCGCTCACTAGTTCAGTTCAGGATCACGGATGGCTGATTGGCTTTGTATAACACATCGTATTCCTATAAGGGCTCTCGAACCATGTCCAGTATCCATAGAACACTGTGATGCCTCGTTTTCAAATGTTTCGGAGAAAAAGAGCCAGTCACCATGCAAGCACAAGGTACTCCGTACGGAGTACGGAGTACAAACACCGTGGGTCAAGGGGAGAAGTGGGGTGCGCCTTATTGCGACATGCGCGCCCTTTGGGTCTCCACATGCCTGTTCACATTCCTTGTAGAGTGCCCGAGCTTCTGCGTTATAGGCGAAGTGGCCAATCACTGTACGTCTGCCCGGAACTTTGTTCATCTCGATGACTGGGATCGATTTCAAAGCAAGATCCCGTGTTGAACTTGCAATCTGCATCGTCAACCCTCGGTCATCGCTGAGGACCTTCAGGTTCTCATCAGAGACTTCATCTGGCCCTGGAGTTTCCCTCGGGAAACTCACGACGGAACCGGGCCTGGTTCCCGGCCCCAGAACTTGCCGGCCATAACCGAGCTGTTGCGATGCCGACCGTGCAATTTTTTCATCTCGGTGTGTCCGAGTGAACGATGACGGGAAGAGAACCCATAGCGTGGATGGTGTGATCCAATCCTCGGAGTCCAAGTCGGGAACTTGACGGCGAACCGATGACTGAGGATATGGGTCAGGTGACACAAGAGTATTGGGATTCCAAACACGTAGATGTACAGAGGCCTTTTGAAGACGTTTCGAACATAATATTTGCTTTTCATTCCAATGTGATTACAGTAAAGAATAAATGTAAATGATTGTCCCGACCGATAAATTACGACGTAGACCCGTGTGGTAATGCGGATCAAATCGTACTCAAAAAGCGTCGATGCGTTTTCACGCTTCTTCTTGTCTCGTACAGGCGGCACTGAAAAGTGACCGACTGCATCCAGCTCAAGATAAACCGAGAGAAACGGCAGACCGAGCGAGGCAAGAGACGGTGTCGTACAAGAGTCTACGGGCGTGGAGGGAGGGGAAGGGTGAAAGGAAAGGTCGGTCTAGTACGAGGCGAGGGTAGGAAGCCCACCATTGCAGAATCAATCGCGGTTCAAAGCCGCATCGTAGTCATCCATTAATAAAGAGGTAGGTATCTGAAGCCCGTATACAGGGCAGCAAGGAACGCCAGCAACAGACGCCGAAACCGACCCAAAATCAATACGCCACCCGGGTTCGCATATCCTGCAAAGATGTTAGTGACATGCGGAATGCAATCAAAAGAGAATGTGAGAACGTACCGAAATCTTGCGCTCGATCTCGCGGACAGAGCGATCGAGTTCCCCGGCAATCATCATCTTGGTATCATTAGGTAGCAGGAGATACATTTCACAGAGATCTCCATCAATGACGCCCTTGACAGGCGCATAGTAGCCACGGTACATCAAATGGTCTCTTCCTGCCAGAGGAGGTTGCTGAGAAGCCATCTGTGTCTCCAATTGCTGGAAAAAGTCGACATCCTCGCGGCTGGCAAAGGGAACAAACATGCCAACTGTGCCTTGGAAACCAGTCCAAACAATGACGTCGCGACCACCAGCGACTAATTGAGTCTTGTGCAGGCTGGTCGGGATATCTTGGCTGTAGAAATGAACCATCAGCTCGAGACGATGGGCTGTTCCCTGGAGATAGCCCCTTTTTATGAATGAGGTGGGCCCCAGATCCATCCTCATCCGCCTGAGCAGAGATTTTGCTCGGGCAGCGGACCAACCATATGTTTCCGAACTTGTCACCACCAGCGGTAGTTTCATAGTCAACCATGGTCGTGGCTGATGTCCAGCGTGCGATGGAATCATCCACAAAAGGAATCAAGACGTTGTCCTGGTATTTGTAAACAACGTACGTGACACTTTCCCGGACATCGCTGACAACAATTCGGCTGCCCTGTGTCTGAAGGCCAACGATGGTTTTGGGAACAACATCGGCTTCACACTTGCGTAGTAATTGCTTCATACCGAGGTCATAAACACGAAGAGTCGGACCGATGCCCGCCAGTAGACGACCTTGGAAGCCAAGCAGAGCAAGAGGAGGTTGATCGACCTGTGTCTTGTGGATAAACTCCAGTTCTCGGCCGTCCTCTTGGAATCGATAGATGTGAATGAACCCACATGAGGAAGAGGGAGGATTGACTGTCATATCCTTTGCGGTACCCACAACCAAGAACGTTTCGTTGTCTTGGCTGGTAAATGATACCGCAGCGATACTGACGGCGGCCTCATTGTCCTCGAGCTCAAGAGTCGATACCACAGATTTGGATGTAATCGGGTCGATGATCTCGATGCATGATGCCCAATGGCCGGTGCCTCGCGGATATCCAAACTCAGCAGGCGGGAGGGTTGTGACCTCACCATTGCGGGCCTGGGCATCTTCAAGAAGTCTCTGGCGAGTGGCGGGAGAGAGAACATTGTTGTCGGATTCAATCACGTAGAAGAGGGGTTGCTCGGGGTGCTTGACAAAGCGCCGAGGAGTGTAGGAGAGAGGAATAGATTCTTGGAGCATGTTGTTGTCCAACTTCTCAACAGAGAAAATTCTATTTTCGGTCAGTACCAATGCGAAGAGAGTGATCCAAATGACAAAATGGTATGAAAGGGGGGATTGATCTCAGAAGGAACAATTGGAATTTTTCTTTTAAAAAGTTGCATCCACATGAAAGTTCGGATATATTTTCTCATCATATGATCAAAGGTCGGGGTCGAGGAAATTGGGAAAGGGGTAAGTGAACCTGGAGTGAAAACATACCGGAGATTGCGGCCTTGAATACCGATCATGCCCTCAACACACTGTTCGCTGGAGAAGTTCCATCCCCATTCAAGGCCAACGTAGTCCAGAGGGGTGAGCATAAAGCTTTTGGTTTGCACATCGGAGTAGCCCAGCCAGGCGCGAGCACTGAGGGCAAGCACGGCTGTTTGGCCCTTGACAGAAACCTGGGATAGCTTGACCGGCTTGGCGCCGATGAACCGTGTCCTAGTGTCAGAAAGGTCACCAGTGACTTCGTCCAATACGGTACGAAGGTAGACACCAGAGTAAAGACCGATGTGGAGATAAAGAGTCGAACCTCCCGAGCTCGAGTCGGCCATAGACATGATTTGAAGGGCAGATGGTGCAGATGTCAAGGCTTGAACTGATTTGTTCTCCAGTGTAGAGTCTGGGTCCAAGCTGAGGATGCGGACAGTGGAGTCATCACATCCAACAGCCAAGAAGGAGCTTCTCATCCGGCCCTCGGGGACCTCTCCCATGCTCAATGAGGTAACAGTACCAGACATCTGTCTACGCTCGTCGTACTCGGCCAGTGTGCCATCTGCATCCATTTCAAAGTAGACAATTTCACCGGAGCTGAGGGCCACAGCAACTTGGCGTTCATTCGTGGCTGCTGCAACGATGGACCGATGCTGCGGAGCAGGCCACTCGTTCACTCGCTGGTCAGCAAGGATGTGACGAATTCCTCGGGGGTGCACTTGGACCAAAGAGTCTTCGCCGAGTTGTTGTACTGCCAGAGTGGGAGCCGAAGAAAGGAACCCAGTGTCTGAGACTTCTTCGACAATTTCTCCGATGCTGAGAACAAGAGTGCCATTGGCGAAGGATAGAATGATGTATGTGTGGAACTCATCAGCCCGGGTCAACTTAGTTGTCCATACAGCAGAAGGGACTTGCTGAAGGTCTGACTCGACAATCTCAGAGACTTCGAGTCCGTGTTTGAGAGTCCGGAATGTGCTTCGGGCTCCCGAACCACAGATTGTGTAGATTTGGGGCGCGTCATCCTCGGTCAAATTGACGACTTTGCTATCAATGAGAGGAGTCAATGAATTCATGCTCTCCATGAGGTTGACATTTTCAGCGCCTCTGGGATTGAAGTAGACTGGGGCGCAAGGCACCGAGGGATCAGGTGAGTACGAGTCGCTGGAGAATTCCGTCTCCTCGTCATCGTCACCGAGCTTCTCAAATTGGTAGAAATTATGATTTCCCGCTTCACTGGCAACGTAGAGGAAACCACTCTTCAGAATCAGAAGGCTCGTTGCGACAGGGACCGTATCAAAGTATTTGATCTTCAGGCTCTTCACCTCCTCGGTCGGTTGCTCGTTCTCATCTTCGACCATTTCCAGGGTCAACTTGAACAAATCACCATCTTCGGTTTGGAGAAGGAAAAAGAAAGCACCCCTCATCTTGTGCATGACTCCGGAAACAATCGAGCGTTTACGCTCGGGGTTTTCAGTTGGGCCATTGCGGCGTGGGATGGGCACGCGGAAGGCACCTTGGTTGGAGTGTCTGTAGGTGACGCTATCCTCCGCACAGACCAAGACACCACTGGGGCCATCAGCTCCGCCAGGTACCTGGAAAAGCATCGACGAAGTCCGATCAACTGGGTCAGACCACTTGCGAACAACGTGATTCAACCCCAGATCAAGTTCGTAGTAAACCAGAACTTTCTCAGTTTCTTCGAATGCTTGGCCCGTGGGATCTTGATCAGATTCCGAGTAGTCTACCTCGAGGGCAGCGAAGATGGGATTGTCATAACCAACATCCAGGCAAATCATGGCAAAGACCAACGTATGAGGTTTGTGTGCTTCCAGAGGTGAAGAGATGGTAAGGTCCGCCTGTGAGTTGCGGTTGAGAACATAGACCAGCTTGTTCTTTTCCACGGAAGCGATGAGACACGCGCGTCCCTTTGGGTCGACCGCGAGATATTGACCTGGAACGACACGACGAACTCCAGATTTTCCAAATGTTTCCATATGGATACGGCTGAAGCGGTTCTGGGAAGGAACATATTCAATGATCGTGATGCGACCCGAATCAGAGCCAACGATGATGTAATCTATGATAAACACTCAGCATGGTCCGGTCATGACAGAGAGAGATTGCGAGCATCAACGTCGCTTTCCAGGGCAGGTCTCAACCCTTCTTCAAGGAGTCGGTTCGGAATAGGACCGTGCTGCCCAGGAAGCTTGAAGAATCACTAAGTTGTACTCGTAGGGGGATAGATGAGGATTGCGAACAAAACCAACGTACCTTTGTTGCTACCAGTCACTCGGTAAGCTGCAAGAGAGCGGATGATGCCGAAAACATCTTGAGAGAAGATCGGTGTGATCTTGCCCTGTGCCGGATCGGGCCGGTGGATGGTCAATTTTGATCCTGACGCAGTGACGATCTGCTGTTCCTTGGTCCCTGCAAATTGACCAAGGATGGCCTGGGTGACTGCGGTTGGGGGTTGGATGGTCAAGGAATACATGAACATGTGCGATGTGGTGGCCATGGTGGGCAACTAGTTCTCGGTTTCCCGGTACCACACAGAAAAGGGAGAGAAGCTTTGTACATGCAATTGCAAGTCAGGGGGTATGAATATTACATCAGTCCCATCCCTGCTGGGTGGAGTCAAGAAAGAGAAACTTCTCCAGTCCACTCGCCACGGATAAAGAGAGATGTAGCCGTGTAGGTTGGACTCAGAGAAGTGAAGAAGAGAAAATATTCCTTCGAGTGTGGTAGCTCCCACTAGCGCGCTTTGCACGTGATTTATGTTTCGACCGCCTTCTACGCCGCGCCGATAGCAGGCAGATTGCCTCCGCATAACGGGCTCATGAACTATCCTCTCTGACGTTTCATCTCGCATTCACTATTTTCATCCCCGTATCAAGAGCTGCGCTCTATCAGACTCTCAATACATTTGTTGAGGCTTTGGGTGGTATACCCTGCATCATCCGCCCATCTCCTAATAATCACCCCACTTGCTCCACAAGCATCATACATTCCTCACCATGGCCGATGATACGGCTCCCACAGAGGAGGTTCCCATTACCTTCACTGTCAAGTCATCGACTGATGCCAAATATACCCTGACCCTTCCGCTCACCACTTTGGTGTCGGATCTCAAACAGAAGCTTTCCAGCTCTGAATACGCCGATACCCCAGCAGAACGTCAGCGATTGATCTACTCAGGTCGTGTTCTGAAGGACACTGAGACACTCGAGGCCTATAAGATCAAGGATGGCCACACCATCCACTTGGTCAAAAGCGCAGCAAGCAATCAGCCGCGCCAAACCACAGCCGCGCAGCCAAGCTCAACCAGTGCGGCCGCTGGAGCATCCCCAAACCCGGCGACTGCTGGTGTCCCAACTAATCTCGCAGCTGGTACTGGCAACAACCCGCTTGCTGGCTTGACTGGTGCACGATATGCTGGATTCGCCCAGCTACCGGGCGCGGGTCTCTTCGGCCCTGATGGTGGGGTATGTAGCCAATGGAATATGGAGTTACCTTGGCAATGCTTTTGATATATGGCTAACCTGAGATCTGTATACTTAGATGGGACCTCCACCTGATACTGAGTCGATGCTCAACATGCTCGAGAATCCTCAATTCCAATCTAGTATCAACGAAGCCCTGCAAAATCCCGCTATGATCGACATGATGATCCAGCAGAATCCCATGCTTCGCGATATGGGACCCGGCGTTCGGCAAATGATGGAAAGCCCAGAATTTCGCCGTATGTTGACTGATCCAAGTTCGATTCGACAGATGATGCAGATGCAACGAGCTATGGGGATGGGTGGGGGACTTGGTGGCGGTGATAGTGCATTCCCCGCCCCCGGCGTGACCAACACAACCGCCCAAGAAAACCAAGGTTCCCAGCAACAAAATCCGCAATTGAATCCGTTCGGCGGGCAGATGCCTCCGAATCTGTTTGGAAACGCCAATCCTTTCGGTGCTCTTTTCGGAGCCAGCCCATTCGCCAACCAAGCCCAGCCTTCCACCACCCCGGGCGCCACTCAAACTGGAGGTGCACAGGGTGCCGATACTGCGGACCGATCAACACCTGCCGAGGGACAAACCCCCCAAGCTGCTCAGAACCCTTTTGCATCCCTTCTGAACCCGGCTATCTTCGGTAACGCTGGCCAACCCGGCCAGGGTGGTCTCAATCCATTCAATCCCCAGCAGAATCCGTTCCTCCGCGATCCAGCACTTCTATCCCAGATGATGCAAGGCATGGGCGGACAGGGCGCAGAAGGTGGAGCCGCTGGTGCCAACCCTCTGGCAGCTCTACTCGGAGGTGGTGGTCTTGGTGGTCTTGGGGGTGGTTTTGGCGCGCCACCACCGCCTGCTGACACTCGCCCTCCAGAGGAGAGATATGCCGATCAATTGCGACAGTTGAACGATATGGGATTCTTTGAATTCGAGCGGAACATTGAAGCCCTGCGTCGCGCAGGCGGCAGTGTTCAAGGAGCAGTCGAGTACCTCCTTAGCCACCCATGATAATTCCCCGGCTGCTTTTCTTCTTTTCAGCTCAGCCTTGCAGTTATTCACACGATGTATTCAAAGCTTTTTACTTTGCGAGGTCCTAACAGGGTCCCTCGGTATCTATGACGTTCTCATTCCCCTTTTAGCATGATTTTTTTCTGTGTGATCTTTAGCTAGCTTTCTGGATATGTCTTGATGTTTCAGGAGCTTTGAATTGTATGCGCTTTTTTTTAATTTAGTCTTGGTCTCACTGATCGTACATAAATGTAATTTAGACTTGAAAGGAGCCCTGTAATTTGCGGGTTTTGTAGGTCCATGATGCTCAGATATATGTCATCCATCCCTATTGCAGAATGTAAGCATCTTGGTCGGGGCCCGCAACTTGATAAGGCAATGTACTCAATATATATTCGGAGTATACACAGACAACAATATTAAATTGTATATGCCTCATGCTCTTAAATACTAGAATGGACAGACTAATCCCCTCAAGTGACCGTAGGATTCTGGATATGGTAAATACTAGAAAGATCTTCGGCCCCTGTACGTGTACGCTTCTTGGTCGATTGAGATGCTCAACACAGCAGAGACTTGACTTCGAGCATTGTGTCTCGGTCCGTCACTAGAGCCAATACATTCCCAGACTATATATGAACCTTAACTGATCACGCCGAGTCGCGCAATTTCTCTTGCAGGAACTCCAGGGTCACCGCATTTGCCTCATCTGCCACAGGCAAACCGGGAAACCCAGTAAACCCATGCGTGGCACCGGGGTAGATCTTGACGATAGCTTCACCGCCGGCAATGCTCCACTTAGAACTCATCAGAATCGTGTCATCGAGCAGCGGATCCTCTGTCCCGCAGAGGAAAAGAGCGGGAGGCAACGATCGGGTGGATGTCGCAACAAGCTCCTTGAGATCTTCATATAGTGGGGACACTGAAGGTTGTTGGAGCTCAGCGGTGCTCATGCCCGGCACATACGCGCCGTTGAACCGCTGCATGGTTGTCAAATTTATCAACAGGGGCTTGGTTGAATTTGCTATCGAGGGCAGCCCGAGGGTCAGATCAAAATAGCCGTAAGGAAGAACAAGGCCCGACAATCTGTAAGATGACCGCGACCGCATCAGCTGCAGGGCTGACAGAGCGGCGAGACAGGCCCCTGCTGATTCTCCACCAACAAAGCTCAGGGAAGCGCCGTACACCTCCACTGCGTGGTCCACCATGTACTCGGCAGCATCGATGGCATCGTGCATGGCAGCCGGGTAGGAGTGTTCCGGGGCCAGACGGTATCCGACTGAAATGGCTGTTAGCTGGCATTTATTGGCGATTTCCCGTAGGGCAGTATCAGAGCTGTCCAAGATATTAATATTTACGCAGGCGAGAAATGAGCGGTGAGATACTCACTGCTTGTGCGTTGCTAGTACGAAACCGCCTCCATGAAAGTGCAGGAAGATGCCTTTGCTGGGCTGGCCATTATCAGGCTTGTAGATCCGGATGGGGATCTCACGGCCAGGGTCGCGCGAAGGAAAAGTGCCGTCGAGAGCTTCTGGGAGATAGACGGGCTTGCCAAGCGCTGTTTGACCGAGCTCTCGCATCTCACGATGTTTCGTGATACCTACTTCCCACCATCGGGGGCCATTGCTAGTGACGTTTTCCAGGAAAGCTGCGGCCTTCTTCGTTGATTCTTCGACATTTTCCGGATCAAATTTGGAGATGTCGAGGGTGATATCGCTGGTGATTGGCATCGTGGGGAGCTTGTTATGATGAGTCTGGGAGAATAGTGTGAATACGACTACGGAGTACTTCATAGGGAGTAAGGCAAAGCGATGAGAGGAAGGAAATACCATAGGTCACTCGTGATCCTCTCTCAGCCTCTCAAACATCGACCACAAAATCCCGCCCGGTCAAGGGGTGATGATCTTCTTGTGCCCAGTAACGTGCAGACGAATCGGCCGGCACAGGGAGCGTTCGTCGTGGGTGGATAAGGCCAATTTATGAACGTATACGCTTCCATGTTTATGGAACAGAATACGATCGAATCAATTGAAATCTTCCCTGACAATTCCAGACTGATCACACATTCCCCGAAATATGCCCTTCAACTCCCATAGACTGAGCGGCGTGTCCAGTTCTGCAATCGTCCCCTTGTCCATAACACAAACCCGATCGTAGCGGATGATAGTCTGCAATCGATGCGCAATACAGAGAAGGGTCCGCCCGCCGAAACTCGTTCGAATTGTCTCCTGTATCCTCCGATCTGTCTCCAGGTCAACAGATGAAGTTGCTTCGTCGAATACTACGACTTGGCTACCACCTATGAGTGCTCGTGCCAGGGCCATGAGCTGACGTTGACCGACGGAAAAGTTCAGACCCTCCTCTTCCACGGGCGTGTCCAGATGAATCGGAGAGGAGTCCTGGGCATTGTCCTCTTTAACTAAACCAACCTGGCGGAGCGCCGACCAGAGCTCCAAGTCTGTGTGTACGTTGAAGGGATTCAGGTTGGATCGAACCGTTCCCACGAATAGAGTCGGATCTTGAGGAACAATGGAGAGCCGCGATCGGAGATCATGACAGGAGACACGGGAAATGTCAACCCCGTCAATTTTGATGCTTCCACTGGCGAGCTCGGTCAGACGGAATAGCGCAGACATGATTGATGACTTCCCGGCACCGGTACGGCCAACGATTCCAATTCTCTCGCCGCCAGTTACGTTGAGGTTCATCCCCTGCAGAACGAGCGGTAGACCAGGTCGGTACCGCATTTGAACCTTTTCAAACACAATGGCTCCCTTCGAAGGCCAGCTCTTTTCCACTGCCAGAGGATGATAGGAGGTGGAATTTTCATCCTCCTCCTGCTCAAGGCTGGTGCTGTAGAAATGTACGCGCTCGGTGGCATTCATTGCGTTCTCGAGCTCCGCAAATTGCTTCACGAGGACTTGTATCATTTGCACAATTGCAAGAGTATATGAGAACACCAGACCAGATATACTTGGAGAGACAACATGCCGTAGCGTGACCACCAGAATCCCAGTGGTTCCCACAAGAAGAATAGAAACTATGTCCAGTCTGGCGCTCAGCCAACGTTGGTTGCTGAATGTGAGGTAGTATGCCGAGTTCATATTATCAATTGCTGTCCGAATGACAGATGTGAAATGAGCTTGCATTCCATATGCACGGATGCTTGAGGTTCCGGATATAGCCTCGCTGAAGCGAGCAAATACTGCAGACCGCAGGACGGCCTCGTGCCGCTTCATGTCTCGAGCGGACGCACGATAATACGCTGCCGCAATGAGAAATAGAAGCATAAGAGGGCCGATTGCAACGCCGAAATAGTGGAAGTAGTATATCAGAAGGATGAATACACTCACGATCATCGCTAGAGTAAGCATATACATGCGAATGGCATCTGACAAGAAGTTGTCCATTGTGTCCACGTCCTTAGAGAAGCGATTCGTGATGCGACCCAAAGGTGTCGTGTCAAAAAAGGACATCGGGGCTCGGAGAACACGTACAAGTGCTTTCTCCATCATGGTCCGACTCGCACTGGTAGTGAGTAGAGATATGGACAGGGAAAATAAAAACATCAGTATAGCCTGAATGAACCCCAGGCCCACATATATGCCGATATATTGGCCTTTTGACAGCCCAAACTCATCATCAACCCAGTACGACAGCCAGATATTGGTGAGCATATTCGAAGATTGAGCCAGGCATAGCAACAGGAAGGGAATGATTCCGTATAAAAGTGATCCGGATGCACGAATGTATGCAATATAAACCCCCCATTCCACACTAGTAACAGATCGATCCTCTTCTTGAATGAGAGAAGTTGGATCAGATGCTTTCCCTTCGGCAGATGGCTCTGTTGGGTGTAGTTGAGCTACTGCCTCTTCCCCGTCAGTTTCTCCTCCAGTGCTAGAACCAACAAGTTCTTGGAACTGAGAATTCGTGGAGATCAGATTGTCGTAGGTGCCGTTAGCCTTGATTCGACCTTCATCTAGCCAAATAATCCTGTCGCACCGAGGCAGAATATCATGCCTGTGTGTAGCAAGGATGCGGCACTTGTCTCCAAGCAACCCGCATATGGCGTTTTCGAATAGATGGCGACCGACGTGCGTATCTACTGCAGACAGCGGATCGTCTAGAACAACGATCGAACTATTGAAGTATATCGCTCGAGCAATGTTCAGTCGCTGCTTCTGGCCACCACTGAGCGTGATTCCTCGTTCTCCAATCTCGGTTTGGTCACCTGCGGGGAGCATGTCCAAGTCCGATTGTAGGGCACATGCTTGGATAACTTGGTCATACCATTCTCGATTCATCTCTTTGCCAAATAAAATGTTGTTCTGGACGGTGGCATTCTGAATCCATGCAGACTGCGGACAAAACGCTATGCTCTCTCCCATCGTCACGGTACCTGCGGTCTTACGCATGTCTCCAGCGAGTGCAGAAATAAGGGAACTCTTCCCAGAGCCCACCTTTCCTATCACCGCCACAAGCTCAGAACGCCCAATCGACAGATTGATATCATTGATCGAGAATATATTCGGGCGATCCTGTGGGGGAGCATTTGCAGAAGGTATGGACGACTGTTCACTAGCACCTTTCTGTCCCAAGCTCTTCCCCCGGGGTTTATTCGATGGCTTATGATTGGGACCCTGCACCAAGGCAGCCGTTTGCTCCCAAGTAAAGGAAGCCATTTGAGCTTCAATTGCAAGGGGAGCAAGGGGATCCAGAGTGAATTCCTGTTGCTTTTCTTCAGCAAGAAGATATTCCTGAATTCGGCGTGTTGATGCCCAGGCATCTGTCACCTGACCAATGACCACAGGCAGGAGATTGAAAGGCATCCGCAGAGAATTGAAGATCGACAAAGAGGAGAAAACCAGAGCCGCTGTGAGTTCATGGCCTGAAACAGAGTACACGACGAACGTGATCATAGAGGCGAAGATTGGCAAAGCCACAGACACTGCATTCATTGCATTTCGTAAAGCCATGAGCTTTTGGATCATTGCAATCTCATGCTTCCTGCATAGTCGGAGAGCTTCCAGGAAAGCGTTTTCCCACCCGTAGAATTTGACGAAACGGATGGATCTCATGATCTCCTGAGTCATAGATATTCTGACATCTGTGACTTTGTTAATCGCACGACGTCTTCGGATAAGAATCTTCATCGTAATGGTGAGCAAGGGAATACCGCAAAAAAGCAGTGCGAAGCCGGCGAGGGCGGAGTAGGTCATGTTGATGAGTAGTAGAGCCAGTGCGAGAAAGATTGTGAATGGGGACACCCAAAGGAGATGGAACATCCCACAAGCTAATTCAATCCGCGATGTATCAGTGGACATCAAATTCATTAACCGACCATTGGACCAGCCCACTTCATCTGCGTCCGCTAATCTCTTTGGGTTCTTCATTGGCTTTGCCTTCTCGTTTGCGCTCTGTGAATTCTCTTCTGGCACAGTCGGTCCAGCACGAGCTCGGTTCGAGATTCTGAGAGTTTTCTCGAAAACGGCAGAGATCAAGACCCCACGAATTTGTGCGCCAACCATGAAGCCTCGGTAGATGAATTGGTTGGTGCTCACGCTCTGAATCAGCTGCATTCCCATGATGCCAAAGACTAACCCGATCTGCTTTGCAAACCCTTCATTTTCTTGACCAGGGCCTTGCTTGAAATACGAAGTAGTGACCCACTGGATCAGGAACCGCAAGGCGAACGGCGTCATCACCTGACAGAGGGAAGCGAGAAAACTGCATATTCCTCCAAGCCAGAACTCGCGCTGGATTGTGTCATATAGAGCTCTGATGAGGGGAATCTTCCCGCCTTGGTGGACCCTTTGTTCAAAGGCTGCACCAAAACGAGCCGATAGTTTGTCGATTTGACGGTCTGGGCTGACCAGCCAAATGTCGCTCACCTCTAACGGCCTCTGAAAACCCACCCTCATAATCGACCCCATCCATTGGAAGGTCAGTTGACTCAACCAACCAGCCCCATACTCGCCAGAGATGGACCTCTCGGTGGGAATAGGAGGGACTTCACCCCAGATGAGGCGCTTGAGAGAGAAGGGTCGCCGCCGATGGCGATTTTCCGGGGAAGCATCTTCGTCCTGTGATTGTTAGTTTGCCTCAGGGATTGGTACAGGTTAATGTGTATAATCGTTCAGACTCACACATATGTTGGACGCTTTGGAAATATCCACATCAACAGGCGTACTGTTTCCGCCATCCGAATGATTCGACGAGAGTTCGAAAACAATTTCTTCTTGGGATTTGGGAACTTTCATCTTCGAGAGAATGGAAAGGTCGGCCGGGAATCAATGGAGATGGATCAGAGAGAATTACTACAGGGTATGTACCTAAGTAGGTAGTACTCTCCCTATCTTAATGCCAACATGAGCACTTGACTTGGACAAGAACGAGGTCGGTCTGATCTTCCACCGTGAAAAATGCATATGTTAAGAGTAAAGCGAGACTGATCGCGCAATGAGGTACCCATCGGGACGGACCCCGATGGCCGATGCCGAGGTGAGGAGCAATGGCTTTGTGAATGGACAGGCCATCCAAGGCGTTTTTAGTGCAGACACCCCGTATTGCTTTGTATTGACCCGTATTAACAGTGCCTGTATCGAGATGTTCTAACGGACATAACAGTATGGCTGTTTTAATTCTGGCTGATGACTACTATCTACTTCTTGTTGATGCCATTGCGCGTGCAAGTATTGACAGGATTGTATACTTTGATCGCAATGAATTTGTATCAGATGGATATCCTACAAAAATAAAACAGTAACTGAGTATGAAAAGCTCGCTTGAAACAAAAGAAACAGTTCTAGAAGCAGTATACCTAGAATCAGACCAAGGGAACGGATACAAAGGGGGCGATGGGACAAATCTAAATACTCTCTAACCACAGCAACCCTTCAGCTCAAAGCAGAATCACTCAGCCTCGACATCTTCTGTCCAGGATCCACAGATATCAGATTCATTTCGCTGTCTCGCGATTTGCGAAAGGACCACTTGGTGCTATCCCATTGACCATTGAAACACACGCCCGGGTGCAGGACCGTCAAACACAGAATCGCGATCACAAGCATAGCTCCCTCTAGAATCATGAACAGAACCTCGTTGTTTGCCAAGGAGCCGTGGAAGCCACTCTTTAGCTCTGCAACTCGGAATACCGAACGGACAAAGATGGTAATTGTTGCCAAAGCCAGACCTGATTACGGAGTAGATGGTTAATAATTGTTGTTAAGGAAATGATGAAAGAGAAAATGGGGATAAACTCACCAGCAATGAACGCCTTCCACCTCACACTATTGCGAAGCTCAATCATCCGTGGCTCTGGGCTGAGCTCGTGCTGATTCTTGCGGACTTGCCAGGCAAAATCCAGACATAGGGCCATAAAGATCGCGAGAGAAGCAACTTGGCTCGCTAGACCGGCGATCATGATGTTGATTCCAGCCTGAGCTAGATCATACTGATCGGAATCAGCGATGGAGGTAATGGCCCCTCCTGCGGCCTGAAGGAGCAGAGAGATCAGATCACAGAGAATGAAGACGATTGTGTAAGTCCGGGGACGAAGGCGCGAGATGCTCTCTCCGTAGATCACCACAATCCGCCCGAGACAAATATAGATCGAGGCACTGATGAAGGCCGGCCCAATGGTAAGACAAATCAAATATCTATTGAGTAGCTGTCAGCATATGTTCCAGGTTTACGTTGAGGCATGTGGACATACTCAAGGAATGGGTCGAATCGGAACGGATTGAAGTGCATCTGAATGCGTCCAGCATATCCAATGATCTCAAGCACCAAGCCGCCGAATAAACCAGCTAGATAGCCCCAAGTTCTATATCGAATGCCCAGCACCAGCTGCGCTGCCAGCATAAGTGCAAAAATAGCGGCATAGAAGGCATTTCCGGCCAGCGAGGGAACGTAGTAGACGTATGCCTCGGTGATTGGACAGATGTCCAGTGTGCAGTAGTCGGAAGGGTCTGTTGAATTGCTCATGATGGCTTCTGGTGGATTTGTCTATGGGAATGGGGGAAAAGGTCTCTTGGTCGCTGGTGGAGGTTATTTAAGCGCGAGTCTATGCTACAACTGCAAAGCAAATATCGCTCAAAATAGGGTTGTCTCATCCGCTCCATCCTCATCGGTCTACGGACCCGTCGGAGCCTCGCTCAAGCGTGTATCCAAGCGTAGAAACCAGGGTGATGTATGGAGTCCTGTTCACCGAGACGGACGGATGAGATTGGAACACAGGGCCTGTAACGCGGTTGTATGATACCATACCATTACCAGCAGCCTTAAATCAGTGCTTCATGCCTCATGAACAACTGTGAGTGGAGGAATACCTAGACATCAGCCTAGGACCTGTTGAGGTCTATATTATCTTGGCAGGGCAGTGCGACACGGACACGGACACGGACACGGGGATTTGACTGGAGATATGTGTATGGGCCAGGGAGACATGGACACGGACACGGAGATTATGGGGCTGCAATTGCGACGACTACACGTCCAATGTCAGCTTTCAGACCTTGTCGCCCAATTGTCGTAGTCTTGTCAAGTTGTTCTAGTTCTCAACCACCCCGAGTCTAACTTGTTTATGGCTTCCGCCCCCAATCTTTCAAACCCCCCTGCCTCGTATGCAGTAAAATAGCATGACTTTAGGTCATGCTGGGAAAAATTCAGTATTATAAGCTGATGACCAAACTGATCATACCCAATTAGGTATTGTCGATACTTGGTAAGCGGCCAACAGAAGTAAGATGAAAAGCCGTCGGATTCTTGATGCACTGGGTTATAGGTCCAGTCCTAATGATTCTCGCGTGCTGCCGTGTCAGTCTCAATCACCGGCGTATCTATTCCAAGAAAACTTTCGCTTTCTCCTTCGTTCGTTCTGTGTGGTGCTTCCCTTTCCCGTGGTGCTGCATACACCATAAAGATGACCGCCAGTTCTAGGCTGAGTTATATCCGCCACCAGATCAAACAGCAAGCCGTTAAATGTCAATCTTCCTTTCCAATTGTTTCTGCGGCTCCCTGGGTCGATAGTATACTATCTAGAGCCCGTCAAGTTCCATTCATTTGTTGTCTTGCTCTATATCTGTTGTTCGTCTGCAGTTCGTTACTATTCTCGTCCATACAATTCACATCGGCACTTCATGCCAATACCCTCAGCCGAGAGTCACTTGTTGCTGAATCAGGTCTGGCAAAGAATGTTGACCCATCGATTAATGAGTCAACGCTGTGGGCGCCCCCATCCCCAGTCCTAATTCCGGGATCACCAAATGCCGAAGTTGAGACAATCCCCAAAATCATTCATCGGATGTGGAGAGGCCCAGCCTCAGAAATACCAGAAGAATGGTCCAACGCTACCAAGTCCTGCCAAGAACAGAATCCCTCATACCAGCAGTATCTCTGGACTGATAAGACGGCGCATGAGTTTATCGAAACTCATTTCGGGTGGTTTCTGTCGACCTATACATCACATCTGCTGCCTCACCAACAGATCGATGCCCTGCGGTATTTTCTGGTCTGGCACTACGGAGGCATCTATATAGATCCAGAAGTTGGCTGTCAACGACCGATGAATCCGTTGGTCAACGGTACAGCAGCCTTACTGCTCAGGAGCTGGCCGTATGGGGTGAGCAACAAGCTGGTTGCTAGCACGCCAAGCCATCCTTTCATAATCAAGGTTGCTTTGAGTATTCACGATCACCACGTGTCGTTTGTGCCGGCTACTGTGACGGCCTTCTTCAGGTCGGGCTCGATTCTCATCAGCCGGATCCTGGCGGCATGGCTTCGTTCCACTGGGGATGAGTCCGGCGTGGCCATCCTGTCACCCGCTCTGTTTGAGGCAACTGGTGATTCCTTCTTTGTGTCATATGAAGGAGCTCGAGCCAGAGGTGACGAGGTTGCCGTCTCGGAGCATGTATTCGGTAATTTGATCGGGTGGTGTGGGGCGGGGATTGCGCTCGTTATCATGGCCACGGTGGCTTTTGGCCTGGAGAGAAAATCAAGAAGAGGTCATCGAGAATCCGTAGCGATTTCTGTATAATTGACTCTATAGCAAACAAAATCGGTGTATAATACCTCTCATATAATAATATTTGACACCTTTATTGCGCTTTCCAGACTATCCCAACTGCTGTTGCCCAAATGACGTCGTCGCTTGTGCCATCCAGTCGATGTACATTCCGTCGATTGTCGCATCTGGGAAGAAGCCCGACCACTGGTTGAAGTTATCAAACCCTCCCATTGAGTTCAATGCGTTAAGATCCCGGGTTGTATCGCCGGTGGTTGAATCCATTCCTTCCGTAAATTGCGCGTTTTGCTGGGAATATTCATTGTTGGGGCCGGAGAGCGCTCGGTTCTCAAACCACCACTGGACGCTCTTGAGGCGTTTTTCATAGTGAAAAAATACATTCCTGTCCCCAGAAGCATCCATGTTGGGTGTGATGAATGCCTGGATGCGGAGGATACACCGTTTCAACATGTTCGACATATCCAGCGCTTGGCACAGATCGACTGTGTGGGCGTGGACGAATGGCTCTGATGCTGCCGACACTAGCTTGCAAGCAAGTGTGACTGCAAAGCCAAGTTGCACCCAGCCCGCATTGTTGAATTTCACATCACAACCTAGTGGCAGGGAGATGTAATAGTCGAGTAAAGTTTTCGTCGCTGTGAGCCCCGTGCGCAACACGTCAATCTGGAAAGACGACTCGAGGGGTGGACGTTGTGCACTGGGCTTGTGATCGAAGAGTGTGATCTGACATAGATACAGGTCGACAGTGTAACACTGCATGAATAGAAGAGCTGCATTTCAGAGTTAGGAATATGATACTCTATCAAGGTGGTTCAGTACACTCACGAGTTTCGGTCAATGGGAATGGTAAATTGGTTCGATATAGATCAAGTTCTGATCTAAACTGGCGATATTCCTGCTCGAGAGAAAAGTTGGGGTGGTGGAGCCCAGTGAGGTTTTGAGTCGAAGCTTGGGAAATTCTCTCGGAGAGTTGTTGTAGTTGCACAATGTGGAGGAGGTATTTATCTGAAGGATGCTCCGCATCGGTGGCCAGAGTCTTGCACATGTTCTCGAAATATGGTAGATATGGGAAGGCACACCGCTTCTGTAATATGTTTGAGATGCTATCGGACACAGAAGTTAACATCCATATTCAGTGTCCAGTGGGGAAGATACTTACGTAGATGAGAGATAAAAGTATCCAATAACAGCTCTTTTTTCTTCTCGGCCCCAAGACATCGATTCTATGCTCTTTTCATCATGAAAGCTCACCCTGGTTCTCCAGAATCGATGCTCGGGGGGACGATCAAGCTGCAAATCAGCGATGATACTAATCCCAAGATGCAGATATTGAGAGAATCGACGGGGTCTGGAGTGATACTGGCACCTATTCTTTGGATTAAACAATGATCCCATTGGGGTGAAACAATGGGGTCGTACCACGCAAGATGGACCAGAAGTCCCTGGAGTATTTCGAATGAAACAGAGCCATCAAAGATCATACAGTCACTGATCGCCTTCTTTACCTGCTTCTCCAGTGTGCGCTGTAGAGGCATGTTGTCATGGAGAGCGACCGTGAGAATTGTGAGCAGTAGAAATGGTTTGTCTCGCCGCAACGTTTCAGCGGTCGCATGCGGTGGAATTATCACAAATGGGCAATAAGACATGAGTGTCGCCCGGAATTCTTGAAGTAGCATGTTGGCGGCATCTAGGGAAAGCAGCCCTTGGTCGATGACATCCTTAGGGTGCGCAGAAGCACTCGCTGGAGTCCCTGTTGCTGTAGAACTGTTGGTCTTTTTAATCATCAGCCATTTACTCTCGGAGTGAATGGAGTATATTGTGGAGCCCTAAGTTGTACCGGAAGTAGTGTTCCTGATTGGGCCAGTAGCTGATCTACTTTGGCTTCCAGTGCATCGAGCCTTGTAGGTTATAGTTAGGACGAGGCGATCCAGCTATATAAACCTGGAAATCCCACCTGCCTTTAGTCTCCCCTGAACTTGTAGTTGGAATAATGCTTCGACCTTCACGAAAGTGACAAGCTTTTCCTAGACGCTCACATCTGGCATTGACCAGTTAGACACTGAGGATCGTCATTTTCTCCATTTTGGCGTACCGATCACAACTTCCTGTGGGCTCGTTGCGGATGCATCGAATCTTGGCTCTTGCGCAGTTTTGACAGGTTCTTCCAGATCCATTGGAATACTTCGCCTTGGGGCGGTCCATGATTGCGTAGCTTCTTCTGAGTTGTCGAAGAGAGACAAGGCCGATAGAATGAGTTTCAGCGCACTAGCTGAGGGGCGTCTCGGTGCGCTACTGTATTGGCGCTATGTGATTGGATTCGCATGCTCTTGGCGTGTCAATGTAATTCAACTTCTCTACTCCGTACTCCGTACGCATGTTGTATTTAGTAGTCCAAGGGGGGTTTATTAGGGCTTGACAAGTGAGGAATGTAGAATACCTCCATGCCTGTATGTAGTCATCCAAATGAGCCCATTGTAATTCGAGACAAGGAGATGTCAATTCGAATCTCATCTAGCGGTTTCTGTTCAGCGACCTCCAGGGGATGTCCCCGAGGCCCCCAGCATTCGGATTAGGTAATCTGGGGACAGGCCCGGGCCCTGAGACCACGACGAAGCTCACTCCTTCAAGCTCCCCACAGTGGCTCGCAACCCTTTTCTCAGAACACTTGTATCGTTGTTGTGGCATTAAGTGCCGATTCCATTCGTTTCTAAATCTGACGCTGCATTGCGCGCTGTAGCAGGCCTGGTCCTCTTTGGAGATCTAGCGCCCAACACGCGCTTTACAAACCAAGCCCGCCGCCGACCTAATTATCGATCATCTCGACGAGCAACCCGTTCATAACATACCGCTTAGTCGATACCGATTTATTCAGACCGATCCATCCTTTTCGAGTAGACAACTCTGCAAGCGATCGGCCTACAACCCTCCCTCATCCTCTGTGTACATGCTAGTTATAGCTGCCCGTTCACCCCGGGTCAAGAATCATACTGATCCGTCAAATCGTTTGAACAATGGCTCTTAGTCAAGTCGGTTCCTACCGGTGGGCTTTGTGGGTGCTGTTGCTTGTGTCTTGTGCTCGCGCATTCTACATCCCTGGTGAGTACCATACATGATGATGGGACTCTGCACATGAGACTGACATCTTGCCCTCTAATCAGGTTACTCGGTGACCCGCTATAACGACAACGACCCAATTCCTCTTCTCGTAAACAAAATCTTCTCGGATCATACCCAACTCCAGTATGCATATTTCGACCTCCCTTTCGTCTGCCCGCCGAGCGGCAAAACACACGGAGGCTCACCGTTCGGATCTGGCCAACGTGTCTCGCTCAATATTGGAGAGATACTACGTGGAGATCGAATCATGACGTCCGACTTTGAGGTCGCGATGGGAAGGGATATTGAGTGTCAGTCGCTTTGCACTCGTGAAGTCAGTCGTTCTAATGTGAAATGGGCTCGTCAACTTATCAAGGAAGGATATGTGGTCGAATGGATTGCCGATAACCTGCCCGGAGCCACTAGCTTTGTGACAGTGGATCGAAGCCGCAAGTACTACGCCTCGGGATTCAAACTTGGCTACAGAGACATCTCTCCAATCACCGGACAGCCACGGTATTTCATCAACAACCACTTCACGATCGTCATCCGCTGGCGGAGCGCACCTGAAGGAGGGAAGCTGGTAGTTGGATTTGAGGTGTACCCGAAGAGTATCACCGCCGAGGACCGCAAGGAGGACGGATGCCCCAGGGCAGTTCACAACAACAACGAAGGACTGGGACTGTATATCCCGCCTGATCTTTCCCGAATGCAAGAAAAATACTCTGGACTGTCATATATTCCAGAGGATGACGATGACGATGACGGAGTTACACTGAAGGTCCCTTACACCTACTCTGTTTACTTCCGCGAAGACACCCAGGTTGACTGGGCAAACCGCTGGGATTTATACTTTACCAATCAAGATGAAAGCTCGATAACCCATTGGTTGGCGATCATCAATTCTTTGACGATTTCCATTGTGCTGGGAGTGACTGTATTCGTCATCTGGGGCCGCACGGTGCAAGGCGACATAAAAGGCCGGGGCGATGGTGCTATGGATGATCGGAAGACCAAAAGTCAATCTCGACGGAGGAGCCGCAAATCCACCGAGAAGAAAGGCGAGGGTCTTTTGGAAGATAATGCGGATGTGGAGCGCGACGCGGACTACACCTCGGACGAGGAAGCTCTCGAAGATACAAGTGGCTGGAAGCTTCTCCATGGAGACGTGTTCCGAATTCCCGCTTATAGTGGTCTTCTTGCTCCATTGGTTGGATCAGGCATGCAGCTATTGTTCATGGCTTCAGGCTTGCTCTCTCTCAGCTGCTTAGGAGTCTTGAACCCAAGCTTCCGTGGTGGCTTCGTCAGTGTCGGCATGGGTTTATTCGTTTTTGCGGGCCTTTTCTCTGGTTACTTCTCAGGAAGACTTTACAAAACCTTTGGTGGCACCGCCTGGCGCAAAAACACTCTGATTGTACGCATCATTCTCCAATTTTTTATACACTATACTAACCCATCACTCTAGACCGCTTTGCTATTCCCTGGCCTGACATTCTGCCTTTTGTTTATCCTGAACTTGTTTGTTTGGGCACAAGCATCAAGTACCGCGATTCCATTTGGCACTCTGATCGGACTCCTTGCACTTTGGCTCCTTATCCAAGTCCCGTTAGTGTACATTGGCAGCTGGGTCGGCTACGCCCGTGCGATGCCATGGGAGCACCCCCTGAAGACGAACGCGATTCCCCGTCAAATTCCACCCCAGCCATGGTATCTCAGCAGCCCTCTCGGCCCCATGTTAACCGGTCTCATTCCATTTGCGGTTCTCTTCATTGAGCTCCTCTTCGTTTTCAAGAACTTGTGGCAGGACAAAACTGGTTATTACTACGTGTTCGGCTTCTTGAGTGTTGTCTCAACTGTATTGATTGTGACAGTCATCGAGGTGACTGTCATTGCAACATACAGCCAGCTTTGCTCCGAGGTAAGTTCGTTCTTGTCTTAAACTACAGATCTACATACTAACCAACTCCTTTAGAATTACCATTGGTGGTGGCAGAGCTTCATCGCCGGCGGCAGCAGCGCGTTTTGGATTTTTGCCTACTGCATCTGGTATTATTTGTTCAAACTTCATATCACCGGTTTTGTGTCAGGCTTGCTGTTCTTCAGCTACAGCTTCCTTGCCTGTGCTGTTTATGGCCTCTTGACCGGAACTGTCGGTTTTTTGGCCGCTTACGCATTCGTCAGGCGTGTCTATAGGTAAGCCCGGTCAAATGAATTGATTAGGGAGCATGCTAATCGCAACAATTCCACAGTGCTATCAAGGTCGACTGATCATGGATACAACCATGCCGTCTTCTTCAACCTTTCAATTCACATAATTCTTCTCTCTTCCTGATATCTCCGATGAGCATAGGTGATGTCATTTATCACCATGGCGTATAGTGTTCTATTTTCTGCATCTTCTGGCCCGTTCGAGTTCTTGAGCCTTTGTTTTCAAAGTCTGTGTTGAACACAACCCCGTCTCTCTCTTTTCTCCTCGTTTCTCTTGCCCATGCTCGTTGCGTCGTCATCTCTATCCGGCACTTCAGTGGTGTCCTGTCATCTGGCGTTAGATGATTATCTTTCGTATACGTGCGCCTAGGTGAATGGAGCCTCAGCACCAATACACGATCTAATTTCGATCCATCAATTCTTCTTTACTTCCGAGATTGTCCACCCAGCCTATGTCGTCCAGGCTTGCCCTTGCCCATATTCAAGGGTTAAATACGCAGCAGTTTTACCGTTTATTTCAGGCTATCTGGATGCACTTGCTAACATTTCTTTGAAATCTTCGTCGGCCTAAATTTGTACGCTGTGGTGTTGACGAGACAATGTCCTATCCGCTGAGCTTGGTAGCCCTGAACCGACCCGCCAGCTCGATGGTGTTTACGCATTTACAAGAGATGCCCTCAATGTCTCTTTGCCCCAATAGTTCAAGGTCTTAGTTCAGCCAGCACGTAGTGTAGAGACACCCATCAGACAGTCGATGTGCTAACTTCAGCGAAAGTTCAATCTTCCAAGTCGCATCTTCCCACTGGCATGTGTATCTGTACTAACCATCATTCCCATTCTCTTAGGGAGTAAGCCATTTGCTAGACTCAAAAAAATGAATACTTAGACGCATCAAATCATGACTCCATCTACTAGCTAAGCTTAATACTCGTGAAGTAGGCCATATACTAACCCGGTTGCTAGGTCATTGCCCCAGTCGAAGTCAAGCCCGCTTTAGCCTGAGACCATGGTCAAACAACGTCCATGTGAAATGATATCAAACGCTCTTAGGGCATATCCCCATCGCCCACCATGACCGTAGAGGGCAAACACAAATGAAGCCCCGATCAAACATAGGTCAAACCCTGCCCTCACACGCACATAAATACCACCCACGGTGATTTTCTTTTCTTTCCTTCTTCCTCTCCCCGGATCAACCTGTTTCTTACCTTGGACCTTGACAACGCCTAGTCTTTTGCAGACTCTTTCTGGTCCTAGGTAACTTGGTCACACAGAGCATCGTCCTACCATCCAGTAAGTCAAGCTGCGGGCAGCGCTGCCTCCCATTCACAGCCTGAGAATCACAGAACCACCATCACTCTGACGTTTTTAGAGTGTGCCTCCAATCCTTGGATACCAGGCATCGACTCATTGCCCATTCACCCTTCCCCCCTTCCTACTAATATAAAGGCAGCGATGCGGCATCGAGCTGATTCTCGTGATGCTAGGTGCCTGTCTCCTCAGGGGACAGACTAGTATCGCTGCCTAGACCGCTATATAACAGAGCCTTTTCCCTTCTTGCCCCCGCTATCTTGTTCACTTTCTTACTCATTTTTGAATCTAGCAGTCTTCTTCTTCCTCTTTTTTCGTTTTCCTTTCTTCCTTTTTTCCTTTCTTCCTTCTTTTTTTTGGCTCCAAGTCGGTTTCGGAATGGAGCCTGTTGCCTCACCTTCGGGTGTTCTTCATGGAATGAACGTTCCAGTTCCATGGACCCGCATGAGGGCTAAAGTACTTGCGTACAAGCGCATGTATAGGGCTAACACAAAGCTTCTCGCTGTTCGCCGCATTCCCAGATTCGATATGTGGAAGCGAAACATTCACAAAGTGAACAGTTGGGTCATCGCTGTAGATGACGACGAAGACCTTTTCCCGTTGATCTACGAAGAGAAAGATCAGGGGATCCGACCCAAGGACCCCAACATTGGCCCTTTCCCTGGCGTGGCCAGAATTCCTTTTACGGAGGACTACTGGACCAGACTTTGGGATTCCTCAATCGGTATCACGGCAAAATGGGGCTATGAACAATCAAACCTCCGGAGTGACTTTGGCAAGGAGCAGAGATGCAGAAATTGCCGAGGTATGTTCCTTTTCCTTTTTGTTGGCGATAAAGTTGACTTCGGACTGACTGTTTTATTCTTCAGTATGCATGTGGGGAAAGCGCCGTACGGATCTCCTCGCCACTGAGTCGGAGATTAGCGCGAACATCGCTCGCGAGGAGCAGCGCCAACCTGATCCCGAGCCCGAGCTTGGGGGTCCGAAGTCAGTCCTCTACGACGAGGCAGGGGATTACATTGGAGTAAGCATCTGGACTCCCGAGGAAATTGCCAAATGGCGGAGAAAGCAGGAGAATAAGGCGCTCCAGCGGAAGACAAAGTATGGCTGCTTTGGTCATCCAGGAAAGCCAGTTGGACACTTCCAGGTACGTGCTTGCTTTTTCTTTCTTTCTTATTCCTCCCCATGCCATTGGGATCTAAGTAAAATGCCCATCCGACACGACAATTAACTTCTTCTTCTTCTTCTTCTTCTTCTTCTTCTTCTGGTTTTGAGATTGGAACACGGCTAATTTGATGTCAATAGAGGTTCAGTTGCTGCGGTCGAGATATCCATGCCCGTGGATGCCATCAATACCCGAAGCATGACATTGTGTCCGATCGAAAGGCTTGGGAGCGCGATTGGAAGAGATACGAAGCGCCCGAGAACCCGGTTGACTATCGCTATGCAATCGCTCTTGACTGCGAAATGGGAATCACCGATCTGGGGGAACAGGAACTCATCCGCATCAGCGCCATCGACTACTTCAGCGGGGAAGTTCTGATCGATAAACTAGTTTTTCCCAAGGTCAAGATGTGGCATTTGAACGTTCGCTACTCTGGAATCGACTGGTCACAGATGTATACAGCAAAAGACGCGAACAATGTGATCAACGGTCGAGATGAAGCCCGCAATCTATTGTTCCAATACCTTGGTCCCAAGACGGTTCTTGTTATGCAAGGAGGCCGGAGTGACCTTCTGGCCCTACGTATCCGCCATCATCATGTTCTCGATACGCTGAGCCTCGCTGACGGGTCATTGAAGACAAAAGCAAAGAAATACTTGGATCGTGAGATCCAACAGGGAAGAGGTCATGATAGCCTAGAGGATGCCCTTGCGTGCCGCGACATCGCCGACTATTTCATGAAAACGCTTCCATTTACGCATATCTACAAGCGTAACTATGGTCAGATGAGCCGCCTGCAACTGGAAATTTCGAGGGACCTACTGCCACGCCTAGGTGATCGGACGACCCCTCCACAATGGATCCCACCAGCCTCCAAAGACCGTGTTCCGTTCCTGAAGAGCTATCCACGCTACGATTGTTGGGGCCTTCTCAAGGTTGAATGGGATAAGGAAGACGAGGCGGCACTGCAGGAAGAAAGGGATGCTTACATGGAATGGGGAGGGCGTCCACCACCCCTCGACAAAGAGGCGAGCCAGCAGCAATCTGAGAAGCATCCCAAGAAAGATCTCCAAGAATTCCCCAAGAAGGATCTCCAGGAGTTTCCCAAGGAAGATCTCCAAGATATCCCCAAGAAGGATCTCCAGGAGTTTCCCAAGGAAGATCTCCAAGAATTCCCCAAGAAGGATCTCCAGGAGTTTCCCAAGGAGGACCTCCAGGAAGATATCCAGGAACAGACATTGGCTACACCATACCATAGCGAAAAAAAGGTGAAGGTTGAGATACCCGACTGGGAACCAAACAATAAATGGTAACCATGCAGAGGCATTTCCCATGCTACAAGGTCATTCTCGCCTCCCATGCCCTGCGCTTTTGCTGTTGTTCCCGTTGACTCTCTCTCGGGAATTGGAATATTTTGATTCACTGGCTCACTCTACGACTTCGATGAGATTGGTTTTCCGGCTCCGTTTTTTTGTTTCTACTTTGTTTTCCACCTTCAAGTATGTGGACGAACGCAAGTTGATTCTCCCTCGGAGATTGGGAGATTTGCGATTAATTGGTTCACTTTATGACTTTGATGAGATTGGTTTTTCGGCTCTGCTTTTTCTGTCTTTACCTTTGCCATCGAGCATGCGAATGGGGCTTTTCCCAGCATGCGGAGGATTGAATGACATTGCTCTTTATTTTGTTTTAACTTCAGCAAGTAAAATTCTCTTAAGGACTGTAGATTACACGTAGTAGAGTATGTTCACCGACATCCGTAGTCCCTTTCTACAATGACGAAAACAGAGATAGCTGGAAGAAATCTTTGTCCATGAGAGCCCTCGTGCTCAACGCCATGGCCTATTTCTGAAACCGACACCTGTCACTGGCCTGGGAGAAAAGACTCTGATTAGAGCATGTGATTCGTTCCGAGTTAGGACGGAACATCCTGCATGATGGCGTGGAAAGATCCCGTGTTTACCCAGGAAGTGCAGTAGGCACGGCCATATATAGCAAATCGGACCTATTGTAATAATCACCGTGCATACGGGGTGCCCCGGTACTCCATATGTTGTACGGAGTCAATGCAAATGGGGGTTGGAGATAAGATGCCAGCGATGGGTCGAAACGGCGGTGACCGTGTTTTGCCTCCGAAATACGTAAACAGGACAAATCCGGGGAGATCTTAGACCGCTCCTCATGGCGTGCTCGGAAAGGGGGATTGCTCATTGTGGAGCTATGATACATGCATTACATTCTCCTTTTCCTTGTTTCTTCAGAGTCCTGTGCTGTGATGGTTGTGTTGCAGAGGATCGAGCGAATTCCCTGTCTTTGATCAAAATGCTCAGAAAGAAGAGAAAAGTCCTTCCTACTCCGTACTCCGGTTTCGGGTCTCCGGGGTGGTTTTTTTTTTTCGCCGTAGTGTCCCTTCCAGCAGTGTGATTGGGTGTTAAGATAAGCAAGTGGAACTTCTGCTTCTAAGCCTCGCCTCTAACCTCGTTGGGGAGATCCCAGGGGAAGATGGGCTGGATTGATTGGCTGCGAAGCCGATGACACGATCCCGTGGAGCTCAAGGTTTTGCTAGTGGTGGGCTGCCGGGACCGACTAGGCTGGAACCGGTTAGCCAGTATAAGAGAGTGTCACACTGGAAACGCTGCCGTGGGCCTGGGTTGGCGATGCCGTTATCCACTCCGGGGTCGAGGGCGCGTGTGAACTGCACTGAAGCTTAACATTGCACCAAATTCACCAGCCCGGGAATATTGCAATTTTATGGAGATCATTGATCCCAAGGGGAGGAGATGGGTGGTTGTCTTACATGGCCTGTCGGTATTGTAATGGTATTGAGAGCTTCCTCAGTGTGACCGATGTAACACCTGGCCCAAATACACCCACAGTGCCTGCAAAGTGGCGACTCGGCACTCGTCCCGGCCTTGGATAGAATTGCCTACGGAGTACAATTGATAATACATAGTCAAGGGAGGGTCGTGTGACTTGTTGAGGCTTTAACACTGCAATCCGATCATTGCCAAGTGTGATAGGAACAAAAGAGTGTAGTACATCCCTACACCTCAACGATACATGTAGATCGTAGGGCTCCATCCACTTTGGTATATGTTACCATACGGCGTCTGCCACCCCCAAATCACACCATCGCGGCTTCGAATGATTCCATCGCCCTTGCGGGGTGTACGTCAGTCCCGGATCACCTCCCCTGATCTTCGGTGCAGACGGGAACTACTGTGGACTAATCTGGCTTCTCCGGAATAAATGTACAACATCCAACAGACAACATTCTGCAGGGTTCATGGTCAAATAGGAGACATACGATCTGCATTATTGAAAATTACCATACATTGCGCTTTGGGCTTGGCCTTCATGTGGTCTTGAGAATACCATTTTGTGGTTCGCTCTTTTGGCCCCGATTTCTCTGGAGTTATCTCGCTTTTGACCTCTTTGGGTCTTTTTTTTTTCCCTTGCGATCTTTTTTTTTTTCCCCACATACGTTCTCTGCTTCATATAACAACGGCCCGCCCCGGCTTTCCTTCTTCTTGTCTTTATTTCCCTCATTTCAGTCTCAGCTTCCCATAATCTACTGGCCGCCCACTGAAACAGACATTCAACATGGCGACCAAGAAGCCCAACATCCTGTACATTATGGCCGACCAGATGGCCGCGCCCTTGCTGTCTCTACATGATAAGAATTCGCCTATCAAGACCCCCAATCTGGACCGCCTGGCCGATGCCGGCGTGGTGTTCGATTCGGCTTACTGCAATTCGCCACTGTGTGCTCCTTCGCGCTTTGTTATGGTCAGCGGCCAGCTGCCCTCGAAGATTGGAGCCTATGACAATGCCGCAGATCTATCCGCTGATACGCCCACATATGCCCACTACCTCCGGCGGGAAGGTTACCATACAGCTCTGGCTGGAAAGATGCACTTCTGTGGCCCGGACCAGCTTCACGGTTATGAACAGCGTCTGACCAGTGATATCTACCCTGGTGATTACGGCTGGTCCGTTAATTGGGATGAACCGGTACGTTGAATTCTCTGGATGATCTGTGGCATGCTAATCCGACTGTAGGACATCCGTGCCGATTGGTATCACAACATGTCTTCTGTCATGGACGCAGGCCCTGTTGTACGAACCAACCAGTTGGATTTCGATGAAGAGGTCATTTACAAGTCCACTCAGTACCTGTATGACCACGTTCGTCAGCGTAACGAGCAGCCATTCTGCTTGACAGTCTCCATGACCCACCCTCATGATCCTTATGCCATGACCAAGGAGTTCTGGGATCTCTACAATGACGTCGAGATCCCTCTTCCCAAGAATGGAGCGATCCCCCATGATCAGCAGGATGCGCACTCCCAGCGTGTGCTCAAGTGCATCGATTTGTTCAACAAGGAAATGCCCGACGAGCGAATCCGTGCTGCTCGTCGCTCCTATTACGCTGCCTGTACATACGTTGACACTAATATCGGCAAACTGCTGCGTGTTCTCGAGAATACCGGTCTGGCCGACGACACTATCATCGTCTTCACCGGTGATCATGGTGACATGCTTGGCGAGCGAGGCCTGTGGTACAAGATGACCTGGTTCGAGAACTCCGCTCGCGTTCCTTTCCTCGTTCACTCGCCCAAGCATTTCACCCCGAAACGCGTGTCCGAGAATGTCTCCACTATGGATCTTCTCCCTACATTCGCCGAATTGGCAGGCGCCAAGCTTATTCCCGAGCTCCCTCTCGATGGTGTCTCCCTCATGCCGTATCTGACTGGAGGCGAAGGTCTGCGCACCGATACTGTATATGGAGAGTATATGGGTGAAGGCACCCAGGCTCCTCTCATGATGATCCGCCGTGGCCGCTGGAAGTTCATCTACTCCACTATCGACCCACCCATGCTGTACGATCTCGTGAATGACCCAGAGGAGAGAGTCAACCTAGCAGCCGGTCTACCTAGTCCATCTAGCTCCACCCGCGCAGCCCTCACAGGCAAGCCCACCAGCTTGGCATCCGCGGTCAACTTGCCAACTCCAAATGATACCCCCCGCGCCTCGCCTACACCTCAGCGCACCACCACGGCAGACTACCCCTTCCTCTCGGATACCCCTCCTCGCACCCCCAGCCCAGCCAAGCTTCCACCTGCGCTGCCCAACATCACCGATCCGGTCAAGATCTTGGCATTTTTCCTCGAGGAAACCAACGCTCGTTGGGATATGGAGAAGATTCACCAGGATGTACTGCGCTCGCAGCGCCGTCGCCGCCTCGTCTACTCCGCCTTGATCCAGGGTACCCCCTCCGTCTGGGACTACGAGCCGCGCATTGACCCAAGCACCCAATACGTGCGCAACCAGGGCAAGGGCGCTCTCGACGACGTCGAACTCATCTCCCGCTGGCCCCGTGTGCTCCAACAAGCTGCCACTGCCAAGGGGATGTCCCCATAGTTCTCTACTCAGAGACTTTGCAGAAAGCTTCGAAATGCAAAGATCCTCTCAAAAATTTCGGTTCACTGATTCTCTATTCTCCATATTCTTCTCGCATTTGAGCACCTCTTTCAACATCGTGATTTTGCGGCATTTTCGGCTTTTCGTCTCCGGGTTTCTCATTCGTTGAGTCATATTTTGATCTTTTGCATGTTGTTCATAGCAAGGCGCGCGCTATACCCGGCACTCATCTTTTCCCCCCAATTTGCATTCTTTTCACGCGGTTCTGACTGCCATGGAATTCTTTGTATATAGTTATGCTTTTGGTTCCCCGGGTTGGGCGTCTTCGCCCTGTATATTGCTTATGGTCTTATTTAAATTAGGTTGATACAATCAGACTGTCTAGTGATATACATATCTGTTTTGACAATCCTTCATATTAATATTTCCCCCCCTCCCCGGGACGATAATCTTCCTGCAATTCCGCACGAAGCGTCCCAATGGCGTATGTGCAGCGACTCTCAGCGAACAGGTCTTCCTTCTAGATATAACTTTCAACCTATCCAGCATTTCTCTTCTTTCCAGCTTCAACAGTGCATTCTCCCACTCATTCAGCTCTTCAAGGTTACCAGTGACCAATGATGAGCATGGCCCTTTTGAACTTTCGAACATTTTGCCAAACTCAGTCCAAGGGACCCCAAAGTCTCAATATCAAGAGACTATCTGTCGAAGAGGTTTGCCCGACAGCTCCATACATCTTTGTTATTTATCGTCTCTTTTCTTCGCCTGCAAATCACTGATATTGGAGGTATCTACCACAGCCAAAGGATGTTTCCAATTTCGCCACTCTCCAAGCTCTCCTTCACATTTTGTGATTCGTTGATGTCGATTCCATGACCCATTCTTGCATTCCTTTCATTCTCGCCATCTCGAAACTCGGTTGCTTCTTTTTGACCAGCGCGGTCTAGACTGGGGTATTTCAAGTCCACCTGCAAGATGACCTCCCCTGGAAACAGGGACATGGCCTTGCGAACTTGTGAAGGGAAGAATTTTGAATATCGGTGCTTCGCCATCGTAGAGAATTTCGAAGGGCTGCGGAATAGTTGCAGCAATGGACTGATCTCCTTCCATTTGTGGAGTCGTCCGTGACTCCTTTTGGGATTTCTTTCAGCCCCCATTCGGACATGAGTAAGAGAAGCGTTGAAACAGCGAAGTGGAGTGTCCGAGAGATGAGACCAGTAGTCTTCTGTGAAAGGGACTCTGGACATGCCCGGGGAAAACGATCATTAGGGGTTCTTTGTGACGACACCGGATCTCTTCTTCAGTCCGCCATAAGTCTTGCAGGAGAAATTCTCCGGTTTTGTTTCCATATGTTGAATGGGGAACGGTCAAGGCCCAAAATCGAGTTCTGGACAACCTTGACAGTGCATGTGAAAGTAGTTCGAGATCGCATTTCTTGGTCCAGTTGGCAGTGTCTTGATTATTTTATCTCGGCTTGAATGACGATAGACGATATGTTGGTAGAGAACCCAACATCTAGCGTATCAACTAATGCGTGAGAAAGTGGGAAGAGGATGAAGAAGCCTGGGAGATACTCACCAGAAGAATGGGGCTTAAGATAGTAGACGCTTTCTCGATGCTCGTTATAGGTCCAGGGCAACATGTCGACCTTGGGGCGAGGGGAGAATGAGTAAGAAAGTGAACATGACCCCGATAGACGAAGAAAGAGCGAGAGAGTCGAGGGGATGAGACTCCTCAAGGTAAATAAGGAAGCATATTTGCTGATGAGCTTATATAAATAAGAATAACATAGGCAGAGTATGATATAGAGAGAGGAGGTGCGGAAGAAGAGAAGCAGCCCAGCAGAGGAAGAGTATAAATACTGTTAGGCGTTGTTTACTGTTGCGACGTATGTTCCAGACAGCCCTTTGCTATTTGCCATTTGCTATAATCTGCATAAATGAAACAAATGAAACAAATGAAACACATGAAACACAAAATATAGCGAATAGTAACGCCTTCGGGGTCTACCCCAACCTCCGCGTATACCTACCCCAATTCCCCTCATCGCTCTGTCGTCACTAGCGGACCTTACGCCGGTATATATGCCCAACTCCCACTTCTCCTCTTTTTCCATTCGGAAAAGAAAACAAAACACCTGATCTCAAGAATGCCTTCTCTTACGGTCGCAGTTGCTCAATCCCGCACGCTCGAAACTCTAGGCGCAACCCTCCGTGCTCTGGAACGCACCACAGCCCTCGCCGCTCGTCGAGGCGTCCACCTCATCCTCTTCCCAGAAGCCTATCTGGGCGGATATCCGCGGACATGTTCCTTCGGCTCTGTCGTAGGAGGTCGAGACCCGCGCGGTCGCGACCAATTCCTGAAGTATTTCAAGGACGCCGTGGATCTCGGCGATACGCCGGCCGGAGCCGGGGATGACTGGGTTGGTCGGAAGCTGGAGGTTGCAGAGGGGAAGAGGTTCCGCGGCGACGGGACGAGAGAGTTCATCGAGCGCGTGGCGAGAGAAACGGGTGTCTTTATAGTTACGGGTTTAGTCGAGAGATCTGGGGGAAGTCTGTACTGTGCTGTTGTGTATGTTGATCCGGTGCGGGGTGTTCTGGGGAAAAGGAGGAAGGTCATGCCGGTATTTTTCTTTCCCCTTTCCTTTCCTTTGAGATTGATGTTATACTAATGTTGGAAGACCGGCGCTGAACGCATGATCTGGGCTCAGGGTTCTACTTCGACCCTCCGTGCTGTGACGACAAGCTTGAATGGCATCCCAATAACCCTCGCCTCGGCTATCTGCTGGGAAAATTACATGCCACTGCTCCGCCAGAGTCTTTACTCCCAGAACGTCAATATCTATCTCGCTCCTACGGCGGATGCCCGGGAGACCTGGCTCCCACTCATGCGCACTGTCGGCATAGAAGGCCGCTGCTTCGTGCTCTCTGCAAACCAGTGTATGCGCACTTCTGAGCTACCGGAGTGGATCAGTGGCACGAACACGGATACGGGCGCAAAGTTGAATACGGGTCAGAATGATCCTGCGGGTAAATCTGAAACTCCTGGCCGCAAAGTCTCCGTCACTACTGAGGGTCCAAACGAGGTTGTCTTGCCGCAGATTCAGAGCCAAGTGGATTCTTCTGTGCGGAATGCTAATGGGTCCCTCGCTACTGTGGACGCCGCATCGGAGTATGTCTGCCGTGGGGGCAGTTGTATCATCTCCCCGCTTGGTGAAGTCCTTGCCGGGCCATTGTGGGAAGTTTGCACGGATGACCTGCCGGATAGTAGCGATGCTGCTGTGACGGATGCTTCGGCGCCTGGGGTGTCGGCCACTGAATCTAGTTCTGCTGTGGCGGCTGGTGATGGATTGGCGATTTCGCGTATCGATTTGGATGATTGTGAGCGTGGACGGCTGGATCTTGATGTCGCCGGTAGTTATTCTCGGAATGATTCGTTCAAGTTTGAAGTCGAAGGGTTGAATTTGGCGCCTCCGCCATTTTAGGGGCTTACCTGCTATAGAACGGCATTCATGGAGGGCATTGATGGATCATTTTGTTTTGATTGGACGTAATGGAACGAGCAGAAGACACGAATACCTGGATGGACTACGAAGAATGTCGTTGAAAAATATCGAACCGAGGAAATTTTCTACTCAAAAGCACAATCATAGCAGAATCACAGATTCTAGTCATCAAGCAAAAAGAACAAGAAAGAAAAGCAAGACTCGCCCAAAATTCAACTGCAACTGCCACCGCTGAACAACCGAAACGCATTGGGATATCAGGGGATATCAGGGGGATATTAGCAAGTCATGATCTTCGTCGCCATGCCAGCATGTAACAGCTCTGCCCATTCCTATGTACACCCTCCGCCAGTTTAAGATCAGAAGTCGCTGCTAGCGGTCACCAATCTCGATCATTTGCACCTATTTACCAATTACTCCACCAGCCACACGGGGGATTTGATCAGCACCGTCGCAGGACCCTTACCGCGCACTTCGACGGCCAAAAAGGCTGCAAAACGAATGCGCGGATTACTCGGCGTATCTGCGGATTCGCTCTTGTCTTCGACTGGCCCGGGCGCCGGTGGCTGGCGACTGTTCTCACTGGAGGCATGCTTGCGGCCTACCAACCCACCAAAGAGGGATCTCTTCTGGTGTCTTTGTTGCACTGGCAAGGCCTTTTCTATCACCCCTGTGGTCGAACCAGATGATGTATCTCCTTCCATGCCGGCAGGCTCCTCGAGTTGATCTGGCTCTGATGGGGGCGGAGGTGGGTGGCTCAATGCTGGTAGCTGGCCTTCGATCTTCATATACTGTTCGACAAGTGAGACGCCTGGTGGGAAATAATCGACACACACATCACGCGCTTCAAGCGGTATTTTCTCAATAATGTTGATGGAGTTCTCAATGATCATGCGTACGCTTGCTTCCAATCCTGACAGTACACTGTCATCCAGCTGTGAGCCCAGGAATGCAGCAAGTTCCATAATTAAATGTTCGACTAGCTCGATACGGTTTTCATCGGCCTCCCGTCCTACCAAGGAGTCGCTTAGTCCGTCAAAGGTGGTGCGACGCCAGTAGGAAATTCTGGCCGATGCATTTTCGCGGTCTTCGTCGGACGACGGTCGCTGGCGTCTTAAATTCATTTCCACAGCCTTAAGGTGCACGCTGAAGGTGGGATTCAACGCTGGATGGAAATAACGCTGGAACACCTCTTCTACTAACCATCGACTGACTATGGCTCGTCCGACCGCAAGCATTTCCTTTGCGCCGACCGACAAAGCATCATCGGTGACCATCCCGTTCAGCCAAGACGGAATACTGCGCCAGTGTTTGCGCACGGAGAAGGCCAAGTCTTTAATTGCTCCGTCAAGTCGTTGGAACCTATTGGCGTATTCATTATCATCAAGAACGGTGCGCGACACCGCCATTCGCTGGTGCGCTACCGTGTTCTGGAGATGCTGAACCTGCGCATCCTTCTCAAAGTAGTATCGTTTCACCTTGGAATATTTGGCCACTGATTATCGTCAGCAGGTTTCCTTTGTCATAGAAATAGCCGAACAAAAGTCTTACGAAGCTCATCATGTTTCTGTATCAATACCCGGAGCTCGACTTCCTCCGACCCCTCGCGGCGGTGTGTTTTGGGGGTGTGCTCCGCCCGGGATCAGGCATATTCGAAATACTCCCCTGCCGACTCCGGTCCTGCTGCGGTGAACCAGCAGATTTCTGTCTCTCCAGCGGGTGAAATTGACCTTGGGTCTGTGATGCCTGCGTGGATGTCTGCATGGAGTCAGGATAATGAGACTGCAACGGGGATAGCGGCGCGTGAGACTGCTGGGAGAGGGGCCGGGTAGTTAATACCGGATCCTGAGGGGGCAGATGCTGTCCCCGATGGGCGTGCTCCGTCGGATATCGCGGTGATTCGGGGACAATATCGGATGGCGACGGTCGGGTGTAATGTTCCAAGAGGTTTGGGTCGGTGTTGGATCGCTGAATGGACAGGGGCTGATGTGTGTACAATGGGGGTCGCACAGATCGCTGTTGTGACCATTCGTTGTCTTGGGCGTGAGCAGGATGGGAGGGTCGAGGGCCTCGTTGAGACTGGTATTGCTCTTCGAAGGCTAGCGATTGGGATACGGTCACAGGTGAGGGGTTCTCGGAGTAAGAATCTAGCAGGTTTGTCTGGGACTCGTCGGACTCGTGCAGGGTCTCTGGCTGGGACACTCTGGGGGAGGCCGGCTGTGAAATGGGATGAGAGATTGTCTTGCCCTTGATGGAGATGTTGCGATCGATATTGGACGAGAATAAGCCTTTTCTGCCGCGACGAGACTGCGCCTCGTCAGGTGCAACAATGTTGACGGTCGGACGATCGCGAGACGTGTTCTGACGCTGACTCTGCGAGCGATTCAATCCTTGAGTCTGATTTGGTACCGGGCCAGGAACGGTGTCGTACTCAAATTGCGAAAAGCGCCGGTCTGAGTCGACGTTGGGGTGTGGAGTAAACGCGGGGCGGGCCAGCTGTTCGTCACTGCGCATAGGATGGTGACTCGTCCGATTCGATGGCGATTTCCTTTTAAAGATGTGCATCACTGCTTCTGATCCTTCGAGAACGCGGAGAAAAGGGAGAGAGAGGGAGAGAGGCTGATCTGGTGGAGCTGGGGTTGACGGGCCGTGATTGGAGAGGCCGTGCTATATATAGGAGTAAACAATGGATGGCCTTGTGGGTGTGCTTTTGTACACGTTAGATCGCATCCTTTGGATAGATTAGGCTTGCGCCTATATATAATGCGACAAAACACCGAGTCGCTAATTGTGCAAGACCAATATAAGCACCGAGAGGGTCTGCATTGCCCTCACGACCATCTTAGACGCTCACTACAGAATACCCATTCGAAAGGATATGGATCAAAGAAGGACAGGGTCATGAAAGAAAGTCTTTTGTTATTCCAAATACCGTTCAAGGCCCGCTTTCGTTCCTATTCGAATGGGTTTGACACTAAAAGCGCAACACGAGGCATATACGAGCCTAGTCACCTCGAACGCGATGTGGGCTTCCTAGTATAAATTGCCCCCAAACCCCCCACAAGACTAAAAAAAAAGAGGATTCGCTGTGCTAAGGCGAAGCAAAAGCCACAGCCTATGCATCCCCAACAGGGTGGATTCGGAAAATGTCCCCAAACACAGGGGGTTTTCTCAGCCCCGGCCCACTGCGCTCAGCGCTAACTTCACCTCCTAACATTGCACCAAATACAGAGTATAATTTCGTGAGATCACTTGCGATTGGACTCGCTTAACCCTTAACACGAAACCGATATGAATCCCCTCGATCCAAAAATATGACTTTGTCCAAAAGTCCCGCCGCCTCGACCATGCGCCTGAAATCGTCTAGTGGACTGGCAAACACGTCATAGTCATCATAGTGGATCGGGATTGTCACTTCTGGCTGCATCAGCTGAATCAGTTGCAGGCCCTGCTCTGCATCCATAGTGAGTGTCAACGCTAATGGCTCCATGAGTCGTCCTACTAAGGGAGAAGGAATGGTTGGACCACCGAGATGAGCGAGCATCAAGTCGATCTTTTGGTTTGCGTATAGCTTGGGGATCTCGGACAATTCATCCACCATTAGTGTGTCCCCTGAGATGTAAATTCGATATCCACATGAGAAGTCTGTGCTGTTGGGAGTGCCGTAACCTAGCTCGAGCATCCAGCCGTTGGTTGGTGGAATCTTTTCATCTGTTAGATCTAGAAAGAGAAAGACAAAAAATAAGATCAAACCCCACTCACGGCATTAGCTAGCGTATTCAGTTTCTGTATCACTTGATTTGAAGGTACATGTTTTCCTGGTATGCCTGTCACACGAAGTCGGGGCTGCCCAAGCCCTTCTGTGCCTTCAAGGTCGACGGCGATCTGTTCGAATGGATCGAGAGCATACACAGATGTGAACGAGTCCTGTTTCTTAGAGATAAGGTGCTTCTTCGCATGTGAGGTTGTGATAATGGGCAAATCACGTCTCAAGGATGCTTCAACCTTTTGATCAAAATGGTCTCTAGTATCGGTTATCAATATTGAGGGATTCGCCGGTCATCCAGTCCAGAACCTACTCGTGATAGTGAGAGAGGAGAACTAGATCAATCCGAGGAAGATTGTGCAGGTCGATAGCTGGCTCGGTCAGGCGCTCACTTGAGACACCAGGTCCGAGGTGGACCTGATCGCCTGCGTGAAGGAAGTTGGGCTATTAGCATCAGCTTGTGAGCTCGGTCTCAAGTTCAATCAGGAGCTGACATCGGTCATGATCCTTAATCCGGCCCACTCGCTGCTTCAATTAGTCCCTAGGTATATGTAGTTAGGTTGTGGAATTCCAAACGGACATGATTGTTGTGGCAGTTCCCACAAAGAAGAGCGCTCCATTTTCCTCTCCTGGCTTCGTTGGATGAAGCTTTGTCTGCTTGGCTGTAGGCAGTTGGATTGGAGTGGAAGTCAAGGGTGGGAGGTCCCGGGTCGGAGGATGATTTCTCTGCGGGTCAATTGAGATACGTTTCATTGTATTGAGTAATGATTATATGTGTCCAGTGTAGAGGAATATCACCGGTGCACTCCTCCTCCAAGCCCTCGTGTGCATGACATCATGCGCGATGGTACTAAGATCCATGTGTATGGTCTGTAAAAGGGCAATCCAGGAGACAGCCCTGAAGGACGGCCTTTTTCCATAGCACACTAGTATAGACAAGCAATGAATAGATTTGATTCCACAAGACTGGCCTAGACGCAATGTCAAGATGAAAGCCTACGGACAGTCAGCTCATCCTAGCCTTGTACAATGATCACTATTGCAAGATAGTTGGGAAAGGAAACTGGAGAACAACCAGGGAAGTCTACATATTGATCAAAAGATATCACTAAACGATATTTGTGCATCATTCCCTGCTAATTTAGGAAAAGCATAACTAATGTATATCCTAGACCTGCCTCCGATTGATTGACTTGTCCATTTCATCTTCAATCCAGTTACCCATCATGATCCAAAGATAAACACGCCATGTTGGAGAATGTGGTGAAATTAACACACGCCGTGTGTTTTGCCATCCTTGCCTTGCAGCGAGTGTTTCTCGCCCTTGAAGTGCGGGTGGGTACGTGACTGGTGCCGAGGGTGAGCGCGGTGGCTCTGCATGTGTCTGTAAAGCTGTCAGCATCAAAAGTAGGACAAGTCGGAATTCAATAAACCTACGCCTTGTACTTGGACATCATGGCCTTGTCCATAGAATCCAAAGTCTGAATAGCAAGCTTAAAGTCCTGGAGCAAACTATCGCATCGGTTCATGCTGAAATCTTCGCGGATAACAATGCGCATCATCTGCATCTTTTCACTGTGGGGTGCCATGGTGTACGCAGGCACAATCCAACCCCGTTCGCGAAGCTGGTGAGCCACAGCAAACTCATCATACACACGGCCGGTGTTTGAGGGAAGGCAGAAGGCCACCAACGGCAAGCCACGGCCCTGAGTCTCGCTCAACATCTTCATGCCCAGCTTTTGAAGCTCGAAGGTCATGTAGTCGGCAATACGAGTCAAGTTGGTCATGATTGCACGATAACCGTGTTTGCCCAGACGGATCAGCTGGTAGTACTGGCCGATAACATGAGAAGCACCCTTTGAGAAGTTCAAAGTAAAGCTGGCCTGGTCGGCTCCTAGGTAATTGATGTTGAACACCAATTCCTGGGGTAGGTACTGCGGAGAGCGCCAGATGACCCATCCGACGCCAGGGTAGACCAAGCCGTACTTGTGACCAGAGACGTTGATCGAAACCACCTTTTCCAGGCGGAAATCCCATTCAAGATCCGGGTTGACAAACGGAGCGACAAACCCGCCACTGGCTGCATCAACGTGTATCGGGCAATCAATATTACGCTCAACCAACAGATCGTTGATCGCTTTGACATTCTCATATTCACCAGTGTAAGTGGTACCCAAGATGGCGCAAATGCCAATCGTGTTCTCATCGATCAAATCGACCGCTTGCTTAGGGTCAATGACGAAGCGAGTGTCGGTACAATAGACGTACTTCTCCTCGATATCGAAATAACGAGCCGCCTTCTCCCAGCAGACCTGGACGGCACTGTTCATAATAATGTTGGGACGGGAGAAGTCCTTCCCCTCGGCCTTGCGCTTGTTCTGCCATCGCTTCTTCATGGCCAGTGTTCCCAGCATGATAGCCTCCGACGATCCGATGGTCGAGGTACCCATGGCATTCTCGCCAGATGGGTCAGTTGGACAGTGGTAAAGCCGAGCAATCATATTGATACAGCGATTCTGAATCTCGGCAGAATGTGGGTATTCTTCGTAATCAATGAAGTTCTTGCTGAAAGAATCGGTCATGATCTCCTCAATCTCCTCTTCCATGTAGGTTGTGACGAAACTCGCGAGGTTGAGCTTCGGATTCCCATCCAAGCTCAGCTCATCCTTGATCATCCGGGCAGCAATCTGTCGGGGCATTTCATTCTCAGGCATCTCATGCTGGGGCATGTGGTCAGCGGCAAAATGACTGCCGTAAACATTATTATAGAAGTCATTGATGTCCGGGGGAGGAACGGAGTCAACTTGACGAGGAGGGGGGACCTCATTGTCCTTTTTAACGATGCCGAGATGAACCATGATTGCAGACAATAAATGAGAGATTTAGGGCAAAGAGGAAAAAAAAGAAGATCTGAAAAAAGCAAGGCGAGGAAAGTAATAAATAGGCCGGTAAGGAACTGCGGGGTGTAATGACGCAGGGCACAGAGTCACCTCGTCAGCCCATCGACTGTCTCTTTCTCCTCTTTCTCTTTCTCTCTTTCTCTCTCTCTTCCCCCCCTGTGTCGCACAGTACATTGGCTCCGTGTATATGTTACTCGAATGTCCTACCTACAAATCCTCAACCGTCAATTCCTGATTCTTCATTCTACGTGAAAAGTGCCCCAACGCCGATTGTCAAAGCTTGGTCAAAGCTTGGCAGTGGGAATTGACGATCCCGATGGAGCCGGCCTACCTCCATTCCTATGGAGCCACGTCAAGACTCAGAGCTTACTCTCGCGCAGGCCTTCCAGGTTGGCGAATCGATAATAGAATTCCAGGCTTTTCGGATTGAGCAATGTCCCCGACGGCTTGATGATCTTGCCTGAAATAATCTGCTTCACTGGCAGCTCAACCTTTTTCAGGTTGACCGTGGTCTGTGGCGATATGCGTGGGTCAGTCCCGCTTTCTTATGGAGAGACATTGTTTTCCATACGAGTCCAACAGTAAGGAGTTGATACATACCGGGATCTCCGGAGTTTCAAACGTGAACATCGGCACATGGCGGGGACTGAGCTCTGAGCGAATCGCGCTCTTCACTCGCTCCACGAGGTTCGGAGTGAACGCTACGCCAGGTTTCATGAGCAAGAATAGGATCACTCGCTCGTCGGTATCGGTCGGTCGTCGTTGGCCAACGCAAATAGAATCGCTAATCTCCTCAGAAAATTGGCCCTCAATTACCCGATAGATCTCCGCCGATCCAAATCGCACTCCCGACGGATTGAGAACTCCATCGGCGCGGCCATGAAATACGATTTGCTTTGTGGTTGGATGAATGGAAACGAAGTCTCCATGGGTCCACACATCTGTGATCTGTTAGCGGCCATAGGATACACCGAGCAGGGTGGACCTACTATCAAATCTCCCAAAATACGCATCATGGTATTTTTTGCCGCTATCATCCCCCCAAAATAAGGTGGGCATATTGGGAAACGCAGATGTAGCGACTAATTCGCCGGCAACACCCTCTGCCACGGGCACACCTCTGATGCCCTCGCCGCCCTCAATCTCAGAGTCGTAAACCTCCACGGGGACACCCAGACTGCAACCAGCACACCCTCCAACATAGAGGGGCACAAGTGGGTTACCGGTTCCGAAACATCCTGCAATATCAGTACCGCCAGAAATGTTGTTCAGGAGTGTATGTGACGGAAATCCTTCGTCGTAGAACCACTCAAACAATGCATCTCGCAGAACCATGCCAGTGCTTGTAACCACTCGTAAAGAACTGAGATCGGCTATTTCACGCGGCTTAATCTTGGCCTGTTGTAACTCATGAAGCCACCGGGGTGAAATTCCAAGATGTGTCACCCTCCATTGAATTAGCTGGAAACGTAGAGCGGATTTCATAAGGTGGATACTCACTTCTCTTGCGCTGCGAGATTCACCAAAGCAGTGATACCTGGAATGAATGGGCTGCCATCGTATAACACCACCCGTGCGCCAAAAAGCAATGTCTGTACGGCACACATATACATAATCCATCCAGTGGTCGTGTATTGCAAAGCGACACAGTCAGGCCCGAGGCTGCTATGCAAACGTCCTTCCTTACTCGAGTTCAGAAGCACGCCGCCCACGGAATGAACGATACACTTCGGCTGTCCTGTCGTGCCAGACGAGTAAACCACCAAGAAAGGATCACGGAAATTGACTCTTTCGAATTCAAGTTTCGCATTTCCTCCCGCCTTTGCAAGATACTCCGCCAGAGTCTTGGTCCTAGGGATGGAAGTCATATCCGCCGGCCGCGAAGAGAACCGGGGTAGTGAGATGACTCCCTCGAATTCCGGAACAGACCCCATGCCTTGGACAATATCCCGAATCTTTGATCGCAGGTCAATAGTCTTGCCGTTATAAACCGCCAAGTCGTCCATAAACAACCAGCGAGGCTTAATCTGCTGCAGCCTATCCAGGACACCCTTCACACCCATATCCGTGGAACTGGACGAGAAGATGGCACCCAGCGCTGTTGATGCTAGAAACACAAGTAGTGTGTCAATGCTGTTTGCCGCGCAGAGAGCAATGCGATCGCCCCGAACAACCCCATGAGCCTTCATAGCCTGGACAAGCGCTCCAGTCCGCTGTCGGAGCTCGGCCCAAGTGAGATGAACAACCTCATGTGCGGCACCTTCTCGGACTTCGCTGACGGCAATCTTGTCATCTTCCTTGCCAGTCTTGTCGCCGGCAAAGCTCGAGAAGAGCAGATTCTCCGCGAAATTAAGGCGTACACCGGCGAACCATTCGGGTACACTGTCCATTCGGGCAGATTCATCGACTACCTTTGTGTAGGAGCCTTCGTGGATTAAGTTGAAGTATTTCCAGCAGAATTCCCAGAATGCCGACCGGTTATTAACTGAATATTGGTACATATCGTGAAAGTTCTATCAAATGTTAGATATATGATATTCTACAGGCGGTTCTGTCTCACTTTGAGCTTGCGTCCAGTTGATTTCTCCAAGTCTCGTTTGAATTGGCCCATTTGGGTCGATTCTGGGTCTGGGTGCTGCCATAGTTTGCGCGGAAGGGATGCCATATCGAACAAAGATGACTTGGGAGGATTCGAGAAGCTACAGCTTCACCACTGAGCTCCTTTAAAGGCCATATTGCACGGAGTACCGAGGGCCGAAACAGAATCGCCTCGCCAAGGATTCCCTCCACTGCGACCCCCGTGGGGAAATGAACCCCGCTTAATGCTGTGGGGTCTATCTGCAGGATTTCTTTGAAATGAAGGAATAGAAGGCATTGGATTGATCAGTAGTAAGTGGTTTGCTAATTGTCAAATAACTCAGCTAGTCGCCCCATGATCTGGGCCAATTCGGCCTTGGTATTGCACGCGGCGAACACAAAACGGTCCATTCTCACAATTGCATACCGCTTGTTGACACTTTTCCATATTAGCGTCTCATCATATCCTCGGGGTACAGGCCGATCGGCACATAGCCGAGACTGCGCGAACTCATCGCCAGTGGCTGTTCGGAATACCTTCCGAGACTGAATCCTTTGCTTGTGCGCAGGATGAGAGTCGTCTCCAGTGCGAGGAACAAAGAAAACAGCATCATCGGTGGATAGCAGCTTTACTTGTTCGATTCCTTCGAGCTCTTCCAGGATGGTATCCATCTCATGCAGTCCGTTCAATAAGACAACCAATTGAAATATCTTCCCACTTTGAAAAATGACATCGTCGGTAAACTGCACATTGGCATCTGGTCCCAGTGAGACACAATACGTCTGTGGGAAGCAGAGTCCGCCTCCAAACTCCGGCATGAATGGCATGCCTTCTGAGTGAATATATCGAGTGGGACCATCCGTGCGAGGCCCTAGTTCTAACCAGTGCTTCCAACCAGGGAGAAGCTGGAGAAACCACAGACCCCAATCGCGAATGAAGTTTTTGATCACGCTTTTCCCGTTAACCATGCTGCCATTGCTAACAGTAACGGCCAATGATTTGTCGAGTTGCTGTTTACGTTCCAAATACCAGCCGGTCAACAGGCATTCGTGGTTCTGTGTGGGAGATGAACATGCAATGGCGAGGCGCCAGGCGAGGGAAATGGCGTCTCGGAATCCGGAAACAATCCCTTGTCCTCCAACTAGATAGAATCTTTAGCTTCATATTTTCAAAGACTTCAAAAACCGACCGCACTCACATGGTGGGAATACGTGAGCAGCATCACCGCATAGAATCACACGTCCAAGAGCCCATTTGTTGCAACTTCTGGCTGAGAATTGGAAAGGCCTGGATCTTAGGACTTCGATACAGTCCTCCGGGTATATGATGTCCTCTGCTAGTCTGGAGAGGGTCAAAGACGGGTCAGTGTAATGTTCTCAAGGACTCCAGTTGATCTCAGTGCTCACCCATAACGACTACCAGCATGCGTCAAGTAGGGGAAAACCACTTCTCGGATCTTATTCTGTCCAGCCATCTCCGTGCCATCTTCATTGGGAGAAACAACAAACTCAAACCGCCAGAGCCGGTCTTCCAGGCGCCCGAATCGACCACAAACCGCAGAACGACCAGGATTACAGAGAAACCGGAAGTCAGCCGGGAAAAAGAGATCGTATACCTCCTCAGGTGTGTATCCGAGTTTCCACAATGGGAATGAAGGATGTGACTCTTTTGTCGGCAAGCGCACTTTCCAGTTGAGAGCGACCCACGTCGCTTCGTATCTTGATCTATATTGGAATTAGCACAATGGTTGAGCTATACTTCTTCGCCCAGCAATATCTCACGGCTCCGCCCAATCCAATGTGATACCCTTGGGCTCCAAGTACATCTTGCGCGTGAACCCTGTCTTTCCATCTGCCGCAGCCAGAAATCTCGATCGGATCTTTTTCTCCTGGCCTGATGCATCGGTGTATATCGCGTATACCCATTCCAGATCCTCGGACAGGGATATTAAGGTGCAATTACTCCGCAGCTCGGAGACCTTGCTTTGGCCCATTGCTACTCGAAGATATTTCTCCATCACTGGTTGTTTGTGGGCCAGTATGCCGATGTGCCCCGTGTGTCCCTCGCTCTGGGGGATATCAGTTTTCTTTCTTTCTTTTTGCTGGTGCATGCAGGGAGCTATCTCTACTCACCGTAGATGTATCCAAACGGAGAAATGGCTCAACATGTAGATCCTGATGGTTACCACTAACAAATCGGATTTTGGGTATGCCTGTTATTTTGTTAACGCCCATCTCTGATCTAGGATGCTGGAACTCACAAGATCCCATCTCCGTGAAGATATACTGGTGAAGGCCAAGACCTTGCAATAATCGGATACCCTCATCGTCGAGCACAATGCCACGGGGATCGGTCGTGATATCTGGCTCCTTTTCCAGTACGATGTTTGGAATATCCAGCTTCCCCAGGTATGCCGACAGCATGGCTCCGGTGGGACCACAGCCGCATATCAAGACGTCCGTCGTTTCCCACTGAGAATCCATGATAGATATTTGTGAGATGTCAGAGGTGTCTACTACAGCAGGCATTTTAAATAGCTAAAGAAATGTACTCTGGGTTTCTGGTCACGCTAGGTTTAGAATCTAGTTGTGGGGACAATGTTACAGGCACAGTTAGGTCCCTCCGATACAATGGAGAGATTATCTGTCTCTTCGGCCTTAAATGAATCAGACCCCCAGTCATACCTGATCGCCAGATATGACAGATGTAGTAATAATATGATTGGCCATGTAAACAAGGGTGCAAGCGAAAGAAAGTACCGAGGTATAGCTCCGCACTTGAAACAACAGTGGACAAGAAATGATACATTGACAGCTTCGTGGCATATGCATCTTTGCCAGGGTATGACACTCCAAAATTTTACTTTGATTGTAATTTATATCTAGGGTTTTCGCAAGTATTCCTTGAACCCGATACAGCGAATTGTGCAAATTGAGGGAGTTGGGGGCCAAAGAACCGCCAAGGGGAAGCAACATAGGCCCCGCTGATAGATCCCACATCTCACGAAAAGAGAGCAATGCTAGGGTTCATTGTATTATCCCGGAATTTCAATTCCTCTTGGTCATTATTTGGAGACTTTGGGGCTGAGGTCGCCACTACATTCAGGGGGAACATCCAACCGAAGGTCTAGCCCTGGCAGCCCCTCTAGACTCTACCTGATACTACCTACTAACTACAGGCCTACATTATGCTATCAAGCACTGCAGACACTCGCTCGGTATCGCCGTACCTGGGCTCGAAAGCGCGTCGCAGGCGTAAAACCTCCAAGGAAGAACGCGTCTGTCCAGTCTGTGCTCACGCCTTCAAAAAAGCTGAACATCTGGCCCGACATCTCCGTTCTCACACAAAAGAGAAGCCGTTCAACTGTCCAGTCTGCGACAAAGAATTCGCACGCCAGTAAGTCATTGAGACTATAGGACTTGACAAGACACTGATCTTCCTCAGGGATACTCTCTTACGGCATTCACGATCTCATTCGAGCAATAATCAAGATTGCGAGGGCCCTGAGATGGATCATGAATCTGCTAGTCGTCATCTCAGGCCGCGGACTCCGAGCGATGGTCTTTTGATGGCCCGACCTCCCCCTCGGCATGACCCTGCCAGTCCAACTGGAAGCTCAGGGGGTCAATACCCCGCCAAATAGTCTATCAATTGATGGGCAAACGCCTGCATTCGCTGCGCCAGACAGCAGTATACATTTCGCTGATATCACACCCTTGACCTCATTATCCTCCTTGGAAGCAGAAGACGCTTGGTATGAGAGACCGCAGCCAGTCTTGCAGTATGACAGACTTGACCAACAATGGGAGGCGATCTTAACGGGAGATGACTTTGACCTGGACGCTGTGAACATGTCGTTGTTACATACAACTTCGGACTTTCTATCCACAATGCAGACGCCACCGGTGATGCCCGCTATTCGAACACAGCACTCAATCCCCAATGTTGATGAGAATCTGAGCCAACCTCTTAGTTTGGTCCACACAGAAGGGCCTAAATTTCCCGAGACGGTGACATACTCAAACCAAGTAACTCCAAATCCGTCTCAGGAGGGCAATAATATTGATGAATCATACCGTAAGAGACTCGCAGAGCATCTTCAACAACCGGCGCAATATGGTATCCTCCCATCTACTCCTTTTCTTGTATGTCTTATCTTGTCTCCTCCTGAGTCTTCATCTTGTTCCCGCCTAAACGCTTCTGCTAACTCTCGAACAGGACCTCTGTATCCAAGCTTACTTCTGCAAATTCCACCCTCTATTCCCGGTTGTTCATAAGCCTACATTTCGACCCGGGACACAAAACTCAATGCTCCTACTATCTATCTGTTCTGCAGGCAGTCTAATCATCGGATGTACCCGTGCCCTCGCTCATGGAATCAGCATGTTCGAGCGGCTGAACAAAGCCAACCTTGCATCGGTATTATACATGGCTGAATGTGATTATAAGAAGCTAACACCTACAGTGGGATACCTTTGTATCCAAATCAGGGTGTGAAGCCATTACAGCAATGCAAGCTGTGCTTATAGGGCAGACATTTGGTCTATTGATGGGAGTATGTCTATCTTCTATTACATGCGTCCTCCGCCGGCACTGCAACATCATTATTCAACTGGCTAATCACCTCTGCTGAGTCCAGCGGCCAAAAGACTTATTCTGTGTTGATATCTTCCATGGAACTCTAATCGCCGTGAGTCTATTGCCATCAAACACATTTCATGACAACTGATGGCATACAGTTGGCCCGCATTGCCAAACTGTTTCATTCAAAACATTGCGATATCAATATCCTCGATCTTCATGGTCAACCTCTAGAAGATGCCTGGATGACCTGGGTCATGACCGAGGTAAAGATGCGGTATACACTTGTCCTCACCTGGTTCTTCCCCTTCCATCCAAACTAACATCCACAGAATCGTCCTCGGTCTACACATCCACGACGCCGAACTAGCAAGAATCCATCATCACGAGCCCCTCCTCCGCCACTCTCTCAACAGACTCCCCAAGATCTCATCCAACGAACTTTTCGCAGCACCAAACGCCCGCCATTGGAAGATGCTAATGTTAAACACCCTCCAACCTCCAAACCAAGCCTCGCCATCAGCCCATCCCCAAGACTCCCCGACAAACAACCAATCCAAACACCAACCAACTCACTCCTCCACGCCAGACTTCGCCGTAACCGGCATGCTAGAAACAATAAGCGCCCTAGCCAGCGAAGTCAACAACTCAGAATGCCATACCCTCTTAACAACCTGGTACACCCACTACGCTCTCAGAAACAGCGGACCCTCTCCTTCCCGTCTCAATCACCTAATCCTCTGGCACTCAATCTTCATAACCCTCCACTCCGACATCAACGATCTAGAAATAGCCTGCAGCTCAGACAGCCACGATTCCACACAGAAAGACATCGATGCGCATATCTGGATTCGCTCCCCAGACGCGAAACGCTGTCTCCTGCACGCCATGCACATCCAGAGGCATTTCGAGACCCTACCTACCGGCATGGAATGTGCATTCCACGTCCCCCTTTGCCTTTACTATTGTGGTCTCCTCTGGGCTTGTTATATGTGTTTCGGAGCCGAAGAGACTATAACAAGTGAGGAACAGGGTCTATGGGCGGAGTTATTGCTAGATGGCATTGACAGTATCTCCGGGATTGAGAAGATCGTTCCGAAGAAAATAGCCATGGCTTCTTTGTTCCGGGTCGTTGGATTGTTGCAGAGGCTGAGCTATTGGAAGATTGCGCAGGGCTTGGCTGGGAGGCTTTTGGGGATTGTTGAGAGGCGGAATTTGTTTTGATTTTTTTTTTGGTTTATTCTGTATCTGATATCGATTCTTGACACGCAGTATGTATAGTTGCAGTGGATATACTACTGAATGACGTGTGCTGTTTGCGAGAATGCCCCTGAGCTTTTAGAAAAAAGCAGGGCAACTGGAGAAAATTCCACGACTCGTCAGGGTTCCACTTGGTCTCAGCATCTCGATGGATTGCACTCGATCAGCACTAAAGGAGTTAGACGATCGGAATACCGAGGGTCCATACGGAGTACGGAGTATGTACTCCGTATGGAGCGCATGGTTGATCCTCCTCATGGACGCATTGACGCCTGAATAGCGGTGTACATCGAAGCCCAATGGAGGGGTTGCCCGTCTCATTACGATGTCCAAGTCCAAACTCCAGATAATAAACACTATAATTCTGATTCTGATATATAATTTCAACTGGTGTATCATCAAAGCCTGACAAAAGAAAAGAAAAACACAAAAAAACACAGCGAGCTTGAGGCAATTTGGTATCCTCCCAACGTCCCCAACTAGCGTACAGCGTGCATATCATACACCGTCTCTCTCGCCCCCCACATCAATTACTTTATTTATTTGAGCTTGCGCTTCAACCAAGACATGAATCCACCCTTCTTCTTCTCAACCGGCTCTGGTGAGGGTTCAGAAGTCTTCTGGGTTTGTTCCTGGGCCTTACTAGCTTCCTCCGTAACGGGCTCAGCCTTAGTCTCGGCCTTGGGAGACTCAGCTTTGGGGAGCGGCTCCTCGCCGCGCTTCAAGGCAGCTTCGGGCTTCTGGAGCTCAGCCTCCTTGGCAGCAACCGGGGTGGCAGCCTTGTCACTCTTGAAGGAAGCAAGAGCGGCAGTCGCAGCAGCGATCGCAGCGGGGGAGGAAGGCTGCCCGGCGCCTGACTGAGCAGGAGTACTCTTGGGGGTAGACTCAACAGGGGTCTTTTCCTCAACAGCGGTCTTCTCCTCAACAACCTTAGGTGTCTCGGCCTTTTGTTCAGCAATCTGAGGTGCCTCAGAAATCTTCTCCTCGGCGACCGTCTCCTCGAGGGTCTTTTCCTCAGCAACCTGAGGTGCCTCAGAAGTCTTCTCCTCGGCGACCTCGGCGACCTTGGGTGTCTCCTCGACGGTCTTTTCCTCAGCAACCTTGGGTGTCTCCTCGACGATCTTCTCCTCGGCGACCTTGGGTGTCTCCTCGACGGTCTTCTCCTCAGCAACCTTGGGTGTCTCCTCGACGATCTTCTCCTCGGCGACCTTGGGTGTCTCCTCGACGGTCTTTTCCTCGGCAACCTTGGGTGTCTCGTCGATGATCTCCTCTACGGCCTTAGGTGCCTCGGTCTGGACAGGAACGGGCTCAGGGACTGTGAGGGCAGCAGCCGAAGCGGGTCCAACACCGGCCAAGTTCTCAATGGTCTTCTTGTCCTCCTCGACGCTAATCGCGACCGGCTCCTCGTCAGTCTTGGGCATCTTGTGGGGCTTCAGGTTCTCCTCGGTGCTGAAGATGGGCTTCTCGTAAGGACGCTTCGCATGGGCAACATCGTTCTCGACAACAGGGGTAGGCTCAGGCGCAGCGACGATGGCAGGGGCGGCGGTTGATTCCGAGGTCTTGGGGCGCTCGGGCAGTGTTGCGGCAGCGCCGATGGCGGCAGTCTCGGTCTCGGGTTCTTTGGTCTCGGGGATCACGGCGGATTCATTGGACTTGTCTGGGATCACAGCTGCAGGATTGAGGTTAGTGGAGATCATTGTCGCAATTTTACTGACACTCGTCATACCAGTGCCTGCGCCGTCGCCACCCTCCACCTCACCCAACTGACCGGCCTTGGAAGCCTGCGCCTTCTCCACGGCCTCCTCGACGGTATTCTTGTTCTCTGTCGCAACGGCTTCGGGGGCTTCGGGGGCCTCGGGGGCTTCCGCGGCCTTCACAGCCTCCTCAGCCGGCTTTGTTTCCGTCACGGCGGGGGTCTCAGCTGTGGATACGACCTCGGGGGCCTGACTGGGCTCAGCGACAGTCTCAGTGGGCTCCGTCACGGTCTCCGGAGTCTCGATCTGCTCGATGGTCTCCTTCGGGGCTTCGATTTGCTGGGCCTGGTCCTCAACGTCCTCAACTTCGTGGTCGGGGTTGCTGCGACCAGAATTAGAGATTGTTGGTGAGGTGGCATCGCCGCACGCGCCAAATTTTTTTTTCTCTTCGTTGGACTTACACAATATCCTTGACGTTGTCTACAGCAGCAGCTGCAACCACGGCGGGCTTGCTGCCCTTCTTGTTCTTCTTTCCTCCCTTCTTAGGCATGGCGCTTGTTTCGATTGGATGATTCTGCACGGGTCAGAATGGATGATAACGGGATGAACAAAGGTGAAGAAAATAGAGACCCGAAGATGACTTACTATAATGTGGCAGGAGGGTGAAGTGTAGGAAGGAAGAGGCCAAGTAAGGGATGACGATGTTCCGGTATGCTCTCTCTACAGGATCCGTGGTGAGGACACTTCTGGAACAAGCGTTGCGAAATTACTCTTAATCTCTTTTTTTTTTTTTGAGAGGGGGCCTTATTCTTAGATCTGAGAATCAAAGTGGAATTCTAGTTTCTTTCTCTATTTCATTCTCTTCCTTGAGTCGTACATTCCTTTGCAACGGTCCTTTCATAGTTCCCTGTCGTGTGTCAGAGCTCCCAGCCCTAACGTCTGGATCGGGTAAATAGGGTTGTGAATGCACGACGTTTCAGGGGCAATCAGGGGCGCGTTCCAGGAGGATCTGGGGAAAGGCGCATAGACCAAATGAGTTCTTCGCCTTACTGTGCTCCTTACACTCACGACTGCACCTTCGTAGGAAATGCCTTTCTCAGTCCAAGTCCGCAGACAGATCCGAAATGGCGAACGTAAAAATAGCCCCAATAGCCCCAATAGCCCCAATCGCATGGGAAGATCCATGGCTCTGAAAGAACCGTCCAATCGATCGCAAAGACCCGGAGTATCGTGCAGTAGTCCACGTAATGCGGCTATGGGCCGTATTACCTGCATAGGACGGAAGGATCAAGTCTGCCTTACGGAGTACAGAGCATTCCATATGCCTAGAAGGCGTTATGAAATAATGGTGTTTTTTACATTTAAAAAAAAGAGAGTTACGAAATAAGAGATCAAGTATGTCCAAAAACGTAAGTGTGACACAAAGAAACAAAGATAAAAAAGATAAAAAAGATATTGACCGACGCAGGGATCGAACCTGCAATCTCTTGATTCGTAGTCAAGCGCCTTGCCATTGGGCCAGCCGGCCTTGATGGAAGCAGGTACCAGTAAGTGCTATATCAGCCCATTGCCCAATGCGACCGGCACAAACGTGCCGAGTGGAGGCGAACGGGGCACTCTTTCGGTCCACCCTGTTTCCGGTTTATTCCCGCTTCCCCAGTCTTCGTGCTCACAGATTAGGAACGGGCAATTTTGGTTACACATCGTGTTAGGTACAGGGTAAATGATGTAACCGTGAGGCTCCTACTCCGTACTCCGGACTCCGTATGTTTCTGGAAGTCTTCGCTGCAGGGCGCCACTAACATTCCTGAGATCCCGTTGGGTTTAGGCTGCACGTCCACCCGAGAACTCCCATATTAAATGGTATCGAGATGTAACTGTGACACTATCGATTTACATAGTAGCAGTTGAGTAATAGTCCCTTTGTGGTTCCTTTTTCCAGACTCGGTGCTTTCTCGGGTCTTTCGCTCGGTCTCCATAGTACATGTCGGTACGGAGTACGGAGTACGAAGTCCATCCTACATACTCCGTATACAGGGTCGAGTCGAGAGGAAAAGAACCATACAGGATAGCAGGGTATATCGTCAATAATATCCAATATCTCTTCGCACAGACAGTGGATTGAGAGCAGCCAATTAAAGGAATACTCTACGTTTTTGCCCCCCAGGTCTTCACCGGATATGGGCCGAACACACACTTCTGGGGCTTATCTCTCTCGTGCCGTTACATCCTGGGACGTTATTAGTATTCCACTTTCCCCTCTCTGCCCTGGACTTGACTTCTCTCCAATTCACCTCTCCACTTTGTTCTCTTTTCTCTCTAGAATGGTCAGTTTCTGATCCATCAACCCCGCTATTCGTGCTTGCACACCCTCCGCGTCCGTCCCCAGTCTGGGAGTGGTATGCACCATTGAGCCATTTAACTCAGGAACCGCCCGCATTGATCTCTGAACCTCTTTGATCTTGAATCTTGAATATCGTGTTCACAATTCTTTTCTCCGATATGACGTTCCGCGAAAGGGTCAAGCGGGTGTTCCGCTCCAGCTCCAAAAACGATGGAAAGCCCAAAATCGAATATTATCGCCGCTCCGAGTGTCCCCCGTCGAAGTTCAAGGGACCTTTCGATCGCACCCATCAGAAGAATCTGGCCGCTTGGTCCTTCAGTGGTGCCATGGTGGAACGAACCCGCTCATTCGACCTCTCCCTGTCGCCCTGTGCCACGTACGAGGGCTGCGAGGTCTACGCGGGTTGCTCCGGCCCCTCCGACACAGATGAGTCGGTGTCTCCGGAGGATGGTGTCGATGTCGATCCAGGTACACAACCTCCAGCCCTAATCAAAATGCATGGCCCTGTCTCAACTCGTATTAACTTCGTTTTTTTTCTGATCTAGCCCCCTCACGCCCAGAGACTCCCGCTGAATCATCGCCACGCGGTGCTGACTCCGGCTCTCAGTCCTCCACCATCATCAACTCCTCCAGCTATAGTGGCTCAGTGATGACTCTGCTGAATGAGCCCTCATTCTACGAAATTCCAGACGATTCAAAGGACTCGAAATTCTACCTCGAGGAATCAGTTCGCTACACATCACCCCTCGTCCGTGCCATGTCGCCCGCCCTCTCCCCGTGCGTCATGTCCGCCCGAAAGCACCTTCCTTTCGCCCCCGAGGATCTCGCCCGCGCTTTGATCGCCGTCCAGGTCTGCGCATAATTCGTCAATTTTTCTTCGCCTACTTTCTTCGAATCCGGGAGATTGTTTTTTCTTTTAACGTCCCAGTAACACCTATGGACTCGATGTCCTCTATTTATTTAAATCCCCTTTGATCTCCTTTTGGATCCCTTCTCGGGCCCACGGTCGGCCATCCGCCCCTCGATACCAGCATATCGAGCATCCACGCCCGCCATTTCCATTTTTTTCGCCCCGGGGGCTGTTCCTCGCTTGATGCCGTGAACACCCTGTCGGCGACGGATTCTTTTCCTATCTGTCATGCATTTGCATCTGAGCGTATACCCGTTGAGGATTTTGGCTGTTTCATCTCTCTTATTTTTGGTCTGGTTGACCTTTTTTGCTCCGATGGTTTGGACCATCTACCCTGGCTTTCCATTTGCTCTTATCACGACTTCGTCTAAAAAGTATCCTTCAGAAGGTCTAGACAAAACAATAGAACGTCGCTTAAGATAAACTTTCGGGTCCTCCCCCGAACTATATATTCTCGTATCAGCCGATCAAGGTTCTAATCCGTACTCCGTATAGATCGCTCTAGATCTGCCTGCTGTTCTCGAAGAATCCCCAACCCCGCTATAGGCCAAGCTTTCTTCCCCCGCGCTAAGATTGCATATCACTCCATTTCAGTAATGATTTGTTCGATCGGCTACCTCATCCTTGCTCGTGGGCTTCCAAGTGGCTGGTTCAAATGTCCGTCTAGTCGGGATAATGCCTGTCGTGATAAGTTAAGATAACTTTGTCGCAAGGTCATCTCGGGAATTTGCCTATCGGCTTGAGATCGGGCTGCAGTATACAAAGTGTAAGGGATAGAGCGACGAGTTCCCAGTGTATCATTTTGAGATGGAATTTATTTCCCTGTATGGATTGAACTTTTTCGAGTAGGTATGGTTTCCTAGTCTAATTTGGCCACATAAAGGGGTAGCACTTGGTGTTCTTCGTACTTCTGTGCAAGCCCCTATACCTAGATCCCATCGGTTCCCCCTGGGCTTCAAAATGAACGTTTGAGTTAAGTAGAGGAAACAACCTAAGCTAATGTTGCACATGCATTCCCAAAAAACACATAAGGGACACTGTAGTAATATAGTCATGATCGTACTTCCGCGTAGAATGATATATATCATTCTTTAAATCTCGTCCTACACCCCAAACACCGTTTATTGACCATTTATGCACATCTCAGGGATTTTGTTTGGAGTCAGGTGACTCCTCCTTCCTCGCCATGCTATAAGAAGCTCTTTCTCTTAGATGATTTCCTTCCCTTCTTCTCTTCTTCAGACGAATACAGGGTTTCCAATCTCTCTCTCTCTCTCTTCGTGGCGTAGAGTCTGGTCCTGTCTCTCAGACTTGAATCCCATCTGTTTACCACATATCTACAATCTAGCAAAAAAAACCCCATCCTAGTCACAGATCACCCTCGCCGTAAATCTCAACATCGGGGAGTTAGTTGGTAGGAGTAAGCACCAGACCAAAAGAATGTGAAATTTAGCTCAATGAGTACCCTTACGAATGCAAAGCTCGATACATTTTGCGCTGTAGTTTGGATAAACATATATATGTGCTACGAAGGTGATGAACGTGATACTAGCAGAACTGGTATGCAGTGGCCCGACCTTCATCAAGCTGTGTATTACCGTTTTCTTTGAGAGCCGATTACTCCGTGCTCCGTACTCCGTACAGATTATTCGCTTGTAGAGTTTCCAAAAACTCAGGGGGAATTCAAACTTCGGATTAGTTCAACGCATAGGGTTTGGGGCTGGCACATCAAAGAACGTGTGGCTGAAAGAGATCCTTGTATAAACAGGACCCACCGACGACACGAACCCTTACCATTTGCTCTATACAGACAAAAATGATTTCAAAGAAAGTGACATCCTTGTCCAATGCCGAGATTTTCCCAAATTCAAGACATCCCTGGTTAGTAATGATCACTGTGCTAACCGAGTCAGTTCTGGGCATCGGCTCGTGAGATGACCCTGGCAACCGTAACACGTGGAGTAGGATCTGGACTGGATAATCACATCACGAATTTGAACTTGGCCCATGCTAAGGATTGTTTTGTGAAACAGTGAGAAAAGATATGCTGGGGGCAGAATGAGAGGGTCACACAGCATTTATAGAATGATGCGTTGTGGGCACTCCCAGTGATAACCAGCATTCTCGATCTGGATACTAAAAGGGGATTGGCCTCCTCGCTAGGTTGTAAGCCTTGGTGGCAATGTGGAATTCAATGTTATTCGGTCAGAGTTATTATCGGTTCTAGAGCGTGAATCCTCGCCGTCACCGCTGCCATCACCGCGGATCATTGCATCTAGCCCAAGGATTTGGGTTTGTAAACGGAGTACTCCGTATGTAATGTTTGAACTATCCCATCACCATTTTCCATAACGAGCTTCCAAACAAAGGATTTGAAGAGTAGGAAACTGTAAACCTCGGAAAATTTGAATGATGATTGGGTTGGAAGAGGGGACCCCGGCCATGTACTTGCATGACCGATGTAGTCGCAAATTAGAACCGCTAGGAGAGCGAGTGGAGTCCTCCAATTGGACAAGAAATGTGGGAAAGGATTTAAATCCCCATTTGACTAGATGGCCTAACGCCTTGGAAGGCACATAGTTGGGAAGGCACATTCACACATCCATTCAAGAGAGTTACTATGGGCACCCGAATTTACTATGCGCACCCAGCGCTCGGCCTATTTGAAGATTTCTTCCTACCGGCCGCTATCCGTAACCCTCTGGTAGGATGAAATATGTTATCATCTCTGTTGTCGATGCTAATATCATGCCAAGGTACAATGACATCACTGCTAATGTCATGCCAAAGTACGATGATATCACTGCTACTACAAATATCGGCCGATCTTTTATCATTTGACATCATAAAGCTATCCCCAGATCATGATTTCCTATAGAGATAGAGATGAGTTTCTAAATCGAGATATAGAGTTTTTATAATTAAAAATCCATATCTTTATTTCTACCCAGGCGTAGGATCTAGGGATAGCTTCATTTTTATATCGAAAACTCTATATCTCGATTTAGAAACTCATCTCTATCTCTATAGGAAATCATAATCTAGGGATAGCTTTATGATGTCAAATGATGAACAATCGGCCCATATGTCTAGTAGCAGTGATATCATCATACCTTGGTATGCTATTAGCATCGAAAACAGAGATGATAACATATTTCATCCTACCAGAGAGTTACGGATAGCGGCCGGTAGGAAGAAATATTCAAATAGGCTGAGCGCTGGGTGCGCATAGTAAATTCGGGTGCCCATAGTAGGTAATTCTCATATTTAATGCATCTCATGCCCACTGATATATATACTCTATACTTTACCCTAACCTTTACTCCATGCACCAAACATTGAGCTAGTCTTTCTACTCCGTACAAAGGATTCTTCAAGATTCTCCATCTGACATCCTATCTTTTAAACTACCAATCCAATTCCTATTTCGTACGAATGATGAACGACACCATGGTTTATTCTATGCGCCATTTTATTTGTTTTCCATCTCCTAAACCATATGAAACCACCGAAGCTACGACGAATGATACAGAAAATGCCATTCCCTTCAGATATTCTAGAAGAACCACTCAACCATGCATTGCTGGTCCATGTGTGGAGAGAGTTGGCAGCATACAATCTGAAACATCTTCCGCTTCTCCATTGAGCTACATTGGCAGCACACGCACCGGGTCAACTTCTACCTCAGATAGCGATACTGGAACAACAATAGCGTCAACCGCTACTGGAAACTCCTCATTGCCTGCTGAGCCATCAGCCAAATCCACCTCAACATCACGATGGCACACAACCACACCCTATATTCCTATCCTGCAGCAAGATGGGAGTCTACAGGCCCCACAAATCACATTCGATGGCTATGGCTGCTATGGGGGCCGGTTTACTCCTGAATCTATTATCGGATTCCTATACGAGCTGACATCATTCTTTGAGGCCACCGTCTCAGACCCTTCGTTCTGGTCAGAATATGCCACGTTCCAGCGTGCTCAAGCCACACCACTGCACATGGCTACAAACCTGACTAACTTGGCAGGGGGGCTACTATCTGGCTGAAGCGTGAAGATCAAAATGAATATGGCAGCCATAAATCTCGCAGTATCATCGGTCAGCTCCTGCTAGCACGACGTATGGGCCGATCTGAGATCATCACCGAGTGTGCTTCAGCCAAACATGGCAAATTTACCGCTGCAATGTGTGCTCGTCTGGGATTGAGCTGTGTGATCTTCATGGGTGCAGATGATGCCAGTGCCCAGGAGAAGGATGTGCTCGAGATGAAGTCACTGGGCGCCAAGGTACTGACGGCTCGCGCGCCCTCGGGCTTGGGCAGCTTGCGCGCAGCTATCACAGACGCCCTGCGAGATTCGGTCTGCAAGCACGAGTCTGCATACTACCTCATGAGTAGCCCGGTGGGTCCCAATCCCTTGCCGACTCTGGCTCGCACGTTCCAGGCCCTTCTAGGCGAGGAGGTCGCAGCCCAGATGCACGAGGCAGCGGGTCGCCATCCGGATGCTCTCGTCACCGCCGTGGGCAGCGGTAATGGTGCAATTGGTCTCTTTAGACCGTTCCTTCATGACTCAACTATTCGCTTAGTTGGCGTGGAAGCCGCACAGGCAGCTGCCCTGACAGACGGGGAGATCGGTGTACTCCAGGGTGCCCGTACTCTCTTGCTTCAAGATAAACATGGTCAGATCATCGACTCACATTCCATCTCACCGGACATGAACCTGCCATCTGTGGGGCCTGAGATTGCTCATTGGAAGGACTCTGGCCGAATTGAAATTTCCACGGCTACCGACGCGGATGCCCTGGATGGATTTAGAACCCTTCAGCACCACGAGGGAATCCTTCCTGGTCTTGACTCGAGTCACGCGATAGCCAAGACCGTCGATCTCGCTAGGGAACTTGGCCCAGGCAAAAATGTGGTTTTGATGGTGACTGGATGTGATAATATTGACGTGGATCAGTTAGATGTTTGAGGGGACTCCTCCGTACTCAAGCACACAAATACCAGGCACGACTTGATTGCTTTTCTCTTGTTTTTCGGGAATATCCAAACCTTTTGTTTACGGCGTTGTTGAGTTTCTTACTTCTGTCCTAGACTGCATCTTCTGGTATCACATTTCGAGTCGCTCTCTCTCGTTGTTAGCGAACTCATGACATTCCCAAAGCTATTTTGCACAAATCTACTGCTTTGCTTGTAAATGATTACTTTCCCACTCTGTAGTTCATTCCAAGTTTGTGTTGTTTGCTCACCAAGCACCTACCTACTCACTTGGGCAAGCGCCCAGGTGCATTCTTGCTTTTTCTATGACATAGACTTTGTTGAGATTACATATAGCTTTGGTGCTTGCTTTTGTTTTTCTGTGTTCCCCTCAGAAAGAGAAAGAGAGATGGCATGTCAAAATTCAGTATATTCCAATGTCCTTTTAAACATCTTGTCATCAGTCATATCGGTGTATCATGGTAAAGCCCCGTAAAGCCATAAAAAGACGTCATAATTTAATCCTCATGCGTGACCGACATGTCCAGAACCTCAACCCGGCCTCTGCCGCGTGTCTCATTGCTGACCAACTCATTCAATCCCTTGAACGCACCAGGCTCAGCGAAACCCACAATCTCCCATTCGTCTCCGCCCACGACTTCTTGAGACTCTACCGATTCGATAAAGGCCATGATCTTATCTTTGACAGTACTTGGGGCCTTGGGTGCAGCTTCTGCATCAGACTGACCAGCCTCAATGTCCGAATCATCTCTCTTGGCAGATTTCTTCGATCCTTTATTTCCCTTCTTGTTGTTCTTTGAGCCACCAGAAGGTGCTTCCTTGTCTTTATTCGATGCAGCACCGGGTGCAGCCTTGACAGATTGTTTCAGCAGCGACACCGGACACGTCACACGGAGACGCATACGAGCCCGCATAACAGGAATCGGCTGCCAAGCAATCAGTGCCTTCATGGCATCCAGCGCTTGACTCTTGGCCGAGCGGTTGGCGGAAACTCCTGTCCAGAGAGGCTTCTTGGGCTGGGATGACTTCTCTTCGCCATCTCCATTCGTCTCTGCGCTCGCTTGTGTTTGTTGTTGTCCGCTGGCCGAAGTCAGTTGATCCAACGCCTTGTGGATCATTCCGGTGGTGTACACGCGCTTGGTTGAGGGATCGACTAGTCGGCCTGATACGATGTCCAGCACTTCCTTCTCCACTCGCTCGAGGATATCTTTGCGCTCACGCTCGCCGACTTGGACTTCGCCTTTGCGGAGGATCTCTTGCAGTATTTCCTCTCGTGGAGTACCGGCGCCGAAGGCTTTTGTAAGCTCTGCAGATGGCGCAGTCTGAGCTTTCGAGACTGAAAGGAACACGGTTGGGACCTGGAGAACATTGTCGAGGTCCTTTTCAGCGCCGGATCGGTATTCAAGCAGTTTGTTCTTGTAACAGGCGAGTTCGAAGCGCTTCTTGCCTGGATTATAACACGACGGTTAGGGAAATCAAAATGACGTAGATAACGCTGTAGCCTACCTTTTTTTAGTCGGACCACCGACACGTTGGTGAATTTGATCTGGTTGGAGGGTTGGTTGATCGGCATTTTGTATTAGGCCGCTAAAGGCTGACCGTGTCCACAAGCAATAATAGAGACCAAAAGATGGGTAGATATTCAGCTGAATATCAATCCAAACGCTTTCCAAATAAGCGATAGAAAATGTAGGTATATGTAGAGTATCAGAAGTCGATTTGCGCGAGAAATGCAAATTGCGCCCAAAAAGGCTTAGCCACAAAGCTCGTGCCCCTCCTATCCAGATGATCCCGTGACTCTCGCTGAATCATTGGTCAGGTCCACATGGGGGCCTCTGATTGGCCCAACTGACTCGTCTTATCGACCGTCCCCGGCGTCATCGGCGTTCCTGCTTCTCCTCACCTCACAACCTTGTCCAGGACATCAAGGCATCATCGTCTTGTTTCTTTGACTCATATTTCAATTATCTTCATCTTGTGGTATCTTCTATAGTGTAAGTGGCTCCATTTACGTTCGGATACATGTTGATAACCACACCGGCGAACCATTACTGATAAGAGCTCCTGATTCCAGACCCCAAGGTACCCGCTTTCCATCAACAGCCCATCAGTATCATCACTCTTGCTTTGCGTTTTGGAGCCAATTTGCAATGAGACTTCTTTCTGCCACTCTTTTGGCGGGAGCTGCTTCGGCGGCTACCCCATCTCTCCAGCAGGTCCTTGGAGGTCACAAGGAGTTCTCGGAGAATGTAGCTCAGCAAGGTGCCGATTTGTTCTCCAAGCCCTTGCAGCATCTCCAGGAGCAGTTTGGGGCTCTCTCTAGTGAAGCTCGTCAGCTCTGGGAGGAAGTCTCCAAGCACTTCCCCGAATCTATGGACAGCGCTCCCCTGCTTTCCCTGCCTAAGAAACACACTCGTCGACCCGACTCACACTGGGATTATCACGTCAGCGGCAAGGATGTTCAAGACATCTGGGTCTCTGGTACTGATGGTACCAAGGAACGTGAGGTCGAAGGCAAGCTGGAGGACTACAGCCTCCGTGCCAAGAAGGTTGACCCCAGCTCTCTCGGCATCGATCCCGGCGTGAAGCAGTACAGTGGTTACCTGGATGACAATGAGAACGACAAGCATCTGTTCTACTGTGAGTCTTTCAAACTTTGTCTTTCATGCAACGTTGGTTGTGCTAACCTCTGACCAGGGTTCTTTGAGTCTCGCAATGACCCCGAGAACGATCCCGTTGTTTTGTGGCTGAACGGCGGCCCAGGCTGCTCATCCCTCACTGGACTGTTCATGGAGCTTGGACCTAGCTCCATCAACGCTCAGATCAAGCCTATCTACAACGATTTCTCTTGGAACAGCAATGCCAGTGTTATCTTCCTGGATCAACCCATCAATGTTGGCTACTCCTACAGTGGCTCCTCCGTCAGCAACACTGTCGCTGCTGGCAAGGATGTCTATGCTCTCCTGACTCTGTTCTTCAAGCAATTCCCTCAGTACGCCAAGCAGGACTTCCACATCGCTGGTGAGTCCTATGCTGGTCACTATATCCCTGTCTTCGCTTCGGAGATTCTCTCCCACAAGAAGCGTAACATCAACCTTAAGTCTGTTCTCATCGGTAATGGTCTCACGGATGGTCTTACTCAGTACGAGTACTATCGCCCCATGGCCTGTGGTGACGGTGGCTACCCCGCCGTTCTCGATGAAAGCACTTGCCGTTCCATGGATAACTCCCTGGCTCGTTGCCAGAGCATGATCGAGTCTTGCTACAACAGCGAGAGCGCCTGGGTTTGCGTTCCCGCCTCGATCTACTGCAACAACGCCATGCTTGGTCCCTACCAGCGTACTGGCCAGAATGTTTACGATGTTCGCGGCAAGTGTGAGGACGAGAGCAACCTGTGCTACAAGGGTATGGGCTATGTCAGCGAGTATCTTAGCCAGGAGAGTGTGCGTGAGGCTGTCGGTGCTGAGGTTGATGGTTACGACTCATGCAACTTTGACATCAACCGTAACTTCCTCTTCAACGGCGATTGGATGAAGCCTTACCACCGCCTTGTGCCCGGCGTTCTTGAGCAGATCCCTGTTCTGATCTATGCCGGTGATGCTGACTTCATCTGCAACTGGCTCGGAAACAAGGCCTGGTCCGAGGCTCTTGAGTGGCCTGGCCAGAAGGAGTTCGCTTCCGCTGAGCTTGAGGATCTCAAGATTGTCCAGAACGAGCACGTTGGCAAGAAGATTGGCCAAGTCAAGTCCCACGGCAACTTCACCTTCATGCGTCTCTTCGGCGGCGGCCACATGGTTCCCATGGACCAGCCCGAGTCTAGCCTGGAGTTCTTTAACCGCTGGATTGGTGGCGAGTGGTACTAAACACTCAACCTGAATTGCGCTCTATGATACAATGAGTTGGTGGAGTTATCATTACACTGCGTGTCATTGATCTAGTGTCTGGCTTTTGCGTACAATTTCACACCTAGTCCCATGGAGATCTACCTACAGGGGCCGCATACTTGGTACCATCTGCTTTCCTGCTTTCGGTGACTTGGCTTATGTCGAATATATACATGCGTTTAGGCAAATTTGAATTCAATCATTCTTGAATAGACATTCATATGGAATACTAAATAGTTATAGACTACCAAGGTGTAGATGTACGACCAAGTGTAAGTGAAGGCGAGTGGAGTATAGGGTGGAGTGTAGGTAGATGGCGGGTGGATGTGTTGTGGGCGAACATAAGAGACAAACATAAGATTAGGGAGATGGATACCCCAGAGTTGTGCATCCATGCTAAGCGTACGCCACATCCCACAGTCGGTGGTCTAGACACCTACCCCGCCGTATGATATGGATTTCTCAAAGCGAGGTATCAAGACATGCGAGATGTTCTACCCTACGAGGGCCGAAGACTGAGACAGGATCCTGGAGCTGGGATCATAATTCCAGATCCAGTCATCTCCATCACACTCCAAAGCCGATAGCGAAGTACTTGTAACGAAGAGATCAGGTCATTTCATTGGTATGATTCATTTTCAATTTTTTGGACCGGTCATACCCAGCCCAGCGGGGAAAAGGTCCCACGAGTGCCCATAGAAACACACCGGAAATAACGGAATCCCTCCAAGAACCCCCGGCAAAAAAACGAACAGAATGATTTAGCCCTTCTTCTTGCTGACACCGACGGTGCGACCGCGGCGGCCAGTGGTCTTGGTGTGTTGACCACGGACACGGAGGCCCCAGTAGTGACGCAGACCACGGTGGGAGCGGATCTTCTTGAGGCGCTCGAGATCCTCACGGAGCTTGGAGTCGAGACCGTTGGAGACAACCTGGGTGTCCTTGCCATCGGTGATATCGCGCTGTCTGTTAAGGAACCACGAGGGGATCTTGTACTGGGTCGGGGTCTGGAGGATGGTGACGATACGCTCGAGCTCTTCGGTGGTGAGCTCACCAGCACTATAGAACGGTTCTTGTCAGATTTGCGATTCTTTGTGAAAAATGTGTGCGATTGTTGTGCGCGAGTCCTCTGCTTGCTTGTCCTTGTGTCGAAATTCAAAGATCCAAGCTTTCCTCCGTGTTCTCTCTCTTTCAAGATTTCCTCCGATGATAAGGGAGTGGGAATGATTGTATATCCGATGGGGGTTGTGGCGAAACGTACCGCTTGTTGAGATCGACATCGGCCTTCTTGCAGACCAAGTTGGAGTAACGGCGACCGACACCCTTGATCTGGGTCAGGGCGTACATGATCTTCTGCTTGCCGTCAACATTGGTGTTGAGCAGACGCAAGATGAACTGGAAGTTCGTCTTCTCGCCGGACACGAGCGCTGTTATCGAGAAATCCGCATGTTAGCCGACATTCAATTTCGAGAACCGCCTTATCTGCCACTGGTTCCTCCTCTTGTTCTCTTTGGGCAAATTCGTAGTTGTGTATCATATAATGCTTTCAGGGTGAAAGGAGGGTCGTCACGTACACATGATGGGCGATGGGCGAGGATCGCGATGGGTTGTCGACAGAGGGATGGAGAGGAGGAAGTCCAACTGAGTGACTTTGCTTGTGGGATCGGGTAATTGGGGCGCTAACCTGTTTGGGACGAGGGCTCGCTTGTGAGCGACTAGTCTCAAAATAGCTAGATTACGAAGCAGATCATGTGCGATCACATGACCGTTATCTTTCCATGTTAGATTCTGGTAATAGGTTTTGTTATTTACGCGTATCTTACCTGAAGCCCTGAGAGACGGCTTTGTTTCCATCAACATGAAACTACAACGAGTTTGATTCTTGGGGCGATCAGCCACCGCGAAGTAACTCTTTGTATTTTGAAGAATAGTTCTTGGGAATCTATCAAATGGTTTACTCAGTGGCCCTCTCGCCTTCTTTGATCGACGTCTGACCTTTGACTCAGTGTTTCCATCAAGGCACCCACAGGCCCATACGTATGGTCTTTGGCCTAAGCAATGCCAGCTATTGCTGATTCTCTTGCTATGGGTGGAAATTCTAAGAGAATCCGCCTCGCCACTGCTTTTGTCAATACTTGGATTTCTCTTTCTTGACTCGATCAGCCCAAGGTCAAGCAAAAGGGCTACGATACCTACATTGACTAGCAGTGGAATCCCTATCGACGGCGCTTCGGATCTTGCTTCGAAACACTTCGGGTTCTTTGTTGTGTTGGACAAAGCACCAATGCTGTCGATATCACATCTTTCTATTTTTGCTTCCCTCTTTCACATCCTCCGGGTTTGTCTTCGACCAGCACGAAATGAGCTAATGTGACAAATATAGAAGTCTCTCCATGGTCATGCTGTTCTGACACTAAGCCATATTTGGATCTTTGAGACTTGCCTAGGGTTTATGCGCTTTGTTCATCAAGAAACAGGATGCTATGATGGAGATTCGACTCGGTGGGTTCGGTGGATTCTTTCATCTCGTGCTTACCATCTACAATATGTCACTCTGTTTCTTTCGGCCTGTAAAGATGGCATTCAAACTAGCACGCTCGACAATGGATGTTACTCGTTGTCCATTAAAGCGTTCGGTTCGCACCTGTTCCAACTGGCCTTTCGTTACTATTTTTCAACCTCTCGAGGTCCATATCAGACACACCTGTATCAAGACACTGCTTCAATTGAGCCCATCCTGGCATCTTCCTGATTTTGGTCATTATATTTCCTATCTTTCGTGATGTCTGCTCCCAGCTTTCCATTGAGGCCGGAGGACCTCGTACACCCGCCCCAGCCCGAGGAGATATACGATTTCACTCAGCTCGCCGATCCACCTGACGATTGGAAGCTTTTCAATATTTCGTATGACTCAGTTGTGAAAGGCAGAGTCCGCAATTTGCAACTTCCGCAAGTGAAAGTCTTGTTGGCACATTACTTCTGGGGAATGCATTATGTAGAGCCGGTCCAACTTGTTGGACAGGTCAGAAAGTTGCCAAGGCTCAATGTTCTGCAGGCTATCCTATTCAAGTGCTTCTACTACATGCAAGATATTCATCGCCCCAAGAATTATGCACAGATGCTTGATGTGAATCGAGACAGTGGGCCACGCCTCTTGAGATATGATATCGACCCGCGCCCACAGCCTATCAGTCGGTGGTACCCTAACCTTCCACAGGCTAACGAACGTCTGCTGAGGGCGTATTTACGCCCTCCTCTTGCCCCGCCAGACATGCCCGACTATCTCCTCCAGCAGTATATGTATTCAGTCGAGAGTTTTTACACGCCTCCATCGTCTCCCTCGGGTTTGCCCCCGGCGCCAACAATGGATGCGCGAGATGATGAATTTTTGCGTGTCAATCTGTTGGAACATATGAATCCAGGAGTCCAAATTGAACCACAATATTCATTGACGACGTCGCCACGCCCAGAAGAGCCCAAGTATAGCTACAAACGCTATGCGGATGACGATGAGCAATCTCAATATCCTGGTAAGAGAAGGCGGGATATGTCGCCCGGTGCTCCTGCTTACCGAGAGGGTCCTCGTGCTGCTACTCCACCTTACCAAGAGCCTGTCTTTGCTGCTGATGAACTATCCTCCTTTACCTGGATCCCTTCTCTGGCACCATCGGACACAGTGATGCCCATTGGGAGGCTGCAACTTAGTCCAATTGCCCCAAAGCCTCCCCCTAACGTCGATACGAAAATCATCACGGACGCTGTGGAACGAGCGTTGATGGAAATCGTGTACGATGATCTGGAGCGGGATCCCAGCGTTCCTGCCCTGGACAAACCTGGTCGCAATCGGACTGCCCGCTGTTGCAGTGATATGCTTAAGATGAGACTTGGAGCCTTCTCCTGCACGGAGAATATCAGGTTGTCGCCATTGGACTTTCAATGGGATCCCAATGGCTCTGTATTCCCCCTCCGGGGTCGGGGTCCCATCTGGAATAACATGTCCTGTGCCACCGATGCTGTGATCGTAGCCGGTATGCTCCTTGATGTTGGTTGCACCAAGATAGACCTTGCCCATAACCGAGCTGCTGAGTTCAAAGACATTGAGAAGGCATTCGTCGAAGTCACCAACGCGAGTTGGGAGACTCTGGATGAAAAGACCTCCATCTTTGTGCGTGATGAGTTTCTCCAACTGTTTATCGATGGCCAAAGCCAGTTGAAAATGGGAATGCCTATTCCTCCTTGGGCAATCTGGTCAGTGGTCACGAAAAGCTTTGCGCAATTTCGCTATTACCACGTTGAACGAGTGACGCCTTGCAGATGCACAAGCACCATGCCATTCATCAATTCCCATCAAGGTTCCTGTATCTTACCTGGCTATCAAAAGGGCGATGAAAATGGAGTAGATCTTCAAACCTTGATCGAGCGATGTTTCTATCAACGAAAGTCGTTCCGGTGCAATAATTGCAATGATCCGATGGGAGTCACCGGAGAGCGGAAGATCGGGCAACTGCCACTGCGTCTGGTGATGACCTTCGATCTGAAGACGCGAATCAAAAACCACACCAACAATTTGCATTTCAATTACATCGACTATGAAGACAAGCCACAGGTTGCGCACTATCGGTGGCTCGGTGGTGTCTATAACAACGAGTATCATGCTCGGTTGTTCTGGACAGACACGAAACGAGGCGAGCGAGATGAAGGGAATATCATGATGTACGACTGCCAGCTCAACTCCGGCGTGTTAGTTGGTGGAATCCCACCATTCCAGGAGGATGACAAAGTTCCCACTGAATGGGTCAATCATAAAGCTATTCCTCTCCTATTCTTTGAGCGAATCTTGAATCCCACTTCCGATCTCATCGCGAAGGCTCACAACGCTGTCTATGATATGGGTCATTGCGTGAGTCAAAAGAGGGTTGTTCTCGAGGAACACGACCCCTGGACTCCCCCACCTCCCCCCGCGAAGAACGATCCGTGGCCTCGTATACTGTCACACAATGGAGAACGCTTCAGCGATTTCAACCCCGATTGGGCTACAGGATCGCGCCCACCCAGTACCGCGCCTGTCAATTCTCCCCTGGCAACCATTGACCCGATGCTCTTGGACCCGTCAGTCATTGACCCATCGCTCATCGATCCCGCGCTTTACTCAACCAGCACACCCCCCTTATTCGATCTGTCTCCATTCGACATTCCTCCAGGTGTGGGCTTGTCGGCCCCCGAACAAATCTCGCCTGGCGATCCGAACAAAACCCATATATTTAACTCGATGATGGACACTCCAGACTGGTTCAGCCCACAACCCGACCTATGGCCATCGGGTCCGCCCATGCAGGAGGGAGCATTGGAATTCCCCAATCTGCCTACATGGCCATCGCCTCCACAAAATGAGCGTAGAGGCACCATCTCATCGGACATCGACATGCCTGATGCAGAAACTCCTCCTATCAGTCGCAAAGCATCGGGCGCGCCTACTAATGAGCTTAAGAAGGCCGCGGTCGCTAACTATGCGATGGCAAAGCAGGCCCTAGATCCACAACAGAAGAAAAAGCTTGAGGAACAACGCAAGGACGGATTCATGTACAAGCAAAATCCCAGTCAAAAGGAGATTGATGCCAGGAGGAAGGAACAGAAAAAGAGAGACAATCTCACGAAGGAAGCTCAAAAGAAGGAACCCCAAAAGAAGGGATATCAAAAGAAGGAGGATCAGAAAAAGCAGGAGGAGAGAAAGAAGGAAGATCAGCGACAGGAGGAAAAGAAGAGGCAGGAGGAACACGAGCAAAAGAAGAGAGAGGAGCGGAAGAACCAAGAAGAACAGAGGAAATATGAGGGAAAGAAGAAACTCGAGCAGGAGAAGGAAAAGGTAAGACAAGAAGAGAAGCAAAGGGAAAAGGACCGAAAGGATAAAGAAGAACGATACCAAGAGGCCAAAGATGAGAGAGAGCGACGGGGGGAGAGGAGGAAGCCAAAAGCGAAGAAACCGACTAATGTATCCGACGAGACGACTGGCCCCCGACGAGCAGGACTGAGGGCGCGGAATAACAAGCCGAACTACAACGATCCCTCGTGGACGCCTCAGAGTGATAGTGATATGGATGCGCAGTCGTGAGTGTGGCAGTGATTGAGAATATATACCTGATATACATAGTATACATAGTATACATAGTACCTACGGAGTAGACCCTGCCAATCTATCAAACATGAGTAGATTATAGATTATCTATATTAACCGAGGATGTCCGGCCAGATCAACCTAGGCATGTATAATAAGACCCTATAAGGGCTATATAACACTAGTAACGGTTTCCCCGCAGTATCTACCCCGGACTCCCATCTCCCCCCCTTTCCATCTTCCTTCTCTCCTCTCACTTGTCTATGAACAACTCTTCAAATACTGACATCAACCTAGGACTCGAATATATCGCATTCTATCATCTATTTACATGGCTTTCAATAGTCCCAAGTCTAACCAGTGGGGAATTAATCCAAAATCAGGCCAAAAACACACATTCTCAAAACATCTCGCTCACAGACGCGCCCGGGGTGGGCCGGTGGCAGTATTGCTCTTCTTCGGGGCTGAGACATATCCACCAAGAGTGCCGTCAGTGTTGGTCACGGCACCCTGGGCATCACGTCGGATACCAAGTTCGATCAACTTGGCAAACACCTTGGAGAAGTGATCAAAGAACAGCTCTTTGTCTTCGGCATACCGCTTCACCCATGGGGCGAATGCCGGATCAGTGGATAGCGCCATATCAGTGGGCAGCATCATCAACGGCTCCTCGTCCTCCTCGGCATCGGGGTCCTCATACACAAACTGTGTCATGCCCCTCGCCATCTTGCGAGGCTTCCAGTCAAGCTGCAGCATCAGCTTGAAGAAAGAGTTGGAGAACCGGGTTGGGTTTGTCACCCACGGACCCTCAAATCCACTACGGTCGCCGTGGCACCGGCCCAGGTTGTGTCCACCAGTCAGCGCTACGATCTCCTGGTCATTGAAGCCCATGCGGTAGAAGATGAATCGCAGGTGGTCGGCACCCTGTGTTCCATCTGGCAGACGTCCTCGTGGGGGCACCTTCGAGTCGTCGACAAGATCTGTGCGCCCGCCTTGCCATGGGATATCCGGTCCGCCCATCTCCTTAATCGCCACTACGCCGGCCAATGTCCACAGATCCGAGTACGTGATCCAGGGGTGCTTTTCTTTAATTGGCTCCAAGAACGCCCGTCCGTGCTGCAGACCGGCGTTGGCTGGGTCACCACCCTCGGCTTCGTACCGCATGCCAGCTCCGTTCGAGCCGCCAGTGTCCGACTTGGCGTCGTATGTGCCAGAAGAGTGCCTGTTGAAATACCTCTGTCAGTCACAACACATTGAGAAAGGGGGCTTGTCATCGGTGATCCAGGTGAGGCCCCGACCGGGGAAACGACCAAACGCCTCCAGAACCCTTTATTTACTTACCATGCTAGCCGCACGAAGACGGGCCCTGCGCTACCATCATCATAGCCGGGCTTCTTCAGAATAGCGGCGATGTCCTTGCGGACGGCCTCATAGTCACGAGTGGTGCTCATTCTCGGTCTCGGCCAATAATATGGTTCGAGATAGGTTCGGTGGCGAAAAAAAAAGAGCCCGGGATCAAGGTGAATGTCGGCTTCGGTTCAGATGTTCAGAAAGACAATATGAAAGTGAGAAAAGAGGATTCAAAGAGAAGAAAAGGAACAGAAAAAGGGTCCCGACTCCAGACTTCTCGCCCACATGCGTGGAGGGCCAGTGGAGTCCGCGGGCCGAATCAGTTTGCGCGCATTCGAAGCAGCCCTGGAGAGATGCCGAGGTCCCTTTCGGACGATAGGATTGCGCATGTCACCACTTCCTTATGAACGGCCTTGATGTTTCTAGTTTTGATATGCGACAATTTCCGACTTCTCCGATCGTTTGGTTTCGATCTTGCTCCGATGGCTTTTTCAACCCCTTGGACTCAACTGGAAGATAAAATACAAGACAAGAAAACACCAGTCATTTGCCTCCCATCAAGTGCCGGCCCCATCTAGACCTCGGGATTGAAAAACCGACTTGACACTCAGGAGACTACTATGGCCGCTATCTACTTATGTTCTACTCCGTACTTACTACTATGGAAACGAAAATTTACAGCTGAAACTGCTAATTTTTAGTGCTTTGTTTTCCACAGACATCTGACAACCTTGGAATCCATTCAACCTTGAGTTTTCTATTATGACAAGCGTCAAGATGCATTAAATGTTGTCATGCTCCTGCGAAATGATCACTCTTTATTTCATCTTTCCAAATGAGAACTACACAAAGAAAACAGATTCACTTGCTTTCCGGCTGGAAGCAGACAAATTCCTCTCGAGAAGGACCCAACACGACCAACACAAACAAAGAAACCCCACTAATGATCTTCACCTTCACAATCCGTCTCCACCCTCCATAGTGTCAGTCTCATACTCCCCATCAGCATCATCATCCGTAGTCCGCTCCTCGGCCGCATTCCTCTTCATGAAAGCCCGCAGAATATCTCGCTCAGACCGTAGTTGGTCGGCCTCCTCCCGCGCCTTTCGGAGCGAGCTCTGCAACACCCGCATTCTCGCCTTGTAGGCACGGGCCAACGCATCTGCCTCAGTGGCTACCTTCAAATGTCTCCTCCGGATCCAGTTTCGTTCTTTGCGCAGTCGGCGCCCACGTTTCTCCAGGATGCGCCGCTGTCCCACGTCTGTGTCGTGGATTGTCAAAATCACTTTGTCGATGACATCCGTGTGCGTCGCTAGCAGCGTGCCTGCCTCGGAGTGCTTGGCGATACTGATAAAGGTTGCGCAGATGTCTGCGGCAATTGACTCCATCAGCTCCCTCTTAGTTGCTGAGGATTTCTCCTCGAGATTTTCGAGGCGGAGAGCGCAGGACCCTGGGGTCGTTGGTTGATGGGATGCCTCCGTAGAGCTGGGCGGAGACCTAGCATTTGGGGGCTCCATTTTGGGTGAGCCTGTCTGAGGGTATTGCGAGAATTGAGGGGATTTATGGATGAAGTTTATTCTCCTTTGAATTCTCGGAAGTGTGGGTTCTTGTGGTTGATTGCGATTCAGGTGAGCGAATGGTATATGCAATCATTGGTTAGGGCCCTAGCTCTGGGGGATGGGGCTGTAGACATGAATATGGAAGGGAAACGAAAGAAAAGAAGAAGGGTCAGAGGGAGCATTAAGGGGAGAATCAGAGTCAAAGATGCCTCATAAGAAGGCCGGTCTCAGTAGCTACCTACATGTAGGTACGTCCTGTCGCAAAATGGTTTGATCTTTTCTTTGAAGCCCAGTCTTAAAACAAACATTGCCTTTTATTTGATCTTTCAGGACACATTCATTTGTCTCTAGTCGTATTCAATTCAAACGTGCTGTTTGCGCAATGGTTTCCATTCTTTATTGCAATCGGATCGTGATTCTATTTTTTGTCTCCCTCATAACGCAGACACAATCGCGTCGCCCACTTCTTCAGTTCCAGCTTTACCCACAAGATCAGGCGTCCGCAGGCCAGAGTCCAACACTTTACGCACCGCAGCCTCCACACGTTGAGCCTCACCTTCCATGCCCAGAGAGTATCGGAACATAAGAGCAACACAGAGGATCATGGCTACCGGGTTGCCAATGTCTTGCCCAGCAATACCATCACAAAGTTAGAACAACTTTGCTTTCTTGGAATATCCAGTACTTGCGTCGGAGCAGATCCATGTGTAGGCTCATACCGACTATAAGGTCTGGTCTCCAGCGTCTTGTCGCCAGGAAGACCTTTGAGGCTGGCACTCGGCAAGACACCCAAGGTACCAACAATAGACCCAGCTTGGTCGGAGATCATGTCGCCGAAGGTGTTATCAGCCAGGATAACGCCATTCAATAATCGTGGGTTCGTTGCTAGAATCAATGAAGCAGAATCGGCAAGCTGGTGCACCAACTTCAACTGAGCGTACTCAGCTGCTATGGTCTTCTCCACTACCCGGCGCTAGAGTCGCGATAAAGCCAGCACATTTGCTCTATCTAGTGAAATGACAGGCCAAGGAGGATTGTGTCTCAGTGCGACTTCGGCGGATAGACGGGTGACACGTTGAACCTCTGCCTCTGAGTAGCCCCATTTATCCATCGCTGTATGAAAGGCCAAAGGTTAAATAGCCACCCCCTCTGGGATAGTATCGGCCTAACATACCGTATGTTTCTTCTTCGACCTTGCGACCAAAATAAGCTCCTCCGCAGTTCTCTCTTACCACAACGAAATCAACACCTTCAATGGCATCGTGTCGGAATGGGCTGAACTGTTTGGCAATAGAGGCACTCGACAAGGTAGATGAGCATGGACGCAAGTTCGCATAGATATCCATAGCCTTGCGGAGCTGGAGGAGGCCACCTTCGGGTCCATCAAGACCACGACGTTGCTTATCCCATTTTGGACCTCCAACTGCTGCGAAGAGCACTGTATCGGAATCCAATACTGCTTGCTTGATTCCTTTGATCACAGATTTGCCATGGGCTTCAATACTGCAAACTCCGATCAACTCCTGGCGCAGTTCAAAAATCCGCTGAGGAGTCTCAAAGGTTTTTAGGACCTTGACGGCTTTGGCCATGACCTCAGGGCCAATTCTATCACCGGGTAGGACGAGGATTTTGAATTTTTGAGCCATAATAGTGCCAATTGTTTACTTATGTGTATTGGGAGTAAATCGGAGGTGCTTCCTTCCCCCTGGCATACGACGATACATATGGCCTCTATCGGAGCTCGGTTTTGCATCCGATTTATGCGGAGTTTCAATTGCTCGGGCTTTATCCGAGGCCGGTGACATGGCGTTTGATATGTGGAGGGAAAGTATGCCGTTCAATCTTCTGCGGGGTTGTTCTGGTGGATGTTGGTGTATACAATCAGTCCATACAAGTGTCGTTTGGCGTGTATTCGGTCCTTCATGCTTCTAGCGATTGTAGCCAAAGGAATGAGATAACAGATATACACAGGTTATATAACTTATGGGGACAAAGATGTCTACCTAGACATCCCGAGAAGACCACTCCCAGCTTATATGGTAGGCTGCGATGTATAACCTGTGTTATAGAAGATCGACCTTACAACACTCCGATTGGGACACTGCTTACCAGCGTTTATTATCTCAATATAAAACATCGACCAATAAATGTGACTTATATACACTATCCCTCATAAAAACGAGCAACTGGAAAGCTTAGGAAACCATCGGTCATAGTGAACTATTGATGTATGGATATTGTTTAGAGTAATAGGAGTGTGGAAACCAACAGCCTTGGCCATTCTTCTGGCACTTTGTATAGTTTTGATTGATACACTCCCGTTTCATTGAATAGATTCTATAAGATATTCTGATTTCTCTCGCTTCTTCTCGCTTCTTCTGGTGTCTTCTTTTTCAAGTCTGTATTTCTAACACGACTAATCCGGTAATAGGGCTTAGGGTCAATCAGTTCCCCTCTTGTTTGTTCTGTTTGCAGTGCGGGCATCATTTCTAAGCATTCGATGATCTCCAATCTCCGAAAGCGCAATACATTTTTCTGTGACAAGACTTCAAGATGTCGCGGATTGAAGAGCTTCCAGATGACTTCGACGAGGCGCTCAACCTCAACAATGCTCCCCCCGAGGTTACCCAGGGTCTGCCCCAGCCGGGATTTGACGCCTTCGCTGCCGGCAACGAAATTCCCTTCCCGATCAATGAAGAGGCATTGAAGGCGCGCAACACTGACCCAAATGCGCCTGAGCTTCCCCCAGCCATTGCGGCTGTCCAGTCGCATACTTCGGAGGAGTTGATGGCGATGATGAACAGGACTCCCTTGTTCATGACCGATATTGAGAATGCGGGCGACGAGAGTACGTCAGATAATTGTTATCATATCGTTGTTGGATGTGACTGACATGTGTGGTTCTTATAGAGGGTGAAAATGTGCTCCTCGATGCCCTCCAGGCTTTGCAGAATGAAGGCACCAGGGGCGAAGTTGCACAAACATTCAAGGGACAAGGCAATGAAGCTGTGCAGGAACTCAAATGGATCGACGCTAAAGAGTTCTACACGAAGGCTATTGCTGTTATCAATGCCAAGGAAGATAAATGGGAGAAGCCCGAAGACCCCAAGGAGGAGGCAGCGCTCCTGCTCAAGTTGGAAGAGGCATCACACATCAACCGGGCGCTATGCAACTTGGAGCTTGGTAAATCTCATCTTCCGAAATGCCTGCATGGAAATTTTTCTAACTTATTGCCTTTCCAGGAAACTACCGTTCCTGTACTCTCGATTGTGCCGCCGCTCTCAAGTTCAATCCCAAAAACGTGAAGGCCTTCTATCGCTCCTCCTTGGCACTCTTCAAGCTGGACAAGATCGCCGAAGCCGAAGATGCGGCCGCCCGAGGACTGGCAATTGATCCGGAAAGCAAGGCTCTCAAGGAATCCGCCAAGAAGATTGCCGAGCGCAAGGCTTTGTTGGAGCGCGCCGCTGCTAGGAAAAAGGCGGAAGAAGAAAAGTTGCGCAAGCAGAACATGATTCTCAGCACTGCTCTGCGAGCCCGTCAGATCAGAACCCGCAAGACTGAGCAGCCTCCCGATATGGAAGACGCTAAGATCCGCCTCGTTCCTGATCCTCTCTCGCCTGAAAGCACCATCGAATTCCCCGCCGTTTTCCTCTATCCCACGGAGGCCCAGTCCGATTTTATCAAGTCCTTCTCGGAGATGAACTCTATCGCGGATCATCTCGATTACATCTTTCCTCTTCCTTGGGATACCAAGAAAGAATACACCGTGGAAGGTGTTGAGTGCTTCATGCAAACCGTCTCTGGTGGTTTGATCAAGGCAGGCAAGAAAGTCCCTTTGTTGCAAATTCTTACCGGTGGTAAGGTTGAGGTGGTGGATGAGCTCGTCAGCATTTTCGTTGTGCCCCTGTCTAAGACCGGTAAATTCATTGCGGATATGAAGGCTCGCAAGACTGGCTGAGCAGTTCCACATTAACATGAAGCACATCGCTCAACTTTCGATCTGTCCCGTCGATTTCCATGGAAATTGCATCTTCAAGAAACCACTATACCTTTGTTGAGATGCTCCTTCTCGAGCCATCTGTCCAGGGGCCTCTTGGCCTGAGATTGGCTGCAATAACGGTACATAGCCACTTTCCACGCTCGGCTTCGACACCCCACGGAGCCAGATGATAACTATACAATTCCTGATACCCCTCAAAAGTGCCAGTCTCATGTACATATATGCATTCTTGGATTCTTATAGATATGGCTCATCTAGGCGGCAGCGCCCTTTTGGAAGCAAACAGTTTCATCGTTCATAAACCAACCAACCCAAAGCCCGGGAAGATCATTCTGCGTTTTGCGTTATGAGATGTCCTAATCCGGGATATTAGATGGTCTTGGCCAGAGACTGTTATTGATAATGCCAACCTCGCAAATGCAATAGAACTCGGTGTAGTTGGAGCTGTATTTTGCCGGTTTCTTTTCTCATGTCGGTGGCACATGTATTTGTGACAGAGAAAATGCCTACGGGGGAGCCTATGATTCCTGGAATCAAAATAACCGGACATAACACGCGTACAGGGGTGATTCACTCAAGCCTGGGAACCTTTCGCTTTAAATTTTCACGCCTAGAGTCTGGTTGGACTAGGCGAAGTTGACTCGGACGTGGATTCTATGATGTTGTGTGCTGTACTTGAGCGCTAATGTAGGTTCAATCATCTCCAAGTGAGGGGATGCGCACTGTCTAGCCTGAATGAGCAGGGTGTGTAGCATACTCTGGACCATTTGGACTCATCAGAAATAGCCCAGTCGCCAATATGCACCCCCGAGAACCTGAATCCCAAGAGGGAATGACATCGACAGGTTCCCCGGAATCCACGAATTAACGGGGCGCATTTACCCGATTCTCCTGAGTTTAGCCCTCATGATCTGTTCTTCAGCAAAAGTCCCTCGAATGCGGAGAAAAGGTTTCGTCAGGGATGTTTTTGCCGTGAAGAAAATACGGGATTTGCTCCGGCAATTTCTCTATTCGTTTCATGCTAGAACATGTGGCACCAGGGCCCATGTCTATGCTTCTGGCTAAAATGGGGGGCTGTCATGCACGAAATCCTACTTGTTACGATATTGAAAAAGGTCGATTGAGCCTAATTGACTGCGTTGAAGCCCGCGACAACTACGCCACGGGCTTTCGGTCCGGATGGCTGTCCAATGTGAAACTACCTAGCGCCGGACCAATGCTGAAAATATCCGAAACCCTCACGATTTGGCCGTGGCATTTTATCGCAAACTATAAAAGGAGCATGGGGTGGTCTCTCTGGACTGACTCTGAAACCTGTGGTCCATTCAGTTATTGGCGAGCTTGGATTATATCGCCACTATGGTTCACTTGTCCCCTATTGCCCTGGCATTGGCCAGCATTCTTCCTCAATTGTATGGATGATCTCGCAATTACTCACATGTTATTGCAAAGACTGATATATTGTGTTTTATAGAACCCAAGGAGCCGGCTTACACAGCGCTGCCGTTGCAAAGGGAAAGCTATACTTCGGATCAGCTACTGACAACCCCGAGTTGACCGATACTGCATACCTTGCCCAACTGAGCAACACAGATGAGTTTGGTCAAATCACTCCTGGTAATGCGCAAAAGGTAACATTGGAATTCACCGTGCTCTAAAGCCCTCACTAATCATCTCTAGTGGGATGCAATCGAACCATCACAAAACACCTTCACTTATACCAACGGTGATACCGTTGCTAGCCTTGCTGCTCAAAATGGCCAGAAGCTCCGATGTCATACTTTGGTTTGGCATAGCCAGTTGCCTAGCTGGGGTAAGCTTTATCATCCCCGTGGAATCGTACAATACGAACTTCCTTCTATCGGAATACCATCTAATCAGTATGAATAGTCTCCAGTGGTACTTGGACCAATGCAACTCTGATTGCTGCCATGAAGAACCACATCACCAACGTAGTGACTCACTACAAAGGCAAATGTTATGCTTGGGATGTTGCCAACGAAGGTAAGTGCTGAAGCTAGGCACGAGGGATACCATGAGCAAGAAACTGATCATTCGACTACCAGCCCTTAATGAAGACGGCACCTATCGTGACAGTGTCTTCTACCAAACCATTGGCGAGGCATATCTTCCCATCGCATTTGCGACAGCAGCTGCCGCAGACCCAGATGCCAAGCTCTATTACAATGATTACAATATCGAGTCCCCCGGTTCCAAGTCAACGGGTGCCCAGAGGATTGTCAAGCTCGTGCAGCAGTATGGTGCGAAGATCGATGGCGTCGGCCTGCAAGCACATTTCATCGTCGGAAGCACACCCAGTCAAAGCGCGCAAACTACCAACCTAGCTGCGTTCACAGATCTGGGGGTCGAGGTTGCCTACACTGAACTCGATATCCGGATGACACTGCCGTCCACTGATGCCTTGCTTGCGCAGCAGTCGACCGATTATCGAAATAGCGTTGCGGCTTGTGTGGCCAACACCAAGTGTGTTGGTGTTACTATCTGGGACTACACTGACAAGTACTCTTGGGTTCCGAATACATTCTCGGGTCAAGGTGCTGCATGTCCTTGGGATGAGAATTTGGTGAAGAAGCCGGCTTATGACGGTATCCTGGCTGCTCTAGATGGTGCGGCTTCATCAACCACGCTCTCCACTACCCTGGCTACTACGACTACTACGAGTGCTTCTGGGGGTGTTACTGGTGTTCCTCTCTACGGCCAGTGTGGGGGCTTGGGTTGGACTGGTGGCTCGACTTGCGCAAGTGGAACCTGTAAGTATGTCAATGACTGGTATTCGCAGTGTCTGTAGGCTCCCTTGGGTGATATTTACTTCCTGGCGAAGATCAACTGGTGGAGGACCAACTGGTGTGTGTTCATCTGTCATCATGTTCATCTCTGCATTTTTCACACGCTAGGATTTATTTTCAATTGCTTTTCAAATCACAGATGAACACTGTAACCCGGTAGGATGTAAGTTCGACTAATGGTTTAATTTCTAAGCAGTACAGTCTTCTTTTCCCCCGTTAGTATTATTTGCGGTCGGGATAGCTTGGTTAAAGACAAACGAAAGTGTATTCATTATTCATCAAAGACATTACAGGTACCACCGCTCAGTTTTGGGCACTTAGTAGTTGAAAAAGTAGGGGTTGGCATAAGGTATCATTGGCTCAGTTGAGGAGCTCTCTGCCAAAGACTGAGTGATAGGAAGACATGCAGTCTGGGGCATATTATGGGCAAAAAACTCCATCCGTGTTGGTTGAACAGAAGAATCGCCAGGATATGGATAGTTTGCGGCGTCAAAGTGGCGTGTCCGATCAACCAAATGCATTTCAGTTGATTCGCGTTTTCTCTTCGACTCGGATGGTGATGTCGACAGGGTCGGGGGCGTCTCCACAGGCTGGTATGAAATATTTGGGCCCAGTTGCATTGTTGAGCAGTATAGATCGGAGGGATTGTATCCGGGCCCGCGCGATGGGTCTACAGGTATGACTTGACTTGGACCGATGCAAGGACTGTCGTCGCTACTGTCGGACCGGGCGATGTTTCGAATGGGATCGGATGCCGTTGGTGAGCTTTGCCCACTGGATGAGTCTTCGGTCGGTTGGGGGAGATTGGTACGTGCGATCAATACAGGCTGTTCTCCATCTATGATTCAGGAGGTGAGTTTGAGGAAGATTTGGAAAATAGGACCTATGAGTGGTGTACCTGAAATGCCATCGAGAAATTCCTGTTCTTTCTCGCGAACTCGATATGCCTCATCCAATATTTGTAAACGATCAACTGGGAGAATCTGACGACGAATGGGCTGATCACATTCTTTCAATCGGATGGTTGTGATTGCGTGGCTTTCATGTAGTTCGCAAAGAATGTGCACTAGGAGTCGAATGCGTTCTGGTTCTTGTCAGCGTCGTTGAACACCTCACAAGGCAAGGTCGTCTCTTACCAACTTTGGGAAGATGGTCCGGTTCCCTATGGCTCACTCCCAGAGGCCACCACGGTGGTTTGGTAGCCTCTGGATCGAGCTGTCGAGTTCTTCCTTCCACAATCTTCCGTCCATTGTAAGGGTAGTTCACTTGCTTGCGTGGCTCGACTAACTTGATGTAAGCTTTGGCGATGACTCGGCAGTTTGTTTGTTGTAAGTTTTGAAAGACTTTCTCGTAGTAAAGGCGCAAAAAATCCCGTTCTTTCACGGAGATGGAGACGGTTTGATGTGAAGTCAAGTTGAAACTCCGACCACCAAAATTCTTCCTCCGAGGTCTTGTCTCTGTTGGCCAAAACCCGTTTGGGGATGACCACATCGGCTGCTGAATGGGGACATCTAGTCGGACTGGATCTTGCATCTGCTCACTGCCCATACTCATTCCACTATACGCCACGAGTCCCCCCTGCGACTGGGCTGGGCTGTATTCATCAAGGTGTGATCCCTGACTGCAAGGCAGTAATGCTTCATTGGAGGCTGTTCTGAGTCAATGCAACGTCTTCGATCCGTGACAAAGAACACTCACATTTATATTGTGTTTGAGATTCTCTCGACATCGCCACTGCTCTCAGAAATTCACCTGTAACTCTCGGGGAGAGGATCGTCTGGCGGCTCTCTGCGATTGAATCGGAGGCCCTTTGACAAAGATTGCCATCTCGATCAATATAGATCATGGCGAAGTGGACATAATTGACCCCCTCTGGCGATGGTTGAGACATTGTGTTGGAGACCTGACTACAGAGTCGGGTCTGTCGAAATCATCCAAAAGAAAATAAAAGGTTCGATCTGAAGTGGATCAAGGGAAGACTATGATTCACCGCAGGGTAGCAATATATCCAGATGGTAACTGTCGATCAGTGGCCAGCTGAAGCGATAGGCCTGAACGTCAAGATTTATAAGAGGTTTGTCAGGCCGGTGTGGCGCACTGACTATACATTTGTAGCGCATCCAAAAAGAGTGGAGGCCCAATTCCAAAGAGCAAAAGCCTTGTGGAGACGAGCAAAAGGACCGATCTGCAACAGCGCCAAAGGAGATGCATACATCAAGTATCGACTTAGCGTATGGAGGCGCGATCCAGCACTAGACCTATTGCGAACCGGAATTATGTTCCTTGTTATTGGCGAAAAATCCCCGAATTTGGACCTCTTGGGTAAGGAGATATACGGTATAATGCTCTAATACGGTCATGCTTGAATACTATCATACTATACTACTATAATACCATATGCCATTCGCTACAGGCATGAGGCGAGGAGTCTCCCGCCAAAGTCCCATGCCTCCTTTCCAAATTGCAACCCGGCCAGAGATCTGCGAGATTGACCATATTGGGGCGCAATGAAACGATCAAGTCGAATAGCTGCACGCTGACAATTAATCCCCAGACGGCATTGTGGACCCTGCGACTCCGTATGGTCGAATGGATCTCGGTCACGGACGACCAACCGCAAACGCATGACAGCACCATGTTTAGACGAACATGTATGCAAGATGACCTCGGTAATCGACGCAATCTGAAATTCTCATGTAGTGATCGACAGGCGGTGGTGTGGCGGAACCTTGTGCCCACCGGTTGCCTACACTTCCCACCATCATCTCCGACGTTAGAACTGGGGGACGGAGTACTCCGTACGGGAGTAGACCGTTGGATGTTGTACATCTATCCAACTGGTCATGTTAGTGTTCTTCCGACTCCTTGCTTGTCCCCAGGAAGTGACAGGATCGATTTCTGGTTATTCTGGTGAGAATGCCTCAAACTGCGTGCTCCCAGATGCAGAGCTCGGGGGTTACTGCGTAGAGCACTATCGATGTACGGAGTACTCCGTAGAGCGCTCAGCTATGATCAAAGCACCTAGCCGGTCACCCGAAGGTGATGTGTCGAAATTGCCATCCAACAACAAAGCGTCAGTTCGAATGACCATTCTCGGCATTGAGTGCAGACTTCCAAGTATCCCAGCGGTTCTAGAGGTGCTAGGTCACACCGTTCACTCAAGACCGCTGGCAGGTTGGGCTTGGACACGGGCGCATGAGACGCATGCGTAAATGCGATTATAGCCCTGCCATCCCTTCCAACGGGAATCGATTTTCCATGTCCCCCAACTGGCTCAACAAGATCCCCCTCATTCTGCATGCACAAGAAGCTTTATCCAGCGGTGCGCCTGCGTCGATGTTGAGAGTGGCTGAGGAATACGAACTTCTATCGAATGTACGCAAGCCTCTCCGGTCTATCTTCCATCTTGTCGGCCGAGCGGCCGCATTTCGGCGTTCAGGAGAAGTTAAACTGAAGGGGCTCTGTCCCACCCAATTGGAGGTGGCCAGCCAATTGAAGATTTTCGGATTGAGGTATCTGTTATATTGCTCAACCATATCAAGAGTACCTTGACGCAAATTCTCAAAGAATCTGAGTTTTCTCGCACTACCTAGCGGAGAGATAAGAGTAGCAATACAAACTCTCACAAAGCTTGAACCAATCTAGGAGATTCATTGATCTAAGATAGGAGGGTTGCTCCAAAAAAGTCACCAGGTCTAAAAATTGGGAAAATTTGACCAAGTCCTATATCGTCCAATTTATTAACCTAAAACATTATATTGAACATTATATTAAACATCATATTAAACATCATATTAAACATCATATTAAACATCATATTAAACATCATATTAAACATCATATTAAACATTATATTAAACATTATATTAAGATCGGTACCAAGCAAAACTGCCTCGTATTTAATTCTGTCCAGCTGCTGGAGTTTCCTGGAACTGCTATAGGGGATCCAATGATTTCATTAATCCCATATCTAGTTTCGAGGTACCTTTTATATGGTTGAGCAATATAAAAGATACCTCAATCCGAGAATCTTCAATTGGCTGCCCACCTCGAATCGGGTGGAACAGAGCCCACCTACGCCGTCCAAGTCTTCGGAAATTTACCACATACCTACAACATACGGAGTACCCGGTATAACCTCGGAAATCACCAAGTGGAGCATGATGCGATTGAAAGGATCGAACACGCGATAAGCTTCGTCGTGCTCGGCTCTTCCCTTGTACAATATAGTGGAGAATCCTAGGCGATGTTTTCCAGCATATTTCTTCGGAGGGTAAGCTCCTACGTTAGATCTCGGTCAAGGTGCAAGAACACAGTTCTCTTTGCAGATATTGCGGTTGATCATACCGTACTCCGTACAGTCACGGAGAACACATATTTCAACATGCCAATGGACCATTCGACGGATCTCGGGATTTTTATCCCAATGCGGTGTACTCCATCCCAGGTGCATTCGAGCCTTAAGCTTATCATTCTGAATGTGAGATTGAGTTTGAGCTAGTACATCGGGACATCAACACCGACATTTCTCGATCTCAAGGCCTCTCTCTATTACGGAATACAATCTTCCGTACTTTGTGGGTTGTGTCCCTATGGAGTACAGAGTACGGATACATACTCCGTACTCCGTACTTCGTCCATACAACGTACAGCTCAGCCCCATGCTAATCACTCCAAGCAAGGATCTTCAACTTGCATTTCCTGGAAATCGGGATCCTTCACTCCGCTCTCGAACTTGTGGCGTTCAGCTGATGGTCCAATGTGGCCCACAGTACCCTTTTTAGCGTCCTGCATATTCGCGCTGCGACATGTATGGAGTCCAGAGCACAATGTTATGTATAATAATCCCACTTTCGAAACATTTCTCAAACATTGAGCCTTCGTACCTATAACAGTGCTTTTTTTTTTATCCCCTGCAGCCTGTATTCGCCACACAACGGCACAGGCCTCGGTTGCGTACGTAGATCGCACGGAATGGCTGTCAACAAAGTTCCCAGGATCGTCTAGCTGGCTACCTTTTCGGGCTAAATTAGATATATCGCCTAGTGACTCCAGATAGATCAAGTCAAGAAGGTTTACGGAGTACCATGTTTCCACTCGTTCCTGAAAAAAAATTCATAAGCGAGCCCCTCTTCTCATGTATGACTTGTGTACATCCCGATTCCCCGAACGTGGGTTCACGGCGAGCGCCGTGGATACCGGCGGAAGGACCTGAACAAGATCGCCATGTAGGGAGTAGCTAGTCCGTATGTAGCTAATACTTCTGAAAGCTCTTGATTACAGTTTTGTAGGGAGATTTTCAGTCTCCATACCGGAGAACTCGGCACGCTTTTGACCGTGACAGCTTTCTTTCCTGCACCGCCACTTGCCGGATGTGAGCCGGCAGGGTTTATTTAAAAAAGAAAATTGAGGGGTAAAGACGAATGATATTCGATTTCATGTGACACACAAGATGGCGGTAAGAGGTATGGCCTGAGAGCGAATGTGAGGCTGAAAAGGTACCAGAATAGGGAGTCCAGAGTACGGGAAGAGTCATGAACAAGGCTGAAAAGAAATGACAAGATCTTAGTGCATATATGGGATACACTGGCGATAGCCCACTTCTAGTCCGTAGATCCTGCTCCATAAGGATCAAGCTGGAATAGGCAGGTGCATATGTTGAAGTTGAGAGAAGCGCCGTGGGAGTTGGCAAAGACAAAACTGGGGTGGAGCATCCGATTTCAGGCATCAGTATTTTGTCAGCCTGAGGCATGACATCCCGTGACCTCCCAAGCTCACTTCCATTGTGTGACGGTGGAAGGTCAAGTACTTCTGTACGCCATACTCCAGACCCCATACTCCGTACAGTCTTGAAAGGCTAGAATTTTCAAACCTCTCCGATTCAAGTTTCATGTCAACTTGAAATTACACATTATTATCCATTCAATACTCAAACCTGGGTCTCCACCATTCCGAAAGGGCTCCGCTGCATTAGCCCGCCCACGGCTGATCGCTCTGAATCTGGGCAACCAAAATCTGTCTTGCTCAGGTTGTGAAGGCTGCTCGTGTTCATATCCCTGCCTCTTGACAGAGCCAATCACTACGTTCTTTGTCTTGTTTCTAATCCAGCTCACGCCAAATCTCTGGGGTTCTCCAGTCAACCGACGCCCTTGGACCTTCACCGTCTTGTCCGTGCGGCCTGCGTAATTCAGCTTATCCCCCCTAGTAGCTTCCCTAAACCGAGGGGATCGCTGAAGGGAAGAATTATTACAGGGTGAAAAGAATCACAGGAGCCACCCTTTAACTGTGATGCTCCCACATTACACAATGGACCCCAATGCTGGTTATCCCGCAGGCTATCCCGTCCCGGCTCAAAGCCCCTCAAACCAACAGATGCCTTTTTACCCTAACGCTATTCCCCCGTATCCCCAGACAAAGGCGCCCTCGACTCAACACTTTGGTGCTATGCCTATGCAGCCGGGTCCTGGTGGAGCAATGATGCCTTCAGGTTTCCCCCAACAATCCTCTGGTTCGTGTTTCCCCCCTTACCCTTTTCCGTGATTATCAGCGCGGAGAATTTGTCACCTTTACCCCAAGCAGACTGGGATTGTATGTCACATTAATAAGGGGAAGAGAAGGGATGCCATGGGCTATTTTCACCCATTCCCCCTCATTCCTGTGTCACCCAGCCCCTAAAGCCTACCACTGTCACTTGTATTGAGCCTTGGCATTGTTTGATCTTGACTCTTTGTCTCTCGCTACATTCAGTTCCCTTAATTTTGTGTTGCAATTTCTCTAGCTGACCATATTCTTAATCATAACAGCAGCTATGGATAATTTCTCAACACCCTTCACCCAGGCTTCCATTCCCACACCCATGGGTCAATTTGTCCCCCCTCAAGGCACATCCGGCGCAAATGTACCGTCACAAGTAGCGCAGACCTTCTCTCAAAACATGGCTTCTATTTCAGCGAGCAACCTTCTTGGCACACAACCCAAACCCCCTTCGCAAATTAACTCTCCTCAAAACGCCGCTCATAGTGGGGCTCCGAATCAGGCCCAAGCCCAAGCCCAGGCTCAGGCTCAGGCTCAGGCTCAGTTTGCAGTGCGTGAAAAGGCCCGTGTCACGACGCTCCTCGATATCAACTCGGCTCTGTTGCAAGAAGTGGTGAACCTCCAAGCTGCTGGCAAGGCGGGGCCTGCCTCCAACCCCGATACGAATTCACCAGCGTCAGAACAAGCGGATCCATCTAAGGCGAACCAGAAACCGAGCCCCGAATACATTGAGTGTATGCGACGCTTGCAAGCCAACCTAGCATACCTCGCTACTATCGCTGATCGAGCAAAGAAGGCGAGTGGTGTCGTTCCCCAGACCCCAGCGATCATGACTCCGCCCCCCAACCTTCCTACTGTGAATGAACTCTATGCTAGGCTCAATGAGCTTTTTTCGCGGTCCGCAAAGTCCTCTACCCCACAACGATTGAGCCCTCAGACCATGCAAGGAAATGGTGGGCCTAGCCCGGGCGCAATGGTTGAGACAAACATTTGAGAAAATGACGAAACATGCGGTCCCCCATCCTTTGTGTCGGGAGACATATCACAATTGATTATCAAACTTCTGAATTGTCTAACCATGCAAATCACTCCGCATGCGGTTTGAGCAACTAAAGCAAGTCACCTTGGAGGTGTTCACTCAACCCCTTCACGACCATCCACACCGGCAGAAGCATCGACAACCCACCATGCGAACTACCCCTGCCAGGTGAGAAACCAAATCCGTCACCAGCTGAGAATTTGCAGCCAGCCTTAGTCGGTGTCATATATGAAGGCTGGGAAATACTTTCAAACTCATCAAATTCCTTGGAGGTAGCATTTTCCGCGGAAGGGCTTTCATGAAAGGAGTAATCCAAGCTATAGAGCGAACCCCAGAAGATCACTTATCTGTACACTAGTTGAATGTAACATCTTTTGCATACCATCTCCATGAAAATTAGGCATATATCACTCTACCTAGACCTTATGAAATGTTCAGCTGCGCGTGAAGTTGCCATGGGACCACATCGTGCGAGCAACTGCGCCATTTCGCAAGCGCTTTTCACTCCACCTTTTCGAAGCTACCTGACTATCTCCTATTGTATTTTCCCATCTTTTGGGGCAGAAGCATTGCGAATATCCTTATTTCTGAGTGTACTGAATGGCTTCAATGATATATTTGGCTTTGATGTTCTTTCTAAGCTATCCAAAGATCTGGAAGTATGGACTATAGCAATATATGGCTTTCAGCCTCGCCTTTATAGATAGGCGGACTCATATACGGAGTACTGCCGGCACAATCTTGTATAAAAATGGTCCACAGGCGTCTATCGCCGTCCGTAGAGGACCATGCACCCGGTGAGTCTTCCACCAATCATATGGCGTCGCTGGTCTACCGCTTTGAAGACTGTCATGGAGGCTTTGTCTCAAGATCAAGGCGCGTACACATTTTCCCCCAATTGCGTGGTGGATGTCTTGTTCTTTGCTAGCCGTATGCAAAAGGAGCTTTTCAATCACCACTGTCTTACCTCGATCACCCTATCAAGCTTCAAAGAGAACATTCGCTCATTTGAAGTTCCAAGCTGCTGATCGGTCATCTGCGTCACATTCCTTAACTCCGCATCGCCTACATATCAACGAGTTCCGATCGCTTTATCTTCCATTCGCTGCTGCCTTGTCAGCTTCTCGAAGCCTCCGAACCATCTGCTACCTTACGAATCGTCAACAACATTCTCCGCAGCACCTTTGGGCCTCGGATATCTTCACCATGGATGGCAAAGGCGATCTGGGCGCAAAGCGCAAGCTCAACACAGCTTCCAATGCTTCTGAGTATCCCAATAAGCTACTCAGACCGGACGCCGCAACTTTAACTCCTAGTGATGCAACACCTGCCAACGGAACTGTCTATGATGTCGAGGAGGAGATGAATGAACCTTCTTCGCCAGTCGCCCTTCCCGCCACAACAGATTCGCCTGAATGGCAGGCTACCATCGAAAAAGTTGTGAAATGTGCTGTATCCATCCACTTTTGTCAGACTTGCTCGTTCGACACAGAGCTATCAATGTCCAGTCAAGCTACTGGTTTCGTGGTGGATGCAGAGCGGGGATACATCTTGACCAATCGCCATGTGGTTGGCGCTGGACCATTCTGGGGATACTGTATCTTTGATAACCACGAGGAGGTAAGTCGACTCCGAACCATTGTTCTATTTCATTTCTTAGTTGGTTGCTAACCAGATTGTCAAATAACAGTGCGACGTCAGGCCTGTATACCGGGATCCCGTTCACGATTTCGGAATTCTGAAGTTCGACCCCGCCAAAATTCGTTATATGGAAGTCACCGAGTTGAAGCTCCAGCCTGATGGAGCGCGAGTTGGCACAGAAATCCGTGTTGTGGGTAACGACGCTGGAGAAAAGCTGAGCATTCTGTCTGGCGTGATTAGTCGACTGGACCGGAATGCGCCTGAATATGGGGAGGGCTATTGCGATTTCAATACCAATTACATCCAGGCCGCAGCTGCAGCTAGTGGTGGTAGTTCGGGAAGTCCTGTGGTCAACCTTGCTGGTCAGGCAGTTGCTTTGCAGGCTGGTGGTCGAGCTGACGGGGCTGCGACGGATTACTTTTTGCCACTGGATCGTCCGCTCCGTGCGCTAGAGTGTATTCGCCAAGGCAAGCCTGTCACTCGGGGTACAATTCAAACACAGTGGATCTTGAGGCCTTTCGATGAGTGTCGCCGTCTCGGTCTCACGCCAGAATGGGAGGCCTCCGTGCGCGCTGCTGCGCCGGCGGAGACAAACATGCTTGCGGCGGAGATCATCCTTCCAGAGGGGCCTGCGGACGGCAAGCTATTGGAAGGAGACGTGCTTCTCAAGGTGAACGGACAGCTTCTCACCCAGTTTGTCGAACTCGACGATATCCTTGACTCGAGCGTCGGCAAATCTGTCAAGTTGCTAGTTCAAAGAGGTGGCCAAGACGTTGAGGTTGAGTGTCAGGTTGGGGACCTTCATGATATTACCCCCGATCGTTTCGTGACTGTCGCTGGTGCCACCTTCCACGATCTATCATACCAACAATCACGTCTGTATGCCATTGCCACTCGTGGAGTCTATGTCTGTGAGTCGGCAGGCTCTTTCAAGCTGGAGAATACTGTGGCGGGCTGGATCATTGATTCAATCGACAAGAAGCCGATTCGTAACCTCAATGAATTCGTAGAGGTCATGAAGAAAATTCCTGACCGCGCTCGCGTGGTGATCTCATATCGCCATATTCGCGACCTGCACACCAAGGGAACTAGCATCGTTTACATTGATCGCCATTGGCATCCCAAGATGCGCTTGGCGGTCCGTAACGACGAGTCTGGTGTCTGGGATTTCTCGGATCTTGCAGATCCCATTCCTGCCGAACCTCCTGTCGCAAGAGAGGCAAACTTCATTCAATTAGAAGGTATCAGTCAGCCTGCTGCTGCCGAAATTGTCCGTAGCTTTGTGCGTGTGGGGTGCGTCATGCCATTGAAGCTGGATGGGTACCCTCAGGCGAAGAAGACAGGATTTGGACTTGTCATTGATGCCGAGAAGGGTCTAGTGGTGGTATCACGAGCCATTGTTCCCTATGACCTATGCGACATCAACATTACTGTGGCCGACTCAATCATCGTCAGTGCTAAGGTAGTCTTCCTACACCCGCTTCAGAACTACTGCATCATTCAATATGATCCCAGCCTCGTCAAAGCTCCGGTCAAGAGCGCCCAGCTCAGCACCGATTATATCAAGCAAGGCCAAGATACTATCTTTGTCGGCTTCAACCAAAACCACCGCATTGTCGTCGCCAAAACTACTGTTACTGACATCACAACTGTGTCAATTCCCGCCAACTCGGCTGCCCCTCGTTACCGTGCGATCAACCTAGACGCTGTGACCGTGGATACTGGGCTCAGTGCTCAATGTTCAAACGGTGTGCTCGTCGGTGAAGATGGCGTGGTGCAGGCCTTGTGGTTGAACTACCTCGGCGAGCGCTCTGCCAGCTCTCACAAGGATATTGAATATCACCTTGGTCTTTCGACCCCGTACCTCCTTCCCGTTATCTCCAAGATTCAGCAAGGAGAGGTCCCAACCTTGCGAATCTTGAACATGGAAAGCTATGTTGTGCAGATGAGCCAGGCCCGCATTATGGGCGTCTCTCAGGAGTGGATCAACAAGGTCACCGAGGCCAACTCCGCGCGACACCAGCTTTTCATGGTGCGCAAAGTTGATAGTCCTCCGGCAGCTATCACACCTGATCCCAGCACCAGCTTCCAAGAAGCTGACATCATTCTCACGCTGGACGGCCAACTCATCACCCGCGTTTCTGAGTTGGATGTTATGTATGAAAAGGAGTTCCTAGACGCGTTGGTTGTACGGAACGGCGAGGAAGTGCGCATCCGCGTCCCCACGGTGCCAACTCGGGATATCGAAACAGACCGTGCTCTTGCCTTCTGTGGTGCTGTCCTACAAAAGCCGCACCATGCCGTTCGCCAACAGATCTCTAAGGTTCACAGCGAGATCTATGTTAGCGCAAGAGTGAGTTGTCCTACCTAATTTTTATATGTTGAATACCGCTAATGCCATCACTCAGAGCCGTGGCTCCCCGGCTTACCACTATGGCCTTGCACCCACCAACTTCCTCACTGCTGTCAATGGCGTGTCAACTCTAGATCTAGACAGCTTCATTCGGGAAGTCCGCAAAATTCCCGATAATGAATACTTCCGTGTTCGCGCTGTCACCTTCGACAACGTCCCCTGGGTTGTCACTATGAAGAAGAACGACCACTACGTGAGTTCCTTTGCATTTCATTGATTACCCGAGCCAAAACTCCGATGCCCATTCTAACTCTTAATAGTTCCCCATGTCCGAGTATGTCAAGGATCCCACCACCGCATCTGGCTGGCGCACAATCTCCTACGAGACTGAGGTTGGCGTGGCCCCTGATGCTGCCAATCTCAACCCCGATGCCATGGATGAGAGTGTCGGCGGAGGAGCCAGTGATATAGAGCCAGATATGGCGTAGGTATCCCCGCGCGGTTGTTTAGGGGCTGGAGAGACTTGTACTATATTCTTCTCGGCGCTTCTAGGGGGGTTCGGATCGGGGATTTCACTTTACCTTGCGATTTTTTCTCGAGATTTCTTTTCTATTACTCTCATGACATGTCTTCCGCCTATGAGCGGTTGGGTATAAAACCATAAACAATGCACATCTATCACACTTACTTTCTTCCTTCAGAGCTTGGTCCGATACTGCTGTCCGTTTTTTCAAAAATCCCTCTTTTATGGTCTGTCAACTGGGCCTCCATACGCAACTTTCTTGATATGCCAAATTCTCGCTGTTAAACAGTAAACCCCCACGACCTTCGTTGAGGGACATACCAGACACATATACCATACTTTATTGTCATATGGCTTTTTTGAATATACCTTTTAATAACGAGCTATATAGATGAAACCCTGAAATATCCACTATCAAGTTATGGTTAAAGCCTAGTCTAGTACGGAGTATAGGCTCCGAGATCGCGTCGCTGTTCAATGACTGGGGCATATCCCCTCGAATGCCATTTAGGCATCGAAGTGCTCATTCTTTTTTTCGGTTTTAGTATTGTCTCTGGCACACTGCCAATCTCTCCTATTTGATCGTTATCAAAATTCCGGTGGGATTCCATGAATATATATTGCCCATATCCCAGCGTTTCGAGCATAACTACCTAGTACAATTGGCGAATGCGAGGGAATCCACAGACTACATGATGAGATGATACAGAGATAAATATTTGAAGCACCAGTGTTCAAGATCTCAAAAACGAAAAAGCGTAGGTCGATACAAAATAACTAACAAAAAGCAAAAAGAAATGTGCATCATCCGTGAATCGAACACGGGCCTCGTCGATGGCAACGACGAATTCTACCACTAGACCAATGATGCTGGTTCATGTATTGGCCATCACTATTATGCTATATGATGGAAGCCAACCTTTAGTCTCACAGAAATCCTTGAAGACATGGTCATACCTGCACGCATCCTAGCTCGTACGAATACCCAGGTACCCGGCACCAATGGAGGTCAAAATAACACTTCATTATCCCATACACCGATGGATGCGCTATGCAGCTGTTGTCTAAGACCGTAGATAAACAGGAGGGTTGATGAAAATAACACGAAACGCCTGGTAGAGAATACAACCATAACACCGACATGACCATGTCCACTGCCAAACCCCAACCCAAAAAGGACCTGCTGCTGTTCAATGTGCAGGTCAATATACAATCCAAAAAAGAATGATTCATCCCATCACGTTGATCACTGATCGTTGAAGCTCCAACCACCATTGAGCCGCATTCGCTGTCGATCAGCGATATCCTTTCGGATCTCCTCTTGTGTGAGTCCATCAGGACCGGACCAGTTGGCACTGCTGGTACGAACGCGGTATTTTTTGATTTTATTATCCGGCTTGAAAGTCTCCTCTAGAGAGAATGGCGCAATTGGCCCGAAGATCGAGTCAACCTCCATACCCTCTTGCTCTATGAGAAGATCTGCCAGCTCCTTCGCCTGTGCCCACTTGGGAACGGGGAACATTTCGGAGTCAGAATCATCATCTTCACTATCCGTGTTGACCTCGGGCAACTGGATGTTTTCACCATTTGGATACTTAGGGGATGGCTTGGCCAATGGACGCTGTGCGGAATTGGGCGTCGGCTTGTGTGCACTAGGTGGAGGCGCGTGGTTTGGTTCGGCAAACGGTATCTTGCCGTTTGTGTATGTGATCATAGGGTGCGCGGGGCGCTGAGGTTGAGCATTTCGGTAGCTGGAAGCCCCAGGTTGAGGAGCGATGGATGACTGTCCACGGCCAAGGGTAGAAGGCTGTGTAGATTCCTGAAATCAGTGGTGTGTACGTGGGGAAGTCCTGGAACCAGATGGTACTGACCTTTCTAATACTCGATTGACGGATAGGCTGCGCCATTGTGCGTACAGGTGGCATAGGATTGTGCTCATCCTCAGTCTTTCGTCGCTTGAACTCGCCCGTGGATTGTACGTTACTAGGTTTGGATACTGCAGGCCGTTGGTTGGGCTCATCGTTGTTGCCTCTTTTGGGAGGTTTGGCAGGGTTAGGCGCGGGTGGATTGATACCGCGACCGCCAAATGCTTGAATCGAGCTGCCCAAGCGAGATGGTGGGCGCGAAGTACCCAAGTCGCTTCGTTGAGAAGACTGAGAATATCCTTGCTCATGCTGTAGAATTGGACCCTGGAGATAGTTAGTGGCAGACAAAAACACTCAATCGGAACAAAAACGCTACCTCGTTGACAATTTGCTGACTCCCTTGCCTTCCATGCTTCCGAGCATTTTCTGCTTGGCGCTTCTTGATAATTTCCATACGAGCAGCTTTGTTTGGATCCTCCTGTGCCGACCGTTCGCGGCGCTCCCGTTCGACTTGACGTTCTCTCTCGACCTGACGCTCTCGCTCAGCTTCGGCGCGACTGTTCAGCTCCTGCCGACGAGCCTCTTCCTGTTGCAGCTGTTGGGCGGCACGTTTGCGTTCTAGCTCCCGCTTTTGGTCTTCCTTTCGGCGTGCCTCGCGTTCCTGCTCCTTCTTGCGGTCACTGGCAATCTGAGCCTTGCGCTGGGCCTGTGTTTGGCTGGACACAGAGCTTTTGAAGCTGCTCGCAGAAGATGCTGTATGAAGAGATGCATTGCTTCCCTTCTTTTTCAGAGTTGGTCTCGAGGCCGGAGCCGAGGTGGCCATGGCAATACTCGAATCCTGAGGCACCGAAGATGACGGAACAGGAATTTGTTGGCGAGACATGGTGCTGCCGACACGAATTGACATGGGTTGTGGTGTCGGGCGTTTGATGGGCTCGCGTGTGGGTTTGAGAGGACGACGCTCATTCTGCTTTGGCTGGGGAATTGCAAACCTCGAGTTAGACTCCTGAGTGGATTCGGGTTCTCGCGATTGTTGCCGGTAAGACTGAGAGGCCTTGGGTGCTGCCGAACTTGGCCTCTCTTCGGGTTCGACCGACGAGTTCTCCTGCGCGGCCTTGAGTTGAAGAGCTCGCTGCTTTTCCTGCTCTCGGGCTCTCTCAGCACGCGCTTCTTCCATCTCTCGATCCTCACGCTCTCGATCCTCACGCTCTTGTTCTTCCCGCTCGTGCTGACGCCGTTTCTCCTCCTTCTCGGTCGAGCTTCTTGTCCGACGGCCTTCCTGACGATGGGAACTGGAGATCGGAATTGGTTGAGATAAATGTTTGGCACTCTTATCCGGTACGTCAGCGCTCGGCTGAATCCGCCACTGCTCAGGAGAAGAGTGTTCTGTTCGTGGTGTGTTACCAGTACTTGAGAACAAGCCTTTAGCGGACTTCATGATCGAGTGTAGTCTCAATTTCGAAGCACTTATATGACCATCGAAGCGCCTTGGGGAGCCCGTTGGAGTAGTAGATGGATTGCCGGTGATATGGGACAAAGAAGCACTTTGCTGGTGACCGTGCTGCCGGGGTGACGAGAATATCGAGGCAGATGATTTGGGACGTTCGGGCTCTGATCTGAATGATTCCTGGTTGGTTACTCGCTCCCTTTCGGCCTCAGAAAGCTTTTCCACGACATCCGTGGTCTTGCTCTTGGAAAGCTCGGCTTTTTGGGGTGAGTTCAGAGGCTTGATCCAGTCATCATCGACTGATAAAGGCTGGAGCGCCGGAGCTTCACGTAGCTTCTCATTCAAAACTCCAGACTTAGCTTCAGGCTTAGAAGCTGGAAGATCCGGATAGGGAATCTGACCAGCTATTAACCCAGAGGTGGAAGTGATTGACTTTCTTGGACGGGATGGTTGAAGTTTGCCCAACATGCTGATTCTATCGTGCAAAGACTGAGTCGACTTCTTGTTGTGCATCCTGGTGGCCTGATCCGAATCCGTTTCTTCGATATCTTCCTTCTCGTCATCAATTTCCAATACTCTGGAACCAGAATTCTCATCTGTCGCATTTTGCGGGACCCTGTGCCCCCCAGTCTGCCGGCCGAAGTAACTAGGCCGTCCGCCAGTACTCATCTTCGCTAGGTCAACATGGCTGGTTCGAGTCTTCAAGGGCTCTCGTGCGGGGAGGGTGGCAAAGCTCAAGCTACTTTTCCGAGCAAAGGGTCGCTCAGGAGTGGAACCATCCGAAGGGGAGCCGATATCATCAAGATTGTCCAGAACTGTATCATCTTTGTCATCATCCTCGGTTGGATCTTCCATCTCTTCATCCTCAGGCTGGGATTGTTGCATCTCGACAGGTGGAGCCACCGGTGCCACCAAAGCTTTCTCTGGCGATGACTCGGGTTTCGAGACAGCTGGATCATCCCCCCTAATCGTTTTTGGCTCGGATTCCTTTCTTTTCTGTTGCTTTTCGGGGCTGCTGATTGCCAGCTTCGATTTTGACAATTTAGTTGGAGTCGAGGTGCTTTCAGTCTCAGATTCGTTCGGAACAGAGTCAACCGGCCGCGCAGTTCGCAGCTGGGTTGGGGTTGGGTTATTGCTCGGCTCAACAGTCTCTCCACGAGAACGGACATTTTCCTGGGCAGTGTGGAAAGATTCTTCATTTGTTTGTTGAGTGCCTTGCATCTCGACCTCTTGGACATCCAGGCTCATAGGCTGCTGCGCTTCAAGAGGTTGGGTAACAGGCTGAGTAGAAGCCTGTGATTCTTTCTGCACGTCAGGCAGTACCATCTCATCATCTTCGGGTATGCCATGGTGGCCCGAGTCAGTGTTGTAGGTGGGGAAGGACTTGAGATTCTGAGCGAGATTAGGATACTCGGGGTTTGAAGCTTGCTCTGTTGCATCCTTAGGGCGGGGCACAGGTGATGCCGCTGGAGGAGCGGGTTTCGGAACAACACGATGAATGAACGGGCTCGGAGATGTTTGATTCTCTAATTGTTTCTGGGCGGATGAAAATATTTCGCTCAAGGGCTGGAAGGGGGATTAGACAAGCCCTGTTAAGACGAATTCAATATGTGAGATACGCACCACTCGAGACTCTTCCGGAATACGCTTTCGAGCTGTACGAGGTGTTTTGCCTCTCATCTTTCCAGGTGTTTTGAACACATCCGCAAAGTTTCTGGATCGCTGTCAATACTGAGGAGACATAAATACCAGAGTGCGGTCGCGACTTACGTTTGGCCCTTGGAGAATATCTCGGACATATGTTCATTCAGCCAGTCCATTTCATGTCGAACGGGATATTCCACTTCCTCCATCTCTTGTTCCACAAGATCCGCCATGTTTTCTTTCTCTGCTGCAATCCATAGTGCCGAGCCAACGGGCTTCTGCGCTCTTGCGCCTGCCGCCGCCATATTAAGAAGACACCGTCGCTGAAAATTGGGGAATCCAAAGGGTGTAGCAATTAATGACGAGCGGTCGAGGAGAGCTGTAAGCGCACAATCATGGGGATTGGTGTGGGTTGTGGGGTCGCGTTTTAGTGTCGGGAATGGAGATGAGGCCGGGAATCAAAACAGACCTAATCGGGATGCCTGGCAACGCGTGGGTCACGTGTACACCGCTTATTTTGCTTGACACCTGAGAAAACAGGCAGTAACGCATGCCGCATACATTCGAACACGTCATTGTTGCTCATGTCTTTTGTAGATTCAACTATTATACTGTCTATCACTACTAGATTCGCCCAGAGGTGATCGATTGTTGATGCCTCGACCCTTCAAATCAAGGATGTTAACATAAAGATATCTTCTCTATCATTTGTATTTCCCTCTCTCGAAAAAAGCCTACTGTACGGTTTATCATTCAAATATCGCTTAAACACAGCGCTGTGACGACTGGGCTGGTCCATGCGCGGTCCTGGTATACGCGTAAAGCCCCCCCACATCACTTCTCAGAGGCTCATGTGCATGCTGCTCAAGAGAGGACATCGACTGAGCCAAAAGCTTAGAGCTTGGACAGGAGTCATTCGAAACCTAACGACTCAACAGTTGATAGAGCTGAGAAAAGGGCTTGGGACCCTTTCAAAGTCTCCAGCTGAGGTGATTGAGATGCTCGCTAGCAGAGTCCAGCCTCACTGTTATGTGTTTTGACAGGCACTTCTTGCGCTCGATCTGAACAAATTGCTGCCCTTTGAGGGCACATGAGTCTATGTATCGATGTCCTTTTGTCATTATTGTGAAAATAAATGCTTAATTGAAAATTGAACGCACATTATATGACATGGAACTTGATATCATCAGTCTCGAAGTTCATACCCGACTCAATTTCAGGAATGAGGCCTACCACAGACTATATTCAAATGCATAATCCAACGAATATTCACAGATGTGCAAGTCAAGCCTAAAGCCTATGGGTACATGCATGCGTGTCTAATCTGACACCCAGACACTTCCTCATCCTCCTCCTCATTCGATGAATCATATCCATCTGAACTGTGGCGATAACCGATTCCATTTTCTACTTCACGAGCAGGAACAGAAACGGCGATGTCGGCCAATTCCATATAATCCCTCCGAATGTAGGGCCACCCCAAATTTGGGGGTAATGGGAGCTTCCACTCGACCTGGAGGGGAGGGTTCAAACAATATCGACCCTCAAATGTTTCCTGCGAAGGCCACATCATTACAGTCACAGGATAATACTGAAGCCGACCAGGCACTATCTTATCACGCAGTCAGCGGAATCTGCTAATCAGGGAACTACCTGTCCATCTGGACACCAAAGTTCCAGACTTGACTACTAGCATCTTGGTGCCATCTGCTCGCTGGAAATACCAGCTTTCAGCCGTGTTGCCTGCAAGAAAGTTCACTGACTTTTTTCTCCGATCGACGCTTTCGAAGTTGATACAGAACTTGGTGACGCTGGACGGCAGTGTTAGTTTTTGGCCCCAGGCTCCGACAATGAATAGCTCATCCTTGTGTTCCCAGGACCAGGTATCTTTGAATTAGATAGTGAAATTGACGGTCTTAGGGTGAACATACTGCATCTCAAATATCCCCCTGAAGCCGAGGGTGCCATCGAAATCCCATGAACTTGGCTCCCATAGACTTAGTTGCGGGGACACTTGAACATGGCCACCTAGCATTTGGCCATGTCGAACATGGATCAGGTTCAGACTTCGTTGCATTCCCTTGATCAGAGTTATGTGTTTAGAAGTACGGTCTGACATCGGCGTCCAGAATGTCATTTCCGAACAGGTGAAGGGCATAAGCCACGCCTCCATGTAAACTATTTTACAGGTCTGTAGCAATCCTGTATAGACCCAATGGTGGATATGATACCCTGACCTATCAGTGTACTCATCTTCCCCAAGTGGATGTGTGATGTCTGGGCCATTTGCTAGGGCGTAAGCGAAGATCTCATAGCGAATTTGGAAGGAATAAGCAAAAAAAAAGTAGCTTTACGTCTGTTTATTGTAGTCTGTAAAACCAGCAGACGAAAGGTTTGAGGATCCCATTCTCAGTGAAATCCGTCTACTCGGTGTGTTGGGAATGACAAGGGGGAAGATTGCCTATAAATACATACGGAGTACGGCGGGTCAAATTCAGCTGCTGGTGAGGCTGAAGCGAAGCCTTGGACCTAAGCGCAGATCAGCCAACCATATCATCACAGGCACTGTTCCTGCAGGGATGCAGCTTTTGATACGCGGGAAGCGACATCAAACCGCTAACATTCCACTTTTATATACACCCCCGAGCACTTTGTTTTAGTTGTGCCCATATATGTGCCTCTAATCTTGATAGATGATATCCTGTATAGAACGAAAGATGACTGTCTTTGTAAGAAAGGAGAGAACAATTGATGAGAAGTTTGCCCCTGAACGTCCTCTATGATTGTAGCGACATTGATCATCAGTCGCTCACAAGGCTCCTTATATATGATGGCGGGTTGGACAGAATTCGTATGGTACAGTCATACAAAAATAAGGCCATCAGCGGGATGTTACCTAGGTACTTCCGTGAAGGCCGCAGTACTCCGTAGGTTGAATTGATTCGTCCATATATGGAGGTTGTGGAGTATAGCCGTGGGGGTACTCGGCATCATATATATGCCACATATAGGAGAGGGGCTTGGAGTGTCGACACACAATATTATAGGCCGAGATCAGCATATAGCTGCTTTTTGAATGAGATATCCTAAGTCCTCCGTACTATCGATATCAATGACTCTGATATCCAGAATCCTAGTACTATTAATAATGCTCATCGTCATGCCATAGACATCATAGGGGGAAGCTCGTTCCCTGTTCGGGCTTGGCAACGCACATGACAGCATCACAACAAGTCGAATCTTCCCTTATCTTTTCTCTTCTCTTTCCCTTGCTTCCTACTCTCCTTCCTTCTTCTCTCTTTCAAATTCATGCTTCGCCTCGCTTGACACGCCTCTAACGAATTTTCTAATTTCCCCAACCTCCTGAGTGCCTCCCACAAATTTCACCATGGCTTCGGGTGACGTGACCTACCCTAACACGGGCAGTAAGGTGGGAAAAACCAACAGGTCATTTCAATCCTGCAGAATGAATACGCTAACCTGTCATTTTACAGTGCGCTCCTTTCTTTTTCTGAAATTCGCTTGCCACAACACAGACTGACCTTGACTGCTCTTGCCCTCAGGCATCAGTGATGTGATTACCAAGGGTATATAGGAACTCAGAGGTTTCTCACGCTCTCAAAGCATGCTAACCAAATTTCTGGTAGGCCCCATTGTCGATAATGTGAAGTCCGAAGCTTCCCGCACCGGCCAAGAGCTTCGCCAACTCCAAGACTCGCGTGTGACCCCTTCCACCACGACCGCCGATGGTCAACCTTTGACCTGTATGTCATGAGACTGCATTGATGGAATTGATCGAACCGTGGGATACTGATGCTCGCTTAGACTATCACTCTTTGATTTACAGTCTTTTGAGCGTGAGTCCTCACCTTAGTCTTCAACATGTCCACCGTGCTAATGTCTATGTGCATAGTGGGAACAACCTCGTGCGACCGCCGTCTCCTACGCTAGCGTAGTTACTTTCATCTTCGCCGCCCGTTATCTGCCTCTGCTCCGTTGGGCCTTGAAGTTTTTGTACATGTTGTTGGGATGTGAGTTGGTCGTCTGCTAGTCGGAAAGAGTGGTCCGTTAACAATTGTGTACAGTGACCGCTACTGTTGAGATTGCTGGCCATGTCATCCTCAAGCAGGGAGTCGCCAGTGGATTCCGACCCCGCCGTTACTACACTGTCCCCAAGGAGACCGTTGAGGCCGTGCTTGATGACCTTGAGCAGCTGGTGGACTTCTTCTTGATCGAGTTCCAGCGCATTGTGTTCGTCGAGAATGTTGTCCACACTGTTTTTGTAGGTTTGACGAGACACATGATATATCAAAGCGCAGAGACTAACAATTTCATAGGCTTTCATTGCTGCTTTCACCGGCTACTGGCTGATCCGCTTCATTCCCTTCTGGGGCTTTGCTGTGATCGCCGTGACCACCACATACTTCGCTCCCCTTATCTACATGACCAACCGTGAGATCATCGATGAACAGATCCAAAACGCCCAGGAAATCATCCAGTCCCAAACCACCCAGCTTCGGGAAATAGCTGGTGAACGTACCTCACACGCAACCGACCTGATGAAGCAGTATGTCGACGAGTACAGCTCCATGGCTCAGGAATTCATCCCTTCCCGCCGCTCTGTCTCCCCAGAGACAACCAAGGTTGCGAGCCCGATCAAGCGTGAGACCGTTGTCCAACCTGTCAAGACCGAGCCCATTGCCGACTTCACTGCCCCCGTTGCCGAGCCTGCCATCAAACATGAGGACTTCCCCGAAGCTCCCCAGGCCGCCCCCGTCGCCCAGGCTCCCGAGTCTGACATTGTTGCAACTATCGAGCCGGCAGAGCAGGCTGGTGGCCGTGAGCCTCTTCTGGCTATCTAAAGTGATTCCCCAATTGTCCTAGGTCATCGTTTATTTTCGACCAGGACTGTTGATTGAACTCAAATGTGGGCACCAATCAAACATTCTTTGGTGCATAGATATCATTATTCTGGCCATGATTATTGCTGGATCAGCCGAATGACATGCGCAATTGGATTCTGAGTCACCTGGTCTTCGCTAGGGATATGTGTACCTCTGAATGCATGTACTTTGAACACCAAATCCTCGTGTTGACGAACAAAAAAAATATGCAGTACTCTTGAGCGATGAATGAGCTGCTATGTTTCTTGTATCCCTTTTTCATTATCTTCTTCCACCCCCTTTTCAAGGCACTGGGCATCTTTACCTGTCTATTTCTCTTCACCGAACACCCTTTGTCTATGTCTTTCTCGGGTTCATATTGTTTCTAATGGAATACATTTACATAAATTCACGATCTGAACGTGCTATAGTATCCTGCAGTGTGTCCGTCCTCGAGCCTCGCAGGGCCCTCGGTGATGATGTATTGAGATAGCGGAAGACAATATGCGTACTACTTACCAGGATGCCAGCGCCAATCTACCCCCGTGAAGATTCCAATTCATCGGGAGGAAGCAGATGCACCAAAAACCTCGACCCAGCCCACTTGGGTAATTGTTCATACTCCCCTGCAAGCGGCCTTGATTTTGGTGCAAGGCCGTTGAGTTTCATCCCGGTCCACTGACTCGGCCCCCCATTCGCCGCATCGCGATTCGGGCCGGCCTGTGACGGTTCTGTTTTCCCTTCATTGTGCTTCCCCTCTCCCTCGAAGACTTACCTTGTTCAGTCGTGCTCGGAACGGTGTTTCCCATTCACCTCTCACACTCCCCCATATACCCCGGATTCGAGAGCTGTGGTACAGATCCGGAGTGTTGCCTGATATCTGCGAGTGAGGGGATCTCGTGGACATCGGTGCGTGTAGAACAGGTGTCGGGTCCGGTTTGTATTTTGTGTTGAACGGGTCGAGGACTGGACCTCTTTGTGATGGAAGCGAATCGTTGATTCTAGTTGAAACTTGGATTCAGTATCGAATCTTGCAGACTCCTGTGAGTAGGATCCTCCTTTTATTCCTGGTTCACTTGTTGAAACCATGCTGTCATGGAACCGCGGCGTCCTTCAGAGCCTGAGGAAGAATAACCCGTCGAACTCTTGATAAACATGTGAACAAAAGAGAGAAGCTCAAGGGCAGTCTGAAAGAGCACATGTCACTAAGGGGGCTAGACGATGCTTTTCTGAGACGAGTAGGGAGGAAGCACCCGCTTGAAAAGGCCTAAACGCCAACAGCAGCATCCCAATTGAGACATGCCTTCTTGCCCCTTTTCCAGAAGCTCGGTATCTAAGACGCGTCGCAGACGCTGAGGGACACGCATGTCCGGGTTTACCGCTCTTTGGAATCCAATCGAGCTATCCAACCAGGACCAAAGTGTCTTAGACATTGGAAACCCGGCCTCTTTCTAGGCTCCTATCAGTCTCGGCTATTGGGACTCTTTGCAGACCGACCTCAATGCAATTGAGCCAATTCTACCCCTCGAAAACTAGCCCGGTCGTATTGACATCTTGTTGACGTCTCAGTCCTCGACTTTTGCGGTCTCCAGTTAGATTGCATAGTGTCCTGCCGCCGTCGTTATGCACCGTTTTCTGCGGCGTTCTGCATTGCTGCTGCCCTAGCCCGAGACCGATTGGCGGAGGGAGCCCTTGTACCTTTTAGAAGTCTTACGCAGACTGCACTGGACAGGCAGGTGGATACAATAGCGGGTTCTAAAACGGACCGGAAGAAGCCAGTGTGGCACTATGGTAGAAGTCAGTCTAAGGAGAGGGGGAAGAAGATACACACCGAGAATGTGGGCTCTCACAGCCACCAACGTGTCGGACTTCTGCATAGAAGCATGCATGGAATATTCTTTGCGGCCTGAGTGATTTGTCCTGCACATACGAAAAGCTCATGTCTCTGATATATGCACGCCCTCAGACTCGCTCAATGAGCGGTCTACATGAGAGTGATCAGGATCCTAGACTGGGCACTTGACTGGGCCAAAAGAAAGTGGAAAAATGCAGGAAAAATGGAAGTAGAATCATGTCCAAGGATTAAATTTGAATTGAATTAGTTCTTTTTTATCTCTTTTCTTGTTTCTTTGACACCACAAGATTCTGTTTGACCGTATACTTCAGCCTTATTCCAATCTTCCAATCTCCCAGATATAAACTGGTACAGCCACTATAAGGCACAGAGAGGCATGAAAGCGCGGGGTGCCCCCAAGCAAAGAAGCATCCCTGTCGCTTTCCCAGAATCTTTGATCCGGTCAGAAGTTTATCTCGGCAGCACCGCTTCTCTCAGATGCACTTCGCAGACTCGCCAGCAGGGAATGTATCTTCCCGTCATACAAGGAATGAGTCGCCCTGCAGCTTGCCGTGGGTCTGAGACCTCTTTGGTGCCCATCCTGTTGAGCCACCATGGGGTATGTAGCTTCTTATTGGACCACTGGACTGGTGTCCTCATTCTCCGGTTGTTGTAGCACCTTCCAGCCCGGTACCAAGGAGGATCTGACATGTCTTCTTCGATCAGATTCTGAAGGAAAAAACGGTGGGACAGCAGTTGAGTTCCTCACCCTGGGATATTAGGGCCCAGTTTCATGACATGAGTGATATAGTACTTTGTGCAAAGTGCCGTGACAGGCTGTTTGCATGCAGTGATTCTCTTTCCTAGAGTACACTCAGGATATCCACATAGGTCCCTAAGACGGTTGCCATGCTCCTTTCTTTTGGGAAGTCGCAGTTGTGAATGTGAAACCAGCAATGCCTCGAGAGCTGAGAGACACAGGTCTCAAATGGACCGTATCCTGTAATTCCAGGGGCATGGGCATCGATAATACCATGCATACTGCGTGGCCAGTCCAAAGTCGAAGATGCTTGGAACTGCCACAAGACAAACGTCGACTCGTGCACTGAAGACCTGAAGGGAGAAAGGTAAAGAACCGGTGAAGATATCAGACATTTGCCGAGTGAAGGACATTCACCGTGTTTTACTTTCCTCGATATTTGCCAGCAAACAGCAGTAGAAGCAGTGCAGAACAAACCTTCGAACAAAGGTGTAGGATTGTCTTGCTTCACTTTGTTGCGTCAGGTTTGATATCACCTTTCAGTTCTTCTGGAAAAGAAACACCGTTCTATTGAAGAGACCTTAACCTCCCTCTTTCCCCCCCGGAACCTTTGTGTCTTCTTCCATCCCTCTCTTACTTCAAGGATAGCTCTTGACCGTATTCATGATATCTATCAATTCCCTTCTGAATCCTCAGCCTGAAAGGCGAATCCCTTTCTCTACTTCCTTTCCTGCCACTCGTGAGAAACGGCAGAAGATGGCCAAGGACGCTCTGATCTTCCGTCCTGGTAAGGTCCAGGGTGTGTGCCGCTACCCTCCACACGAAGAGCGAGACGCAGAGTTGGAGAAGATCCATCGGCACTTCTCGCTGCACCCCATGGGCCTTATTCGAGACTACCCTCGCCATATCCCCTATGCCAGTGACAAGAAAACCTTCCAAGAAAAGACTGGCCGAGATAGTTTTCATGGTATGCGTCGATGCCACACACACAAACATATATCAAATACATCTCAAATACTAACTCCTTCTAGTCTTTCAGTACACGTTCCGGATTCCTGGCGATGATAAAGAATGGCATGTCATGTGGGACTACAATATTGGCATCGTGCGAATTACGCACCTGTTCAAATGCAACGGCTACTCGAAGGCAAGTACACAAGAACACTACCCCATAGACTCGGAGTCTCTGACTTGCTATAGACCACCCCGGGTAAGATGTTAAATCAAAACGCCGGCCTCCGTGAGATCTGTCACAGCATTACCGGTGGAGCGCTTTCCGCCCAAGGTATGACCTTGATGTCCTTGACCTTTTGTGTTGATTTCCTTTTTATCCTTGGACAAGGTAGATCTAACAGTGATGGCTTTCTTCTCAAATAGGATACTGGATGCCCTACGACGCCGCCAAAGCAATGGCAGCAACGTTCTGCTGGAAAATCAGGTTTGCACTGACTCCACTGTTTGGTACAGACTTCCCGGGCATGTGTATTCATCCGACAGACCGCAAGAACTATGGTCGCATGGTGATCCCGCAGGAGATTGTACAACGTGCTACCAAGACGGCCAACTACTATCGCTCCCTGGAGTTGAGTGCTGGCGCCGGTGTCAGCCCTTCAGCATCGATGCCTTCCCCGACACGGAGCCTTATCAACACACGGCTATTAACCGGGGAAGAGACATCCTTGGCTCTGGATCTGCTCAAAATGCCGCGTCATAGATATGCCGAGAGTAGCCCTAGTGGCCGGGAATCCTCCACGGAGCCCTACTGCATGTCGCCCAAGAGCCTGTCGCCATTCTCTAACTTCACGCCGATCAACCCCCCGCGCAGCTCAGATGTCCCTCCCCCGCGCGTAGAGTCACCGCAGAGCATTATCCGTGCTATATCGGATGCTATACGCCCTGAGAATCCTCCTGGACCTATCGGCGAGGAAAGTGACATGGAGAGCGATAGCTCGTCTAACATGTATTCCACCCCAAACTGTCCTTCTGTTGATGGGCCTCCTGATGCCGCTTCAGATCTGGAAATCAGACAGAGTGACTATGATGATACGACCGACTCGGATGATGATTGGCAGGTTGACGACGCCAATGATGAAGACTACCGTGGACCATCCCTCAAGAGATCCCCGAGTGGATATCCGATTATCAAGAACGGGTCTACTAGCCGTGACTCCCAGAGCAAGAAGAACCCCAGTCGGAAGTCTCGACCGGTACGGGCTGCGCAGGTACCTCACTTCGCCCGTGAGGTGAAGGCTGCTGAAGCTCTGCTTCGTCTACACAAGAATGAGCTGGAAAGCACTGACGCTCAATCCGAGATTGATGATGACGGGCTTGCCACGCCGTTCGGCTGCCGTTCTCTTGACGGCGGGGCCCCTGGCAGTCGTAAGCGACGTCGGGCCTCGCTTTGACTGCGAGGGGCTGCGAAGGTGACATGACGCACACAATGGAATGGGGACGGCGTTTATGGCCTAGGGATTGATGGCTTTTTTTTTGTAGGGTGGTGTTATTTCTATGCATCTTTTTGTGAGGGATTTTGTGTGATTGGATTTGGAGTTTGGAGGGTATGCATCTCGAAGTCGAAGGAGTCTCTTGTTTGATTCTTGAAGGATTTGGTGACATTGCCCAGGTGTAGCAATGCGATTTCAGTTCGCTCGAGATTGGTTCTGGACTTGAGGCTAGATAGCATCAGATGTTGACGTTCGTTGGATATTTCAAGTTCTACAAGATCCTATCCTCTAAAACCACTGTATGGCCAATAGAGCCCTGTCTTTCAGTTGAGAAAGCCAGTTCGAGAAAATTCCTGGAGAGGCCTCGCGCCTCACCATTGAACGTCTGATGTGCTCGTCTCTAAGTCAATGTCTGGCGCGGTCCTATCCTGGTTGTGAACTTCGTGTATCATTGGCTCCCTATTCTTCTGTGTCCTAGCTTATTAGTTGGATTAATCTTCTATCCACCAGTAAACTATTGCTTTTATCGTAAGACCATATATTGCACATGGTGTAGGTGTATGTAGTGTAGAGTGAACTGCGAGGTAAAAGGCAACCTTGTGTTAAATGTACAGGAAGGCAATAGGATCTGCACATAATCCTCAGACTAGGTAAAACTATTGGACGACTAATGAAGCAATATAGCAAGAGAAACGAAATTAAACACCCGCGGTCGCACTGCATGTGCTGGCTCTGCCAAATCCCCATAAAATACCAAATAAGACATGGAAATGAAAGAAAATAAAGACACAATGGAGAACGCTGCCTCAAGCAGAACATCTCAAATGATCCGCAGAGCCTCACGCCTCACTATCTATTCACCCGCCTAGTCGCTCTCATCTTCGTCGTCGTCAAAGTCGTCAGCCGATGCTTCTTCATCGCTGTCATCCTCAATGACATATGACTTCTTCTGCTGTGTGGCACCGCGACGAGCCGGACGGCCTGCGGCCGCGCGACGTGGAGCAGGAGCAGGTTCATCGTCATCATCGTCCGAAATATTCACATTCACTTTGCCAGCCGGGGAATCCAGAATATCATTGGCCATTGCGTCAATGTCATCCTCGGAGTAATCATCTGCAATTTTCTTGCTCGCCTTAGCTTGTTTCGAAGCATAGGCCTTAGCAGCCGGAGATAAAGCCGCTGGAGCAGACTTGGGGGCAGGTTTGGGAGCTGGCTCCTTTTTCGGTCGGCCACGCGCCTTGGGTGCTGAGGTGGCAGCGGCGACCTTTGGAGCAGCCTTGGCTTTGGGAGCAGCCTTGGCTCGAGCAGTTGGCTTGACTGGCTCTTCCTCCTCCTCCTCTTCCTCATCGTCGTCATCCAGATCCATGACCTTGGCGGCAGGTTTGGAGGCAGCCTTTGGAGCAGCCTTAGCTTTGGGAGCAGCCTTGGCTCGAGCAGTTGGCTTGACTGGCTCTTCCTCCTCCTCCTCGTCGTCATCCAGATCCATGACCTTGGTGGCAGGTTTGGAGGCAGCCTTTGGTGCAGTCTTAGCCTTGGGCGCAGCCCTGGCCCGAGCAGTTGGTTTGACTGGCTCGTCCTCATCGTCGTCCTCATCGTCGTCTTCATCGTTGTCGTCAATCTTGTTGTCCTTGGGCTTGACCTGAATGGAACGCCGTGGGGAATTCTGGGGAATGAGCTTGCTGTAATCGGTCTCATCCGGATCAAAATCGTCATTGGCCATAGAGGATTTGGCGGCAGTCTTCACGCTGGCGCCGCTTTCAGAACGGGGGCGCTCCGAAAAGAGCTGCCGAGACTCTGTGCCTGAATCGCCACCAATTCCTTTGACCATCAAGCTGACATCTCCAAGAAGATCGTCACCGTTGTCGCTGTCGGAGTCGCTCGGAGCTGAGTATTTCACAGGCTTGCGAGCGCGTGAGGATGGCAATGCAGGCTTGGAAGCCGCAGACTTAGCAATCTCCAAGAAATCGTCATCTGAATCTTCTTCGATCTTGGCCTTAGCTTTTGGTCCTCGTTTCGCCGCCGGTTTAGCAGCCGGTTTGGCTGCCACCTTGGGTGCCGGTTTTGGTTTGGGGGCCTCATCGACATCCATCATGTCATCGACTGGCTGAGTCGAGGCTCGCGAGGCTTGGGGGAGCTCGTTGATATCGATGAAGTCGTCTTCTTCTTTGGGCGAAGTCTTGGGCTTTGAAGGCGCACGGCTCTTCTTTGGAAGAACCTCCATGTCGAAATTGAACTCATCGTCTGAATCGTCAGTGCCATCTGCCGCAGGTGATGGGCTTGGTTTGACGGAGGACTGGTTGAGGAAGTTCATCAAGCTGTTCTTAGGCTGATCCTTTTTCTTGGCAGCGACAGCTTTCTTTGTCTTAGGGCCCCCGAAATCTTCGTCATCCGGATCATCACCGTTGGCAGCTTTACGCTTGCGAGAAGCCGGGGCGCGACCACTGCTAGTGGCTAGCTTGCGTGAGGTACGACGATCTGAGTCGGCCAATTTGCGGGCACGGCGGCGTTCATCCTCAAGCTGGAAGCGCCACTCGTTGATGAATTCATCCAAATCGGTGTTCCAGATGTCTTCCTTGGACAGCTTAATCAAGACGTCAACCTCGGTCTCTTTATCACCGATCTGGCGACGAAGCTTCTCCACCCGCTCTTGGGTCAGTGACCACATGGGCATACCCAGAAGGTAGTCATAAGAGTTCGATAGCGTTTGAGTCTCCTTCTCATTCAACTCCTCATCGTCTTCTTCTTCTTCTACTACCGGTTGATCTTCACCCATCTTAGCGGCGTCAGCCACCTTAGAGATTGGCGTGAAGCCCTTCTCCTTCAGCTCAGTGACAAGGACATCCTTCTTCTTCTTAGAAATCACCAATTTGCCATCAATAATCATCTGCACAAAGCGAGCTTGGTTGCTCAGCTTTTCCAGCTCCCTCTGTAGATCGGCAAGCTGGAACTGCTTGCGTCGCTCATAGTATTTGAGGCGGATGACAAAGAATTCCTTGAGAATATCGTCGACACTGGCGTACTTGGTAATGCGGCCCTCGGGATCGAAAGCGACGAGATTGGTTGTCGCAAGCGTCTTGGTCAACTTGAATTTCTCTTCCAACCCTTCAGTCAAGGCGGCCTTCATGTGCTTCTCATCCAGTTGGATGATGAAGTGAACATTGGTGTGATCATTGTAATCCTTATAGTCCTTAATGAAGGAGGGAACCTTCTCTGCCTTGATAATATCCTCCAACTTGTCCTTGAAATCCTGGGTCCAAGTTCGGATGGGCAATTCGGTGATCTCGACCTCCTTGTCACCACATTCCCTGATGATACCGCTGAATTTGTACCGATCCCCACCAATGGCAACAACCTCGCCGGTGAAACCACGGAACCAAGGCTGCATTGGCTGAGTAGGCTCACCAGCCATGAGTCGCTTGAGGTTGCTCACAATGTCCTCTGGATTATAGTTGGGGATGGAAGAACTCCAACCAGTTCCAATACCATCCGCACCGTTGATCAAGATCATGGGAACGACAGGCATGAAGACCTCGGGCTCAATCTTCTTCCCATCATCTTCGCCATACACCAGCAAGGGTTCGTCGGCAGTGTGGAAAATCTTACGCGCGAAGGGAGAGAGGCGGGTGTAAATGTAACGTGCACTGGCACAATCGCTACCACCTTGAAGTCGACTACCAAAGTTTCCGCTTGGCTCAAGGCAGTTGATATTGTTGGAGCCAACAAAAGTCTGAGCAAGACCCACGATCGTTTGTTGAAGGGACGTATCGCCGTGGTGGTAGGCTGTCATTCCAGATACATGACCTGCCAGCTCAACGACCTTCATGTCCTTTTTTAGATTGCGGCGGAAGCACGTGTGGAGCACCTTGCGCTGACCGGGCTTGAAACCATCGACAACGGAAGGAATCGAACGCTGATTATCAGCCATGCTGAACAGAATGAGTTCTTTGTTGATGAAGTCAGTGTATGTGATCTTGGATACTGAGTGGTCCAGATATGTGCCAGGTTTATATTGACGAAGCCATTCTTTACGCTCATCTGCCTTCTTCTTGGAGAAAGCCAGCTCAATGAGTCCAGCTTCACCCTCTTGCATGGTATGGAACTCCTTAAGATGACGATCAAGGTCGCGGAAATAGACCTGAGCATCTTGCGTAGTGCTGGTTCCCAGACCCTTGTAATACTTGTGATCCCAGCCACGTTCATCTTTGTGAAGTTCTTGCCATGCTTCGTACTCGGGCATGGTGAAGAAAGACTTTTGCTTGGTCGGGTGCTTGGGATCACCCTTCCAAACCTTGATGATAGGGGTGATGAACTCAATGAGGAACTCGGGGATCTTCAACAAGCTGGGGAATTGTGCCTCCAGGAAGTTGATCAACAGACCCTTGATGTGACTGCCGTCATGATCCTGATCAGTCATGATCATGAGATGGCCATATCGAAGTCCTTTGGTTTCAGTGTACTCCTTTTTGTGCTGTAGACCAATGAAATTCTTGATACTTTGAATCTCAACATTCTTTGAAATCTGGTCGAAAGAAGCATCCCGGACATTGAGAAGTTTTCCGCGCAGGGGGAACACGCCGAACAAATCCGGCCCGACAACTGATCTACCTGCCATGGCCAATCCCTTGGCTGAGTCACCCTCGGTCAAAATGAGGGTGCAGCGGTGACCATCTCTGGTACCGGCTTTATTGGCGTCGACAAGCTTTGGGTTGTTCATACGCGAGCGACGGCCGGTGTCGCCCTTCTTCAAGATCTGGTCAGCCTTTTGCTCCGCAAAATGCAAAATATTCGACATGACCTCAGTCTTCAAGACCTTCTTGTAGAAGTCTTCATCAAGGGGACACTTGCTACCGAACTGGCTGGTCTTTGTCGTCAGCTGTTCTTTGGTCTGAGAGGTAAATGCTGGGTTGACAATCAAAGCCTTCACAAAAATGAAAATATGGTTCCGAATCTGTGCAGCTTTCAAGGTTGCTCCGGTCTTGTTCTTCTTCTTCACCTGATCAGCCAAGCGGGTACAAATTTGATCCGCAATGTAGTTGACGTGCGTTCCGCCTGAGGTTGTCGCGATGGAGTTGACGAATGAGACTTGTTGGAAAGAGCCATCGGAAACAGCAAAACCGACCTCCCATCTAGGGTCGGGGCTGCATGTGATGATCTCATCCTTTGAGGGAGGGCCATCATCACCGCGCTCCTTGCGAATGGCTTTGGTGTACATCTCCATGTATTTTCTGAAGTTGCGGATGGGAATACGCGAGCCATTTAGTTTGACCGCCACATTGGCGGTGCCCGCCAAATCGTAAACTCTTCGCTTAACAAGGGCTTCGAAGTCATCGTCAATGCCTTCCATGCCGAATCTGGCAAAGTCAGGCTTGAAAGTGACCTTGGTGTAATCATCTCCCTTGGCATCTGTGATCTTCGCCTTGCCCATCTTGGTCATGTTATCGGTCCATGTTTGCTTATACTTCTTCTTTTGATTGGAGTCCTGGGTCTCAAGAGTGAACTCTGTCGAGAAAACGTTACAAAGCTTGGCACCGAAACCGTTGCGTCCACCAGTCACCTTCTGTTGGCTATCGTCATAATTGGAGGATGTGAGAAGGTGGCCGAAGATCAGTTCGGGCACGTAAATCTGTTCCTTGGAATGGATTTCGATGGGAATACCACGGCCGTTATTCCACACGCTGATTTCACCGGCTTCGCGATCAATTGTAATTCGCATTTCATTCATACTCGAGTCATTCTGCTTGTTATCGGCGGCATTGACCACAATCTCGTCAAATATCTTGTAGAGACCAGGGACGAAAGAGACATCGCGGTACTCCATAACTTCAGTTCCGGAGTTGTACACCCACATCTGCTGTGTGGTGCGTTCGGTTGATCCAATATAGGTATCGGGACGTTTGATAATGTGTTCGAGTTGGGTAAGCTGCAGTAAATTAGAAACGAGGACTCGGACCTCAGGCTAGCAGCTGCGGCAGACTTACTTTCTGGTACTTCTCTGATGTGCTTCCTTTCTTGCTCACGCCATCAACAGCAGTCTCTCCTCCGTGTGACTCATTTTCGACATCACCGAGAGGTTTTGAACCAGCTCTCTTGGGAGCAGCCGTTTTCTTTGCCTTGGGAGGAGTGTGGGAGAGCAAGGAATCATCATCGGACATTTGAATATCGGACATCTCGTCTTCGCTGTCCACCTTGGCCTTCTTCTTAGCTGCAGTCGACTTTGCGGCGGGTTTAACCTTCAATGTGGTCTGGGTGGTCTTTTTGGCGGCGGATTTGGCGGCAGGAGCCTTCTTAGGGGCCGCCTTAGCTTTCGGTTTCTGTAGACGCGTAATGTCAGCAAGCAATGTTGAACCCGATGTTGATCACAATCCATACCGGTGCAGGCTCAGGAGCAAAGTCAGAGCTGCCTCCGTTATCCTCGAAGGGCGAATCATCCATTATTGAGTCATCCATGGTGATGATGAGTAGACTGATGAAGCGCAATGGAGCGCGATGGAGGAGGGGGAAGGGACCTAAAATAGGCCTCGAAATCGAGACAAACGAGTGACACTATCTACCAATGTCGAGGAATAGATGAATAAAGCTTCGGCATGCCCAAGCCGGAAAATGGTAAACAAAGAAGCAATTTTGGAAACAAAGAACGGAGGGAGCAGAGAGGGGAAGCGCCTGTTGTTTTTTTGCCCGGGCAAGTCGCGACTCGCAGGGGGCGGTGGGCGGTTTACAACCACTCGGATCATCATTATTCCTCACCGCCCCCAAACACGACTCAATTAGGCAATTCCCAAACAAACGAAGGAAGCACCATGGGGCCCCCTCGGATTCCATGTTGTCTTCAAGCCAATTTGTGAGACACATCTCAGTTACAGAGCTATGTAGAAGCGGCTGGATTAGCCCTGTGTGTTTGTTAACCTTTCTTTATTTCTTTCAAATCGCGCAATCGACTTTGAGAAGTCACTAGGTGTTCATTGTCAAGATCTATATATAGCTTGGCGTGTAAACGGCAAGCAACCTAGGAAGTAAATCGCCTTGGCTATCGGAATTGAAATAATCTCATATCTCTCCTAATCTTCCGAGATCATTAATACCTCCAGCCTAGGATCTAAGCGGTTTCTCACATTAGTTTTGGTATTTGTCGATCGCCTAGGAACAACTTCACAGTTAACAAGTGAAACATGGTGCGCTCGATTGAATAACACCGTCTCTTTGATACACTTATCCAACTCTTCGCGAGCAGGCGTACAGGTGCATCAGAGAGATATCTTCCCGCCTACGGTATACTCTAGGGACTATACTGCAGATATGTCCGTGGGGGCTTTCACCCTTGCTTCATCATTCTCTCACAACTGACCATCAATTGTGGGCATGGTGATTGAGTAACACCAGAAGATACATTTTGACTCATAGTGATTCTTCATTGAGGATATAGGGCTTGGGTACAACGTGATGGCCATTTCTCATTTGTAGAAGCCTCACTACGGAGGACCTACATAAGGTAGACGGATAGGACATGCAGTCTCCAAAATCAAGCATTTGGTGGTTCGCGGGAGTGGGAACTCGCTCGTCCACATTGACGGGCTACAACCTACATCATATAATAATAGATATAAGAGAAAACCCCTCAGAATCCCCAAAAGTGGATTGAAACATATCGATTGTAACATCGCCCGCATGGACCATATACTCCGTGGGATCTCTTGCAAGAGGCGCGAACCCCAGAGTCACGAGCAAAATCTTTTTCATGGGAAAAATGTAGACAATAGCCCACTGTGATGTGCATTGTGATAATACAATATGTCATGGGGTTGTATGAGGGAGTGCTGGCCAGCCTCAATACCTGCTATTTAGAGGTATATACCGCTCCCCTGGGAGGTATTATGCTCATTTAAGGTGAGACAAACAGCCAGGGGTTGGTAATGAGATTCCCGCGGGACCTCACCCGTGGCACCAATCAAATCCAAGGCCTTTGAATCAAAGCCAATCACAGCCGTAACAGATTACCGCTAGGGATATCAATGTAACCCGAATACAGGACTGTACCGCAATGGTGCCATGGCCGACCTTCCAAACCCCGGAGGCGGTTCTCCGTACCTGCAGACACTTGCAGACGACTGCAAATAACGGGATTCGGAGAGATAGCTGTGTTATATATCACTTGCAGACCTACTCCGTCATAGACCTGCTATTGCATCTACATGTACGGAGTATTCCATATCTGAAACCCCTCGGAGACCAATTTCGGTTGATTTGTGGGGGAGCCGTGGCACCCCGAACTGAGTACGGAGTCGACACCGGGATACAATGAACCTCGTGGTGAGCTCATATGCCAGTACTCCGTACAGAATACGGACTAGAGGAATATCCTTGCCATAGAAAATGGAATAATCTATTAATTTCAATGGTCAAACAGTCGGTGTATGAGGATGATCGACAGGGCCGAGACTCCAGGAGGGGAAAACTAAGGGGGGCTAGCGAAATAGGTGGGATCTCTCCTGACTCCCTTTTTTCTTTCTCCAGCCTTTCGTCCATCTTGTACTGGATACAAGTCTAGAGTCATAACCAGGTCCACTTCTGCTGGAAGAAATTGATTTTCTTGAATATTCGAAGTACACCGGGTGTACATAGCAATGCAGTTGAAACCCGCTTGAAAATATACTGCCATTGCCTCGATACCAAAATCCACGAACTCGACCAATTACGCGCCTCTCCTTTGAACGACAATATTCCGTCCATCGCGTCACCATGGAGCATTCCGAGCCAACATCCCCGAGCGCTCGTCACGCGCCAGACCATGACTCGATGGTCACCGTCGCGTTATCCGATAACCAGTCCAGTTCAGAGCACACCCAACCGGATTGGCGCACTCTTGACATCCCTCCAACCCCAATAGAGATGAGTCACCCGGAGAAGGAGAGTGAGGAGGCCTTCGAACCGGTGCCACTACGACACGCCGCAAGGACCACTCCTACTCCACAAAACCGAGACTCGAACGGGGGAAGACAGCCAGGTGAGATGTTTGACAATGAGGGGGACTGGGAGAATTTAGACAAGACAGAGGAACAAGAACCCCGCGGGGAGGGGTCAGATGAAGTAGGTGACAATTACGACCACAGACCTCAGGAATGAGTGCTGACATTCTTGACCTAATTTTAGTCCACAGCCCTTCTCCTCGCTCGCCTCGAACAAGAGAACAATGCCTTGGCAACCAACCCGAAATCTGGAATCCACGAAATTCCGGAGGGCAAGGTACCGGGCAAGATACATCAGCGTCAATCTCGCTCCGAGTCTCTACACCAGATCAAGCGACTCATCAGGGATCCGGCTCGGGCAGAACTACGATACTCCCAGTTACCTCCTCCTCCAATGACCGAGTTGCAGTTCTGGGCTGCGCTTGTCGCCGATTACCACCAGACTGCTCAGCGTTTGCCGACTTTAACCTCAAATAAGATCCAGGGAGGTGTCCCTCCACCGTTGCGAGGGGTGGTGTGGCCCAGTCTAGCGGGCGCTCGCGACCCGACACTTTTGCATGAATTCCAGAGACTTTCGGGCGAGAGCAGTCCATATGATGGGCTGATTGGAAAGGATATTGGCCGGAGCTTTCCCAATGTCGAAATGTTCCGCGACCCGAATGGCGAGGGCCAACAAATGCTCTTCAGAGTGTTACGATGTTTCAGTCTTTACGATACCAAGATTGGCTACTGCCAAGGACTTGGATTTGTGGTAGGCCCTCTGCTCATGCACATGTCAGATGCCGAGGCCTTCTGTGTTCTTGTTCGGTAAGTGTCAAGGTTTCCTTGGACGATGATATAATCCGAATTCGTACTAATGTATCGATCCCGACATAGCCTCATGGATCATTATAATCTCCGGACTTGCTACCTGCCAGATCTGTCCGGCCTCCACCTCCATGTTTATCAATTCCAGAATCTCCTGGCACGACACAGGCCGGCCCTGTTCCAACACCTCGAGTCGCTGCATGTCGAGCCGGTCTACGTATCGCAGTGGTTCCTATCATTCTTTGCAGTGGCCTGCCCGTTGCCAATGCTTCTCCGAATCTATGATGTTATATTCTTGGAAGGCGCATGCGAGACATTGATGCGGGTTGCACTTTCTTTGATGCAGCGCAACGAGAAGAGAATCTTGGCTTGTACCGAATTTGAAGATGTGATGCAGCTGTTGTTATCCCGAAGCTTGTGGGACGCGTAAGTTTGAGGCATTGCACAAAGCAAGTTTGGTTAACAAAGAATCCTGCTGACCTATGTCCTTCAGATACGCCTTCAACGCTGATGATCTTGTTAATGATTTCGTGTCTCTCACCTCTCTCGTGACGAATGAGAGTCTTCAAACCCTTGAAGCGAGCTATAATCAATCTAAAGGCTCACCAGCGGGAGTCTCATTCCCACAGATGCAAGCAACGGCCTCCGGCTTCCTTGGACGGCTGTGGGCTGGCTCGTCGAATTCACACAATTCGACCAGATCACTTACTCCAAATAGTAGCCGTTCTCGTCACAATAGCACAGTTCGTCGCTCGACCTCCAAGCAGAGCCTGACTTCTACACTCAACTCTATCGATACCATCTCCGACGCAAGCACTGCTCCCACTGAACTATCAGCGACTATGGCCAGTACTGATGGCCAAAAACCGCGTGTCAAATCCAGCATGTCTTCACACCACAAAGATCGCGACCTCCATACCCAGATCGAAGACTTGTTAATGGCACTCAGCGATCTTCAGCGCCAACAGGCTGATCTCACCCGTGAATTGCAGCAGGAGAGGGAAGAACGGGAGGAAGATCACACTCTGGCTAAGGAGATGTTGAAAGAAATCAGAGAACTGCCGATTGAGTCGCACCTAACGGAGCTGGTAAACAAAGCGCAGGCCCGTTTTGAATCGGCCAAACCGAAACGTGGTTCAATCACACAGACCAAAATTCAGCTCAATGACGATGTGCTCCGGTGGAAAGAGATGCACGAGGTGGAAGCCGGTCGTTGCTTGAACCTCACGCGGCGCATCGACGATTTTGAGCACGAGAACTCCTCACTCAAAGAACAGTTACGGGAAGCCCGTGGTCGGATCCAGGATGGTTATCGAGATCGACAGCGTCTCGAGCATATGAACCGAGAGCTGCGTACCCTCAAAACTCCTATATCCGAAAGCATGACGCCTTTAGACACATCACCTACCTCTGCAGTTGACTCCGATGCTCAATCCCCCACCAGTGGGTTGCGCGAGCTCAAGCTAGTCCGCAGCAACTCCATCAAAAGCCCCACGTATAACAAACGCACCAGCAGCCTTAGCGCTTCGAGAGCTTTGCCGACGGAGAGTAACAAACCGACGGAAGACTCGTTGCTCATGGAGTTGGTTAATGCCAAGACCGCCGAGGCTGTTGCTAGACAAGAGCTCGAGGAAGTCAAGGGCAAGTTCGATGCATTGCGCAGGATGGTTAGTGGATCCCAGGCGGCCAAGAACGAAGGCCGCCACTCCTTTGTTGGATTATCGCAGTCGCGGATCAGCTTGGCGAATACATCTCTTGCTGAAGCTCCGAGGACACTTGGAACACCGCCTAGCAACAACGCAGGCGGGGGATTCTTCAGTGGATGGGGACGACGGGCTGCGACGGCCAGTGAGATTTAGTGTGGTCTTGGAAGAGATACATACGTGTAACCATACTGAAAGGTCTGTGTGAGATATGCATCCATATCACAGGCTGGTATTAGAGCGATGTTAGTGATTTTTGTTTAGTATGTACATAGTGATATCCCATTTTTAAAGAAGAGCACTTTTTTTTGTGGCTATTTTCAGTTCCTTTCGAGTAGAAAGTAGAAAGAGGAGAGTACAGAGCCGACAATGAGGAGTGAAGAGTGAAGAGTGAGGCGATCACCAACGGCCGGGCGGATCCCGGCGGATGTCCAAATAGTTAGGGCTAGAAGCACTACTCTTGGAGGACACGATTCGAATTGAGATGAGATACATCATTCTACCTAAATATCACTCAAATGTCTTTGCGCTATGGAGGACAGTCATGTTCAACTTCAAAATGGGCTTCTCCATTACGAGGGCAGGTATGGTGTGCCTACGATTGGTCCAACGCCTGCATAGTATCCAGTGAACTGAGCCAAGACTACCAAGACGCTAGTTTCTAAGATGGACAAAACTTCCAAGACTCCCTGATTATTGATGTTCTGCAAAGTACTGCAAGCCTGAGATGGAGTTCTTCGCGGCGTTGCGGGGGGTTTTCGCTTCTCCAAGGCGCTGTTTCGCTGTGGCCGCCCTGTGTCTGGTGGGGCTTTTGGTTGTTCCTTATTCTAGAGAACGAGCCCTAGCTGTGATTCCACTGCAAGTGAATCTGTCAATGTAATTTAAGATCCCTATTCTTGGTTCCCCTGATATCATACGCCCCCTGCCTGCCCAGGTCCCGCATTCTGATCTGTGACAGCCCAGAAGAATCCATTGACCCATTCCCGAGCGACTATGCAGGTGAACAACCTCGAGACTCGCCCCAAGTGATCAACAATCCCTATCCAGACTATGATAGTGTGAACTGGATGTCCACATCGCGGGGGTCGTACCAGCCATGTATTGGACCCCAAGGGCGACTTTTGAGCCGCAGAGATGAAGATATGATGATGAGTGGATTCCGTTGGAATACTTCAGGTGCGAAGAGAAGTGTCCCTCACAATCGACAAGAAACTAATGATCAAAACAAGATTTCCCAACGCCTATCTTCGGATCGTATGATTCGTGGAAGTTGAACAACAGTCTCTGTGCCGATCGCTACTCCCGATACGGTGCATATGGCTATGCTGAGAGTAATGAAACCACTCGAATCCACGGTTGGCAAGGTACCTTTGGCTCCAACGAGGCCGCTGAAATAGATTGGGAGCAGGTGAATTGGGGCGATCTGCAACACGATTGTTTGCAGCGCAACATCATTCGATATCGTAAGGAAGCATCCGAAAGAAAGATATCGGCTCTGTACAAGTCACTAGAGTTGGACTTGCAGGAGCCTCGCGAGCCCTTGAATGACACAAAGCCCTCGGCTCATCCCCGGACGGCCATTCTCTTGCGCTCATGGATTGGCATGAAATATACCGAGAATGATTTGCATCACATTCGTTCTATGATGATGGAGCTGTCGTTGTATTCGGGTGCAGAATACGAACTTGTTCTCTTGATTGATTGCCAGGATGAGAAACTGCCTGCAGAAACAGATATGGCGGCTTGGAAGGCATTCAAGCAGAAACATTTGCCTCAGGAGCTGCACGGCCTAGCAGTGTGGTTCAATGAGGAAATGCTGAACGATTGGTATCCCGACATTGATATTCATGTGTATGTATCTGCCATACTGAGGATCAACCCTGCCCTTGCTGATATGTTATTAGGGCGATATTGCAATATTTCCAACCTACACAGATCTTCTCACGACTACATCCTCAGTACGACTATGTCTGGCAATTCGAAATGGATGCGCGGTATACCGGCCATATGTACGACCTTTTGCACAAGGCAACTGAATTCGCGAAACAACAGCCTCGCAAGTATTTATGGGAGCGGAACTCTCACTTCTATATTCCTGCTATCCATGGCAGGTGGGAAGAGTTTGTGAAGAAGGTGGACCAGGAAATGCCTGGTCGTGACAACGACAGTGTCTGGGGGCCCCATCCCGCAGAAGGTATCAACACCGAAGGGAAGGCTATTATACCCCCCGTACCACTTCCAGGAGACGAACCGGGAACTTGGGGTGTGGGCGAAGAAGCTGATCTTATTACCTGGCTGCCCCATTTCAATCCAGTTGGCACCGACTGGCCCTTCCGTGACCGTGTATTCAATTTCCCCCAAGACCAAGAAACCCCACGCCGGGCAGCTGTCGTGGCCATGTCTCGCATCTCCACCCGACTTCTCGGACTTTTGCACAAAGATAAAGTTAAATTGGGTGTTGGGCTCGCATCCGAGATGTCTCCTTTATCTTGGGCCATGTACTATGGTCTCAAGGCGGTCCAGATCCCACAGCCCATTTACCATGACTCCAAGTGGGATCCCGAGGAATTGAACCGTCGTGCCAATCCCGGTGAGCCTGGCAAGGTCAATGCTGGGTTTGATAGCATTTGGAGCTGGGGTCAACACGATGATATCATATACAACATGACGTTCATGTTCAACTCCAATTTTGCGGAGAAGCTATACAGAGCCTGGCTAGGCTACGATGGCGCCAAAGTGGTCAGTCCTTACTCCTGTAATTGACACTGTAATTCGTACTGACTGTGTGCTAGTGGGAGAAGCAAAATCCTCGACTATGTCTTCCTCCTATCTTTTTACATCCAGTCAAGAATCTCGAGCCAGTGAAGACCAAACCTCATTGATTGTTCACCTGGTGGAGTCCTTTCAAATAAGTTGCTTTAGAAGTTGCTGTATACCCTAAGTTCGATAGAGTGTTAAATAGAAGGGTTTTGGGAATCGTTACTATTGATCCAATACGTGCTTGTTTATTCTATGTACTATCTTGCCCTCGACATAATATATGGCCTTCTTCGAGTCTTTTGGTGCTAGTCCCTCGCTTTTGGCAACAGCCACTTAGCTTGACGTATCTTGGAAAACGGAGAAAAGGAACCGGAAACTTGAGAATGAAAATGAAAATGAAAATGAACAAAGGCTGCATGATTGAAGATAGATCCTCAGCCATGTGCTTTGTGTTAACATAGATTCTGCAGTCTGGATTCAATCTCGAACAGACATCTCTGGGCAGACACTGGAAGTACTAAGAAATACTGTGAAATGAAAATAAAAAGAAACACCCGAATCTGCCGAATTCCCTGCCAGTTCGTCCCCTGATCTTTCCATTTTCCCGCTTACTCGCTCTCGGACTTGACCTCGGCCTGCTCTTCGAGTTCGGTATCATCGTAGGTCTGTTCCTCGATCTGAGTCACATCATAGTCCTCCTCTAGGTCTTCGTCTTTGATCAGAACATCATCATTGTCCGGGTCTTCATCCATGACCTTGGGGTCATTGGTCTTGTTTTCGCTGTTTGCCGAGTCTTCCATAGCTTCCAGCTTCTTCTTCAGCCGGGTCAATCTCATTTGAGCGGTATTGTTCCTGATATTGTAGTGCTTAGCGACAGCTGGAATGTCGATCTGCGAATCCATCTTGTCAGAACTCTTTATCTATTTATGACTGGAATTTCTGCAGATTGGCAGAGTTGAGCACTGACATGGACATCCGAGACCTTGTAGCAGGTCCACAGGAAAAGCAGCTGCTTTTTCAGATCGGAGTCTTTGACCTCCCTTGGCTTGGACGGGGCCTTTTTCACGGCCGACTTGGCTGCGTTCGGGGCTGATGGCTTGCGAGGCATCTTGCGTTCGCGGTATGGTGACGCTTTTGCAGTATGGTAACGTGTAAGTGACGTGGAGTGTGAACTGTTTGTGCAACTTAGATCAAAGAGCTTGGAAGAGGAGGATGTTGAAGGTGGTAGGATTCAAGAGAGCAGAAGGGAAGGGAATGAGCTCTTGTAACTGCGTCACTTGCACACGAGTCTGCAGACTTGGGATCACCTGGTGCCAAACAAGAATAGATGACTCTGGGCGTCCTATGAAACTCTGCTTGTCTGACTCTTTGGACAAATCCCTTACTTTTGAACGTGTTCTTAGACGGAAGTGCGTTAGTTGATCACATAGGTTGTGTGCGATGTGTATGTTCTATACAATGTAGATAGCGACCATCCGCCTCCTGTATGATCTATAATCTACTAATGATCTTATTCTAAAAGAAAGAAGAGAGTTTACATCTCTTTATTTCGATATATTGAGATACCCTAAGGGTTCAGACTGCCCCCTAGAGGTTTCCAAGTCCTTCCCTACTTAATACCTAGACCCCTGCTTTTCCTCCATCCGCACGTCTCGTCACCATAGGAGCCTACCTAAGCGTGGACAACCCTAGAAGCCTGTCGAATACGGCTTGAATGGTTAACCGGACAATTCCGTTACTTCTGAACGTGTTGCCAGACAGGAGTCCGTTAGTAGCAAATAGCTTCATCACTAACGCCCTATGCTGTGTTTGGATCGAATGTGGGCAGCGAACATGGACATACTAGCAACAAGCTTCTCAGTCGCATGTTCAAAGGATGGGTGCTCTTCTTGCACGCCCTGTTTATTGCGTCTAGAGATAGCGAATAGGTTAATGGAAAAAGGCGAAGCTAAACACATTGGCGATGAATAGACCACTTACACGTTGTGATCATATGTCCGAGCAATAATGGAACCAAGCAATGCCAAACAAGGCTACAGATGCTCTATGCACCCAGAGCTATTGCCATGAAACCAAGAAGAGCAAGCCATTTCTCAGATTGTTTGGAAGGCCTGTACTCACATGCAAAAGGCTTTGTGGATATTAACGCGACACCTATCTAACTGCCCAAACGAATAAGCACGATGGAATATCTACATAAGGTACCCCTTAAAAGCGAATTCAGTTTGACTAGATACAATATACGTACGTGTACGCATATATTAGGTATCTACATGTATTTAGTGGTCTAAAGTTGTTGGAGATCTCGATCCCCGACCTGTATTTCCATCTCTCCTTCCGCTCTTCCTTCTTCCTCTTCTCACCAACCCTGCCCAGCTATTCTCTCCCAGTTCGTTATCCCCTAATGCTCGATTTGGCTTTGAGAATGGCAAATCCAATTCCCAAGTCCAACGAAGCACTCGCGCTACTCTGGGCTTATGAGCTTCACCGAGAGAACATGCAAATGTTCAAGGGCCTGAAGAAAATCAACCGCCATCTCAATGCCTCTCGAAAGACTCCATCGGCCAACTGTGCTAATGATGCTTCACGCCAAAGCGGAACAGCAGAACAACAGCCGAAGTCTTGAAGAGTTTAACGGAGAGTATAGCGAGTAGGGGAACGACCAAGATGATTAATGTTATGTCGCTTTTGTTACTGGTGAGAAAATTGCCTCGCCCGTCGAAATCGGCCTCCTTCATCACATTATTGCTGAAATTATACCTATAGGGGAACATCGCAGGTATCTTCGATATTGTATGGCTAGTGGTCTCACCAATTTCATGTCTTCACTCCATGAAGCCATGTCGTATCTCGTCCTGATACTTGGACGTTCCCAGGCTTCATAAATCTCGACAACAATCCAACATAGCGTGGGAGGGCGATACACAGTACACCACATTCCAAGGCCATCTATCTTCACTTTTTTCACTTTGTTTCATCTTATGATCCACGGACCACGTCTCTCCAGACGACTCCTCCCGGTCGGAGTTAGACCGATGCGGGGATCGAGGGGCCACAACCCACGTCCAACTTCGTCTTTCTTGACATTCTACTCGAGTTGCGACAGTGATCTAAAGTAACACAACCGGACATTCTCGCGCTACAACAATATGGTCCTCACACAGCCCCCGAACCAGCATGTGATGAAGGCATTCGACCTCACTGGGAAGGTCGCAGTTGTTACTGGTAAGGGCCATGGATATTCCCTAGTCCTGGAGATACATGCTAACATTCCACTGCAGGTGGCGCTCGTGGAATCGGTCTTGAAGTTTCGAGAGCGTTGGCTGAAGCGGGTGCGAATGTAAGCTACAGTTCTCAATGCAATTGAAGCCAAACTAACTGGCTACAAAGGTCGCCTTGATATACAATAGCTCTGGCAACGCCGATGAAACTGCAGCTGAGATCGCATCCGCCAACAGAGTACGCACAGCAGCATATCAAGCGAATGTAGGTATTCAGACGGAAATCGAAGCGGTTGTACAGAAAATCGCGAAGGATTTCGGTCAACTTGACATCATGGTAGTGAATTCGGGTGTTGTTTCTAACATCGCCGCCGAGGATTACACGGCCGATCAATGGAGTGAGATCATGAAAGTTAACCTTGATGGTGCTTTCTATTCTGCTCAAGCCGCCGGTCGGATTTTCAAGGAACAGGGTCGTGGAAATGTTATCTTCACAGCCTCGGTCAGCGCGATTTTGGTCAATGTGCCACAGAAGCAAGCAGCGGTAAGTGACCCTTCGTAGGAAATGACCCTGTCCACTTCGCTCATCCTTGAATAGTACAATGCATCCAAGGCGGGCGTTGTTCAGCTAGCAAAGTGCTTGTCTGTTGAATGGGTTGACTACTGTCGAGTCAACTGTATCTCACCAGGATTCATTGCCACCGACATTCTCAATATTCATCCCAAGGAGTGGCGCGAAAAGTGGCTCGATATGATTCCTGCTAAGAGAATGGCCGAATGCTATGAGCTGAAAGGTGTAAGTTTCCGTTGTCTCCAAGTTCTCTTCAACCCAACTGACAACCTCGTGCAGGCCTACGTTTTCTGCGCCTCGGACGCGTCTAGCTACATGACAGGAGCAAACCTTGTGATTGACGGGGGATACACCTTGCCTTAGGGTTAGTGAACAACGATGTTGTATCATGATCAAGAATCTTCTTGGTCCTTTTGGATGCAGATACGCAGATATATTTCAAGGACAGCTCTTAATTTCCATATTAAACTAGCTTGAAAATCAAGCTTTGAAACTGTAAAAGAACGACCTCACACTAGGGATCTCTGAATGGAGTTGCCCGTCCATAGCCACTCAAAAATCTATTGATAATCGCTCAGACTCGGAGGAAGGTCCTGAACACGAGTTCCCCATTCACTCTCCTGAGAACCCAACTCAAGTTCAAGTACACCACCGTCAGCGAAAAGGTCATGAGTGATCCAATTCTTTGTCCATGGCTTGTCGTTCCATTTCGCGCTCTGGATGTAGATAGACTTGTAGCTAGGATCAAAATTGATGTTCCGGATAGTCGCGATCTTTCCGGTGATGGCGTTTCGGATGCTAACTTCTTTGAAATAGGGTGGAGTGATGAGATAGATATCCTGACCGGGGACTGGCCAGAGGCCCATCATGCTCAGCACAACAAATGAGCCCATGGCTCCGCTATCATCATTGCCAGCGATGCCATTAAATGTGGTGTTGAATTGGGACGGGATGTAGAAGTGACTTTGCTTCGCTGAGAGAGCAGGCCGCCCCGAATAGTGGAATTGATAAACAGGCAGGAAGGCCTGCTCATCTCCCACGTAGAGCAACCCAGAGTCATGGAGGTAACTCAGCCGAGAGGTGAAAGATTCGGCACCTCCAAGCGCCTTGATGAGAGAGCCCATATCGTGTGGTGCATAACTAAAATTGTACGGCATTAGTCACATCTGTAAGCGGGATGGAAGACAGCTAAGAGCTTACAAGGTATACATCCACGCACTGCCTTCATAGGTCTCATGTCCTTGAGGGTTGAGATAACACGCAGTGAAATTTAGAAGCGGACTGCAAAGGATCGGATCCTGGTAGGCCCATGTCCCATTCCGGTAGCGCGGTTGCAGAAATCCTGTGAAGTTGGTGTCGACCCCCTTGATGCTTGACTTCTGATCATGCTTGAACATTTGGACCCAATTTCCAGATCGCTTTGTGTATTTCTCATAGTCAGCCTGATAGCCCATGCCCTGCGCCATTTCGGCAATGCAAAAGTCGTTATAGGCATATTCCACCGTCCGCGATATACTCCGCGTGTGTGTTCCTTTCCCATCAGAATCATAGTCATCTAGAGGAATATAGCCGAGACTTTTCCAACTCATCAAACTGCCCCGGCCTTCCACATCCCAGTTCTTGGGCTCTACCTCTGCATCTTTGACGACAGCCTCATATGCAGTGTCCCAGTCCACATCAGGGACCTTTTTGAGATATGCATCTGCCATAACCACATCTGCGTTAGAACCGCCTTGCGTGAAGCCCTTGCAAAGCGACATACGACAGTCGGGCAAGTATCCCTCGTGTCTATAAGTGTCGATCAAACTGCGCATCATGAGCGATTGCGATAGAGGATCAACCAAGGTCAACAGTGGATGAGTGCTGCGGAAAGAGTCCCATATACTGAGCGGTAATATTAGAATGCTGGCCATGTGCCTCAGAGTGGAGTGGGCTCACCAATAATAGCTGTCATAATACGGTTCGTTGCTTTTCCAGAGAGGGTTTTCCCCAGTATAGTCTTGGGGGCTGATCATTGTTCGGTATGCCCCACTCCAAAAGACTTTCTGCAGATCTGATGAAACACCATCCGCGTTCACGGAGATGACATCCAACTTCCTCCTCCAAGCGGACTCGGCTGCGGAAACAGTCCCATCAAAGTCAAAATCGGGTTGTTCACGTTCTGCATTGGAGCAAGCTTGATCGACACTGATAAAACTGACACCAACGCGAGCAAGAAGAGTGTTGTCTCTCGGGGCATGGAATCTGGCAAATGTACCGGCTGAGAGAGAGGCTGCCGCATTAGCGCCGAGCGTCAGCGTCCTCCTACTGATGTTCGCTTGGCTTTCTGCCCAAACCCCTGTATCGCGAAGCTCTGCTCCTTTGAAGTCAACGCAGGCATAGGAATTGTAACTGCCAATGCCAAAGCTGGGACCGAAAGTACCACTTCCCGTGAGACGCCCAGTAGCCCTGTCAACATCTGCACTTCCATTTGTCCGTGATTGAGGCAAATCGGTCAAATCTAGAAGAACCATTGGACTGAGCGAGACGCCGGAGGACTCATTGAACGTGAATCGATATAGAGTAGACCGATTAGTAGTTGTCATTTCCGCATGAACGCCATTAGCCAATGAGATACCAAAATACCCAGGGTGAGCTTTAGGAGAGCCCCTGTCCCAAGCAATCGCCCTGTCGGGCTGTTGCCATTTACATTGATTGATATCATCGTGCGGGCAATTCCCTTGCGCAAAAATGGGGAAGTTGCCCATTGACGGAGACTTTGGAGCCGAGTTAGAACGAACATGTTTTGTCATCTGTGGCTAGGTTGTTAAAGCTTACGCCGCCAGTTCCAGAATCATGCATGTGTGAAAACCCAGTCACAACCTTTGTATCATAAGCGAAGCCAGCTTGATTTTCGCCTGTTGTGTCCGCGACGGCTTTGGCCATACCTGCGCTCGTTAGCCTTGGTCAATGTGAAGGCATGATGCTGTGTGAGATACCAAATGGCAAAGTTGCACCTGCAAATACATGGCCTGTAAGAGTGGTGTTAGCCTGTGCTTTTTGAAAAAGGACAAATCATATCCAAGACAAACCTCCATTTGCGGTGCCAATCAAAGGATCGACATAACTCAAGACGTCAAAGTCATCTGCCGAAGAATCCTTCACAGCAATGACGCTGGACACATACAGGGTCGCTATGAGGCCCCCAAGGAGTTTCATGCGATGCGAAGAGTGTTGCGATGGCATGATGGGCTTTAGAATAGCACTTTCCACGACTAATAACCAGAATGATTAAACAGATGCCAAATGGCTCTGAAATCAAGACGCAGGAAAAGTCTGCCAGACCTCAAAATTCAGGCTTCTTATTTACCGATCAGAAACAAGCCGTCGGGAAGCATCCCGGCGCGGATTGGCATGCGGGCTGCCGTGCGAGGAAACCGGGGAAACCGGGGAAATCGCAAGCCACGTCTTGGGCCAAATTACAATGCAGGAGCATTTCACGTAGCATTGACGGTCAAAATAGTGTCACATCTGCGCTCCTCCGAGATACACCCTGCTATGTTCGTTTGTTCCCCACATGAGAAGAGGCCGAGAAGCGGGAAACATCCAAAAATGCGCACGGAAATCCTAAGACAAGGACCTAGGGTTATGACACGAGTGTGGGTGACTGGCTGTCGATCATTGAAGTTGAAGGCGCCTTGATCACCCCGGGCTGCGGGGAATATGCTCTTTCCAGGAGAAAGCCGTCAGTTCCGGGACCAAGGAAGGTTAAGATCGAGTCAAAGTCTTCGGCAAATGTAACCTTCTCCGCTCCATTTTAGCATTAGACGTATATAGAGGGTGATTGGTAGAGATATGATCAAAATTGAGATGGACCGGTCGGGGTTCTGGTATCATGCAAGGAATCAATTTCCACCAGGCATCCAGGATGTCAAGAAATGATATTCGAGATGATATTCGGCAGATATCGAGACCGAAATTGATCACCTGATCTTTCGATCTATCAGAAATGCCTCGATGTATGCCCTTATGCGGTATTGTTGCAACCCTTCATCAATCACTGCTTTGGCTGTCCAGTTGAACTCTCGAGTGACTTTATAGCGAGCGAAATATTTCGTGCCGCGAAGTAAACACTCAAAATAGGTCAATAGCAATGCTATCCCAGTCCTTTCCCCTTTGCTCAGATGCCGGTTTGGGAATGCTTTGTGGGAGCATCGAGGGACTGGGATTAGTAGACTCTCGAGGCGAGTTGTTAGAATCGAGACGAGCTTTGATTTTTGCATTCTCCCCCTGTAGTCTCGAATATTCTTCTCTGACGATAGCCTTGTCTCTCAATAATGACCTGTGTGATTCGATCTCTTTGATTGCCAATCCCAGTTGATGCTTGAATTGCAATGACTGGGGATCTTGATTTGTCTCACCATCTGGCAATGCTAGAAATTCTAGCAGCTGAGGATACATCTCCGCGATAGGAAATGGCTCAGTTGGCGAACTACAGGGAGTGAACTCATCAATCCGGCTCAAAGTAGGCAAAGGGATTATCCGAGAAACTCCGGAGGATTTACGCCCCGATACCGTTGGAGATCTTTCGCTACGGATCGAAGCATTCCCAAATGGAGCCTCCGAATGGCTGCTTGGAGTTGTTCCCCGAGTACCGGAGACCGGAGATGGCATAGGGAACTGCGGTGGTGCACGATCCCAAGCTCGTGATCGGCAAGATGGACAATAGAAATTATTCGCAGAGCGAACCACATCCAATAGGCATGCTGTATGATATGATCTACAGCACGTTTGGCACCCAATCAGACTGTCAGGAAGGCGGCACTCCCAACAAACTATATTATGAGGCCTTCCAGCATCTGTGTGGCGGAGTTGAGAAGATATCTCACAAGTTGTCTAAAAGGGGAACATACCGATCCATTCATGATAGACACGAATTTGTTCAGGGCCTGAGAGGATAGGCTGCGTCGAAGATATCGAACCCCATCGTATCTGACAACTCCTTGCATGTACCTCTTGATCCTCAATGGAGCGGACCAATGGAGTAGACGTTTCACATTGGCTGTCAACCAGAAACGCGGGTGTGCGTAGCATGATGTATGGGGGTTTTCTTTGAAGAAGAAAAGTAAATGACGACAGAATGTACAAAGGGAAAATGAGGTTCCCGAACTCCAAGCGAGAAATGCCCGAGGATGAGTCAGCACCCCTTCGGACAGGGCGTCTTGCATCATTCACTCTAGATTTCTGCTCTCGGGACTACATCCTCGCCCGATGTATGTTCGAAATGTGAAGTAGTGATGAGTGATTGAAACGAAAAAGCTCCACCGATGAACTTAATATCTAAAGCACTAAGATCGCGATATTGGCACGCAACCCACAATGCCCGGGGTGCCATCCAACAAGGCTTGCGAGCGATGCAAGAAGAGGCATCTCAAAGTAAGCCCGGCTTCCCTTGAGCATGCAATCACAAGACTAATATTGGACAGTGTGATGAGACTCGCCCTCATTGTCAGCGGTGCACCACTGCGGGGGTAGAATGCCCCGGGTATGTTCAAACCCGCAAGTTCATCGATCAAGGGGCAACAGTAAGACGCCGATATGCTCCATATCAGGATCCTCACCCAAGGCAAGCTTCTACGCCTCGTTCAAGCAAAGTATGTTAGAGTGGCCACTATCGTTCTGTTCAGGCACTCATCTTTTATGATAGGCCCCCTCAGAGCCACCCAGTTCTGAGCCAATACAGCCAAAAAGCTCGCAAATAGGAATAAATGAACAGATTCTACAGTGGAATCAATCCCCCGAGCAAGTTGACCCTGCTCTCAGCTTACAGATGGGCCAGTCGAGGTTAGACTCGAGAGAGGACCCAATGATGGTGGAGATGCCGGGCCTGGGTCCTTCCAGCCGGCCCGAGGTTGCCACGGGGAGTACCCAACACACGACTATTCATGCCCCAGAAAGCCCTGCCATCTCTCTTCCCAATTCCATCTCTGGCGTTGAAGAGGGCAGTGGATCTACGAGAAACACGATCTATAAATCCATGTCACCAACCGCCGCCACAAATTTCCCAGCATTTGAGAACTCTTATAACCAAATACCACATAAACGCCCCGAATATCACAGACTGATGTCTGAAACACCATCACAGCGAAGTGAGAAAGAAGAATTTCAAGATATTTTCTCAGAGCTCATGACTGGAACTGAACATGAGATCGCGTTTCTCACTCGACATTTTTCTGAGGTCATAGGACCATGGTACGGGCATCTAACTCTTGCTGTGTATGCAGTTTGTTAATTCCCAATAGGTTGGACTTGTCGGATGCTCAGAAGTTTTTCACCGTCTATGTTCCCATTCGAGCCATCAACAATCTATCCGTGAAATATGCCATTGCAGCGCTAGCGGCCAAACATCTGGGCCGTTTGAAAGGGGCCAAGTCCTCCCTGGGAGGCATGTATACAAGCCCTGCGACAACAGAAACATATCCCAACGCAACTCAGGTTGATTGGTTCCTCAAGGCTGCCAATTACTATTACCTGGCAGCTTCAGATTTGAACAACATTACGTCCGATGGTTATAACGCTATATCTAGCTCCGCCATCTTGGAATCCCCCTTTGAAATCATCCTTCGATGGATTAACTCTCGCCAAACCCAAGCGAAGATGAAACTCGCGAGTGAAGATCCGAACGATGTGGCGCTCGTTCGAAAGACAGAAGAGCTGCTGGCAACTTCTACTATCCTCACTATGTACAGACTTTTGGATTTACCTGGAGACGAGTGGCACATGTAAGATATTCTCGTTGGAAATTGTCGTATTTTTTTATATTGACGATCATATGCAGGCAACTTTCTCGAGTCCGCCCTTTATTTGACTCCCTTCTCCGATTATATTCGGCAGCATCTATCCCGTTTGCTCATGGAATTCGGGCTGCTTTCTGGAACTTTGCTCGTCAAGACTATCTTGGTTCCTATTTTACTCGGTCAGCTACACATTTCGACCCGGAAAATCTTCCTCTTTGGCGGGCGGCAGGAATTTCCATCAATGACCAGAAAGCCTTTCATGTTATTTCAAATGGTTCAACTTTGTCGCAGGAAGACCAGGCTGCGAATGGCTTGATCTGGCTTGTTACGAAAGTCATCAATTTTCTCGCCAGATCCAAACAGGTGCAGCTCGCACAGTGGACGGGGTCTCCACCGGCATCTTCACCCGAAGCCCAAGGCGCACCAGCGAGCGCCGCCCAACTGCCGTATCCGGACACAGATACCTGGCTCAAATTATCTTTCGAATTTCAAACATGGTTCGAGAACGTCCCCGAGACATTCCGTTCTTCTGTGCGGATCGAACGCCCAAAGGACATATCAAAGAACATCGAAGGCTGCCACTTGCCTTTCCCCGAAATCTTCCATGGCTTGACAACCTGTGCTGCAACCATGCAACATTATCACTTCGGACGGCTTGCTTTGTTACTCAACCGTCCGGCAGATGTGATCAGTGCCCCGTCCACGGCCTTTGACCGCTTACAAGGGTACCGGGAGGTCACGAAGGAAGTTGAGTTCCGTTCCCGAGAAGTTTCGGGCATTGCGTTAGGACGCCCCCAGGGTGGGGTTCGAATATTTATGGTCCCACTGCTTGTGGCCGTTGGACAATGTCTAGAAAGCCCCGAGGAACATCAGATCATTGTTGATCTGTTACGGGGCGTTGAAGCTGATTTGGGCTGGGCTACTGAATATGCCGTACGGAAACTCCAGGATTCTTGGAATCAATGAACTTGGTTTGTGTTTTTCATGTTTTTCACATGGACCATCAAATACACTGTACCTAAATGTCTATATTCAATACTTAATCTGAAACATCCCCCTGGGGTCTCAAGTGGGAAACTACATCCGCTAGCCCAAGGGATATTGAGAATATCTCCGCTGCCAGCGTCTCGTCGGAACTGGATTCCGACAGAAGGTAGTGCTAGCTATGACATTATCTCCGCATTCGACAAATGACGGCATTCTCTCATCATGTTACTTTGGATGTTCATGATAGCATACGGGTCAATGTGCAGCAGACGGCTTGGTAAGATCATATTGGTCAATTTATCCCTCTAGTCTGTTTGAGATACAAAAGCCAAAAGGTGAAAAGCAAAGAACAGCACAAAAGATGTCTCCATAAATCAAAGAGAAGCTTTTCAAGGTGGCCAATTCTTATCTTCCGTGATCCCATATCGGTAGATGCATGCTCTGTGTCAGTTTCTCATGCGAATCTCGAGGACTAGGACAGGCACGGTAGCGAAAGGGACTGCAAACATACTGCCTCCGACATCGACTCCCTTTGAAACCAAACATACAAAAAACAAAGCCAATCAAATCAAACTTACTCCGACGATTGTGACAGATACCTTTGGACCGGATCCGGATCACCGGAGCCACAGGAAGACACTTTGCGACCAGCCTTCTTTCTGTCGGCAGCCAAGGTCTGTGCGAATGGTGACATTTCCCGAATCTTGGGCCCTTTCCAATAGAATATGTATATTGGTATGGTGAAGATAATCGCCATGAAGCCCAAGAAAGTAGAAGGCCATTCAAGGTGGTTTGTTGTACCCATATGTGTGTACACTATAATCCGTGATCAGTGGATATTCAGTCGCAGTACCATAGTTATACTGCACTTACTTGGCACCGAGTACATCGCTGCGATACCAGCTAAGAAGTCGCGTGCAAACCCATTTCCTCCTGTGGCTGAGGCTGCATATGGACCATATGAGGCAATCATGTAATCGATTGTGGCCATGTAGATGGCATACTTGATCATAGAAGAAAGGTTTTTAGTCTTGTATCAAGAGAAAAAATGATTTACCAACTTACATTGGCAATGGCAATCAAAGCCGAGAATATCATAGGCGCAATCCAGTGGACATGGGGTGGACCGAGACTAGTCCACGCAAATCCGAATAGGCCAATTGACAACAGGGGTGCCACTATTGCATGTGAGTGGTGAGAGGAATAGACTGAATGTACCCAAGTGAGAGCAGCGTACCCCATAACAACCAATAGAGTCGAGCTTCGGGTTGAAGACCGTCCGGATCTTTTTCTCTAATCCTGCAATGTCGATGGATCCAAGGAATGAATGAGCAATACGCAATCAAGTAGCCCACCAATAGTCTGCAGAATCGGTTCGTCAGAAATACACGGAGGTCAAGGCCTTGCACACTCACGGGAGGAAAGAAAGTCCAGTAGCAATTGTACTGAATCCCCATTGCTTGTATACTGGAGTATACGATTGAAGGAAAGTGAAAATGAGGGCATCACTGAAGCCGCTGAGCAGAGAGAGGCACAGGACGATCGGTTCTCGCAGGAACATGATGAATGGGCGCACCCAAATCATGAATATCCAACGGAAAGACATGCGGCTTTGCTTGAGCTCATCGCCACTCCATACCATATCCCCGTTTTTGCGTCTCCGCCTAGCCTCTCTCGTTATAAGGATGCTGCACCTGGTCTCTGGAATGAAGAAATGCAATATCTGCACAAAACCTCCTAAGATGAGTTGAAGCCAGAAATTCCAGTGCCAGTCAAGGAAAGTCGCCACGAAGCCGCCAACAACCGGTGCAATGACTGAGCCTGCTACTGAAGATAGCACAATGAAAGCCACGGCATATTGTTGGCTCTCCGGTTCCCACATGTCTGCCACCATGCCGAGCGTCACAGAGCCACCGGCTGACGATAGACCTCCAAGGATGCGACAGATGACAATCGTGCCAAAGTTAGGGGCCAGAGCGCATGGGATCTGCCAGATGTTGACGAAGAACAAGCTGAGCTGCATTATTGGCCATCGGCCAAACTCTTCGCTGAACGGCGCCCAGAACTCGCAGCCAAATGCATACGCAATGAGAAAGCCCATCTGACCGACACGCGCGGCTTGTTCTGAGATGCTGAAGTGTTTCGCATACAGGGTGATGCTGCTGGCATAGAAACTGGCATTGAAGTTCATGGATGTCTGAACAGCAAAGATGACTGAGATGATGCCCCATTTCTTCCACCAGGGGAACGAATATCCCAACTTGTCATAGCATTGCCATTCTTTTAACTCTTCCTTAGAATGCCCATCGACGGTTCCATTGGCGGCTCCATTGGCATCCTCTTTCTTTCCGTGACGAGGCTTTGGGGTACCGCCAGGAGAGCGAATGTGGCCATCACTTTCATCTTGCTTCTCCACGTCCCCATCTACATGGTTGGAGAAAGGATCTTCGTGGTGACTCATTGCCATGAGATATTGGATAAGTAGATTTTGAGAGCTCTCAGGAAAATAGCACCGAAAAGAACAAGGACCGCCATCCTGGATACACAGAATTGATTGGGGGCCCGGAGCCTAATTAAATGCTTTTGGTTGTGCCGGTAACCATTGGAGTCTCTCGAGAGAACTGCCGAGGGTTTAGTAGATTCCAAGGTTGACTCTATAGATACAGCGTCAGTGCTTCCGATTGGTCCGGTGACCAGCATGCCCTGGCTCAAACAAGCTTTACCAGGCTTCTTCGCGTGCTCCCTGGTGTGGAGGTGACATCCGGGGATCATGATCTGATTCATCGTCATCTGAGGGCGAATCGATTCCCCCCACGTTTTGGGAGGATGATGGGACCACAGCAAAGAGACGCAATTATAATCCGACAAGGAGAACATGTTCTGATCCACTTTGGAAACCCGATGTTCATACGGGGCAACTGGCAGGATGATCCGGAGCATCCTCCGGGGAATAGTCACGATCCCCAGATGCTCCCCGCGTGGAGATGAGCGGGCTTGTCGGATCGCTAAACAAGGCGAGAGAGTCTGGAGCGTCTGGCATCTAGAGCATCCTAATCATGATGCATAGAGGAGGACAGTCTCGGAATATTCCCCCTTCCCATGATTGACCATGAGTCCGGAAACATTAGGCTCTGTAAAAAAGGCGTTTCACAGGTTGGGCTGAAGTATCCGGGCGTATTGACATAACGTAGTCATTGTACTCCATTGTAATCCGCTGTGCCTTTGGAAATTCGATACGCTTTCTTTCCAGATCTTAGGAAATTGCCTTTCACCAGAGCATATAAATCAAGTTGAATAATCAGTGATGCTCCAGTTAGCTTTGTCCAAGCTTTTGTGTTTCATACACCTCTCCTGTCTCAAACAGAAGCCTCCATTTCCCCCTTGTGTTATTGTGTTCTCATTTGACTAGACATATTGAAAAGAAGAAAAACAGCCCGAACTTGAATGGCAGTTTCATCTATCAGAGAGCTATCTGGTCTTATGAAGAATGCACCACAATGTGAGGCGAGGAAAGCATCCATCAAGGGCCAAATGCGGGATAATGCCGTGGGGCTCTACTGGGTCAAGCTCTGTAAAGATAAGCGAGCCACTCGTTAGGACAGCGTAGAATGAGAAGCACGAAGCTTTTAATGATTGGCCCAAGCGCATGGTCTGCGGGAAATCTGGGGACACGGTGGATTGGGGAGATCAACGTCGAAATGGACCCCTCAAGACTAACCCCATTCTCGTTGATCTAGTCAACTACCGCAATGTGACATTCTCGTGACGCATGGCAGGTGTTATGTCTCTCCGAAAATGCATAGGCCTGTTGTTCGGTTAATATTCGCCTTGCCTTCCCGCTCCCATTCCAGGGCTGGCAGCAAGCTTGATGTTTGTTTGTGTGTGGAGGTAGTGGAGTGCTATAAGACAAAAAGAATTTCCGATGAAAACGGGATGTGAGAACTGGATAGCACTCCAAATCAGTTTCAACGCTCCAGTTGCTCCTTCAAGTCCAAGTATATTGACAACATGGAGATGAACTATGACGAACGGGTGAGTCTTCCCTCCGAGGAATTGTTGTATTCGTGAACAACAGTTTTTTCGCCAACGCTCTTCATCAGTGCATTGCATTATACCCCTCCTGAACAGGTCGTCTGTTTTAACCATCTTGCTCAGAATTGATGAGGAGCTGGGTGCGGTGATCTATCCAGGCACAGAGATCACGGCCGACGTGGGATCCCATCATTTTGTCAAATCATCCTCCAATTATGATCGTGCGCTGATGCCTCAGCCATCGCAAGATCCGGACGTTCCTGTGATAATGCTTTCTTTCTAGGTCATTGTTTGGAACACGAGATAACGATATGTACTCATAGAACTGGAGCCGATTTTGGAAAATGGGAACCATGACGACAACCACCCTAAAAACCTTCAGCCAAGGCATGGGCCCTTTGGCATTGGCTCCGATGTTTCCACAGTTGATGGAGGCATTTCAGTCCGATCTAGCCGCCGTAGTACAGCTGACAGGTGTTTGCATTCTAGTGCTAGGATCCAGCAATTTCTTCTGGTGATAATGATCATGTCTGGGCGGTTTGATGACCCTTGCTGACGCTGCGGTGGTCCAGGACACCCATGCAAACATCTTTTGGGCGGTGGCCGGTACTGATATTGTCGACGCTGAGCTCCCTGGTCAGTAATATTCGGCGAGCACTAGCTACCAGCTATGGTAGCTATATGGGCGGTTGTGTGCTTACTGGATTTGGCGCTGGTCCCGCAGAGGTATATTGTTTCACTATCAGTCAGTCTTGAGTAGAAAAAGCTGACTCTTTGTGTCTAGACATCTCAGCCAGAAATTATAGCGTCAGGTTCCTTCACGAACGGCGTGCGTACAACACAATGTACTTTGCGGCCTATTTGGGTCTCTCATGGCAAGGAACCTGACGAATCAAGGCATTGGTCGCGCTTATTGATATCCTGCAGATTGGTCCCATTATTGCAGGCCCTATGGCTGAGCATAGTGGCTGGCGCAGCTTCTTCTGGCTGAATGTCGGGTTGCTTGGATTGGTACTCCTGCTTCGAATCTTCCTTTTCCCTGAGGCCAAATGGTACCGTACTCACCCAGACGAGGCTACTCAGACGGCATCTCCTCATGGAATATCATCCAAGGTATCCGAAACAGATAAGCACATTGAATTCACCCAGAACGAGAACGGGGATGTGAGAGATGGCGAACGCGATCCTTATTCACACAAGGGCGGCCCATCAAAGCAGCATTTCATGCTTGCACAATTGGGTGGAACCAACATCAAGAGCGTGCTTCTTAGCTTCTACATTCCATGGAAGCTGTTGGCTTTCCCCATTGCTTAATTCGCCGCTTTCGTCGAATCGTGCTCTGCCAGTTGCTTCCTCACTCTAAATCTCACTCAGAGTTAAGCATTCACAAAGCCCCCGTATAACTTCGACAGCCAAACGATTGGCTTTTTCAACCTTGCTATTTTAACCGGAGGTTTGATTGGATTAGCTACCAATGGCCTCCTTTCAGATTGGATATTCATGAAGGCCACTGAGAACGACCGTTGTGTCCGAGAACCTGAGATGCGTCTACCAGCAATGATTCCATACGTCATCATCTCGATCATTGGCAATTTATTGTTGCATTTGGATCCAGTATAAATGGGATTGGAATGTTGCTGCACCCATAATTCCTTGCTCGGCGGAGCTTGAGCTGACTAGTCCACACATAAATCATCGTGATCATCGGCTATACTGCAGCAGACATCCAGGTGGCAGCCCTTCCGGCTATTACCAGAACATACGCAGTTAACAGCTATAAACCTGTGGCAGGCTCGATATTCGTGTCTATCACTGTCAACAATCAACCAGAACCTCTTGGGCTATGGTTTCAGCAAATTCATCACCTCCTGGGTAGAGGAGAGTGGATTTGTCAAACCAATCATGTAGAACCGGGCGTTGACAACATTGCGGTGTTTATGCACCATCCCTTCTACTTCTATGGTAAGAAGTTCCGCGGATGGATAGCCAAGTCGTCCGTCCACAAGATGTAGAAACTGCTAGGTTAAAGATGTGCAATGCGGAGTGAGACACGATTGGAAAATTGGAATGAAAAAGATTGAATGAAGTTTTTTGTGCTGTTATAGCTGGTATCATTGTAAAAATCGAATGCAACGCCCGCTCTAAAACGCTCAATCGTCATCGTCATCGGGGTCGTAGAGATCAAGGTCCAGCATCGCCTTGGGCTTGGGTCTCGGTGCGGCTGCTGGAGCTGGCGCCCGCGGCATTCCAGCTGCTGAGGATCCGGCCTGAGCTGCAGCCTTCGCAGCTTCGCCCGCCTGCTTTGTGCTCTCCGCCGGCTCCACCAGTGTGGGCGGTTCTGCGGCTCCAAGGCCTTCAGCTTCGCGCAACAACCGTTCAACCTCTTTTTCAGGATCGTTGCCGGCAGCGAGTTGAACCTGGCCCATTAATCCCATCCGTATCCGTTCCTCCATCGGGTATGGCAGCATGTAAACCTCGCGCGTCACATTCGCGGACTCGTCCAACCACTGTGTCGCGTTTTTGGTGACAGATGCCACTGGCTCTGCGCCCTCTCCTGTCGACTGTTCCCCGTTTGTGCCCGTCATTGTCACATCCTTATCACCAAGGGCAGTTCCTTGTTCTTGTCGTTTTGCAGCGACGCCCGTTGCAGCATCGGCTGCCGCTTCGTGGTTGTACTTGCTGATGCGACGCGCGAAATCCAGGAGTAGTTTGTAGTCAATCTCCTTGATTCCCCGCAGGACTGATCCCTTGGCTCCAAGATCGTCATCGGAGTCAGACTCGAAATCGCTGTCGCTGTCGCCGTTCCCTCCACAAGCGGTACGAATCTCTTTGTCGAACCTGTCAATGTCTCCCACGATCTCTTTGACACGATCCTCTAATTGCTGAGCCTCTGCCCGTAATCGAAGGATCTTTGCGTAGTTGTCTTGGTGCTGTCGGAGGGTTTCAATAGCGGAGGTTAGCGCATCGTCCGCATCGAGAAGGGCGATCGCCGCCGCGGGGGCTCCTGCAGCAGTGGGCGAGGTAGTGAGGCTAGTCAGGAGAGCATTGAGTTTTGATTCGACCTCAGTCAAGGAAGACTGGACGAGTGCGTTCATTGTTGAGTTGTGCTCTGAGACAGCTCAAGCTTGTGGAAACGGGGCCAAGACTCCATCCAATGACAGGTCACGTGGACAGCATCTAGATCCCAGCATAGTTTCGCAGTTGGTCAGGTGCGTATTGAATGCTGACATGTGCTTAGCTGGGTTTGAACCCCGTATACGTACATGTAGGTATTTGTCGTGTAGCTTGACCTGGTTAGTCCCGTCTGCTTACTGGTCTAAACGTGGGGGGGAGAGAAACCCCGCGGCCGGGTATATAAGGATCGTCCTCTTGATGTCCCTGTTTCCCCCAACTTTCAATAACTTGGATTGAGAATTAAGAATGGGTAATCCAAACTGTCCTTTTGCTTCGGTTCCAGCAGTGGATTTGAGCCCCTATGTCACCATTCAACCTCCTCTTTCCCGCTGTGGTTACGGCCCAGGATTGATCCTCATCAGGCCTCAGTGTTACGCCGCTTGCCAACAGCAAAATAAGACACTTGACCCAGAGCCATTGAAGAAGTGGGCCGAGGAAAGCTTTACAGTAGCACAGATTACTGTGGATGATCAATTTGTCATAGACAAACCATCTCTGGGGGAGCTCATTCGAGAAGCGGAGGATGGCTTACTTGGGAGAGTAGAGTGCGATGGCAAGGAGAAGATCGGGTTGATAGGTAATAACGAGCTTATCGGGATATTTCGTTGGCTCCGGCTAATCTCAAGTCAGTCTACGGTTCAAAGGCAGACTATGCTCCCCAATTCGAGGATACTCTGCAAAGTGCACTGGCTAGAGGCACAAAGCTGATCGCCGCGGTACTCTTCGACTCATGGAACATCAACTTCCTCCAGCCCACCCTTCTTCAGCTATGCAGCGCAGTGGAGGGCGAGAAGAAGGAAGGCCAAGTTACGCATATATACTCAGATGTTTCCTCTCCCAGCTTCATGATCCCAGGCCACCCTGGTTTCAAGATCTCGACGGCAGGCACAGCTCATACTCGTTGTGTCGGGTTTATCAAAAAGCATTTGGGAGGTCCATTCTTTGACCTCGAGAAGATTTGGGAAGAACATACCTATTATGAATTTGGAGATCGCTCTGTTGAGAAGACCATGGCGACGATGGTCTCTGAGCCTTATGTGAACCATGTGCCAACTTTAACAGGAGGCATTGGACGAGCTCGCTTGAGCCATTTTTATCTCCATCATTTCATCTTCAGCAACCCCGATGATACGGCTTTGGAGCTTGTTAGTCGAACAGTGGGAACCGACCGAATTGTGGATGAGTTTATCTTTGTCTGCACTCATGACAAGCAGATTGATGCGTTGTGGGTGATTTTACTGTGGTTGAGTCTGGAATCTAACGGAAAACTGATCGTTCGACCCTAGGATTCCCGGAGTTCCACCGACGGGGAAACACCTTCGCATTCCCATGACTTCCGTGGTCAACATTCGCGGGGACTGCTTATTTCATGAACACATTGCATGGGATCAAGCGACGGTCCTTGTGCAGCTAGGTCTATTACCGGAGTATCTTCCGTTCCCATATGCACTACCCGACGGGTCTGTGCCCGCGCACGGCAAACGATTCGAGTACCGGGTCCCGGCTGCGGGCGCCGAGTGTGCCGAGAAACTGCAAGACGAGCATGCAGTACCCTCGAATCAGATGCTCGAGTATAAGATCCGCGAAGTCAATCGGTGAGAGAGACTGATCTGCACAACATCATGAGCTTTTTTGGAGTAAACAGAGGGGATATGCGCTTTGTCCCGGAGATTCCGTGTCTCCGTCTGGACTCTGGCCTGTCAGGCTTGCAATTCTACCCCGCATACGGAGTACGGAGTACTCTGGTGACCTCACTCCGGGGGTTGAGCCTTGATTCAGTGTAGCGTTGAGTGTAGCGTTCATGAACGGAGAATCACACTGCCGTTGATTGGCCCCATTCTCAGCCCCAAAGGCCTTCGGTGGGACCCCGTGGCCAGTTGCGGGGAACCAGCTAGGTCATTGCTGACATTGCTGACTTCGATTCCACGGGGGCTGAGCCTGGTCCATGATCATTGGCAGAACATCACGCATCTTCCTGGTCATTGCGTCTCTTTGTTGATGCTCCACTTCCACGTCGGATGCCCAAATCCTGGCCAAAATAGAGTGTTTACACTAAGCCGGCTGCCTGATTTCGGCTTTCCGGGGTTCCCGTCTTATAAGGGAAACCTATTCTCGAGTCTTTGGATTCCCCAATTGTTGGTTTCTGTGATTTTCCCCCCCCAGCACCAAGATGGTTCCTTTGTTGCTACTAACGTTGGTTTCAGCATGTCTGGCCTCTACCTTGCCAGTGGTTGATCTAGGATATGAGCGACACCAGGCAATTTCATTCAACGTGAGCATCCTCCGCTAGTATCTATTCGCTATCCCAGCCCTAATCATTGACAGAGCTCCCACGGCCTCTACAATTTCACGAACATTCGCTATGCGGCACCCCCAGTGGGCGACCTGCGCTTCCGGGCGCCTGTCCTCCCAAAGGAAAATAGAGAAAAGATCCAAAATGGCTCGGTGGGCAAAATATGCCCCCAGGCATCGCCATTATGGTCAACTGATGTTCAAACGGCCTTCATCCTGAGTTACTTCACCAATCAAACCTCCTCCTCCTTCTCTCTCTCCACCAACGTCTCTGCCTTGAAGTACAAACCAGCGAAGCAAGACCCACGCGCCACTGAGGACTGTCTGTTCCTGGACGTCGTGGTTCCCAAGAAGGTGTTCGAGCGCACAAAAGGCAAAGGTGCGGGGTCTCGAAAGAACTTGGCGCCAGTGCTGGTATGGATCTACGGTGGAGGTTATACGGGAGGTGACAAGAGTAGCTCAGACCCAACTGGATTGATCCAACGAAGCATGGTCGGGAAAGACGAGGGAATTGTTTATGTTGCCATGAATTACCGAGTAAGTCAAATTATCTGCCGAGTAGCGTACCATGACAATACTAACTTCTCTGGAGTTGGGTGCATTTGGCTGGCTTGGTGGTGAGAGTATCACAACCAACGGCACCGCCAACGCAGCACTCCATGATCAACGGTTTGCTCTTGACTGGGTGTACAAGAACATTCATCTGTTCGGCGGTGATGCAACCCGAGTCACAGTTATGGGAGAGTCTGCTGGCGCCGGTTCCATTCTTCATCAAATCACCGCATACGGAGGCACGCGGGGGGCTTCACCTTTCCAACAAGCGATCATCCAGAGCCCCGGCTGGGTCCCAGTGATCAGTGAAGAGCAGCAAGAAGAGACTCTGCAGCAGTTCTTAGGGATTCTCAATGTCAGCACGATTGAACAAGCCCGGAAATTACCATCGGACAAATTGATTGCCGCCAATGCGCTCCAGGTTGCCACCAAGTCTGAGTGGGGACAATTTACCTACGGTCCTACTGTGGATGGCAGTCTGGTACCTGCTCTTCCAGGTCAGCTTTTGCTCCGAGGCGACTTCGATCATAACCTGAACATCATGGTTGGTCACAACGCCAACGAAGGGTTGGTCTTTACGTCGCCGGCCAGCATCAACAGCACCGGTCTCGAAGCTCAAATGAAGACATTGGCGGAGGACATTCCAAGAAACGTATCTGATTATGTTTTGAATGTGCTCTATCCCCCGGTCTATAATGGCTCTTATGGCTACACGGACTCGATCGCGCGAACATCTGCCGTCATTTCGGATCTCATCTTCCAGTGCAATACCGATTACATCAACCGGGCGTTCCACAACCAGACTTATGCTTATGAATTTAGCATTCCGCCCGCTCTGCACGGCCAGGATGTGTCGTACACTTTCTACAACAATGGATCCGCCTCCGTGGCCAATGTCACCGTGGCGTTGGCCATGCAGGATTTCTTCACCAGTTTTGTCCAGCATGGCGCGCCCAAGTCTCACCTGGCACCGACCTTCGGAAATTTGGGCCAACATGCGCAGCTTATGAACATTGGAAACGAGACAATTCAGCCGACGCCGGATCTGACCCGCAACCCACGCTGTCGGTTCTGGCAGACTGCGCCGTATTATAAGCCAACATGAGGGATCGTTTCGGACAATCTTCTTAATGTATATAAGCTGCGCCCAGGGGTGGAGGGAATAATACACATTGCGATCGATGCAAAGTCAAGTGGCTGCCGAGCGAAGGGAGACTAAATGCTGCCCTAGATCGGACGATATATATATATGTAACTACTTAGTGGAAATGACGAGACATCCTTGTGTAGGGTACTGAATAATAGAGTAAATCGAGCCAATTCGGGACAGGCCACGATAGTATGAGCAAAAGAAAGATCCTTTTTAAGCCAGGATTCGCTAAGCCCAGGGAATGGGAGAGTATTCTTGTCCTATCGGCTTCCTCGGTTAATAACACCCCCAATTGGGAGCAAAACGCCGCTCAGAATGCAGGATATTAATACATTCGCAAGAGTCACCTATGTATTTTATACTCCGTACTCCGTACAGGGTTCACCATGCCAAGCCCAGAGTGCTGGAGTATGAAGCCGCGATCAATGGCTCTACACAACTCGGGGTCTTATGGTATATATATGAAGTCCCTATCTTCGGAGTCAGATTGTCGTGATAGAGTGGGCGCCTCTGTGCCCGACGAACTAGTTTGTGGCCAGCTGAGACTGAGCCCAACGGAATTCTTAATTTCATTCGACATCCTGGACAAGGAGGTATACAGAATATATAGAGAATCCGCTGAATAGGGTCTTCAGAACCAGCAATAAAATCAAGGGCCAGAAAATGAGATACCTAAGCTACAACCCTTGGAAGCTCAGGGTGTAAAGACCCGATCATCATAGCAAATCACAGAAGAGCCAAAGATCCTAAGCTTCCTCGACAGAGTAAGCTATCCAAATAAGCCCAACGTCTCAAAGCTTTCTCCAGATGAGGGATTTCCGCTCAGAATCAATGTTATAAGCTCCTTCTTTTCTCTCTCTTTTCTTCACCTTAGGGTCAAAGAGCCAGAGCCCGGCGTAGCCTTGCTCTTGATCTTTCAACTTCATTCGCTTTGTCTGGGAGTTGCCCTTCTTCAATCTCGGCTTTACTCTCTCGATCCTGCTCTCGATTCACACTTCATTTTCTTGATCATTTCCCATATCTCCAGCCATCGAAGTCCTCGCGTCGTCTTCTTCATACCCATGTGGCTCCTACGCTGGGTACCCATTCTCTTCCTGGGCAATGTTTTCACGTCTGCCATGCCAGTCACCAAGTCTCATAGGCTTCGCCTTCCATTTGTTCCTTTCCCCGAGGACCTCAAAAATGGTGCCCGATCATCCCTGGTAAGTCCTCTTGCACCGATCTTCCACCAACATTCTAATATAATACAGGCTATCGAATGGTCTATCAAAAATGGAAGCCTATACGCCAATGAGAACCGGGTATATCCCCCATCCGCGACAATGCAGCTTCGTGTACCGCTATTGGAAGGCACAGGCCAGACTCATCTGAGCGGTAAGACCGTGGATATATCCTATATCCTCGACAATCGCCCACTGTCCACACATAAAGTGGGATTTACGGTCCGCGCGCGATTGCAATTCTTCGATCTAAACGGCAACCTCGTGTCACCAAATGCCGCGGTCATCGACCTCCGCACCTATCCCAATGGACACTATCACATAACTCGCATCCGCATGGGGCCAGCGTGGGGCAGTGACAAGGATGGTGGATTTACCCAGAACAGCCCGCCGTGGGTTGTGAAGTACTGGAGAACACAATACGGTTTCATTTTCGAGCCCAAACCCACATCTCCAATCCACAATTTGATCCCAGCTATGGACCCCTCCAGCAATGAGAATACCGGCAAAGTCACAAGCAATGAGACCGCAGTCAAGGATAAGTCTGGATTATCAATCTCTCCTTTCCAGGCCGCTTCTAGCCCGGCTTCCTCGAACCACCACTCGGGACACTCCCACCCTCATCATGAGAATTGTCTCAAGAACTCCTTCATGCGCATCATCAACCACACTATTTTACCTGCAGTGATAGGTGCAGTGGTCGGAGTGGTGGCTTGTTTGGTGGGTTTCTTCCTTGGACATATACTAATGTCTCTCGCAATCCGATTCGGGTGGCATAAGACACAAGCCCAGAGGCTACCAACTATACTGGATGAGAAAGTCACAACTCCTGAAAAGTCTCCCATGGTGCCGCAGATCTCCATAGCGCCCGTGTCCACATCCCTTGTGTGAGTTATTAGCGTGATTTGCTCGGCGTATGGAATTTGTGTTCTTTCCAGCGTTCGTTTTATCTTGAGTACCATTAAATTATGATTTCTTTGCTGTTCATCTTGAATGTTGTCTTGTTTATGTCTAGAGAGATACGCCCTTGCATCTCTTCATTGGCTAAACATAAGTCCTAAATCTAGCTTCCAGCCATAAGGCACTATTAGACCGAAGATCATATACAAGGCCGGCTGGCCCAATGGCAAGGCGCTTGACTACGAATCAAGAGATTGCAGGTTCGATCCCTGCGTCGGTCATCACTTTTTTGTTGCTTTTGGTGTCTTCTGTTGCAGAGCAGAATTTTTTGTTCGGCTCCACCGTCTCCAACCCTAATCGGCTCGGCTCGGCGTCCCCGGTGTATGCTGCAGTCTGTCTTACGGAGTGCTTGGACCCCATGTTTACATGTTTTTTTTATTCTCTTTCTTTTTTGAGCTGCTATGTCTTATGGAAATGATGACAGGCTCTAGTTCAGTCTCCACGGTATAAAGGTTAGGTGAGCTTTTTGCGTTGCATCTCGTAGGCTGAAGTATTACGTCGATCCAAAGCATCGATCGATTTTGATCCACTTGGGGTGGCTGGGTTAATATAAATCTATGAACTACGGAGTACGGAGTACTCCGTACACCGCTAGGAATTCCGAGGCTAGTTTTTCCGATTGAACCATATCTTCTCTCCACCCAATGCAGGCTCCAAATCCATGCCGATTGCCGTAACAACTCCATTGGCACCCACTCTGAATTCTGTTGCGTAGAAACCCGAGAGCGCACCAACTTCCTTGGTCTGGTAGTAATGCGCCACAAAGAACTCCCCACTTACATGGCTGAGAGTGAGGAGCGCCGGTGTAATACGATCCAGGAGATCCGCGGACAAATGACCATCGGTGAAGGAGAAAGTGATCGACCCGTACCCAGCGTGTTCGTACTGTCCCGCATATTGATTCAACTGCAGAGAATGGGAAAGCACAGGAGACGGGAGACTCGGATAAAGTCTCTTAATAGCGTCATCCATTCCCTCGGATTTGGCATGGATCGCGCTAAGGTCTGGCGTTGTGGCGTGACTCATTGACCGAGGAATCTCTGATCCACCACAGACCCGATCTAGAAGGTGCATGTATATCTCCACTTGTGCATTTCGAGCATTCATCGTGTTGCCCATCATGGCAAACCCAAAGCCCTGGCTCGGTAGGAAGCCTACCATGATGCCAAACCCAGCCCAGCTTCCGCTATGCCAGTACAGGGCTTTCCCGCGGTAGCTACATACAAACCAACCCAGGGCATAGAGATGATGTGGTGCCGGAGGTCCCACGAGATCGTCCCAATTTGTGATCACCGTTCGTGGTTTTAGGATCTCCGCGTGGCCCTGCGGGGAGAGGGGACCCGTTTGGTAAATCATCGCGCGCAGCCACTTGGTGTATTCTAGCACGCTGCTTACCATGGCGCCGGCTCCTGTCACCGCGACACCGTTCATATATGGTTCTGCGATGTAGGACCCCGTGTCCCGGTCCCACGTGTATCCTTTCGCCAATCGCAGACGCAGAGACGGGTCCTGCGATACATCTGTCACGGAAAAATATGTATCGCTCATTCCCAATGGCTCCCAAATGCGGCTTTTGAGGGTCTCGCCGAGAGCTCGACCTTCGATTTCCTCTAAAGCATGAGATACTGCCATGTACATGTTATTGTTGTACGAGAAAGTGGTGCGCGGATTATAGGCTATGGGAAGATGTCGCAGCTTTCGGACCGCTTCGCGCAAGGTCTCCTGGGGACGCGCTAGACTTATACAAGCGTCGTGAGTTGATAGTCCCGAACGATGCGATAGGGCGTCTTCTATGGTGGTGTGGATTGTGCTGTAGTCATTCCCAAGCACAAAGTCGTCTCTAATTATGGATGCAATAGGCGTATCCCAGCGAAGAGGAGATTCAGTATTCTTGCTATTGTCGATGGCGAGAGACATGGCTGCTGCGGTAAATGCTTTTGTGGTGCTACAAGTCGAGAAAAGAGAGTCAGTGGTCATCTTGCGATCCGGGAACTCGGCGAATCCATAAGCCTAGAATGTAGTTTAGTGATCTATACTGTTCCGCTCGCAACTGGATGTTGCCCTACTTTTGACCATGTAGTGGGGCCGTGGACTACTGCCATTGATAGCCCAGGGACCTTCCATTTGTCCATCTGCTGGTGCACCAAGCCATCAAACTCGGTGGTCAGTGGCGAGTTTGAGGTTCGGAGAACCATTTTGGGAACTAGATACTTGGGGGAGGCGAGAGGATCTATGTCTGGAGAGTGGGAAGGTGGTGAGATTTGGAGCGGGGGAGGTCCTGATCAGGGGTCTATGCTCTAAGCCCAGATTAGAAGTGATGTAACCCTACATGTGTCTCCGATATCAGTAAGAAGTCAGAAGTACGGAGTACGGACTATGGGGCGGCACTTGATCTCTGTAATCGATGCATCGGTGATGGTTGATCAAATAGGATTCTCCTCCGTAGAGCTACCAACTTCCAGCCCCGGAAGCTGTTGTAGGGGAGTGTTGTATGGAGTACTCCATACTCCGGAGTGAGATGTGCATTGCGCTCTTTTGGAGCTAGGAAGATTTAAGATCTACTCCGTACAGCGTATAGTACGGAGTACTCGGCTAACTGCTCTACACTGGAGTACTTCGTACTTCGTGCATTTGATACAATAGGCAGGTCATTCAAATCCTGGGAGATTGTGCCGACAGTACTGGCCCCACAGCCGGTCCTCGGGGATAAGAGCTCTGTGACCAAAGAACCAAGATAAGAATCCATGCCAGTTCCTGAAAGATATCTTCTAACCGAGCAGTCTTCCGGAGAATCATTGGCGGAACTCAAGACGTACAGCGGGTACATGCCGAGTGGGTATGAGATTTGAGTTTTGCCTTCTCCCACTGCCTAGGCGGCGCGGAGTCCAATGTGTACGTTGTAGAGTATCCTTTCAAGCACGGAGTGCTTGTCTTAATATGATCTCATTGGGATCGGTTAAGGTAGAAGTCAAGCTTTTGCAGTAGCAAATGTATGAGGGTGGAATGTTGGAGAACGGAGCACGGAGTACTCCGTGTGGCTGAAGTACGAGTTTTCATGGTGGGGACGTGATTGGGGATCTGCGCAGGACTTGATTTGAGGAAAAAAAAAGCAAACACAAAAACAAAAACAAAAACAACAGGAAGGGAGAAAGAAGATCCCAACCTCTTCCAGATCTCCAATCTCCTCTACGGAGTACGGAGTACGGAGTAACCCTAACACGCAAGGGATAGATCCCTTGACACTTGAAACAATCGGGAGATGATGTGCATCGTCTTCCAAATACAAGAGCAATTTGAAATTGTACGAGGGCATTTGTCTCCATCGCAATTAACAGAAACAGAAATAATGAACAAAAAAAACAAAAAAAAACAAGGAAAAACAAGAAAAAGCAAAAGCAAAATGTGGCTGTGTCAGCCACAACTAGCGGTGTCGTCAAAAGGGTTCAATAGCGCGATCGGTTGGAGTCACTCCAGCGACTATTCGGATTAGTTCCAGTTGGCCCCGATTTGCATCTGAGCGTCGATCGCCGACTGCCCATGGTCAACATGCACTCTTGGGGAAATACGGAGTACGGAGTACTTGGTTATGATCGCAATCTTAACACTCCCCACAAACCACTGAACTCTTGGCAATGGTGCCAAACACATCTTTGGAAAAAGCAAAACAAAAAAAAAAAAGAAAAGTGGGAGCTTCTGCCCAACGCAAAAAGCCGATTCCGATGGGCCCTGAAGTGGCGTCGCATGGGATGGACCTATGAGATCGACACCTGGAGAAGCACTCCAAGCTATTTCCGGCTGATCATCCCCAATTTGAGAGGGCTGATCCAAGATTCCCACAGTGGATGACTTCATGGCCAGCATTCGGTCGTGGGCTGATTTTTGCCTCTATAGCCACGTTGGCTAGGTAGCACCCATGCATAATGCCCACTGTGCAGTGGTCCTGCGTAATCCACATGGCCGATCGCCCATGGTGATTGGACTTGACGCCGAGTTTCGTCCACTATGGACACTCAATTCCCAATCCGGGGCAGGTGGCTGGTGTTTGTGATGCAGAGTTTGTTTCCCAGCTGGGAGCTGCCCTTTATAAAGAGACTGCCCTGTCTCCAGAGCTTCCATTCCCTTCCCACTTTGCACATTCTCAATCCGTTTGACCTCTTGGACATTCACCTCCATCTTATCCCTTTCCCTAATTCACAAACCTTCACACACAATGAAGTCCTTCACCCCCGTTGCTTTGGCCTTGATGGCTGCCTTCGGCATGGTCGCCGCTGACCCCTCTGCCTCGGAGTGTGCTGTGAGTACTTCAATTTACCCGAGGTCATCTTCAGTAATACCCAATGCTAATGACATGATCAACAGAGCATGTGTCTCTCCAACATGAACGACAAGGCCTCTGAGTTGGGTTGCAAGTCTGGTGACTTGGGCTGCCTGTGCAAGACCAACGACTACAAGTTCGGCATTCGTGACTGCACTAAGGAAGCCTGCCCCAACGATGACGCCGAGCAGGTCCTCTCCATGGCCGTCGCCAAGTGCCCTGGTACGTAACTCTCATTGATATCCCCCACCCTGATTGTGAACTGACAGGATATCACAGGCGGTGTCGCTGGCTCTGATGCTGTGTCCCTCACCACCACTGGCTCCGGCTCCAAGTCCACTTCTACCTCTGACTCCAGCTCGACCTCTGGCTCCAGCTCCGGCGCTGGTGGTGATTCCACTACCTGGACAACTGGTACTGCCTCTACTACTGCCACCGGCTCTGACGCCAGCATGACTGGCACCGGCGCATCTGGCTCCGGTATGAGCGGCACTGCTACCAAGACTGCATGGGAATCTAGCGTGACTGTGACTGTAAGTCATTCTTGATATTCCCATCTCATTGATGACGCTAACCCTCTAGACCACTGATGCTTCCGGCTCCTCCACCACCATGGTCACCAAGACCAGCTCCGGTGCCTCTGCCACTTCCACTGGCTCTGGCAGCGACTCCGACTCCGACTCTGACAACGGCTCTGGCTCTAACTCCAACTCCGACTCCAACTCCGGCTCTGACAACAACTCTGACAACGACTCTGATAACGACTCTGACTCGGCTTCCGGCTCTGCCGCTTCTAGCTCTACCAGCGAGGCTGCCGCTCCTATGATCACCGTCGGTAGCCGCGCTATGGGCGCTCTCGGCCTGGTCGCTCTCCTCGCTCTGTAAATTCCTTCATACATGTGAAGGAGTCGAATCCACTCATGTTCTCTGTGGTAATTTATTGGATATGATTCATGTGTCGCCGTCTGGCTTGTACAGGTACAACATGAAACGGGTTCATGATGGGTACAATTGTGTTTTTCTTCTGTCTGCTCTACGAAGCTGTTAATTTAATGTCGATCGGACGTAATGAAATGAATCTACATTATGACATCTATCTTCCAGACTTTAGGCGCGAACATGAGAACCTTCGCTCGCATTTCTCATATTCCCCAAGCTACCTAACTAGGTAGGTATCTGAGTCCTGATAAACATTGAAAGCACTAGATCGATGTATCTGCCGCAGTGGACGTAATATAGTGTCTCGCGTGATCGGCACGTGGATTTCCATGTGATTGCGACCGGGTGCAAGGTAATTCCGACCTGAATTGCATCAGTCGATGTATACACCATACCTCAGTACGGAGTACACTGTATGATCCTGCATCTGTACCTTTTAGGAACAGCCTTGGAGGGCTCTGGTTTGCAATAGAGAAATCTCCTAGTCCCAAGACGGCCATCCTTTATTCCGCGGGGGAACGTGGAGTGGTTGACCTCTGTCTCCCGTTCATCCGGACTGACATGCTTGGCGGGGTCACCGAGATATATAATAAGAGCTCGAGGAAACTCGTTCTTCTCAGACAACTACAAAATCAATTCAAAGAATCAATTCTACGTGTACGAAGTACAGCGTGCGAGACTTCCTACAACACTCTTTCCTCTATCTTCAGCGGGAAGGCGGTTTCTCCGCTGCCGAGCCGAGGCACGCTTTTATCCGGGGAAGATCAGTCGGCTTCGGCCTGTCTCCGTCATTGCGAGATCTTCGGGCTTTTTTTTCCCCTCGCTGATTACTTTTGAATCTTACTCTTGGCCTGTGTCGTAGCTTTTGTGTCCTCTCCTTTCCCTCCCTCTCACCCATCGTTTATCTTCTTCATTATTCCCTCCCCACTCCGACACGCCCACAATGTCCAGCAATACAACCCCCTCACAGCAGCTGAAAGATGAGGTCAAGGCTGTCGAGGCCAAGGCTGTCAACCAGACCATTGTCCAGCTGCGCTCTCTTGTAGCTGGTGCTGCTGGTGGTCTCTGTGCCGTAGTCGTTGGACACCCATTTGATCTGGTGAAAGTGCGCCTACAGACGGCCGAGAAGGGCATTTATTCCGGTGCAATGGATGTGGTCAGGAGGACAGTTGCCCGCGAAGGATTGGCTCGAGTATGATCACCACAGCCTCATTGAAGACTTTGCGACAAGACTGACAATGGCCTCGTAGGGATTGTATGCCGGCGTCTCCGCACCCCTCGTTGGAGTTACTCCTATGTGTAAGTTGTCGCATAATGGCTTCCATTGATGTCGCACAATTCTGTCGAATTCAGAGCTAATTAGTCCCTGTCTCATAGTTGCCGTCAGCTTTTGGGTACGTCTCTCTGATACTTCAGAGACAGTTGCGGTTGCCCCGTCGGAAGCGATGCTAACGGCACTCTAGGGTTATGATGTGGGCAAGACCCTCGTGAACAAATTCTCCGTTGTCCCAGTTAAGCACGATACCCCGCAGTATTCCATCGCACAGATCTCAGCTGCGGGTTTCTTCTCCGCCATCCCTATGACCCTGATTACCGCTCCTTTTGAGCGTGTCAAGGTCCTCCTTCAAATCCAAGGCCAGCAGACTCTGGCCCCGGGTGAGAAGCCCAAGTACTCTGGTGGTACGGACGTCGTGCGCCAGCTGTACAAGGAGGGTGGCATTCGCAGTGTATTCCGTGGTAGTGCCATGACGCTGGCTCGTGATGGACCTGGCTCGGCGGCTTACTTTGCGGCTTATGAATACATTAAGCGTTCTTTGACTCCCAAGGACGCGGATGGCAATGTGACGGGCGAGCTGTCTCTCTCTGCCGTCGTGTGTGCCGGTGGTGCTGCCGGTATTGCCATGTGGATTCCTGTCTTCCCTGTCGACACCGTCAAGTCGCGCCTGCAGAGTGCACCGGGCAAGCCCACCATGGGTGGCGTTATCCGCTCGGTTTACGCTAGCGGCGGTTTCAAGGCCTTCTTCCCTGGATTTGGACCGGCTCTTGCCCGTGCTGTGCCTGCCAATGCCGCCACTTTCCTTGGTGTCGAACTTGCACACAAGGGCATGAAGAAGCTCTTTGATTAGAGACGATGCGAATGACTTGCGTGTAAATACCCCGGTTGATCTCTTTTGCAGCGTTTTCTGTCCCATCCACGGATGGGCTATCTGCGAACTGCTTGATTAGTTCGCATCTTTCTGATCATGTTAGATCTGTGGTTGTTTGATCTCCGATGTTTTATAGAGAGTTTCTTTTTCATGTACGTGTGATTGTTGGGCGTTGACCATGGCATCAATTCGCGATACGTACCAGCTCTAAAATGCGAATAACCTTAGATTTCGGCAAATTTCCAGCCAATCAAGTCAAAATTGTTGTTATTCTTTTTCTTCAATAGAATGGGGCTCCGGTAAAAACAAGAAATTATTGTGATGGGTCATGCAGATGGTAAACCCACTTCGCTCGAGTCAATTGAGGCTCAACATCATGTTTTCTCACTCGGACCCTTTCTTTCTCACGCTATATCGGTCGGGGCCTAAGAAGCGAGTCGACGGATTGGTTGAACCAGTCTCGCCTATGAAGGTGGCGCTTTACAACCAACATTACTCTGCCTAGGCCTAGCGCTAACACCACAGGGGGCCAATCCTGCTCGACCGGCACAGTCGGAGCAACTGGACGCCGACGAACTAAGGGGGTTCTATATTTACACCAGAATACGAACGAGCGAAAATTTTCATGTTCTTAGCTTGTGGCAAGGGAAATAAGGCTGTTTTAGTGCCTGGGATATACAAGGAAATAAAATCTAGAAACCTTTGAATGGAATGTCAAATGCGAATGCTATTTAGCGAGCGAACATAGAGTACACATCGGGTACCTCAAATTGTATGTGGGGCGTGTCAAAGCTTGAAGTACCGTCAAAGTACCGTTGACTTTGGCGCTAGTGGTGTGCTGCCTACGGGTGTGTATCAGACATAAAAACCCCCCAACTCCCCCCTCCAATGCATCTCTGCCCTACTTTGGTGTAAGATTTCCATCTCATTTTCACCGACACTTACATATATAGGGTGTCGACTTCACAATGTCGTCCGTCACCAATGTCCTTGTGCGCCGGGGCAGCGAGATTGCTTTCGCCCACATGCAGCCTGAGACCAAAGAGCCTCATGGAGGCCTGGTGGCTCTATTCGTTATTAGTGGTCTGTTGCTGAGCTTTGCTTTCTGGGCTGTAAGTGATAACACATCTCCCCACCTGAGATATAATTTTACGGAATTAACACCCAACAGATTGAGTATACCTACGGCATGGTCATCGCTACTCTGGCTACGATTGAAGATACGAACCCCGATATCTATGTGCGCATTGCTGCCGACCTTGATCCCACCAAGCCAATTGATGAGGAAGATCCAGAACTGCTTGCTGCTTCTCCTCCCAAGCCCATCACCAGCAAGCTGCGCACCGCTGTAAAACACCTGCGCTCCCGTGCTGGATTCTGGTCTCGCTTCCGAGGAATGAGCATGTTCATGGCCTATGCTAGCGCTCGTCTCTTCTTGTCGTCTTGGGTCCCTGTGAACTCCTTTGTGTACCAGGCCGTCGTTCAGTCTTTCATGGGCGTTCTTCTGGCTACTTGGCAAATGGCTTGGGTACACATTGTCATCTCCGAGCCTTCTCCTAAACGCTTCTATCAGCGTATCCCCAGCTACAAGACTTGGATTAAGATTGCCCCAGCTGCTGCCCTCCAGGAAGTCCTCATTGGTGTCACATTCTTCCTCCCCATGGCCGTTGCCAACTTTGCTGGTTGGCTCGATGTTTCCGGTGACCTGGAGGTCCCACCCATCGTGGCTATCTACCGCTTTGTTGGTGTCAGCGTTGTCCCTGCTATTTTTGCTTTCTTGATCTCCATCCCTGCTCGTGTCATCTTTGTTCGCGTGGCTGCCTCTATGCTTCCCGAGGAGGATGAGACGATTGTGCCCTTTGATCGCTCCTTTGGTGGTAAGGTTAGCCCTGCAATCACAGGCGGCAGCGGCAAGATTGGCCTTATGGACGCATGGACCACCTTTGACTGGGCTGCCCGTGTCCGCTTTGCTAAGATCATTGGCAAGACATTCGCGATGCAGGTGGCGCTCGGTGTCATTACCGCTCTAGTCCTTGGTGCTCAGATCTTTGCGATGTACAAGACTGCCAAGCCCATCAAGTCCGACCCTTCTGGACTCTAGATGCACCCGAAGTTAAAAATCTGTTGTGATTTAGGAGCTGGGACCTGGTGAATCTTAGCTGTTAAATCACAAAGAAGGCCGACATGTGCCTGGGATACCCTGGTTATATTTATAACCCTGCAAGAAACCGAAATGATTCAATGCCGTGTTATGTCTTTTATCCCATAAACCACTAGAACAATCACACCTTAGATCCCCAGTCTCCACCTCCATCGGGGCACCTGCCCAGGTGGGCATACCTTATGTACACTAGATCACTGATTACATCCCCATAGTATTCTACACCGCCTCCCTATCTAGGCCATTAGACCCCCGCTCTAATTTACCGCCTTCATTTCTTTTTGCATCCCCCTCACCTTCTCCTCTCTTTATCCTCTGTCATATCGAAGTCGAATTCGGATCTCGTCTGGCATTCTGTTATCCACCTCCCTGCTTACTTCCATTTCAACAATATGGCGACTTCTCCAGCCGGGCGCATGCTGTCTCGCCAGCTGCAGCAAATGCAGTCCGATAAGGACATTCCTGGCATTAGTTGCGGTCTAGTCGATAACAACGTCTTTGAATGGGAGGTGATGCTCATGATATCGGATGATGTGAAGCTCTATGGAGGTATGATTTGAGTCTAAATTTATTTAGACGCATCGAATTCTTCATTCCCGTTCTCTTCGCATGCTTCTAACCCCTCGCCTGGCACCGTGGCAAACGCAGTGCCGCCTGGGGATATAGATTGCGATGGCGTCAGTGTCCTGAATTATATATACTGACAATTCTGCTTGTATAGGCGGTTTCTTCCGAGCACGTCTTTCTTTCCCGACTGAATATCCCCACCGGCCACCAAAGATGAAGTTCGAGTCTCCGATTTTCCACCCTAACAGTGCGTAATTTCTCTACTTTCACTACCTCCCATACATGAGGATTTTATTATCGAGCGATGTACTGATGTGATATGGCATTTAGTTTACGAGAATGGTGATGTTTGCATTTCCATCCTGCACCCACCCGAGGAGGACAAATATGGCTATGAGTCGGCTGCGGAGCGCTGGTCTCCCGTGCAAACCCCCGAGACAATCCTCCTGTCCGTCATTTCTATGCTCTCCACCCCGAACGACGAGAGCCCTGCGAATGTGGAAGCTGCCCGCTTATGGCGGGAGGATCCCGCCGAATTCAAAAAGCGGGTGCGCCGCTGTGTCCGTATCAGCTTGGAGGACTAAAAAACGACTTTATTCTTCATGGCAAATTAAGATGGCGGGTTACGATCTGATTTAACACGGGGTTGCTGGGGCTTCTGTTCTGTTCCTTTTTTTTTCTTTTCCAATGTACCGCGATGGGCGGTTGTTCTCTCCTTTTCATGCATGGAGCGAGCGAGCAATCGGTTACCATGCTCTCGATCTCTGGTTCTTTTGCGGGCATTTCTTTGCGATTTCTTTCCATAAGGGCTGGAGTTCTATCGTGGCATTTCTATTTAATCGATTTGAGATTAAATCTACCCACAATCAACAAACGAATATCTACATGCAGACGCCTGGTGTAAATCTAGGATTCCAGACAGTTATGAGTAGCACAAACAGAAGATCCATTTGATCGTCATTGTGAAAGATTGTCCTATGGGTCATACAGATGGCACCTTGAATTAATTAAAGCTCGACGTCGTCGCATCGTATCGTTCTGGCACAAGTAAGAAATTCTAGAAGAAAGGTATCGGAAAGAACGCCGGGAGCATATGCGAAGAGAAATGAGAGAGATTATGGGCGGCTTTTGGGCGCCGAGCGCATCGAGGGGAGGAAGATTCCAGGATGGAAGATCGTGAAGGTCAGACAGGCCAGAGCAAGCATCCTGAGGGAGCGTTAGCTAGTATTCTCTCAAAGCACTCAAAGAATCCAAGGGCCATTTACATTCCATCTAAAATCAGGAATTCATTCTCCTCCTGCATCAGTGGGTTTCCCCAACCGCCTGCCATCTCCGGGATACTGAGTATTGTGGTTAGCAAAGGGCAGTCTCTCAATGAGAGTATGTTCTAGTTACCGATAGATGCACCGAATCAACACAGTAATATAAGCAAAGACTTCAGCACAGATGAGGTATGGCATCCATTTGGATACCATTGGCGAAACGCTAGTGTCGAGATTCTTCTCGCCTGAGAATCCATCACCGCTCCGGAAGACTTTCCAGAAGAAAGTGGCGGCAAATAATCCACATACACCCATAGTCGCAACCTGGAAGGCGATACCAGTGAGGATAATGTTGTTTCCTGCCTTGAGCATTTTCACATCTGCCTTGCCAGCAGCTGCAGCGACACCACCTCCGGCTGCCTGCAAGATGAGAGAACCAACATCGCAACCGATGAAGATCCAGGTAAACAGACGTGGCTTTAAGAGTGAGTGCTCGGCTCCCAGGTTCAGAATGATATGCTTCAATGTAAGGTAAATACCGGCTGCAATGAAGGTTGGTGCGAGCACCAGACACACGATTTGAAGCTTGAATGCAGAACTGGACCACGGATTATCGTTCATGAGGACTCGGCCAATATACCCTGCCATTTCCATGAGGGTACCGATGAGAAGAGCTGTCAAAAAGGTCCATGTTCGGTAGTAGATTCCCAGACCTGCTTGGCATATCCCCAGTACGCCAAAGAAGACCGTGAAAAAGACATTTCCGCCAAAGTTGGGGTAATAACCGTACGTTGTGGCTTCAACCGGGCATCGAGGGCCCACTTCGAAGCACGTGCTATAGCTCGCCATTGTGAGGGGTAGAGGATCGAGAGATGAAGAGGCGAAGTCGTGAAAAGGAGAGAGAAGAGAAAGAACAGAGTGTGTCCCTGCGAGGGGGAACAGGTTTCTCTACCCGAAAGAGCTTCACGGAAGAAATCCCATCGCACAACATTTCTATCGGATGGGTCGAACTTTCTAAGAACGCGCCAAGGGGCACCGTCAGGTGGAGGCCTAGATTAATGGATCCTAAACAAGATGAGATGGGCTCACGATCTACTTCCATTGGCTGTTCGTTGTCGTTGTCGTTCTCGTTTTCGTTTTCGGGTCATCGCTTATATCGGGTCCACTAGTTATGACCTTAAAGGGGGCGGAGAATTATCCTCATTTGTAAGCTGCGAGCTTCTTACTTGTAGCTCACTTCTTTTGAGAATGGATAGATGCTATAGAATGTCAGACATTCTACATCGATACAGAGTAGAGCCGCCGTCAGAACCGAATTGAATGCAGCATGATTCCAAAGGCATCTTTCAGGAGCTGTGCGTACAACGGCCTTGCATATCTGACGTGAGGAGGAAGTCGGCGATTTTCCGGACCATTGGGTTGAGATCATACATCTGAGTAGACGAATGACTTGGGTAGGGGATCAGATCAATCATACTCAGTACATGTAAAAGAGAGACGTGAACAGGAACAAGACGGTGATTTTGTCTTTTTATAGATCCCACGTGACCCCCGCATCTCGTCTTCGCTTCCGCGCTTGGACTCCTCCACATCCGGAGCCTACAAGCCGACTGGATACATGGACCCCAAGTATCGAGGGTTCCGAGATGCCTCCTCGCCGAGCGCATACCAAATCCCGCCAGGGCTGCGACCAGTGCAAGAGACGTCGCGTGAAGGTCAGTCCTGGAAGTTCAGGCCCCATAGATGGCGCTGGGCTCCACTGCGTTAATGACGAGACTAACAGCCGCAGTGTGACGAACAAGGGCCACCATGCTCCAATTGTATCTCCCGGGAGCTTCCATGCACGTATTTGAGAGCGCCGCCGCGGCTCAGTGATGCCCGGGCAAGCCAACCCCCAGTTTTGTTGGCCACCGTAGACTCGACTACCCCGCGGCCGCTGGCGATCCCTAGGCTAGCAGCCTCTGTTTCTGCAAGAATCTCAAGGGTCCGAGATCTGGAGCTTATGCATCAATTCTCCACCGAAACGTTCAAGAGTCTTTGCTCCTCTACCGCGGAGTATCATGTTTGGCAAATCTCCATTCCTCGTCTGGCTCTACAGTATGATTTTCTAATGAATGGCATCCTGGCAGTGGGGGCTCTTCATATTGCCGCCACAATCGAGCCACCGGCATCCTTGGTGTATATCGACACCGCCCTTCAATATCACAACCTCACATTTGCACCATACCGCGCGGCTGTGGACAGTATCAACCCATTAAACTGCGAGGCTGCCTTGGCACAGTCCATCATCACAACCGTTGTCGGCATTGCTCTGCCAAAGGTCACTGCCGCCCGTGGGGAAACGTTAAGTATGACCGAGAATATCGTCGTGGTGTTTGAACTCCTGCAAGGGGTGAAAAAGATTCATCGGATCGGTGAATCGTGGATGAAACTAGAGCTCTTTTCTCGCCGAAGAAACTACTGGGACACTGGATCAATCAATCTAGATGACGACACGCGGGAGGCTCTTGAGAGACTCGGGATGCTGAATGACAAGACGCTTGCCAGTAGCGATCCAGATCAGCACCAGGTCAATAAAGACGCCATTGTGTATCTGCGGCACTTCTCAATGCGAGCTGCTAATTGCCCTGACGCCGCCAACGTCCTGGCTTGGCTTGCGATGATTGACAAGGAATTTGTGGACAATGTGCGACGCCGGCAGCCTTTAGCCTTGCTGATTCTCATGCACTGGGGTGTGTTGCTTGGAGAGCTTGATGGCCAGCATTGGTGGGCCCGAGGCTCCGGTCGTGTGTTAGTCTCCGAATTGTTGAATGCACTGTACCCTGAAGGCGTGCAATGGGCAAAGGCTGTGGCTTGGCCTCAAAAGAAGATGGGACTGTGATATAACATATCGATTTCTCTGGAACTTAAAGAAGCTGGGTTTGTTTGGGTCTAATCTTCAAAGGATTGGAAGCCAGATCGTTAGCCAATCAAACCCAGCTTAGCGCATATGACTTGAGGCGCCCAGAAGTCTCAAGAGAAGACGTTGACAACCCACCATTGTCTCCAATCTTCAACAATGCGCCTTGCAGCCCGAATGGCCCAAAACTTGGGGATTTCTACCCTCGTCGTGGGACAGCCTGTCAATGACGTGCTGAGCATGCCTGATACTTGAGGGTTGCGTGACCCCCAGATGGACGACTAAAATACCCTGCTCTATTTCGATATTGGTTGGCATGGTGACCGGTACAAAAAAATACTGTTGCACATATCTTGCGTGAATTGCAACCACACTAGGAGACGGGATACTCCCTCAACCACACAAATTCAGCGAGCTACTCGAAGCTCTGAGACACTTTGGGATTTGCTTTGATCGGTCTATTGCCAATATCTCGAGTTGGCATCTTGTTATACAACAAACAACCGACATTCAGTTGCAAAAACTTGTAGATATTATGCATTGGAAAATCCCTGCAATCAATGTGCCAAGTTCATACATGTATATTATAGACATAACCCAGTCTCCCTGCAAATACCTCACATCCGAGCTTTCTCCTTGCCAGTTCCAAGGACATTATGGGTTCGTATCATATTTAGAGCATCCGCCTCATGCTTGCATACCTGGATGCTCAACGGCCCGCTCACTTGCTTGAGCCAGTATGACCGCCCACAATCGAACAACCAATTGCGTGTTCCGACTTGAATTAACTCAGCAAGAAAACATTGCGGTGTGCTACGATCCTGTGTGAAGATGATCTTCGGAAAGTCTCGTTGGACTGCAGGTGCGGCGTTTTCCTGTCCCATGCGGAAAACCTCATCGAAGGTGATGGGGTGATAGAGCTGGGATCCAACCTGGACAATACCCGTTGTTCGCGCTGCTGCATGAAGTAGACATGCATTTGCCACGAGGTCCACAGGGATCTCGTCTATGATGTTTGTGCCAGTTTCGTAGCCTTCGGTAGCATGCCAGACTTGAGTAGCACCCCGATCGGAGAACCAGAGCTTAGTAAACTTAGTGAGAGGCGTCGAGTCCTCCGATCCATAGAGCGGGTAGGGGTGTCTGAATGAAGGACCGAATATTGTTGGCCGTAGCAGCAGGATTGGAAGAAGTGGGAAGCGGCTGAGCAGGAGACGTTCCATGAGATGCTTAGCTTGGGTGTATGTAGACGAGAATTTAGCCGAATGCGATGACTCGCCAGTGGCCAAGATAGACGCCAGCTCTTCTTCTGGGTCTTCTTCGCCTCCTAATAGATATATCTGCTCTAAAACCGGGCCATCGGGAAGATGGCTATTGACATATGATGTAGAAAGTTGGATGAAGAGTTTCAGCCGCCGAAACCCCGAGGCCATCCGTGCCATTTCCAAAGCAGGGAGGCAATTGTTCTCCAAGGCATCACGAATAGGGCCCTCAAGCTTAATCTTGGCCGCTGTATGAATGACTAGTGTGACTTGCTCTTGAAGTTGCTGAAGGACGGTAGATCCGATGCCGAATTGAACCGATTGCATATCCCCAATCACAAACTCGACTTTCTTCGTAGCTAAGATAGCCTGCACATGATTTGGCATTGATTGTCTCAATTTTCTCATGGCCTGCTGGACGTCGCCTCGGACCAAGACAAATATCTTGCGGGTTGGCAGTTGCAAAGCGAGCTTGTGCAGGAGACAACCCCCCAAGCACCCAGTACCTCCAGTGAGGAAGACTGTATGTCCCTCGAATAACTTTCCGTATCCCCCTCGCACCACTTCATCGGCAAATGGGGATTTGGTAGCCGAGACTGATGACATTGAAGAGGGTTTCTTAGGTATAGAGGGGTGGTAGAGGTTAAAGATTCTGTAGAGGAATGATACGAAGAGTTGAGTGCCAGTAGGCCGAGAGATGAATGTCGGAAGGTATATACCAACACAATGCCTAGTAACGTGTAAGCCAGGTGGTTGGTAGGGCGGCAAGGCCCAGTGTCACTCTGGCATTAGTACGATGTTGAACCCAGGGACTTATGTCCGGAACTGCAATTCAACAAGTTAGCTGGTGGCCCCGATTTGGCCGAGGAAACGAGCACCTCAGCGACGCGGGGGTTTCACTGGCAGGATATATCACAGACCTGGCTTCTCGAGCCATGTGCAGCCGAGGTTCAATGTGATTGTGTAACCCCATGGAGCATCAAGGAGCAATCTATAGAGATCTGGCCTGAGGGGGACGGACAGAGCTGCATCCCAACTGTCTGAGTACCACGTAGGATGTAGGGCTCGGAGCAAACATGGCATTCCATTCAGAGCCGTCTGCAGCCAATGAACAGGTCATACGAGTCGCATCGTCGAATGAAGTCAGGGAAAGAACCCGCCTACATATGATGCAAAAAGAAAGGAAGGGGTGTTTCATGATCGGATTATCGATGTATATGCCCTTCACTTGTGATGAAGGCTGTGGAGGAGGCTATGTACTGTTGATTGGTGTGATTCTTCAACGAACCGACCCAATCCTATCTGTACACGGGAAATATAGACATTGGCCGGGACAGGCGACAATTCACGCACCGTGTGTCTGGGCTCTCTTTCGCAGGCAAATGATTGTGGGTGAAACATTGTTGTCACCAATTAAAGGCCCTTGCTTCCACCGCCACACCAGCAACGTGCATCTCCATCACGCTCAACTTGGACGAGAATATCCATATTTTTCTCACGAAGGAAGTCGACAGTCCGTTGACGTACGTCTTCCAAATCCGCACCCCGAGAAGCAACGACATGGATCACCCCGAAAACGTTCTGAGGCTTCTTATCATGCGCATGGTCGTGGTCATGGCCGTGATCATGGCCGTGATCATGAGAATGATTGTGATGATCATGGCTATGGTGATGCTCGTGATCATGACCATGATGGTGGTGGTTATGGTTATGGTCACAATCCCCATGGCTGGAATGGTCGTGCGAATGGCTATGCCCAGAAGATACTCCTGTATCATCGAGCCAAAACTTGGGTACTGTGTAACTGACCACGCCTCTCAAGGTACTGACCCCCGCCAGCGTTTCCCGAACATTATATTCCGTATCGGCTGGCAGGGTGAGCAGCAGTGTCTTGGCCGTACTGCTCACTAGAGGAACGGCCGATGCAAAGATCAATATGGCAATGAAACATGATGCCAATGGATCGTAGCCGGCCCAACCAGAATAATGTACGAGAATGGTGGAAATCACGACGGCAACTGAACCAAGCGTATCAGCGAGGATGTGCAAGAAGATTCCGTGCATGTTCTCATTGCCATGAGAATGATCATGACCATGATCGTGGCCGTGATGAGCATGACCATGCTCGAAACTGAAGATCCCAACCAGATTCACTGCAAGACCAGCAATGCTGACAATCAAGAGCTCACCGATACGCTGCATTTCACTCCCCGATGACAGCCGTTCCGCCGCCTCGTAAATGATTTCAATGCTGATGATCCTACATGCTGTTAGACTTCATTCTGAGGCATCTCTTTGAGAACACTCACATGAGGAAAATCCCATTGGCAAATCCAGACAAAGTATCAACCTTACCATAACCATAGGGGAATCGAGCATTCGGAGGCCATTTACTCATGACAGCGGCACATAAGCCAACGACAAGTGCAAGACAATCAAAGAACATGTGAATACTATCACTAAGCAGCCCCAGTGACCCAGTCAGAAACCCATACGATAATTGGACAAGCATGAAAGTAAAGTTCAGGCTGCAGGGTGTTAGCGCTAATCCGATAGTTGACAGCTTCAAGATTTCATAACTCACCACATAAAGTAGAAAATGCTACGAGAGTCCTTCTCCTTAAGAATGCTGTGCAGCAAGGGATATGGTTCGCTTTTGTGGAGGAGCCACTTGGATATACGGGAAGATTCTGATGCTGTGTGTGAATGGGAATGACCGTGCGTGTGGTTATGTGCATGCGTATCCATATTGAAATGGGCGTCATCCCGCCGAGACGCGAACAAAGAGGCCGTGGCCAAGATGACACGCGCGACATAAACCAGGAGGAGGTCATCCTGTGCATGTGGGGAGCACAGCAAAGCTGCAACTCCAACGCAGATGCCAAGTCCAATTTTATTTGGGGAGCGGAGGCTCGTGGGCAAGGAAATCATGAGTGATAGAGCGAAAAGACCAGTAGGAACCAGGAAATATATCAAATCTGAGACGCTGAAGACAAATCCTCGATTGAAGAGCATGGTGAGTAGTGCGAGGGACGACCCGCCTATGACGGCCAGTGGTGCATCGGTTGTAAGCACAACAGAAGTGCCATTCGAGTCCGAGGACTTGCTTGATGGAGCAACAAGACCTGGTTCAGGAATGGGTCCATTGTGACAGAGGAAAGGGAATGGAGGAGGAACAACGAATACAGATCCTAAGAGGGCAACATATCCGATGACTGGTGATACATCCCAAGCACGATTTAGCCCTAGGAAACTGGATACAATAGCCACTAGAAGAAGGGCGATAGAGATAGGCTTCCGGCTGTATTTCTCCCGACTGCGCGAGGATCCACTGATGATGGCTGGTATTCCCGTCGCTGACGCAAGGAGCAGCGCAAATGCCACCAAAAAGCCACCAATCTTGAATGCTGCAAATATTGGAAGTGCCACCGAAACTATTTGTGAAAGCGAGGCTTGAATGCTTCTGGCATTCAATGTTGGGAATTTAGTGGACGAGCGACCGGATGAAGCAGTCTTCTTATAGTTGACCCGTATTATCTGGCTACAACCGAAGAGAACGAGGGTCATTGCTGTCAAAAGGCAGGTCTTTTGACCAATTTGTCCGATAGAATTGATCACGGTTGTATCAGGAATACCTTCGGCGGACGTATTGTTTTGGGCATATTGTCTTTGGCACCAGGAAAGCGCAATCCATGGCAGTACGATGACTGTGCCACTCAGAACTTCGGCACTATGGTTAGGGTCAGTTCCTACCCACCGAGCACATTCTAGCTCACATACCTCTTATCTGGAGTATAGTCTGCCTGAATATTTGTTTCTGCAGACAAGGTTCCATGAACAACATTGGAACCTTTCGAACTGTGGCGAATGGACGACACGCTATGGTTGTGATTGTGATGCGCGCCGGAGTGCGAGTGTGCATGATGGCTATAACCAGATCCTTGCTGTGTATGCCCATACGAATAACTCGAATTCACAGCATTAGTTGGCTCTGGGATTTCAGGAAGGCTGGCGTCAGTTGGCTGTGAGAGGGGCGGAGGTTGCGCCCAGCGATTGGATCGAGAGTGGCCGTGACCGCGACTATGACTGTGGTTATGCCCATTGGATATGGGATTAAGATCCACGCTTAGCGACGGTGCCCCTGTCGACATGGTCTCTGGATGCTGGCGCGCAGCTGGAAAGTCCAGCAAGCAGGCAAACTGGATAGGAGATGGGGCACTGCCAAGATATCCGGAGGGTGGAGCGGGCGTGAGCTCAGATCAGCGGGCAGGCCAGCAGAAGATACAGCATTGCGCAATATGATAATATAGCAGTACTCCGTAATATAACCGGATTGCCAGTCGCCTTGGGCCCAGACAAATTGGCCACTGTCTCTAGCGAAAAGCCAGAGAGGCTCCTCCCCCAAGGTTCTCACATCCAGGGGAATCACGTGAATGCTTATCGGATTACGTATCTTGAGATGTTTGAAGTCCCCCCTCCGCGTTCATTCAAGGCGCCAAGTGGAATTGCTGAAACTGCTTGTCTAGCTCTTCCCGCGTCTTTTGATTACCATTCGGCTGATCACTGGCATGAATGGCATTTCTAGAGCGGCATTGTGACCATGATTGAGACCCTTATCAGTATAGCGTTTTGCCTGTCCAGCGCTCTCACTGTGTTGATCCTGCTGCTCCCCTCGCAATATGAGCTAAAACAAACAGGACCTTCTTCAAAGCCAAGTGATACAAAGAGACGCAAGACAAGTGTCCAGATCCTTGTGCTTGGTGATATTGACCGAAGCCCTCGCATGCAGTATCATGCATTGAGCATTGCAAAACATGGCGGGGAGGTGGTGATCATTGGGTATAATGGTTAGTGGGGAGCTTTCGGTAGAACTGCAAAAAGAAAAGAAGAAGATTCACTAACAAGTAGGTGTTTGTGCGAACTAGAATCCGATCCTCATCCCGATATCACCTCCCACCCCAATATTTCGATTGTCCCACTTCGTCCACATCCCACTCTCCTGCAAACTGATAACAAGCTCTTGTTTACAATTTATGGGCCCTTGAAGGTGCTGTTTCAGATTGCTTGCCTCTGGAAATGCCTTGCATATACCACAAAACCGTCCCGTTGGCTTTTGGTTCAGGTATGTTTGTTCAAAAGGAAGTTGTTCAAGATTCATTGAAGTATTGACTGTCCCTTGCGGAGGTGATAGAACCCACCCTCCATTCCTACACTGGCTATTGCCTCAATTGTCTGTTTCTTGCGCCAAACTAAGCTTATCATTGACTGGCATAATTTTGGATTTTCCATCCTCGCCTTAAAACTTGGCCAAAGCCATCCTCTGGTGAAATTATCGATATGGTATGAGAAGAAATTTTGCAAATCCGCTTCGGCTCATTTGTGCGTTACCAATGCTATGAAATCCGTGCTCAAGGGGGGTTTTAATCTTCAAGCCCCCGTCTTGCCGCTCCATGATCGTCCTGCTAGCCACTTCAGCCCTATCCTCGACCACGATGCACGTACGGACTTTCTCATGTCTCTGCCAGAAACCAAGGAAGGGTACTCCTCTTTGAAAGAAGGGTCTCTGCGGGTTCTGGTCAGCTCAACCTCATGGACAGCGGATGAGGATTTCTCAGTCCTCATTGACGCGCTTCTTCGGTATTCCGAAATGGCGACTACTACGAAACCTCACTTGCCCAGAATTTTGGCCATAATCACCGGGAAGGGTCCACAAAAAGCAATGTATCTGGAACAAATTGCTGCCCTTGAAAAGTCCGGCAAGCTACAGAAGGTCACAATCCGAACTGCGTGGCTCAGTGTACCTAACTATGCTCGACTGCTGGCATCTGCATCTTTAGGGGTCAGTCTACATACCAGTAGCAGCGGGGTAGATCTCCCCATGAAAGTTGTAGATATGTTCGGTGCAGGTCTTCCGGTTGTGGGATGGGATCGTTTCGAAGCATGGCCTGAGTTGGTGACTGAGGGCGTCAATGGATTAGGGTTTGGAAGCCCAGAGGAGTTGGCTGATCACTTAGTCGAACTATTTGGGGACAATGGCAGATTAGAGATTCTTCGTCTAGGGGCTCAGAAAGAAAGTTCTCGGCGATGGGATGATGAATGGAATCCTATTATGGGTTCCCTGCTTGGGTTGACATAGATGGTTAGCACCCTCTCACGATGTGAATATCTAATCTTATGAATATTCCATGGCCTTAATTTATGGCATAGTTTTATAATACCTAGGGTTTGATAACTGTTGACGACCCAGGGACTTAATATTTTAGTTCTTGTTGCTAATGCTATCTGGTGAATACTAATAAGTTGCCTGGAATTTGGCTGCACATTGTAGGCAAGTATCAAACACCTCAAAGAGAGCATTGAACATTTGACCCTGTTTCCCGCCACGAACATGGGCCACAACTTCTTCGTCGAGCGCTTCCATATGGCAAACAGAACAGTATTTGGATATCCCAGGTTCTTGGATGGCGAGAAAGGACAATCCACATCGATCTATAGGGATGAATGATGTTAGATATATCAAACCAACAAGTTCAGCCTATTGACGTACCCCAACGATGGCCATTTGCGCACTGAGCGATCAGGACCGAGGGCCAACCAATTCCCGCATCGCAAACTTCGCATTTCTCATAAATATGGCCTCCCGCGCAATCGAGTTGATCCTTGCTCTTCGCTGATATCGGACTAGGATCACTGTTGCATCTGGAGATCTCCTCCCTCAGGTCCGCACCTGTCATTATTGCTAGGCATTCTAGAGACGTTCGAGCATGGGCTCGAAGTGACTTGTCTCTTTCACCAACAATAGTGCGACAAGCAACGGCGTAGACGAGTCGCTGGCTCTCTACGTCAGGTCCAATGTCACCATCATCACCGGGTAGCACAAAATTGATCATTTCTCCTGTCCGGTTGTACTTGGCGGTTTGATGACCGGAGACCGGTGCAAATAAAGCTTGGGGTTCTGTCGTAGATCCATCCTCCTCTGAAAAGACAATTACAGATCTGTCGTCAGATGTGATTCGATATTCGATCATATCCGTGGGGTGTGAAGTGAAGATAGCTGCAGTTATGTTGCGATAGGATGCTAGTCCCCAGATCCTCGAGACAGTCATCCCCCCCAAGTCATTTTCCAAATCATAATCTTCCTGAAATTCTTCGGCCATGTGTTTCCAACGTGGCCGTTGCAGAGCACTGAAATTTCGAGCTTGGTGAAATCTCGTCATCAGGCCAATCCCGCCGAGTGTGCCTAGCTGAAGCATACATGTGTCGCTTTGTTCATTCGTGGAAGATAGCATTGCTAAAAGCGAGTAAGCAATCTTTAAAATTTTCCATAGGTTTCGCGATACATACCAGAAATCGGCTCCAGGTGCCTTTGCTGATGGCCCCTATTTGCTTCAGTTTCAGATTCATAAATCGGCCAATCTTGAACTTCAAGGGCATCGGAGTTGATAACGTTGCCAGTGTACATATCAATGGGCATGGGCAGGGTGATGAGGCTTGATATGGCGCCCACCGCTAAAGTCATTGTTGCGGGTGATCTCTGCGAGGTTTGAAATCAGTCACACAACAATTGAAAACACACGCGTGGAAGGGACTCAGCATACAGTATGGAGCCATCTGAGAGGACCAGTGACGTGGTGATATGCCCATTTCTCATTCATCCGACCCAGAGGATGATCCGTCAGATCCGTAGTTAATGTGTATTGCTGTGAAATCTGCTCAAGCGAGCTTCCAATCATGATTTCGAGCTTCATCAATCGAAGATGTGTGCCACATACAGCGGCTATTATGGCAACTGCGCAACCAAAGCTGCCTGGACTGGTTGCGGGTGAAACCTGCCACGGACCACAAGAAAGTACAGTAGTTCGTTGTTTCTCTTTCACTGCCTTCTCAAACAACGATCCAGAGCAAAGTGAGAGGTTGTTTGTTTGCTGATTTTGGAGGGAGTGGTGCGCTAGAATTTGAATATCATAGGGCTTGGAAGAGTTGCTCATTGTGTCTGACCGGACAACCCGCAACAACGTGACCTCATTGAAATCGTTGACTATCGTAAGCAAAGGAATTCCCCAGCGACTTTCGCGTGAATGTAGAAAGGCAGAGCCGACAGCAGGCGCCGAAGGTTTCAAGGACTCGCACCAAGTGAAAGATCGAATATTAGCCTCGCGGAATATATGGCTATTTGGGTCTTGTGAGGGCTGTCGCTGCGGCCAGAATACATGATTGACGATGGAAACCCTAGTCCACTGCTGCTTCAAACCGACGGGCTCCCAAATGGACAACACCAAATTTGATGTCAGTACGGCAAGCACACTGCGTCGATATTTGCCAAGTCCTGCTGGTGACCAAGCTAGACCGATAACATTGCTCTCTGAAAGATCTGCGGCAACTGAAAAATCATCTCTATCTCCTGGAAGGTAGATTGGCCATTCAGAGTTGGTAAACAGATTGGCTCGAACACGAGTCATCTGCCAATCTTGGATTGTCGAGTTGAGGGGAGCATCATCATCCTTCCCAATTTTTGGTGTCTAACAGCATGTTAGTCATATTCAAGCCTTCCACATACAGAATCGCCCTATGCATACCAAAATTTGGAAGTATTCACCTGCAGCAATAGCAAGCTCACCGTCCGAGGACCAAGCAAGGGCGTCATGGCAGGATGGAGCTAGTGAGAGGGCAACAGGTCTCAACATGATGACACGAATAAGACCTTCCCTAGGACAGCATTCCTAGGCTAAAGATTCAATCGCGAGATAACTTTGAAGAAACGTAGAGAAAAAAGTGAAGGCGAAGATTTGGTTTTGTTGTGGTCGCAGTCGGGGGACTGGATGCCTGAGGAACCAGGCGACAGCATCAACATCAAAAGACAAACCCCAACATTTGAAGTGATCTTCCAAGTCATTGGAGAACTGCAACACGGACAGCTGGCAGATTAAGTGATACCCATGTAACAAATGATCTAGGCTCATACCATCACCTAATCTCTGGGGGTTGAAGATCGGGGTTGTGAATGGAAGAAAGAGAAGTACTACGGGTACACCTTTTTGGCCTACCGGCGTTACTAGAGTCATCCTCATCAATATTACTATCCCATGAAACAACAGACTGCTGAACACCTAATCACTTAGGTATTCGGAACATATACCAGTAACCCCCCCCCCCCCAAGAACGTTTAGTTGGCAGGTACCAGATGTGTCTGCCCAGATAGATTTGACGCATAGCCTGCTTATATCGCTGGTCCTTGATGTAGGAAAGGTGGCATAACCGCGAGCACTTCAACGACCGAGGTGACACATTTTCAAAACAGAGTCATGGAGTGCCTTTCCGATCACTTGGATCGAGTGTCGCAAGTATAGTTGGAACTGGGAGCTTTCTCTCCATTGACATAGGCGTTGACCATGGTGTCAAGTAATTTGGCATGCTTCAGATGCGAAATGTGTGTGCAACAATAGCTCGACAGGGAGATCAGCTAGCGTGTTTAGCTTGGAAATCTCAGAAGGTGGAGTACCCTAGAATCAAGATATCACTGGAGAGATACCTTGCCGAGGTCGTTTTGCCTGATTAGGCATAGGAGTGGGTTCTGAAGGCTTGGTTTTTTTTTAAGGTTGCATAAAAGGGTTCGGCCTCTGTCTCCGAGTAGTGCTTCTTGAGCACATCCTGGACCTTATAGCATTGCGTTAAGGCATGCCAGGTCATGTCCCTAGCCGTGGCCTTCATTGGTCCAAGCTCTCACCGAAAGTGGGTGCGATATTAATCGCCAACATCGATGACTTGACGGGCAAATATTATATATGTATAGCTTAGCCTGGAGAAAATCCAGGGGGGGATTTATACTGGAGAGTGCCAAATACTGTCCATGAGGTAGACTAGATGAGTAAATGTGATTTTAGGCAATATACTGTTCCAAATCAAAAGGAAGGTACACGTCCTCGTTATACAAGATGATGCCCAAGCTAGTAACGCATTTGAGGGTATCAATCATAACGTGCCACCAGAGATGCTTTAGAAAGTGTGATTAAATCAATCCACCCGTTCCAACCTCTGCACAACCATTGCAGTTGCAGCACCGCCGCCGTTGCAGATTGCAGCCACTCCATACTCGCCGGGCTGCAGCTGGTGCAGCAAGGTGACGAGGATGCGGGAGCCCGAGCTACCAAGAGCATGGCCTAGAGAGATGGCGCCACCGAGCATGTTGACCTTGGCATTTTGCAAACCGAGGATCTAGATGAGTTAGATCTGATATGATCTCAAGTTGAGTAACACACGGCACTGACCTTTTCGTTGGCTTTAATCACAGCGGCAAAGGCCTCGTTGAACTCCCATACCGCCACTTGGTCCTTTGTGATACCAGCACGCTCTAGCGCAATCGGGACTGCTTTGGCAGGGGCCACTGGGAAGTCCACAGCATCGATGGCGGCATCGGCTGAGGAAACAATACGGGCCAGGACACGGCTGCTAGCCCCATATTCGCGAGCAAGATCCTTGTTACCCAGGATCAGAGCCGATGCTCCGTCATTCATGGTGGATGCGTTGCCAGCGGTCACGGTACCCGTCCCATCTCGAAGGAAGGCGGGTTTCAGAGTCCTCAACTTATCGGCACGCAGATTCTCAAAGCCTTCATCGCGTTCAATAATGGTATCTCCTTTCTTACCTTTCACAATAACTGGGGCAATTTCCTCGGCGAACTTGTTCTCCTTCCATGCTTGCTGGGCTCGCTCATATGACTGAATGGCATATGAGTCCTGGTCCTCCCGTGAGATGCCATGGTTTTTGGCAGTGTGCTCGGCACAAATACCCATGTGGAATTTGTTGTATACATCCCACAGACCATCTTTGATGAGTCCGTCCTCCAGCTTGATCTCACCAAAAGGGGGCAATTGACTAGCACGTGCCATATAATAGGGAACACGAGTCATGTTCTCCATGCCACCAGCTACTTGCGCCTCAGCCAAACCCAATTGGATGTTTTGTGCCGCAAGTGCTACCGCCTTCAGGCCAGAAGCACAGACCTTGTTGATGGTCGTAGCTTCGACAGTGACAGGAAGGCCAGCAAAGATAGACGCTTGACGGGCGGGTGCTTGGCCTACTGAGCCCTGCAGAACATTTCCCATGTAAACATCTGTGATCTTCTCAACGGGTATCTTGGATTTCTCTAGAGCAGATTTGATAGCAACAGCGCCGAGCTCAGGTGCTGATACAGACGCAAAAGAACCATTGAACTGGGTGACCCGGCGTCAGTAGAATATTCCCCAGAGCATTCTTCAATTCAATATACCTTTGCTGTTGGTGTTCGAGAGGCACTCAGGATGTAAGCCTCCTGGATTTCCTTGCATGTCGGGCGTGCGGAGCTAAACTGTCGCTGGGTGCGGATTGCGGGGAAGGCCCGCTTGGGAAGACGAGCAGACAGGCCTAGGGAGATCATGGCGGTTTAGTATGAGAGTGGTAGTAAGCCGACAAGATCGAAGAATTATCAGACACAAATGGAAAGAAGTCAAACACAAAGAGTTGGAAATTGCTCCGCATTTGCCCATTCGGCATGCATCCGGCCGTACAACCGCCTATAACCGCCGCTCCGCCTGGACCGAGGCTGCCCAAGGCGGTGAAATCTTCCTATCGATGGATCCATGGATGACGGAATTGCTGAGTCATGCTATCATAACTCTTTTGGGAGTGTTTCTCCATTTGGGTATTTATTCCGGCCTTCCCCTCCATCACTCCGCTGCATATCGCCTGCCATATCATTGATTTGCGAGTCTCTTCTCTCTCTTTGCTTTTCCTTTATCCTGGATTATCCCTGGATAGTCAAGATCTTTGGCCACATACATACAGCTCTATTCCATACTTGAACCGCTTTGCGCCACCGATTCTCGCATCATGTCTACATCCGCTCGCCGTCGTCTTATGCGGGACTTCAAGGTACGCGTTCATATGACTACTTTAGCATTATGCTTTTGTTGGATCCTTCCTGCTGTTTTCATGAGCTGGGATCTATAGATGAAAACTTCATCTGTTTTTGTCTCCCTCACCTGCTGCTTCTATCCCAATGTCTTTCATTTGAGTTCATTCGCCCCGCTAACATTGCCATCCTCACAGCGCATGCAAACTGATCCTCCCGCTGGTGTCTCTGCATCTCCAGTTGCCGATAATGTTATGACATGGTAAATATATTCCGAGGTTTTATCTGGGGATCTTGACCATAGTTCTAATGGAATGTTAGGAATGCCGTCATCATTGGCCCCGCAGACACGCCGTTCGAAGATGGCACATTCCGCCTAGTCATGAACTTCGAAGAACAATACCCCAACAAGCCTCCTGGTGTGAAGTTTATAAGCCAGATGTTCCACCCCAATGTGTATGGAACTGGTGAGCTCTGCCTCGACATTCTGCAGAACCGCTGGAGTCCGACTTATGATGTGGCGGCTATTCTTACTAGTATTCAAAGGTATGGTCAGCTTATACCCGAAACCCAGTTTACACATGCTAACGTGTGTTTTTAAATTGCAGTCTCTTGAACGATCCCAACACCTCGTCTCCAGCCAACGTTGAGGCCTCAAACCTCTACAAAGACAACCGTAAAGAGTACACCAAGCGGGTGCGAGAGACTGTTGAAAAAAGCTGGGAGGACAATTGAGCTATCCAACTTGTTAAAACGAGTCCGATGGTCTGATATTCTTATGAATAAGCACAACAGCTTGACCGTTCCAAGGTTTGATCTGCACAGCGTGGGGTTTCTGGCGCCTGGTCTCTTATTCGATGTATCCGGTTTGTAATAGTTGTTTTTGTTTTTGTTTTTTGCCAATACTATTTTCTATTTTCGCCTTCCTGTCCTGCCTCATATCTCTAGTGCCTTGTCTCTCAATGTCTATCCGTAGGTCATATTAGGCAGTGTAAGGTCGATTTATCAGATCAGTCCAATTAGTCCCATAGTCGCATCAGTGCATCGTACTGCTTCTACAAAGCTTGTGTTCTGATCCATCAATATATGCATTGTAGATCCAAATAGTACTCGATTAACGAGATACTGATACTTACATGAAAGCTGTCCTCTTGATACATATAGACCTCCTACGGAGTATAGATGTAAACATTAAGCTTATCTGCAAGTGGTTGCGTCTACTCCGACTCCGGGGGCGGTAAGCCCAAACGGGCGACTGTCAACAGTCGAAATCCCACTCTTTCGCGTCAACCCCCTCTCCTACCAAGCTTCATTTGTCGTTTTTCTTTAGGTTTGGTTTGGCCGTTCTTTCTTTGCGGCTTGACTGCTGCTTTATTTTCAACCCGAGCCTTGAGCGTTTTGGTCCACGTTGCACGTGGACCCCCTGATCCCCAACCCCCTCCTCCGAGCGACTACGCCGTAACCGACCGTGTCCCCCTTGGAACGCCTCTGAAGGCCTTCGAACCCCTCTTTGGGGTTTACCTTGCAGCTTGAGCTTTTTATAGCGAAGTCATACTTGCAACTATGGCGTGTGTATAGATCCGGGCCTATTGTGTGTTCACCAAAACTGACATGGGTCCTACAGGTCCGCGGGGTCGAACACCATTAAGGGTATGCACAGCCTAGCAGAATAATTTGAACCTTGCTTCGCGGATGTGAGACTGACAGGGTAATGTATAGTTGTTGCTAGGTTCCGGCCGCAAAATAAGGTCGAATTAGCCTCAGGTGGTAAACCCATTGTCGAATTCGAGAATGAAGAGTCATGTAGCATCAACGTGAGTCGGAAATGAGTCCAGACTACACGAGGGCTATGCTGATCAGTTTTCAGTCCCGAGAGGGCACAGGCGCCTTCACATTTGACCGGGTGTTCCCTATGGACACTGCGCAAAACGACATCTTCGACTTTTCTATCCGACCGACTGTAGATGATATTCTGAATGGCTACAACGGAACAGTCTTTGCCTATGGCCAGACTGGTGCCGGAAAGTCGTACACAATGATGGGTTCCGACATCGATGATGACATAGGGAAAGGTATCATCCCACGAATGATCGAGCAAATCTTCGCAAGCATCCTGACCAGCCCGAGCAATATTGAATACACCGTCCGAGTCAGCTATATGGAAATTTACATGGAGCGGATTCGTGATCTGCTGGTACCCCAGAATGACAACCTACCAGTCCACGAGGAGAAGGCCCGCGGAGTTTACGTTAAAGGACTGCTGGAAGTTTATGTATCCAGTGTGCAGGAGGTATACGAAGTTATGCGCCGGGGAGGAGCAGCACGTGCCGTCGCTGCAACCAACATGAACCAGGAATCATCTCGCTCCCACTCCATTTTCGTCATCACCGTCACCCAGAAGAATGTCGAGACCGGGTCTGCCAAGAGTGGTCAGTTATTCTTGGTCGATTTGGCTGGTAGTGAAAAGGTTGGAAAGACCGGCGCGAGTGGTCAGACCCTGGAGGAGGCCAAAAAAATCAACAAGAGTCTGAGTGCGCTAGGAATGGTTATCAATGCGCTAACCGACGGCAAATCGACACATATTCCTTACCGTGACTCGAAACTCACTCGAATTCTCCAAGAGTCCCTTGGCGGTAACTCCCGGACGACTCTGATTATCAATTGTTCACCCAGTAGCTACAACGATGCGGAAACGATCTCTACCTTGCGATTCGGTGTGCGCGCCAAGGCCATTAAGAATAAGGCTAAGGTTAATGCAGAGCTGAGCCCCTCGGAGATGAAGCAACTATTGCGCAAGGCGCAAAGTCAAATGACGAATTTCGAAAGCTATATCTCGGCCCTTGAGGGCGAAGTGAGCATGTGGCGGAGCGGCGATAGCGTCCCTAAAGACCAATGGACTCCTTCACGGGGAAACGAGCTTGTCAGTGCTACAAAGACTGAGGCCCGCGGCCCGCGGCCAGGTACCCCCTCGCGTTTACACGAGACTGTTCGTTCGGAAACTCCGCGCCCAGATTCACGAGTTGGAGATCGGTCCAGCACCCCCAGCCTGGTGCTGGAAAAGGATGAGCGTGAGGAGTTCTTGCGCCGCGAGAATGAATTCCAAGACCAGCTGTCGGAAAAGGAGTCGCATATTGTCAACGTTGAGCGCAGCCTCCGCGAGGCACGCGACGAGCTTCGGTCTATGAAAGAAAATGGCGCACGAACCGGCAAGGATAATGAGCGACTGGGAACAGAAGTCAACGAGCTTCGCATGCAACTCGAGAAGGTTTCCTATGAAAGCAAGGAAGCCGCCATCACCATGGACGGCCTCCGAGAGGCCAACACTGAACTCACAGGCGAGCTAGACGAAGTAAAGCAGCAGCTTTTGGATGTTCGGATGAGGGCAAAGGAGACCACCGCAGCACTTGATGAGAAGGAAAAGAAAAAGTCCGAGAAGATGGCTAAGATGATGGCTGGATTTGACCTTGGGGGTGATGTCTTCTCCGACAATGAGCGCAAGTTGCAGGACCTCATCCAGCGCGTTGATTCTCTACACCGCATCAGTTCCGAAGGCGAAGTGATTGCACCTGACGACCTCCTCGAGCTCCGAACGAATCTACTCGAAACCCAAGGCTTCATCCGACAAGCGGAGCTGACCGTGAACGACCGAAGTGACTTTGGCGAGCTGCAGGACAGTCGCCGCGCAGACTTGGAAAAGAGACTGGATGATCTTCAGCGAGAGTATGAAGATCTGCTGACCCGCAACTTGGGTGAGGGTGACGTGGAAGAGATCCGCGGACGACTGGAGCAAGTTTACATGGCAAAGAAGGAAGCGGAGACTGCGGTGACCGAGGATCTTCGTTCTGACATCTCGCGCAAGGATGAGGAATTGACCAAGTTGCGACAATCTCTTGTTGATACCCAGTCTCGAACATCTACCAATGGCGCCGCTAGCAAGAGTTTGCAGCAGCAAATCACCGAATTTGATGCCATGAAGAAGTCTCTTATGCGTGACTTGCAGAATCGCTGCGAGCGTGTGGTTGAGTTGGAGATCTCCTTGGACGATGCGAGAGAGCAGTATAATAATGTCCTGCGATCATCGAACAACCGGGCTCAACAGAAGAAGATGGCCTTTTTGGAGCGCAATCTCGAGCAATTGACACACGTACAGCGTCAACTTGTCGAACAGAATAGTAGTTTGAAGAAGGAGGTAGCAATCGCGGAGCGCAAGCTGATTGCGAGAAACGAGCGTATTGCCAGCCTTGAAGCTCTGCTCCAGGAGAGCCAAGAGAAACTTACCCAAGCCAACCACCGGTATGATTTTGCGTTCCTTTCCGGATTTAAACAACCCTCGATACTAACTACCTCAATAGATTCGAAGCTCAACTCACTGCTGTCAAGGAGCGCCTCGAAGCAGCGAAGCAAGGTTCCACTCGTGGCTTACCGAGTATGGATGGGAATGCGAGTTTCAGCTTCGGGGGTTCGCGCATCGCGAAGCCGCTACGCGGGGGTGGTGATGGGCCGTCGAACGCGAACGTCGCGGGCATACAATCGCAGGAGGCGACCGGGAAGCGCAGCAGCTGGTTCTTTGATCGCCGATGATCTTGTTCCACCCTCGGAAACTTGCTCGTCTCTTGCACAGTTGCTTCTGAGGCTCGACGGATGCCTACCGTGCACCCCAGATCTTGTGCAGTTCGTGCTCCTTTCGCTAGCATGTGGTTGATATTGGCTGATCTTGAGCTACCTTGATTCCTTTTTACGCTGTCTCACGAGTTTCTTCTTTTTCTTTGATCATCTGACCTACAAATTTTGTTCTGATGTTATTTTGATGTTTCCCATGTCGCTTTTCCTTTTTTTCATTCCAGTACATTAGATCACGCCCTGCATGCCGGGGACTGGAGGCTCTTCAATCTTCCTGATACCCTTGTACATCAATTCCAGATAGAAAAGCAGAACACCTGGTAAGTAGTTCGTGGCGGGGCCGACTTGATTGATGTGATGTGACATACTACTTGATACGAGACGATAGCCCATCAATGTGATTGACATTCATAGATCCTAGCACCTGCTCCGCCGAGTAAACCTTGGTTCGAACACATCGATGTAATATCAAATGACAATATGAGGTTCTTGACCAATGATGATGATGGTAAGAGAGTATTGTACAGAAGGGGTAACACATAGATCCTCGACACATCGCCTTCCAGACCCGGTACATCGATGAGGGATTAGACTGTCTTGAGCTTGTGTGAAAGGAGTCATATTCAACAATGCTCAGTAGATATCCTCCTTCGCTGTCAGCCGGACTGACTCGCACCCCGGGTGGCTACGGTGGCTACCTCCAGTCTTATTTCACTTGCTCACTGAATAGTGAAACACCTGACTCAAAACAGCAATACTGCGAAGACAAGAGGCGATATGCAAGGTATTTTATACAACTCAGCACCTAAAAGGTCAAGGAGCGACAGATAGACCCGGGCTCTAACAAGTACGGGGCCTCCTGTTGAGACCAGCACACCATCCTTCTGCCTGTGGTGTATAGTCAACAGAGAAAAAGCAGAATGGGTCCAGAAACAAAATAAGCCAATTGATACATCCAGAGCCTGAGCCAAAACCCAAGCTAGCCCTGTATACACTTCACGAGCAAGATTGTACGTGTCTCAAATATACAAAAGATATGGGGTAAGCAAAACCACGAGACAAAAGAAAGAGAAACAGAGAATATGCAATGCATTCCCCTCGCCGACCAAAAGAGCATGCCTCACATTGCGCCAGTATTCGCCCAAGCAACATCTAAACCAGTCCGTCATAAAGTGACAAGGCACTGACGATGGTTTCATCCCGTTTGCTGCCTTCTTTGAACTCCTCGATATCGAGACTGCCGTTCTCATCCTTGTCCATCATCCGGAAGATCTTCCGTACACGCTTCTCCGGGGTATCTTCGTCTTCGGGGAGTTTCACCATGGATCCAACCTGCATTCCCGTCAGTCATGACCATCGTTATATTTTCCAAGGGCCCATGATACGTACCATCTTGTAGATCGCTTCGACAATGGCCAGCATTTCGTCATAAGTGATTTTCCCGTCGCCGTCAATATCGTACAACTGGAATGCCCAATCCAGCTTATCTTCCATCTTGCCTCGTGAAGTCACAGAAAGGGCGCAGATGAACTCTTTGAAATCAATCATGCCACTATTATCCGAATCGAAGACGCGAAAGACATAATTGGCAAAGGATGAAGGGTCGCCAAAGGGGAAGAACTGCCGGTAGATTTTCTGGAACTCCTCCTTGGTCAGGGTGCCGGACGGACAATCCTTGAGAAATCCTATACACCTCGCGATCAACGATGGTACTTAAATCATGTCGCACACCTCCCTGCATACCTTTATACCATTGTTGTAACTCCTTCTTATCGAAATGTGTTGCCCTTTGCAGCTCATCGAGCTGTGTCGGCGAAAGCTTCGACTGACTGCGGAAGACGGGTCAGCGCGGATTTGTTCTCTGGTAAATCCGGGTCGCATGATGATTGAGATGGGCGACAGCGCTCGCAGGGTTTTATTCCTGCCTTGTCCCTTCGAAGAGAGAGAGGCGTCGCCCGACATGCGCGGAGTCTGTGACCCCGAAGGTTGAAATAGAGCAATGTAGGACTTACGATTTGCCCATGATGAGAACACTCTAGAATAGTACCAAGCGCGAAAACGTCGAAGCTATCAGAGACCAAATCGACCAGATCGAGAGTAATGATTCGAATCAAATGCGAAGAGCGCGGAGTGGTGACGCGGGGTAAAAACAGGCGGGATGGTGTGGCTGAGTCGCGGTGGCGGGAAGGTCAATGGTAAGAGGTGCAGTTGAAAGAAGACAATGAGACGAGACGGTGAGTACAATCAGAATGCTGTTAATTGAAGGAGATCAAGATGGAAGTGGCGAGAAGATCAACGTTGCAAGTCCAGAAACATCCGGCTTGGCGCTTCTACTTAATTTCATTGCGCATATATACATAGTCCACTTTCATTTCTCCGTAAACGTTGTCTATCTTCCATGAAGGAGACCTCTCCAAGGGGATTTTATTAAAAAAAAAAGAACACAAGACATGGGATCAAAACAAGGCGCTCCACGAAGAACCTGAGATGCAAGGCTAAATGTTAAAAGGGCAACGGCTTCAATCCACCTTGATGGAGCCATAGATGCGGTGGATGAACGCCCAACTGGCGAAGAGACCAATGGAACCTGCGAAAAAAAGTCAGTAAATGCCTCGTCTAAAAGACTATCAATCAGACATACCAGTCAGAACGAACACAATGAAGGCGATTAACGCGGAATAGCCCACATAGAGCACTGCTCCTGTCAATCCACCAAAGCTGACCCGTGTTGCCCAGAAGAGGAGGGCATTCACAAAGACATATCCACCAGTCATGCCTGCACCGATAAATGCGCGCCAATGCCATCGGTAGTTCTCGGCGCACAATAGGAAGTAGACAAGCAGGACCGTTGTAGCGGCAGAAGTGATGATCATCAGACCGTAGCAGAGGAACAGGAACCCAAACATGTAGTAGATCTTGTTGGTCCAGAGGGAGTTCATAATGAAAAACAACTCGACGAAAATCGCACCGAAGGGCAGGAGTCCGGTGAGCAGGACTGATGGGATCGGACGCAGACTACCAGACATCGGAGGAATCTGCCGAGGAATTTGATTCGTCTTAGTGGGACCTTCAAGTGGCTGTTGAAAATTCAGATTAGTTATGAAGATATTTGTATGGGAGGGGAAGCGTAGATACCGATTGCTTGAACCCTAACCAGCTGCCTGCCACGCTCAGTGGCACACTGATAACAAACCAGATTAAGACCAATGCCAACATAGTTCCAAATGGCACAGCACCACTGGATCCCTTGGCCCACACGAAGAGATTCAGTGTGAAGAAAGTTACAAACACAATGCCAGGGACAAATAGAGGTGTCATGATAATGTTGCGCCTCCAAGCATCACCCCCAAACGACTTGTACATTCGAGCCGATACGTAACCGCCAATGCCACCGAAAAGGGCGGATATTAGGAGAATAGCGGTGGCCAGGAACCCGCGGTTGGAAGGGGAGAGGAGACCAAGCAGGGCAAATGCTACATATGAAAGTTAGCATCGAAGCAATCAGGAGCGTAAGCTGGGTTACCTACCAACAGTCACACCTGTCATCATGAACAGCTGGGCGCCGTTGCCTGCCATCACACTCAAGAGCAGTGGGTATTGTGGGCACCGGAACACATCGCCGTGGACCAACTTCCAGCCGGAATCCTCTTGGACTCCATCTTCAATAGCGGCCGAAGTGCTATCCAAATCCTCCAGATTGAAGGAATCCAGCCGATTATAGCGAGCAATATCCTTCTTGAGTGCACGGACGAGAATCATGCTGACCATACCAACAAGGAATACCACGAAAACGGCCGAGTTGATAAGAGAAAACCAGTGAATCTTGGGGTCATAAACATGCAAATACTTGTCCCACCGGGTCGCCCAGGCTGTGGGGGACTCCTTCCAGAACACACTATACGTCCAGGTGACAGTTGTCTCCCCATCCTCGTTAAGAGTGAGAGTATTGCCTTGGGTGCCGCACTCGGCAGCTCCACCCTCTAGATTCCGTGAGTCCTTGCGAGACCTTGGTTGTACAAGCACCCCGACAACGCGATATTTATTCTTGCCACCAAAGCCCACCTTGTGGTAATCAATCACAATGTCATAGTGATTGTTGAGCAGCACCTGTCCATTGTCATCTACTTCACCCAGAGAGAAGCCAGGATTGTAGAAGTTGGTCTTGGTCACGCTGTCGTAGTTCAGCTGCGCGGCCGGCAATCCATCAACAAGCCAATTGATGTTGTATCCCTGAGCGATCCGCCGGTTTGTAAACTTTGCACTGCGTGCATCAAATTTGGCCTCTGCGCATATCGATTTGCAAGTCTCATTCTTTGCCATGTGAAGCTCGAATGGAGAGGTGCGAATTCGATCACCGAATAGAATACTCCCCAGGGACTCCCTCACATCCTTGGGGCCATCTGCGGGCCGGCAGAAACTGAATGCGGGATGGTAGTAGTCATATGAGAAAACCGAATGAAGCTGATCATCGCGGGAGAGGCCGGGGGTGAGGTGGTTGACATAAAGTGGAACTGCTTGTCCTTCGTTGTAGGAGGTCGGTGCGACGCCTGGTAGGTAAAAGGCCGTAGTCAAAGAAGGAATTGCTAGCAGAGCCGATGAGAAGAGCGAAGCTCGATCGGTGAACCGCATGGTGAGCGTCCCTATAGAGGCCGGGGACTTGCAAGTCAGCCTAGATCATTTGTTTGGGGAAGGAAAGGAGTAGAGCTAATGTTCCGATAGGTAGTAGGCAGAGGAAAGGGATGTTTACGGTTAAAAGCTACCCCAGAAAGACAAAATCACAATCTCATCTGTGGGAAAATCGCAATGCGCGAAGGGATGTAAAATGCCGTAGTGACAAAACTACGAGTGACAGACTGGCAATGACGATTAAGGATGCCTTCGGATGATGCCTTGGTGCCTTGCTCTTATCGCACGTGATGGGCGTATCGGCGAAGCGGCCAAATTTTTTTGTTCGCGGATTGTTGTTTGATCTCTGTATCCATCGATTCAATCATGGCTCCAGCACAGACATCTGCGCGGCCTCAGAGTCTATCAACATTGCTCGAGACTTTGAATACCTGTTTGTCGACAACTGCCTCCTCCCTACCCAAGCCACACAAGGACGCGCCTTCCGATGTCACGATCGAGCCTCCCCAAGACGGCATCTCTCTTCTCGACACCAAGAGCGAAATTCTACTCTCTTACTTGCAAAACCTCGTGTTCTTGATTATCTTCCAATTGCGCAATGTCTCAGCGAAACAAAATCCGAAGGAGAAGAATCAATCCACGGACAAGAACCTCGAAGATGACATCCAGAAAAAATTGATCGAGCTTCGGGTGTTCCTCGAGCGCGGTGTTCGTCCCTTGGAAGGGCGGCTGAAGTATCAAGTTGACAAGGTCATCAAAGCTGCAGAGGATGCGGAGCGGACTGAGAAGACCCAACCAACCAAGGCAAAGAAAAGCCGCAAAGCCGCAGCATCAGACAGTGGAGCCTCCTCCGAGGAAGATGATGATGCGAGTGATAGCGATGATGGAGAAGACATTGATGAAATGGCGTACCGGCCTAATGTCTCTGCTTTCTCCAAGGGAGTGGTTGAGCAAAAGAAGGCCAAGCCCTCCAAGGGTGCCGACGAAGGACCCGGAGATGGCATTTATCGTCCCCCGAGGATCATGCCGACCTCCTTGCCTACGACAGAGCGCCGCGAACGCCAGGATCGCAGACCTATTCGATCTAACGTCATCGACGAATTCGTCAGCGCTGAAATGTCGTCCGCGCCTATGGCTGAACCTAGCATCGGCAGCACAATCATTGACGGTGGCCGAACTGTCAAGTCAAAGAAGGACCGTGAGCGCGAGGCAGAGCGTACCACTTACGAAGAAACCAACTTTGTCCGATTGCCGAAGACCACCAAGAAAGAATTGGCCAAGCGGAATCGCGGAAAGGATACCACGTATGGTGGTGATGAGTGGAAGGGACTCAATGAAGGTGCGGATCATATTGAGCGTCTCACCCGGAGATCGAAAAGCAACGGTGCCGCCCTCGAGAAGAGTCGGAAGCGAGTGCGCAATGAGGATGGACAGCGCGATGATGGCGTGGGCATGGGCCAAATCTTCGACAAACGGCGAAAGAAGGTTGACAGCTGGAAGCGGTAAAAATTGGTTGTTGCAACGGGCGATTTCCATGTTCAACGGCGTTTGGGATCCGACCACTTTGGTTGTTGGAGTTTTTCTGGATTACCCAAGGTCCATCTTGACCAATGCATATCTGTATTTACTTTCTATACATTGAAGCATATGATTTTCTCGGATCAATCTTTCCCTGCAGGACCGTTCACAAGGCCGGAGGTATCTACGTAGGAACACCGTACATGATAGATGTCTCACCGCCGGAATATGATCGCTGACTCGGCATGCCGAAGACAAATACCGATTCCTACATACACCCGTTTATGTACTTTTTATGTTCCTTATCGTGAGATTACGAGGTTCTTTTTCAAGAGACACTCATCATCGAACAAGAGAATTCCAAATTTCTGGATTGCCCACTTGGGAGACAGCATAGATGCCCCGGTGGGATTCACATGTCAGAGTTGAATATGATGTCATCGAATCCAACGAGCTGGAGATACGTCTGGCGATACCCTGACACGCTTCTCTCCACATATCCTCTCACTTAGGTCAATATGGAAAACCCTGGTGCGTTCCATATGTGTGATAACACATATTGATATCCTGCTCATCTCTGTGTAGTGACCGACGTACCTACTGTTATCCGGCTTCTGACACAGTCGCCGCCATCGTTGCAAGAAACCACGCTTGAGCAATATTTTACTAGCAATGCGTCCTTCGTTCATCCGTTCTGTCGAGTCCCCCATTTTGAGGGCAGTAGATGGTGGGTTGTAAAGATATTCCAGTGGTACAAGATCATGTCACCCCGAATTGAGCTAGAAATCCATTCTATTGGTATGTCAACACGAGAAACTTGGGAATTCTTGATTGCAAACACTAACACCTCACTAGCGTTTGATGAGAAAAAGCTTAGGCTCTATGTCAATATGTCTCAGATCTTCTCTATCTGGCTTGTTCCCTTCCATGTCGCTCCAGTGACTCTCACCACCGTCTTGGATCTGACGTACGATTCGGTCCGCGGTGATGCTACAACCAATGGTGACCACAAGCTTTACTACATCAATAAGCAAGAAGATCTGTATCAAACATCGGAGTTTATCAAGTTCCTCATGCCGCACATCGGATATTGGCTGATTTTCGGTTGGCATCTCATCGCAACCCTTTTCTGTGTCCTGGGTGTGACCTTACTATGGCCGATACTATGGCTGGAAGAGAACCATTATATCCCGGGTCGCTTTTTACGAGGGGGCAATCTGGCTTACGATATGGAAAAGAAGATCCCAGGTATCAAAGAGCAATGATAGAAAACCGCTATTTATGGTGTTCATGTTGACATCACTGAATACAAGGCTAAATCTATTTTTATCTCACATGAATGTTCTAGATGTATCTTGTAAGTTATCGTCAAAGTGTAACGAATTGCATCGCTCTCACTGTACATGCTTCCTCGACCCGGACATCGTTCATTTCGTTAGTCGAGTTCCATAGAAGCCCCAATTCAATGGGATTTCTTGGTCTTGCGCTGTTTCTTCAGCTCCTTGCGGAAGGAATTTTCTCGTTCCACAAACATCAAGGGTAAGCCACGGCCAATCCCAAAGAACACAAATAACGCCCATTTCCAACGGAAGGGATTGATGACAAGGACAAAGAGATACCAGTAAATCAGTTCAGCATAGGTAAAGAAGTCAAATGCTCCAGTGGGAGCCAATCGCTTCATGAACCTGGTGAAGTCAATCCAGGTCTTCATCCAAGCCTCAGTGGGTCGGGTCAGTGGATCGGTCAAGAACATGAGCAGGAATCGCGTGTAGATTCCGATATGCATATTGCCCACTGTACCAATTGCATCGACGTAGGTGCTGTTGTTGGCACAAATATCCGGGTATTTGGGTGGGAAGACTTGGAGATACCAGCTAGGCGGCCCGTAAGGTTCATCAAAACACTCATCAGGCAAGAAGGACAATGAAGGCCGTTTGAAACCGGTGGCCATGACGATGATATCACCTTCAACTAATCGTTCGCGGCCAGGTCCTCCTTTTGGAACACCTTTAGATCGATGGTTGAATACCACGCCTTTCTCTTCCACGGAGACAATGTCCCCGCGTAGCCAGTGAGCCTTTCCCTGGCGGATCTGGTTGAACAATTCGTCATTGGCCATTGGAGTCCCAGTAAAGATGCCATTGTCTGTCGGAGCAATATCTTGAAGATCACGGTAGAAAAACTTGCGCAGCAACCACTCGGGGATCCACGAAAGAGCTGTTTCTTGGCCGAAGATATTGCATGCCAACAATGATTGTACGAGTATATTCCGAGGAATAATCCATTTATCAGATCGAGAAAGGACATCGATCTCGGCCGCGCCATTTTTGACGGCGAACTCCAAGGCCTCGATGGCGCTAGCGCCACCTCCCACAATGAGCACCTTTTTGCCTTTGGCATCCTTGCCATCCAGCTCAGAGGAGTGGTAGATCTGGCCTTCGAACTTCTCTTGGCTAGGCAGAGGGGGCATCTTGGGGTCCCCACATACGCCTACTGTAGCCAATATTCCGTCGAATCGGCCGTACTGCGATTCGTCGTTGTTGATAATCCACTGGCCACTCTTGGTCTTCTTCACGGATGTGACTTTGGTCTCAAAGGCGGTACGCTTTTCCAAGTCGTAGCGTTTCCAGACATCGACTATCTGCTCCTTGATCTGTTGCTGGGTGGGGTATGCGCTGTCAAAGCTGACCGACGGATGGAAACGGTACATGACACTGTGAACTTGTAATGCGGATGTGGAATTGACTCTCTGTCGGGGGATTAGCACTTGTTATAATCAAATATCTGGTAATACTGACACTCCAGATGCCTCCCAAACCCTGTTCTTTGGGTCTGGATTCAAACAATTGGACGTCAAAGCCATGGCCAGCACAGTGGGCGGCCGAGGACACCCCGGTCAGGCCTGCGCCAATGATTGCCACTCTCTTCCGAGGAATATTTGAATTCTGATGGGTTGGAGGTGGGGGAATGGGAGAAAATATGTAAACTAAAACCGCTTGCAGAGCCAGGTAGAGCCAGGTAAAGATCTCTACAAATGGATGCCGGATGAACGCCTTGAGGGCCGACATAAACGACTCAGAGCCCATGGTGTTTGGAATCCAATGTATGTGACAGTTGAACAATTGGGAGTCAAGAAGAGCACATATTTAAAATCACCAAGTGACGTGATGCTTTTTACATGTGATTTACGATATGACATCATCTCTGGAGCGAAGCTGGATTTCTTTCGACAAGGATTCACATATTAAGGGTGAATACACATTGTAGCTGCTCCAATATGTCCTGATTTCCATAAAGGCCCACTAAACTACCCAGTATGTGGGAAACCTGTATGCAGTGGGTATATGGATCTACATGTACCCCTGGAGGGGAGTGCCATCATCGATCACAACACTACTTGATACATGCAGTGCATGCAGTGCATACAGCGCATACAGAGTATATGTAGCATCTCGCCCAGCTGCTCTCGAGCATTTCAATAAGGGGATATGTAAGTAGCTCTCGGGATCTATGTAAAAATTTGTTGTCAATTATGAAACGAGTCGAATCAGTAAGACAAGGAGTTTATGTGGGCAGCACCACTTATACACACTTGGGAAACGACCGCGGTGCTTGATGATCAGTCTTACCATGTCCGGTAGATTAGAATACATATGAAGTAGCACACCATCATCAATATTAGGTGACAGGTTTAAAGGGAATCCTTGTTTTGGCCCGAGTGTACAAGTACATAGCGTTATATAGATCGACCATTTGCAGCTAATACTCGTACAATTCCCCGCCTGGCATCAGCGTTGCTTCAGCGTCGCCCAGCAAATCAGATATTCTCATGGAGGAGCTTGAGATAACCTGTGCAATCTAATTCTTAGAGAATACATCACACAATACCTACATACAAGTATACATGCACATACAAGCGTAGAGAGGTAAGCCTAGGACGGTCAGTCAGTATGGGATCTACCTAGGTACCTAGATGTAGCTAGGCTCCAACCTACATATATATTCAAGCTCATAATGGCTATTGAGAATCATCTATTTCATTTTTGTCAATTGCACTAATCACCGTATTCCTGGACAATGTATAGCTGAATCAACATGTATACAAAAGGGCGGTCACCAGTTCTGCCATCAATGCAACAGATGAGCTCTGGACTTTCCAAGTGACTGCGGAACTCTTGGTTTTTTTTCTCGAGTAACAACATGATCGTTCATTTAAATTAACTTCTCTGTTGATGCGAACCCACTAGTAGCCCCGTCGAGCAGTTTGCTCTTTCAACATGCGTCCAACTCCGGTCCTTGACCAATTCCTCGGCAGTTTGCAGGAATTGGTTCAGAACCGCGATGGCGCCAAAGTCCAGGACTTCCTGCAACTCGAGCCGCCGCTCTCGGATATCTACCAGCGCATGACCGTTGAATTACAACAAAACTACCCCCCGGGCTCAAAGACCGACACCGAACTTCTTCAACGATGTGAGCCCCTTGTGCCGCGATCGAAGAGTGGCTCATGGACCGCTTTCCCGACTTTCGTCAAGCTTTACCTGGTCTTTCTGCGTGATATGAACACCGACAACTTACTGGAAACATACAATCAATTGAAGGCGCTGCTCAAGTAAGTACTGACACCCCGTGGAGGATCCCGAGCGCACTCAGTCCCCAGATGATGCGACTATTGTCTTCAAGCTTGAAGACTGACCAGACCCTCGCAACAACTACAGTCAATGTGTGCTCGCCCTCGGAGATAGTCAAATGGGAGTTGTCGTCCTTCCTACGGTTCTTTACTTGGCCAAGGTACTGGCAAAATTGGCCATGGGCCTCGATCGTCGGCCAGACTTGATCGCGCATATCCGACGAATGGAAGGCCTGGGAGATCAAGACGAAAGCACCGAGAAAGTGACCTTGGTGGAAAAATCGGCCAACGTGGTGCGCGAAGCCTTCATCAAGTGCCTCACTGATCGCACCGGCACCCCCGGCCCGAATGGTAAACCAGAGGGCAAGCGCATCGGCATCTACCTCATGGCAAACCTATGCCTCAAATTGCTTTTCCAGGTATGAAGAACCCGGGGTTGATTTCTATCGCAAGCATGCTAGGGCTTGATGTTGACCGGACACAGTGTGGCAAACTGCGCAACGCAGAGCAGATGTTCGCAAGCATCAGTGCCCAGTCGCCCCCTTGGCCTACTTCCCAGCCTCACAACGTGTCACATACCTCTACTATCTCGGCCGCTACCTCTTTGCCAATAATCTTTTCTTCCCTGCCCGGATCGCTTTGCAGGCCGCCTATGACCAGTGCCACCGTCAAGCCATAAGCCAACGACGCCTGATCCTCTCGTATCTCATTCCGTGCAACATAATTTTGGGCCGATTTCCATCCCGGGCACTCTTGCAGCGACCAGAATCTCAAGGACTCGCCGAACATTTCCAACCTCTGTGTCAATTGATCATCCGAGGAGATTACCTGGCCTTCCGACAGCATCTCCTCCTTGGCTCGCCGACCGCCGAGTGGTTTGTACGCAAAGGTATCCTTTTCGCTCTTCGAAATCGATGTGAGATTCTTGTATGGCGATCCTTTGCGCGCAAAGTTTTCATGTATGGGGGCTCATGGGGAGGTCCGCAGGCGCAGGCGCAAAAGGGACCTCCTCCAGTCCTTAACCTCAAAAAGGTTGTTGCGGCTACGCGGTGGCTGCAGATACAGCATGCATCACCAGAGAGTGGTGCGATGGCGGCCTCCAATCTCTACGGATCACAGGTTGTTCTCGAACCTACAGATATCGAATATGATCGCCTAGAAGAGGCAGATGGAACTGCCACTCCCACCACAGATCAAGAAATACTGGCAAAATATGGTGATTTCCTAGCCTCGGATGGGTTTTATGATGAAGGAGGGGCTTCACAGCCCAATGTACCGGGTCAGTTGATTGACGGAGAGCCAGAAGAGGATTACGGTGATTGCGAGCTGGATCCATATGCGTATGACCTCGACGACAGGACAGAATCAGATCGATGCGCCATGATGCAAGAGATCGAATCGATTTTTGCATCGTTGATTACTCAAGGACTAATGGGCGGGTACCTCCTCCACCGCGAGCCTCGATTTGCCATTCCAGGAGCCAAAATCAAGGGTATCTTGCCTACAGGGTTCCCCAACGTTTGGCAAACAATCTCTGCGCGTGAAAGCAGTGATTCCAGTGTCCCCGGTTGGGTTCAACCTCGGGCGCCAACTGGACTCGGAGCAGCGGGAGGTGGCAGGGTTGTGAATCTCGCCGGAGCACGCCCCGTTGGCCTCCAGTAAGGATTGGTGATTTTTGTGTGTTTTTCTCTCTATGTTTCATGATACCGATACCATTTCTTCAAGGTAGTTTCGAATTTGCATTGTGTCCTTCATTCGTTTTTGGCCTGAGACCCTGAATGCGGGGGGGACCGGGCTGGAGCCTAAATTCCTCTTTTAACTGCGTGTTGCCTTGCTGCCTTTTGCCTTTTACATATATCTCATCCACGTACGGAGTACAGAGTACTCGATTATTTTCCAATGGATCATTCTGCAGCCGTGGAGGAGATCTCGGTCCGTGTGGCGGATTTCCACCGTCGCCAGCTGCCATTTCGTATATATCATGGGGCCACCAATAGTACTCGTCCCTCCAACCGCAACCTATCCAACACGGTCAGCACAGAAGCTCTTACCCATGTGCTCGAAATCAATTCCTCCCGATGTACAGCCATAGTCGAACCCAATGTCTGCATGGACGCCCTTCTGGCTGCTACCACGGCCTATGGCCTGGTCCCCTTGGTGGTTGTCGAGTTTCCCAACATCTCAGTTGGGGGCGCCTTTTCGGGGACATCCGGGGAGAGTAGCTCATTTCGAGAGGGATTTTTTGACCATACAGTCAATTGGATTGAAATAGTGCTGGCGGATGGACAGGTCGTGAAGGCGTATAACGACCGCGTGGAGACGGAAGCGGATGTGGTGGACAAACGCTCCGACTTGTTCTGGGGGGCGGCATCTTCCTTTGGGACTCTAGGAGTGGTCACTTTACTCGAAATTCGATTGAAAAACGCCCAGCCATTGGTGGAATTGAAATACTATGTCAATTCCAACATGAAGGATGCTGTGCGCATCTTTGAGGAGGTTGGCGCCGATCCAACCACAGAATATCTGGACGGCATCGTCTTTTCGCGGAATAAAATCGTCGTCTGTGCTGGACGACAGGTTGACCGAAAGGTCAATGTGAAACCCCGAACATTTGCTCGCCCGCGAGATGATTGGTTCTATCTGCATGTCGAACGGATTGCTCAGTCTAAAATCTCCGACCGAGAGCATTCTTCTCACATGCCAGATGCAGTGGACTGGATTCCTCTGAGCGACTATCTCTTCCGCTATGACCGGGGTGGCTTCTGGGTTGCCCGCTATGCCTTTAACTATTTCTGTGTTCCATTCATCTTCCTTACGCGTTGGCTTCTCAATCGTTTCATGCACACCCGGGTGATGTATCATGCCCTACATGTCAGCGGGCTTGCGCGTCGATACATTATCCAAGATGTTGGTGTACCCATCTCCACAGCTGCTGAGTTTCTCGACTGGCTGGATCGTCCTGAAAACTTTGGCCAATATCCGCTTTGGCTCTGTCCGCTACCACCAGGAAGTGCCGGTGGGCTGGAAGGACAGTCGGTAAACGATGGCAAGGTAGTGGACGTGGATACAAAGAAGACGCAACTCCTCAATTTTGGAATTTGGGGGCCTGCCGCTGCCACGCATCCAGCTGGATTTGTCGCTCAAAATCGGCAGCTTGAACACAAGGTCCACAGCCTTGGGGGAAAGAAATGGTTATATGCACATACTTACTACACAGAGGACGAATTCTGGGCTATCTACAATAAGCCGGGCTATGATTCTTTACGGGACAAGTACCATGCGCAGCATCTTCCATCTTTGTATGACAAGGTCCGGGTGCATGAATCCGATCTTCCAGGCGCGCATCGGGGAGAGTTCGAGAGCGGGTGGAAGGGATCAGTCAAACGTGCCCTTTGGGATGTGTGGCCATTCTGTGGTCTTTACGGGGTTTACAAGGCTTGGAGAGGAGGAGACTATCTCTTGCAGAAAGAAATTCCCAAGCAGAAGGCTGATTGAACAGCATGGTTTGGCAATCTTCAAAGTATTCATGCATTTCATTCAAAAGCGCCAATCGGCTATCCAGCATATATGCACCATACAGCAAAGGGTAAACAAAACCACAGCAAGTAAAGTTGTTTAGGCTATCCCGAATCCCGAAAATCCGAAAAGGGGACCCGGAACAAAGATAACTTTAGAAAAAAAAAAAAAAAAAAGAAAATGCCAAGTATGTCTATTCTACCACAATACGTCCCTCGAGTCGAGGGGAGATTCCTGATGTCCAGACTGGAGTAAATTCTCCCTCGCCGTCCATGGTGTCCAACAGTCTGCACTGCAAACCAGCATGCCGCATCCATTTTCGAACAACGCGCCGAGCAACCTGTAGTCGGTGCTCTTCTTCAGCAGAGGATTGAGCCGGCTGAGTGACATAGTTGGTGATTGGTCGCGGCGACGTAAGGATATCTGGATCCTCATCTGAGTCTGAGTCCATAGCATTGCCATTCGTGTCGTTCTCAGTAACGTCAATTGTGTCCTGTTCGATTTCTTCGGGGAATCGACCATAGTAGTATGATGACCGGGCTGTACGCCGAAGAGTGGGCCGCGTATGGGGTGTCTTGCATACTGTCTTCTCGGCTTTAGGAGACGTATTGGCAGACGGAGGCTTCAGCCAGCCTTCGGCGTGTAAATTGCGATGTACAGTGCCCCAATGCCGACCTAGACTAGCGCTCCAATGATTCCATATTCCGAGTACTTTGAGACTTAAAAAGTACTGCCGAAGGATTGTACTGATGAGTACGCCATTCTCTTCAGATACAAGCTCCTGCACCTCGCCCCCTTCAGCTTCAATCAGTAATGAAGTGAACCCATCTTTTCCTCGAGCCATGTATCCGCGTGTGGCAAGAACATATTCGCGTTGCAAGTCAATGGGCTCGCCAGCTACACGAGCAAATGTAATGCGTGATCCGGGCGGGTTTTCCAGCTTGAAGCCGTAGTTGATATTTGACACTTGCGAGAATCGGCCTTCGAGGGCGGGGAGCTGGCTAACTCCATTTTCGAGTGCAGCTAGCAATGCATGGCCACGAACACGCAACAGCACCACGGGGTCTTCAAAAGGGAAACAGTTCATCAGATCCTTCAACCTCAAGATCCCTGGCGAGTAGATTTGATCGCCGCGAATGGTGCCGCCCGCCATCATGGCGCAATCGGCTCCATAGTAGAAGCGCATCAGATCGCATACAAAATTACCCAGATTTGATTCGCGTTGTCGCACAGTAGAGAATCGACCATCTAGTGGGCTGACGGTGAATCCAATCGGCTTGTCCAGCTTAGCCTTCAGGGCGGAAGTAAACCGTGCCACCATTGCCACCGTATCAGGATCCTCTGGAATCGCGCGAACAACATCGCGCCGCATGATATTGAACTCCCAACCACCCACACCGTCGGATTTTCGGAAAGCCTCGATGTAGCTCAGCTGTTTAAAATCAGTCCCTGACCGAAGCACATGAATCCCATTGACAACGGCATGCGCATAAAAGTGATCGTGGCCCCCGAGAATTATATCCACAAGATCGGGCGAAAGGTTGTTAGCGAGTTTGTAGTCATTGGGCTCGCGTTGGTGGGTGACTGCGATGACGATATCAGCCCCCTGGTCTCGGAGCTGTTGGGCAAGCACACGGGCTGTTTCAGATGCGGATTTGTAAATCAGATTAGGCGGAAGAGCGTTAATTGTGCCGAGCCTAGTTGAGACCCGAATTAGCAAAGAAATAAGGCGGCTGAATATGTACACAGAAACGCATACCACTCTCTTTCCCCAAGCCCTAACACGCCAATCTTGAGCCCATTGGATGAAGTCAACATACAGGACTTTCCACAGTCACCTATCGGGGTATCTTCTCCTAATGCTGGGTCAAGGACGTTGGCTAGAAGCCAAGGAAAATGGCATTGGCTAGCCAAATGACGGAATTGAGCGACTCCAAAATCGAGATCATGGTTCTAGATCGCTAGATTAGCGCTGTGCATGCCTGGCGGTTGACTGGTTGCCATACTCACACCCACACATGCCACATCGGTGCCCACTGTGTTAAGGAATGGTACCATGTGTCTTCCCTTAGTGATTGTGCTTTCAATACTGGGGTTGAAAGCATCGCCTGAGAAGAAGGTGAGGACATCAGGCTGCCCGACGAACTGTGGATGAGAACGATAGTGATTTATGAGGGATTGGAACCGCGCGACTCCGCCGACAGGCTCTGCAGAGCCTGAGCTACATAGAATGATTTAATATAGGTTCAGGTCAAGCTTATGAAGCCGGTGGGAGAGATAGAGGAAAAGAAAATAAGCGCATACTCGACGTGGTAGACATCATTGAAGTGGATCAGTCGTAGATCCGGGGCCCCAGTTCGGTCAGAGGAGTAAGTGACGGAAAGACCGTCTGTTTGGAGGTTTGACATGGAAAAGAATTGAGATTTGTTAAAATGATGAAGAGAAGAAAGGAGGGAGGAGAGAGAGAGAGAGAGAGAGAGAGCACAGAGAAGAGTGGAGAGACAAACATGGGATGACGAAGAGGGGTTGGAAGCTGCCCATCCGTTATGGGTGCCTGACAGGTGCCTGAGGAATGGGGTGTCGTGTCTCATAACATGTGCATAACATTTGAACTTGGAATAGTATGAAAAAGATAACCCAATAACGCCATGCAAGAGGTATCGTAGAGATGAACATGATGATTTCACAGCTTCTGTTCCGTCACCGTCCATCGCCGCTTCGTTCCATTTTCACGATCTCCCAAGGACTGAGCACTCCCCCAAAGACCGCGCTGCGACTGTGTCCGTTGCGGCAACTGCTTGGTCCAGCCACGGTCTATAGAGTTAAAAGAAAGAGTCGAATCCTGGCTGACCGGCCGATCACCAAAGTTCGGCACGAAGCTATCCTCTGTATCGTCCGTTTTATCGATGGGCGACGAAATGGAGTTCCAGAGGCCCGAGGTGGGATGAGAACTAGTTGCTGGGCGCACCGCCAATGTCCATGCACGAGGACTGGTACTGGAACGTGATGACCCGTTTGGAAATGTTTCTTGGAGCAGCGATGGGCGAGAACCCAGACGATTTCGATAGGAAGAGACCGGGGGTGGCGAAAGTACCTGCACAGACGGAGATGACAGCGAGGGGAGCTGTGAGGGGTTGACTCCCGGGCGCAGGTGATCAGTCGACGCCACAAGCTGCAAGGAGTATTCCTGTGACACCGATTGGTTCGCTGAGCCCGGGGATTTTGGCATGGGATCCATGTCATGCGGGAGGTTATTGACATGGTTGCCTCGCACAGCCATGGTGAGCGATGCGGTGTTAATATCAAGCAAGACGGAATGGCCCTTTAACGAACCGATCAAGGCATTGCAACCTGCGCCATGGGTGATGATGACGAGAACGGTCTGCACATGGTCCTTTGTCTTGCCGTTCGACTCCGCTATAGAACCGACCTCGGATGAATCCTGTTCCCGGTACCAGTTGATCATGTGCTGAAATCCATCATGAATACGTTCTTGCATAGTACTCCATTCCTCGTCGAACTCGCCGCCTGTGCCCCAGTACGGTGTTCGCATACTGTCCCACTGGTAGTCGATCTTCGTACACGCATTCCGCGCATGAGCAACATAACCTGTAGGGATAGGATCCGAGGCCGAAACAGCATAGGTGGGAGTTGGATGTACGTAACATGCCTCTAAATCAGGTGGCACTTCTGTGTTCAGGCGACTGAGAGTCTTTTTTACGCGTTTGGTGTGGACAGGGCTCTGAAGGGTGCCATGTGTGTTGGCGCGCGGGCGCTGGGTTGTTGCGGGATGTAAACGGTGGTCTTCATCTTCAACCGGCGAAGTAAGATGGGCCTGGCTGCCCCAACCGCCGGGGAAGTGGCCTGACAACGCCTTTGTTGACCCATCCACAACTGGGATGACCTCAGCACGACGGAGTAATTCCCCTTTGGCAGACGCCACCATTCTGTCCGAAGCCGGCGGCGGTGTGATTTGGTCATAGTAGTCGGGTGATAGCCATTCGCCGAGAAAGGCGTCGACACGAAGCAGACATCGTTGATCGGCTTTGGACGAAGCCTCAGGTAACGTGGGAGCTGAACTCGTTGCTTTGGATGGCTCTGTACCAGTGAATTGTTGGTTGATACCAGAACTAACTCCTATCGCGGTTTGCAGACATCGAAGATAGGGAGAGGTATGGACAATGACGTTATATCGGTGAGACAAGCCCGAAGATGCGGGGGCGGATTTTGCCTGGTTATCCGAGGTCGGATGATGGCTGCGCTGAGTCTCTGGGGCTTCACCTGTGAATTGGTGGGCCCTTAAGAGACTTCCTATACGTATCCCCAAAGCACGAGATTGCATCCACCCACCATAAGACAGAGGCGGATCGAAAGGGCTTGGGGATGTTAAGTGCCAATCTTTGTCTGCGGCATCGAGACGGGCGCCATGTCTAACTGGCCAGTTCAGCAACCACTTGAAGACAGGAAATGGGACGGACACACGCACCTGGCAATAAACACAATAGGTGGTGATTGTTTCATCGAGTTCAATATGTGTGTCCTTGGACCCCGCGTCACTTATCTTTTTTTTTTATCTGGGGGGTTTTTTTTGTACAGCGGGAAGATGCAAGTTTGACGTCGACTCGCAGAGAACAGGCCCAGATGGAGAGAACACCAAAAATTAGAGAAGCCCCATGGCTAGTCAACCGGGTATGGAAACAAACATAGTGAAAATCGCAATGAAGTGAGGATGCGAAAGACAATCAAGAGAGCGAACAGAGAATCGTGAAAAGCATGTGATGCTTAGTAACAGCCCCCGCTCACCCCTGGAGTATAATATACTTCGCTATACTTCTGTGTATAGACCTCCAGGTACGTGTGGAAGAACACGTGTATTCTGTTTAATTCATATGCAAGAGAGACTTGGCATACCTCCAGAAGTCCTTTCGGAAGATCGAGTTCACAACGTCAAGGGTTGAGATAGTGGGTGTGTATTGTAGTTGAGTACATATAACGAAGCCAAAGTATACTACATTGTACCTACATGTTACATGTAGGTACATTAGGTACGTACATGTACATTGTATGGTGGATCAAGGGATACATGTCTATATACATAATGTACACAGGAAGATGACGTTGGTAGATACCTAAGAGACCTAGCTATGTAGATAGAATGCGAGTGTTATTTTCGTAGAGGCAACAGATCGGTGACATCAGAGGTCCATTGCATGATGTACCTTGCATATGACATTTCAAGGTGGATTGCACTACGGGCACATTGCACAATTGACCTCTTCTCGGTGTGAAACAACCAGGCCAGCCGGTGGAATTGAGTCGGAGTCTGATCCTACTTGATCATCCATCATGCGTCTTGAGTGGATTTGTACCTTGTTCATAGAACTGTGGTTGCCATTTCCTACGGTGCTCACGAAGCGAGTGTCTACTACATACATATACCTAGCTCCATTCTTAAATATTCGTCCCCCCCAAATTCTTGTCGACCTGTACCAGTAATCTGGAAATTATGCATTGTTATTACAGCCTAACAGTTCGGGTTAGATGCCACGACCTGTCGCGTCCCGGTCTATGTTCACACCTGTTCCCCTGGAAAGGTCAAGAACTGGCAGCGCCACTCCATCGCCCTCAATGGAAGCCCAGAAGAAAATGTTACCGTGCGAATATGAGCTCCGTTGATGAGACCTCTGAGAAGAGAATTCGATCTCACAGAAATACAGGAAAGCAGAGCTCGTGGCTGTGCGAAAGGGAAGCCGACTGAGTCCACCGGTCGGCGCCGACTTCGGGGCCGTTATCTGATCGGGCTATTTATTGTCTCGATATTTACTTGTTGACCCCCATTTCCTTTTCCTTTCGCAGCCATATTTTGTTTCAAAATGGCAAGCAAATCCATCCCCCATCTTTCTCTATGTGTCACTACGACGGACTTTGAGAAGGCGGCAAAGGATGTTCTCCCGGAGAAGTCGTGGGTCTATGTGTCAAGCTCAGCTGCCACCGGTCTGTCGCTGAGGACCAACCTCGATGATTGGTCGCTGATCAACTTTCGGCCTCGCATTTTGAGGAGTGTAGACTCCATGGACACTCGAAGGGATATCTTGGGACACGTCTCTCAAGTCCCTTTCTTCGTGTCCGCCATGGGTACATTAGGTAGTTCACACCCCGGTGCTGAACCTTTGCTCGTGAGAGGAGCAACTCGCAAAGGCATGCATGCCATGATCAGTACCGCATCTACAAAGCCGCTGGAAGAGATCATGGACGCTCATCGGGACGAGCAACGCTTGCTTGGCTATCAAAGTCCTTCAAATTTGTCGTTCCAGTTCTATGTCCCTGTGGATCGGACAAAAGCCAAGTCTCTCATCCAACGAGTCAAAGCAGCCGGATACCAAAGCCTGTGGGTGACTGTGGACACTTCAACCCTGGGCAAACGGACGGCCGATCGTTACCTTCAAGCGCAAGAGAACCTTGACGCAGGCTTGGCCGAAAACTCAAGGGAAATTCACAGTGAGAATGAGTTTGCCCCGGCATTCGGGGGTCGGCAGGTTCCCGGCTCAGTAGATGCTGGTCTCACTTGGGAAGATTTGGACTGGATCTCCTCAGAGTGGGGTGGGCCCCTTGTTCTCAAAGGGATTCAAAGCGTGGAGGACGTGAAACTGGCTGTCCAGCATGGTGTCCATGGAGTGCTACTGAGCAACCATGGTGGCAGACAGATCCATTCCGCCCCTAGTTCATTAATGACCCTCCTGGAGATCCGCACCTACTATCCCGAAGCGTTCGATAAGCTCCAGGTGTTTGTCGATGGAGGGCTTCGCGACGGAGCAGATGTTCTCAAGGCTTTGTGTCTGGGAGCGACCGCGGTTGGAGTGGGCCGGCCCTACTACTATGCCCTCGCAGCATACGGGGCTGAAGGAGTGGAAAAATGCACAGACAGTAAGTTCAGACTACATTCTCAGTCGACCTCAAGCTGACACTCTCGCAGTCCTCGCCGAGGAGCTCGAGATCACCATGAAGATGCTTGGAGTATCTTCGCTTGACCAGCTGACGCCAGATATGGTAAATACCAGCCGACTAGCTAATGAAATGTGGCGGCCAACATTTGGAAACTCAAGGCTTTAAGAGAGGAAGCCAATCGTTCATTCAGGTCAAGTATTATTTTACATCACATATGTATCTAGTTTGATCGTTATACTAGAATTTTCATGTCCGCTATACAGCACATTTACACAGCGCCCCAGCCACCACCACCGGCAGTGTTAATCACGATCCGGTCGTGTGTCTTCATAGAAACAGTGTTCTTGCCGCCAATGTTGATGCGTCGCTCTTCGCCAGTGTCCGCATCCCGCGTAACCCACAGATTCAAACCAGTTTGAGCATCCTGGCCGCCCTCCAGTCCGTAAGGCCGGTGGACACGTCGCTCTGACAGGATTGAGCATTGCATCGGTGAAAGGAATTCAATGTCGCGGATCACACCCTCACCACCGGGGTTCTTGCCCTTGCCACCAGAGCCTTCACGGAGCGTGAATTGACGGAGCATCGTCGGATAGCGCTTTTCCAGGATTTCTGGATCGGTGATCCGGGTGTTGGTCATGTGGACATGTACACCAGACTCGCCCTTCCAAGTTGGACCTGCACCACTGCCGCCAGCGATGGTCTCATAGTATCCAAATCCAGGAGTGATGACGGCACCGGTGGATGGGTCAAGCTTGGCGTCCGTGCCGAAGGTCAAGTTGTTGCAGCAGCCCTGAGACGCGGCGCAAGCCTGGAAGGCTTTAAACACAACATCAGTGATGCGCTGGGAGGTCACGACGTTACCGCCAACCACAGCAGCGGTCTTGCTCGGCGACAGAATGGTAGATGAGGGAACACGGATGTCAATTGGCGCCAGACATCCCTGGTTCAGTGGCACATCTGCATTGATCATGCAACGAAGACAATAGATGATGGCCGAGTGAGTAATGGCAATGGGGGCGTTCCAGCTGCCATAAACCTCGGGGCCTGTTCCTTCGAAGTCGAAGACAGCTGATCCATCGGTGTCATCAATAGTAACCTTCAATCTAATAGGGGTACCGTCATCCATGTAGTCGACCGACTCCAATGGCTGGCCATTGAACTTCTTGTATAGCTGCTTGAGAAGATTGCGTACAGCAGACTCGGCAGTTGCCTGGATAGCGTACATGTACTTTTGCACCGTCTGGGTTCCGTATTCATTGAAAAGAGCTTGAATCAGACTGATTCCCCGAGTGTTGGCAGCAATTTGTGCCTTGAGATCCGACAAGTTGTCGCTGAGGCAGCGTGCTCCCGCACAGCCGGGGTATTGCGCCGGGTTCGTGACCAGCAATTCAATCAAGCGTGCTTCATCCAAAACACCATCACTCACAATCTTGTCACCTTCGATAGCGGCACCTTCTTGCCACAGTTCTGTGGATTTGGGAGGCATTGATCCAGGCAAGATGCCGCCAATATCAGCGTGATGACCACGGGAGGCCACGTAGAACATGATCTCAGAGCCACCAGGTCGGTCAAAGACGGGTGTGATGACCTAAGAAAGACATGGTCAGTAAATGATAAGAGTATTCAATGTGAAAGCGACGTACTGTGATATCAGGCAAATGGGTGCCTCCGCAACTAGGGTGGTTGGCCACCAGAACATCACCGTCCTTCAAGTTCCCTAGCCACTTCTGATGCTGATATCGCACAGCAAATTGCATCGATCCAAGATGAACCGGAACGTGCGGCGCGTTAGCCACCAAACCTCCATCAGGGGAGAAAAGAGCACAAGAGAAGTCTAGTCGCTCCTTGATGTTAGTTGAAACGGAAGTCTTTTGCAGCGTGCGACCCATCTGCTCAGCAATAGACATAAACCGATGCCCAAAGATAGTGAGTCGGATAGGATCGATTTCTGAAGACAGGGCGGTTCCAGGAGAAGAAGTTGGCTCATCCTTGAGATCAATGACAATGCAGGTGTCAAGCAGGTTGGCTACCGCGTTGGGAGCCACGACAATCGTCTGAGTCTTATCGATGATGACAGCCGGACCATGAATGCGGGAGTTCTTCTCCAATTCACCCAGAAGGTAGACGGGGGTATCGATGCGGCTCGACTGGCCATCGAAATAGGCTGAGGTAGTGTTTGCCGGAGCCGCCGTGACATCTCGCATAGTGGCTTCTTTCAGTTGGACCAGGGGACTTTGCTCAGTTCGCACTTTGGAAGAAGCAATAGTCCGCACTCGAACATCATCAACGAGAACCGGTCGCTCAGAGTTGAAGTTGAATTCCCGGCGATGACGTACACGGAATTCCTCCAAGAAGTCTGACGAGCCCTCGGGCTTCAGGATCATCAAGCTGGTGTCGGAACCTTCGTAGCGCATGTTCAAGTATTTGTCATGGCGGACTTGAGTGGAAGGGAAGCCCTGGGATTCCATGTCCTTGGTCGCTGATGCTGCCATGTCGTCAAGATGTTGGAGGAGAGCAGATTGGGATGAAAGGTAGACGGATGACACAGGCTCCTGTGATTCCTTAACAACCTCCGCCAAAGCGAGACCGTAAGCCGACAAAACGGAAGAATACTTGTGGATGATGATACGTGAGATCCCAAGAGTTTCAGCCACTGAGCATGCGTGCTGACCGCCAGCACCTCCGAAGCATGCGAGATGATGAGATGCAGTCTCGAAACCACGAGCCTCCGTGAGATTGCGAATTGGCCGGGACATTGATTCATCTGCAACCTTAAGGAAACCAAGCGCAACATCCTCTGGAGAATATTCTGCTTGACCTTGCTGTTGGCGTTCGATGTTGATCTTTTGCGTGAGTTCATTGAACAGGCGTGCAGTTGTCTCTGTGTCCAAGGCTTCGTCTTCGTTCGGGCCAAAGATCTTAGGGAAGTATTCCGGCAGAAGACGGCCCAAGAACAGATTGGCGTCTGTCACGGTAAGGGGGCCACCCTTGCGATAGCAGGCCGGACCCGGATGGGCACTTGCAGACTCAGGGCCGACATAGAACAAGCCGTTACGCCAAGTGAGAATGGAACCGCCACCAGCAGCGACAGTGTTGATATCAAGCTGTGGAGATTGGATCATCACGCCTGCAACCTTGGAGGCAAATACATGGTCAAGGTGGCCATCAAATCTGGAGACATCGGTACTGGTACCACCCATGTCGAACCCAATGACAGGGATTTTCTCTGTGGGGTCCCAGCTGGTGGCTGCAAAGCCAACCACGCCAGCCGCTGGACCAGACAGAATTGCTTTCAGTCCGCTGAACTTGCGGAAATCGACCAGCCCACCATCGGATTGCATGAACTCGAATCGGCAATCCTGCTGGCTCTCCAAGCCACCTTCGAAGCTGGAAGAGATAGAGTCAATGTATGTCTTGATCACAGGTGTGAGATAAGCATCGGCTGCGGCAGACATGCCACGGGGCACGATCTTGATCATGGGCTGAAGGCTGGAGGAAAGGGTAACGGAGAATCCCATATCCTGTGCGATCTCGCCGATTTGACGCTCATGTTCGGGATATGCGTAGGAGTGCACAAGTGCCACGGAGAGGGATTGAACTCCTTGCTCCTTCAGTCGCTGAAGCTCTGCTTTAACCTGGACGAGGTCCAACTCTTGCACCACACGGAACTTCTCGCCGGTGGTTCCCTCTACCAACCGGGAATCGGAGAAACAATCACTGTCGGCAGAAGGATGACAGGGCAACACGCGTTCGTTGACCTCAACAACGCTCTCTGGAAGCACACCAGGACGAGCCATTGATAGATCAAAAATGGCAGGGCGAGATTGGTCGCCAATCTTCAATAGATCGCGGAATCCTTTGGTTGTAAAGAGTACTGAACGAGCACCCTTCCGCTCAAGCAAAGCATTGGTTGCGACGGTCGTTCCCATGCGGAGACAGCCAATACGGTCAAGCTTCAAAGGTTGTCCTCGGGGATGTGACTCCCCGGTGGCCAACTCTAGGATCTGACGGATGCCCTCGGTGGGGGCATCCTGGTAGTGAGAAGGGTCAACAGATAGAAGCTTCAGGATGATGTCTGGACGACCAGGTTGAATGGCATGGACGTCCGTAAATGTGCCACCACGATCAATGGAGATGGTGATTTTCCCCGAGTCAGACATTGTGACGGGTGTGATGGGGAAACTTGAGAAAGTGTGGGGTCGGGTTGGAGTGAGATAATGATAGATGAGGTTGAGGGGCTGTGTTTGTATGTGGTCACAGGGGTTGATTTGAGAAAAGAGAAAAGAAGACAAAAAATAGACATACACCAGAAGGGATCATTGTATTCATTTATGTTCTCAAAAGCCCCCGATATCCCGGCGTATCTCCAATGATCATCGCGATGCTATTAGATACACGTCACGTGTCGGGCCGATGGGTGCGATTTCGGCTTTGTCGGGCCGACGCCTCCAGTTGGATTTGGGGGCGCAAGAGATGGGGAGGTGGAGGAAAGATACAAGGAGATTATTACCCCATTTTGATTCTGAACTAACATTATCATCCATTATTATTATTGTTGGCTAACATTTTGCGGACAAATTGCTGGTGTGTTGGCCTCAGGCATATGTTTCCCTCGATCTATATCGACTATGTTCCAAGTACATCCCTATTGCACATTGCACACTGTCATAGAAGCATCTTGAGTGATACAAACATCCGTTCTTATTGTCATCGCTTTAATGTATTCTCAATCCAGTCCGTGTCCATGTCGATGTCGATTTGATCCAAAGCCCCTTCCCATAGTGCTGGATCGTCGTTCAGATCGAACTGGAAGGCGATATCCCGGAACGAGGGGATATCTGGCTGCTGTGGCCAGTGATCAGTGAGTATTTGCGAAGTAGTTAAATCTATGCCTGAGTTTGGAACTTCTGATAAATTTACGCCATCTTTGGTCGGCGCCACAGGGACCTTTAGGCCTGCAGCAAGAGAATCCGTCGCAGCGAGCTCCTTTGCTTCGGTTGGTTTAGGTCCAATAGCCGCCCGTAATTCCAACAATAATACGTGACGAGAATCCAGATATGTATTTCCACGATCGGCCATACCCCGAAGAAGGTTCAATGCGGTCTCCATGGCCCGAGCACTGGTTTCATTGGGCGGAAACGCAGCATTTACCATCACCAGCAACAACGCAGCGGAGAAGATATATTCGCCATCAAGATAGCCATATGTAGCTGAAAGATCCTCTCAATCAGAGTCATGAAGGATAGGAAGGATAGAGTAATATCTCGATCACTTACCAACGAGGTTATGTTTTGCAGCTGCATCCATGATAACAGTGGTGGCTCGTGCAGCGGTGATGCAACTGTCAATCACGGCGACGGTATTCGGGGCAAGTCCCTCTTTCCAATCCTCTGTAGCGGATCCAAGTACCTCCGCGTCAAGTCGCCGTTGGATGACATAGAAGACTAACGGGCGCGCAGTCATGTTGACACATGAGTAAAAATGTAAGTTTATCGAGACCGATTCTCGGTTGATGTGGGTATCGAGTGTATTAAAATCGATTCGAAGGCGATCTGGTACTTGGCCTAGCCAGCCAGAAAGGTCGTTTGTTATACTCTGAACAGAAGCAATGAGGTTGGATCCGGATCCAGGTTTCTTTCGGTAGATTTCTAATGAGGTAATTCGGGTCAATGTTGACATATACGACAGGAAATGGACATGGATTTACCTTCACCAATCCGTCCTAATATACGGGACAGTTTCGTATAATGGGTCAGAACGGTCGATGGCCATGGGTCGAAAGTTGATTCATCCTAGATGGAAAAGAAATCAGGTCGGCTCATACTGGGAGATATCAAGGCTACATACCACTGTTGTGGGCCAGTTTATCCCAATATCTTCATCGTGGATTGTGATAGGATTGCCAGATTTGACCGATAGTAGTCTGTGAAGATGTGTCAGTCTTGCTTCCAGAACATGGTGAATTGACCAAATTACCGGTCCAAGCTATAGACAGACCACCAAGCTCGACGTCGGCGGTTGCGGTCTGCCTCATTTATTGACGGGTCAGAAACCTCCTGGTGAAGACCTAGAGAGATGGCCATGCGGAGAGCGAGTCCAATCTGAAATGGTTAGTGGTACAGTCGAAGCCTGATGGAAACGATACATACGTAAAGGAAAGCAGCATCCCGTCTGTTCAGATTCTGCATATAATATGCCACATAGCATAGCACCTCAACGAAGAAAATCGAGCCCTCTTCGTGGATATCTGGCAAGAAACGTAGCGCATGCTTGAAATACTTGAAGCCCGGAGGTCCTTCCTCGCCACTCCATTGATTCACGCTGTACATCAAGCCAAAGGCAATCACCAACAGAGTCTGGCAGTATACTAGGCAAGATTCACGGTGTGAAAAGTCCAATGGTTGGTGGTAAACTAGATCGAGCCGTTCTTCAAACTGCGCAGGTTGGATCAATGAGAAGATAGTACCGATGTAAGCATATTGTACCCAGAACAATCGCTTGGCAAACTCAAATGGGGGTAACTGAGGCAATGCGCCGCCGACTGGTCTTCTCAGCGATGAAGGATCACTGTAGAGTGGGCGTACATCCCATGCAAAGTTTGTGGAGCCGGGATTGAGTCGTTTGGCGAGATGTGTGGTTGAGGAGGCACCCACGAAGTCTTGAATGGAGATTAGTAGAAAACCTATAGAGAAAAGAGGGCGAGGGTAAGGGACTTCATCGCATTCAGCACGTACGATGTTCTCCCGACCGATTCAGGAACAGATTGTCCGTTCCTTTATACCACCAATCGTCGCGTTCTGATGGACCCTCATCCGCAAAGCGAGTGGATGTCGATGGCTCAGTGCACGGTGAAATATGACTGCCTTTTATTCTATATGTTAAAGTGTATCATTACTTGGGCATTTAAAAAGAAACCTACCTCGCGCAGGTGCTTGCGACTGGAGTTGACGATAGTAGCTGCACCAGGTCAGCGTTGACCGTCCCCCTACTGGCATCAACTCACCTCTCCGTGATGGAGATTCGCTTTTCTGCCTCGGAATATACACAATTCTTGCCTACATCCACGCATGCTGCACAGGGGTGGGGTGGATTGCCGGCACAGCGAGTTTTTCTAGACCGACAGCGGTTACACGCTACCATCGACCTTCTGGAGCGATCTTCCGACTGCCGTGAGATCCCTGCATTTCCAAGGACCATTTCCTTTCTTCCTCTTTTCTTTGAATTAGATCTTTGATCTTCAAGTCTTAGATCTGCCTTTTTGGTGGGAATGAAACGTAGAATGACACCGGAGGGGAATCCCCGATTTCTCCGCTTCTCCGCTTATCGTTCGGCCCGACTGTCCACCTGGGCAACTCAAGGAGATTCAATGGTTGGAGGGCTCAAGATGCTTCTAATTTCGAGGAATAAATGCATGTATTGACAAGATAGGTACAGGGGAGAATAGAAATCCGTTGACGTCTTGCGCTCAAGGGGTTGCGCTGCCTCTTGACGCCACCCCCACTTGTGCATTCTGTGCTATAGAGCGTCAGGCGATGAGGATAAAGAAATCAAAAGAAAAGAAAAAAAAAGGTGTGAGGTCTCAAAAGATAGCCACACCATTTGGGGGACTCGCAACACCACCAGGAACCTGAATGAAGTGGTCAGTGATCAGGACGCCCACGGAAGTCTCTCTTGGACACACCTTCAATGGCACACTGCTAAAGAAGAAAGTCCAACGCCCTCTCTTGCGACACTCCTGACTGAGCTGCTCAAGATCGAATAATTCCCCGATCGGAATGCCCCAGCCAGCCAGCAGCCACTCGTGGAGAAAGAAGACCTTGTCCTGGCATGGAAATGCTTCAAAGCTCGGCATGTCGCCCACCACGGCAGCCACTTCAAGATCCCAAATCCAGCGTAGCATGGCTTCGGAGGACTCCACACCGATCAATGGAGGTACGGTATGATTGGCTAACTGCTGACACTGCGCCTGAGATAGTTGTTCGTATGCCCGAGTCCAACCAGTGCGAATAAACAATATATCTCCCGGCCGAAAGGTGGTGTTTTGACTAGCGGCCACCTCTTGGAGTGCCGAAACTGGAATTGATTGGGTTTCAAAGCATTTCACTTCTTTCCCGTTGGCCTCTGCCCAGCTCGCGTAGTCCAGGAGCACACCCCGTCCGACAATCCCGCCATTTTCAGCCCATACTAAGCAAGAAACAGTCAGAGCGAGGTCACAGTCATGATGAAGGGTCACTCACCGTGAATGCCGTTTCGAGTGGAATTTTGAATGTCGTCCTGGGTACATCCATTAAAGAACGTTCCCTGCGGCGAACCGTAATGACGGAAGCCATCCCACTGGCTACTGCTCTGTGTGTTGAAAACCAATATATCGTCATTAACGACCCGGGGGCCTTGTTCTTGATAGTATGTTCAAAGGCTGGTCGTCCAAAACAAGGGATCGCCATACTATCAAGAGCCCAGTCGGTTGAGACGCGCACACCGTCAACAATTTCGCGGGCGGCCGCCGCAGTGTTTTCCGGCGTCAACAGATTGAGCATGCCCAGTTCATCTCGATCTCCAAACATCCCCCAGGCATTCCCTAGGGGTCCATCTTTATGTAGTGGCAGTGAATCAAACGCGGGTCTCGTGCCCGACATGATGTGTCCTCTACTCCGTAAACTACAAAAAAAAAACAAGATCTCCCTTCGAATTGAACATCCAAGATGGGGCAGTTGAGAGTATCTTAAAGCCCTCGAAGCGGGGTCTCCTTCTCCTTCTCCCCCGCATCTTGTTCCGACATGCTCTATATCCATGACTTCCGTGAGGGCCGAACAACCAGATACAACGAATCAAATGGCCAACATCTCCAGAGCTTTGAATTGGCGACTCGACGAACTGTATCTTGGAGGTTGCTTCATATCGGGAATCTATCTGTATAGACCTTTCTTGGGTTATATATTATCGTACATGCCTCGTTCTCTCAAGCAGCCATCGCAACGAAGTCCGAGTCTCGGGGGCGAGCCGAGAAGCCAAATACTACTTATGATATGTTATATAAAGCAACTACCACATAGGCTCATGGGGAAAATGTAAGGGATTTATCGCGACAGTCATTCTTATACAACTAATTATCACTTTTTACAAGCAGATGGTACGGAGCACAGGAGAGCGCGTATTGAAGGAGGATAGTACCTCGGGACCCTGCTTTGACACTAATGGAACAAAAATATATAATTCCCAGGTTGGGCCGAGAGACAGACATAACAAGACCCATGTCGTAACTAAAAATAAATGATCATCATCCCATCCAGTTGTGCACCATATTCGCACCCTCCGACAGCGTGGATGTCCAGCTGTCCAGCTGTACGGAGGAGGACGGTGTACACGTATCGGTCCGGTCACGTGCATCGACCCCTGGTATGTTTGTTGCTGGGGGACGCTCTGTTTTTTTTTAATTGTATTTTTTTTTATTTTTGGCCCTACTCCACATGCCCAATATATCATGATGGCTGGACAAGTGGAACCTCATCGACCAGTCGTGAAATCAGAATTCAGCCCCCTAGGAGACATGGCCGATCGTACCCTGGCGCTGTGTCGTCACCCCCCTCCCCCCAGCCGCCACTCGGTGATTCCTTGGCAGAAAGGCTTTTGTAGTGAGGATCGGAGGGGGGAGGATTCTCTACGGGGCACGGAGTAGTCAGCACCCCGTATGGAGTATATCCACGATTCCCGATCAAAGAGCTGATGTTCCGGAATGTCAATAGGGATAGGTACCCGAAATACCTCTTCAGGGGATCGGAGCCTGTGATGGATCATAGGAAACGCTCGTTGACCAATGTTATCGAGTATTGCGTTGTCGACCCGCAGCTGTTTACATGTTCGACGAGTTATGTTCCAGCAAGGCTCGACTTGAATTCAGAGTCCACGGTGTACCTTGTCCTCTCTGTACGGAGACACACGGAGTATATTCGACGAGAGAGGACGGGGGGGAAATAACATTCGGTGGCTGGTGTTTCCGGAGTACTCCGTACAACGCAGTACGGAGGAGACACACAACATACAACATACAACATACGCAGGGGCAAAAACGGTTGCCAATATGCCCTGTCTCAGGGCTCCCTGGGGTGGAGTCTCCAAAAAGGGCGGATGACGAACGACAGTTGCCGGTGCGCTGGGTGCTCCACCTCCCTGGCCCTTTCACAGCCCGCATCGTCGGTGCCTCCAATCAAATTTTGCACCAAAAATATCTCCTGGCATCTGGAGCCTTTCCTGTCTTTTGGATTACCCTCCCTCTCTTACTTGGATCTCCAGAAGTCTCACATTGGTCTCTTATCTAGGTTTCTGAAACATCTCGCTTTCAACCTTCTCCCGACATCAGTGTTGCGCTTGTGGTCATTGTAGCGGCAGATTACACCTGGGAAAGGTCTGGGCCCGGAACCCTTCCTTCAGTTTTGAAGCGATCCCCCTCACCGGCACGTCCTGAAAACTCTTCTTTATCAGCCCTTGAGGATACAGGACCCGTGTACGATGTCTGTACCGCCGAGAGGCACGTCGCCTCATTCGCCTCATTCAGGCAACTCATCTCATTCGCCCCAGGCGAGCGAAACAAGTTTGTACGGTCCCCGCGAGGTGAGTAACAGTCCGCGAAACGACAACACAGCCCTTGGGGAGGACAAAACAGGCATTCTAACACACCTTGTGCAGCAGCAAGCCTACGGCTACGAGGACAAAACCGAGAACGTCGACAGCCAGCAGTCCCTGCTCTACCGCAATCAACCAAGCCCGTTTAATGCCCCTTTCGACGACCCATATGCCTCGACCGATTCCCTCCGACGCTATACTCTACAGGATCCGGGAGTAACCATCTTCCCTGATGGTCCATACCCGGATTCTGCGAGCGGAGTCAACCGACGCTCTGGGATTCAATCCCCTATGTCTGAGACTGCGTCAGAAGCCTGGCAGAACCGACAGGCACCTGGGTCCGGACTGCGGCGGTATGCCACAAGAAAGATCAAGCTAGTCCAGGGCTCTGTGCTGAGTGTCGACTACCCGGTCCCAAGCGCGATTCAGAATGCGATCCAAAAGGAATATCGGGATTCGGAGGAGGGGTTTCCAGAGGAATTCACCCATCTGCGTTGTGAGTGTCCCTTAAAGTCGATCACAATATGAAAGGAGCTAATCCGACGCAGACACTGCGGCCACTTGTGATCCTGATGAGTTTACCCTGCGCAACGGATACAATCTGCGACCGGCCATGTATAATCGACACACCGAGCTGCTGATTGCCATCACCTATTACAACGAAGACAAGGTTTTGACTGCGCGTACTTTGCACGGTGTCATGCAAAATATCCGTGATATTGTGAATTTGAAGAAGTCAGAATTCTGGAATAAAGGTGGACCAGCGTGGCAAAAGATTGTATGCTCCCTGGTATTCGACGGTATCGATCCCTGCGACAAAAACACGCTCGACATGTTGGCCACAGTCGGCATTTACCAAGATGGCATCATGAAGCGCTCCGTCGATGGTCGGGAAACTGTCGCGCACATCGTAAGTTTACGCAGTTTGGTGGATTCTCTAACTCCAACCTTGCCATTCACTCTACTCCAAGTTTCCCGCAAGTCGATATACATCCACTGACTATATTTAGTTCGAGTATACCACTCAACTGTCCGTCACCGCTAACCAACAATTGGTCCGGCCCCAAGGCAACGAGGCCAGCAACCTTCCTCCTGTTCAGATGATTTTCTGCCTGAAGCAGAAAAACAGCAAAAAGATCAACTCCCACCGCTGGCTATTTAACGGCTTTAGTCGAATCCTTAACCCGGAAGTCGTGATTCTGATCGATGCTGGAACCAAACCCGGAAAAAAATCCCTTCTCGCCCTATGGGAGTCCTTCTACAACGATAAGAACTTAGGTGGCTCCTGCGGTGAGATTCACGCAATGCTTGGACAAGGGTGGAAAAATTTGATGAATCCCCTCGTCGCCGCGCAGAATTTCGAGTATAAGATCTCCAACATTCTGGACAAACCACTAGAGAGCGCCTTCGGATACGTTAGCGTGTTGCCTGGTGCTTTCTCGGCGTACCGCTATCGCGCTATTATGGGCCGTCCCTTGGAGCAGTACTTCCACGGTGATCATACGCTTTCAAAGCAGTTGGGCAAGAAAGGTATCGAGGGTATGAACATTTTCAAAAAGAACATGTTCCTTGCGGAAGATCGTATCTTGTGTTTTGAGCTTGTGGCCAAAGCTGGGTTCAAATGGCATCTGACCTACGTGAAGGCGTCGAAGGGCGAGACCGATGTGCCGGAGGGCGCAGCGGAATTCATCAGTCAGCGACGTCGCTGGTTGAACGGCTCATTTGCAGCTAGTTTATATGCCATGATGCATTTCGGACGGATTTATAAGAGCGGCCATAACATCCTACGGCTGTTCTTCTTACACATCCAGATGACTTATAACTTCGCGGGTCTTGTGATGACCTGGTTCTCTCTTGGTAGGTTTTGAGGCCTAGCTTGTTGTTGGTGATTGTTTGACTAATTCGTGACTAGCTTCGTACTGGTTGACTACGAGTGTCATTATGGATCTTGTCGGAACGCCTAGTGCCTCGAACAAAGATAAGGGTTGGCCTTTTGGAAACGACGCCTCGCCAATCGTGAACAACTTCCTGAAATATGGATATGTGTTCTTCTTGATGTTACAGTTTATTTTGGCCCTGGGAAATCGACCTAAAGGGTGAGCCGAAGCCTCCAGAACTTACCTCTTGCGTTTGATACTGACTTCCACACAGTTCGCGTCTTGCATACACGCTCTCCTTCGTTTACTTTAGTATTGTTCAAGTCTACATTCTCGTTCTCTCGTTCTACCTTGTTAAGAACGCCTTCAGTGGAGGAACACAGGATTTCTCTCTGGACCAAGGTGTCGCCCATTTCGTGAAGACCTTCTTCAGCTCCTCCGGGGCAGGAATTGTCTTGATCGCTTTGGTTTCGACTTACGGTATCTACTTCGTCGCCAGTTTCATGTATATGGATCCTTGGCACATGTTCACGTCCTCCTGGGCGTACTTCGCGGGCATGACTTGTTCGATCAATATTTTGATGGTCTACGCTTTCTGTAACTGGCACGACGTTTCCTGGGGTACCAAGGGATCGGATAAGGGTGACTCGCTACCCGTTGCCGAGACGAAGAAGGATGACGCCAAGTCGAACTTTATTGAAGAAGTCGACAAGCCGCAGGCTGATATCGATAGCCAGTTCGAAGCGACGGTCAAAAGGGCGCTGGAGCCATTCGTCGTGCCCGAAGAGAAGGATGAACGAAGCATGGATGATGGCTACAAGGCTTTCCGAACCAACCTGGTGTTGATCTGGATCTTCAGCAATCTAATTCTCACATTGTGTATCACCAGTGAAGGAATTACTCGTTTCTGTCTCACGGTATGTCCCTCACCCGGTCCTAACTTGGGCCACCATCTAATTGACACCCACAGAACACCTCCACCGAGCGTACCGCCAAATATTTCGCCGCTATTCTGTGGACGACCGCCGGTCTGTCAATTTTCCGCTTTATCGGCGCGTGTTGGTTCCTGGCTAAGTCCGGCATCTTGTGCTGTGTCTCCCGCCGCTAGGTTTCTCTTGGCTTGTCGAGCTAAGTTGTAAATATCCTCTGTCTTTTGGTCTGCATCGATATTCTGGAGGTCCCCTTTCTTCCTTTGGGGCTCATTGGTACAATTTGGTTTCGATTTCGATTTGAAGGTTATGCCTTGTATTCCCCATCTTTGTGGTCTTGGTTTTTTTCTCGGTGCATGTATATTGGAAAAGAGGATTGAATTTTGTTTTACATTCACGATAGACCTAATTTACCGAATGTTATGAGAATGTGTTCGAGTGTTGCCATTTGATCCTCACAACCGTAGGAGTCCTTCAAAACTCCAGTTTCTCTTCATCGGTAGTGTGCTTGCGTCTTCTACTTGGCGCATGATGACCGCTGCCTTCCTCATCCAGACGCTAGATATTCTCCGCAGGCATGGTTTCATCCCCCTCGTGATGCCTCATCATACTTAGTCGCCCGTACTCATCCCTCCATGGCCAACCACGCCAACAGATCTCCCGCTGGCCTACCTGTCCTTGCCGAACCATTTCCACACGAAATTGGCGATTACCCTCCACTGCTCTCACAAATTTGCCTGGCTTCCCGCCTTCTAGGAACCCAGAAGAGTGGCTGTTCAGACTCATTCGATTTCCGTGATTCTGCTAGAGCCGCCTCCCATTCGTTATCACTAAACCCAACCGGACAGGCTCCCGAGCAGATGCTTTTCCATACTAATGGAGTCGTGATACCTATTAATGCAGCACGTAGAGTAATCATCTCTCCCAAGTATACCTTATGTACCTAGGTACATGTAGGTAATAGAATGTGCTTTGATATGCAAAAGGTCACATTATCACGGCCCTCGGGCTTTTCCGCTTTCCGAGATCTGGAACCCTGTCGCACCGTGTCTACTGTACAGGTACGCCATACTCTCTACCCATCTGAACGTGGCATGTGGCCTACAATTGACAATTCAAAATTATCGTTGCGAGCAAGCTTCCGCCGTCTGGAAGTACTTTCTTCGATCGCCCGCATAGAAACCTTGTAGGCAGTTCCCAAGTCCATTCGCTCATCCGGCCACCCGAAAAGCAAAGCAGAGACAATCATATCCTTCTGTCGGATAGTATTGCTACTTTCCGAGTCGACTGTCAGACTTGGAGCTGGACATATCCTGGGAATAACCTCGGACCACAGGATTCCGAGAGACCTAGCCGAAAGCCAACGCGGCCAATAGGCTAAGGCAGCCAATGGCAACTTTTGCTAGACTACTTCTTTCCCGCGTCTCTTGGTACTGTGGCCTGCGGCGCATCTCGTTCATCTGCACACCAGCGTCATTGGCCAACGCCTCCCCGCATCGTCTCGATTCTCATGTGGATCGGTCTCTGACTGGCGGGGTCGTTCTCATCAACCCGGGGTGGCTGTGAGATATATTGGTCGATCATGCAAAATTCCCGGTAAAGAATGCCCTGGGACTACTATAAAAAGTACGGAGTAGTGGCTCTCGGCGGAGTTGCCGTTCGTGGCCCCCTTCTGGGATGCCATGGCCTAGGCGACAACGAGTTAATTACAGATTGGCCCGTTCCCCTCAAACAACTGGGTGTCATCGGGGCTGTATGAGGTATTTCAGCTGTGCCTCTCTGTCCGCGATGGCGACTATAAAGGCGAGGTTACGATCCCAAGTTTGCCGTCTTCTTTCCTATCTGCACATCCTTTTTCTATGCATCCATTGTACTCCGCAATTGGCCCCACGAACATCTAGATTGATCCACCCCAGTCTCCGCACTGATCTGCCCCCAATGTCGCAGTATTTCCCCAGCATTTCAGCCAATTCCTTGGCCAAAAAGGTCGTTCTCATCACCGGTATGTCAAACCTTTTCTCTGACCCCATCTGGGACCAATGCATCTCATCTGTTATAGGCGGCGCCAATGGCATTGGTTCAAGCCTTGTCACACAATGTTTGGAGAGTGGAGCCAATGTATGCATTGGTGATCTCGACAGCATCTCGGGCGATCGCTTACTGAAAAAATGCTGCGATCAATTCCGTCCCGAAGAGGAAGACATGCCCCCAAGGTCGATTTTCCAAATCACCGATGTGACCAGCTATCCCTCGGTGTTGGCATTGTTTGAGCTGGCATTCCAGACATACAAGCGCATTGATCATGTTGTTTGTGCGGCTGGGATCGTAGAAATCGGGAATTGGTTCGACACTTCACTTACGCTGGAAACTGTCCGCCAGGTTAGTCTTTGATAGTTAGAGAACGAACCCGGTTGCTCGCCCAGGCCCCTGCGAATGTCTTACAATGTGATTTACATCAAGACCCCTTCCCACAAAGTCCTGGATGTCAATTTGCTCGGTTCCATGTATGTTTCCCGTATTGCCTCTGTCTACTTGCGCCACAACCGCGGATCCAACTGCGACCGGTCGATTCTCCTCTTCTCCTGTGTCTCAGGTTTCAAGGATAGCCCGTCTCTTTTCATATATCAGGCTTCCAAACACGGCGTCATTGGCCTCATGCGTTCCCTACGCAACTACATCTCGTCGCCCTACAAGCACTATCTTCGCATTAATACAGTGTGTCCCTGGGTAACCCAGACCGATAGCATTCAGAAGGTCGAGACCCAGTGGAGAGGAGCCGATCTTCCTATCAATACCCCGGATCAGGTTGCTACAGTGGCCACCGGGGTATTGGTCGACCAGTCTCTCAGCGGCACATCCATGTTCGTTGAGGCGGGTCGTGCCTGGGAAATTGAGCAAAACATCACCCGGCTAGAGAGCGAATGGCTGGGCGAAGCGCCATCCGAGGTACTTGCTTTGGGTCAGAGACTGCTTGATGATGGTTCTGTTTGGGCTGCACCAGAGCGACCACGAAAGAGGAGCACCATCTCTGTTGGAGTGCCACCGAGAGTGCCCCTTGACAAAATCAATGGACTCAATGGCGCGAAACATGTCAGGAATGGGTTATCGAATGGTCTCACGAACGGGATCCCCAATGGATTGACCAATGAAATACATTAGAAGAAGTCGTCATGTTTAGAATGTTCAGGTTGATACCCATGAGGTATGTGATGGAAAAATTGGAGATGAGCAATACAGGATAGGGATGAGTACTCAACGAGATGACGATTGTTTAGATCCTCATAGTCGAATCCAGTCTGATTTTATGTGCTTTATTGAAATCCAGTTTGACTTGAGACGACCGCTCCCTTTACCAGTGGAGTCGTGTCGATCTGATCGCCTAACGGACACTGACCCACCATCGTGCGTATGGATATTTCACCGTTCCCCCGGCGTTCAAAAGACCGTGGAATGTCCCGTTTCAAAGCCCCATTCAGTACTTTGTGCTGCACAGAGAGACAATGTGCAAGGTACGTACCTAATAGCCTAACGGATTACCTGGAACTTGAGACCCTAATCTGATGCCTCAAAATCTACACAGAAAACAAAAGATCACAGATCATCGAAAGTGATTAGTATTAGAAGTCAACGCTGTCTATGATATACCGAGACTAAAACAGTATGAAGGTATGCAGAATTTGGACTCATCAAGTCCAAGTCCTAGGACTGTCCCTAGGTCATGACATGCTCCATGATCCCCCAAAACGCCAATGGCTCCCGTTTCATGATAGTTGATTAAATTCATTTGAATGACCCCCGCACACTTACCCGGTCGACATCAGAACGATTGGTCTCGGATATGGAAGCCCGATGCATGGTATGTGTGGCATCGGTGGAAGTGCGCAAAAGTGTCTGATGAGTCGAATGTCCATCCGCCGTCATCTCCTTGTGGTGAGACAGCGACGCATCTTCATCGTTTGCCAGTGTAGCTGGGCGTATCTCAATCTCCAGATCGACAGGCCCCTCGGTAGCCTTTTGGCTCGCTCGAAGAAGGTTTTGAACAAAGGCCTCAGACTGAGCGGAGTAGGTGCAATGTTTGCGAATGGACAGACCGTATTTGTAGAGCAAGAAGGGGAAAGGGACACAGGCAAGAGCCAGAAAAGCTGGAATACAGGACGCCCAGTGAATGCCCAGGTCCTGGTACATATATGTGGTGAAGAGCGGGAATGCAAAACCGAACAACGACCGCAACAACGAGTTGGCTGCCAAGACGGATGCAGCGAAAATTGTGTAAGCGTCGATCAAGTAGTTGAAGACGCTAAGGAAGACGAGAACCATTCCAAACCCGAAGGGGACGCCAGCAGCGATGCTTGCGAGCCAATGAATGGAGGGAGAGTTGGTCCATGCGAACCAGAAGAGCCCAATAGGGAGGGCTATAGAGGCGAGCATGCATGGCGGAAGACGCGCTTCTGGGGGCGCATAACCACCGTTTTTGGCAAGTAATTTGGCGTAGCGTTTGTTTTCAGGGATCATATATGCAATCGCTCCAAACATACCAATCATAACGCCAATGAAGGCCAAGCCGGCGACACCTTGATTCCAGCCACGATGGATCATATAGACAATCGGGAAGGCTCCGAAAAGCATGTAGAGAGTTCCATAAATAATAGCAAGATAGATCGAGAGCAGCAAGACAATAGGTTCTTTAAATAGGAGAATCAAGGGCCGCGAGAAAGAGGTCTTCAGCGCGGCCTTCAAAGTGATGGGTCCTTGATCGATATCCAACTGACTACGGTACACCTGACCTGTAAGCTTGGAAAGGGTCTTTGCACGCTGGCGAAGAAGCACGGGGCCATATGTCTCAGGCTTTAACGCAGCTCCTAGGAACCACATCACACCACAAAGGATGGCTAATAGGCCCATCACCCACTTCCAACCCCCGCTAGACATACCGAGGAAACCACCAACGATAGGTCCAATGACGGGCCCCAGGAAAGGAGCTAATGCAAAGGCACCCAGGGCCAGTCCTCGTTCGCGAGCCATGAACATGTCGGCGATAACACCGCCTGAGTTGGTGAAAGGAGAGGAACCGAAAGCACCGGATAAGAACCGGAACACCAGTAGGGATTCAATGTTCTTCGCACCTGTGCAGGCGGCACAAAATATGGTTAACCCGCCATAGGTTGTGGTGAAAACGAGCTGACGACCGAACATTTCACTCATGGGGGCCCAGATCAGAGGGCCCAGAGCAAATCCCAGTACGTAGAGGGATACTCCCAACGTTGCAACCTCCGTCGTGACACCGAACTCTTGCTGGATTTGAAGGAGACCCCCCGTATAGGCGGACGAGACCAAAGCAACCACTAGGGTCTCGAGGGCAGCGACAAGGGTGATGAACCATTTCATGGTGGTCTTTAATTCGAGAGGGTTTCGAAAGTCCTTGGGCATCCATTGCACCGCATAGGGATCTTCTTCGGTACCCGAACCGGAGTAAGGATAATCTGCGACCTCTTGGATAATGGCTCCGGGATTGAGGACGAGTCGCCAGAAGGGGATCGAGCTTGGCAGTCGGAGAGACTTGGAGGTATCCGATACCTCCATGCTGAGAGATTAGGTTTTTAGATCTGCAATATACGATAGGTAATGAAAATGTGAAAATGTGAAAATGAAGAATTTCAATTTTTTCTCCCTTGACCTCGGCAGACAGCTCTGGTTTTATTCTTCTACATTGATATTATTTATCACAAAAAGAAAAGGGAAAGGGAGCGTGGCCCATATCGGAGGCACCGCTCATTTCAATAGTGGGGGCATCAGCTGAAGAAAAGAAGGAAGAGAACGAAAAGAGAGAAAGGAGCCCAAAAGAGCCCAAAAGGGAAAACGAGAAGCCATAGAACGGTGTCGGTTGATGCTAATTGGCTGGCAGTCCCTGTGCGAGATCCCGAGGGCTCCACCCGGCCGGCCGTTAGTCGGCCCGATCACTAATCCAGCCTCGGTCTCCGATTGGTTGAAGGCAGTTTGAGGGCTGTTGATTGGTTGATTCTATTTTCTATTTTCTATTTTCTTTTTTCTTTTTTGCGTTTTTCTGTTTCTTTTTTTCAGCCGAGGCTCGTTTGTTCCATTTTATATTGTTCTTGGCTAATATCCGGATGACGGCATCTTCCAAGGTTATATGATCACTTTCAGATTGGATATTCGATATCATCCATCATGAACTCATATCCAGTATGCAACGGATGCATTGCATGCACTCTCTGTCATTCACTCTGAAAGGCACGACTCTATATACAGTACTACCTACATACTACCTAAGATACACATGTCTGGAAAGAATACCGACGCAGCCATGGATACAAAGTACGCATATGGACCCCTAATTACCTAGGTACCTAGGTTTCGCCTTGAAACCCACTCATCAGAGACCTCACCACTTTTTCAGTCCCCCATCAGCCCACACAAATATCCATGGGGTGATCGTTGATACCTGATTAGCTCTTAACTGCCCATTGGGGCGATTCCAAGGCTCGCACCTGGGCACCTCCAGGGCTGCCTGATATGCTGACGTGATATGCCGTCAGCTGTTGAGATCCTAATACGAGGGAAAAGGCACCAATCTCGGATGATGAAGACCTAAACACGAGAAGATAGAAATAAGCGACCGTCAAAAAGAGGCGCTGAAAATTGTTGAACCGCGAATCTTTATAGGTACACGTCCATCTCATGAAAGACTCTTCTCGATCTCAGCGATCTCAGCCATCACCTCTCGGATCGCCTTTCGAGCTCCTTCTCCCACCTCTTCGTAGGGGTGTCGAGGGGCTAGATTACCCTCTGCGTTCTGAATCCCTGCCAACGGAGCAGAGTAGCAAGCCACTGCATGCTTCGTTGACGCAATCCCGCTTTTAATAGGACTTTCTGCGAGCGCCGCCTTCCTTTGGAGCGTCACCGCGTCATCAATCTGACCTTTCTGATATAGGGCATAGATCTGCGCTGCCACTCTAGGAAAGACGTTGGCGAAGGCTGCGATGCATCCGGCACTCCCTGCAGCCAGCCCGCCGATCAGGAAATCAGACTGCCCACCAAAGGTCGCAAACTCCTCGGGCGCAAATGATGCAGCCAGCCGCGTGATCTTTCCCACCGATCCACACGTCAGCTTGACGCCAACCACGTTGGACCGTCCCGTGGCGTGCGAGGAGCCTGACTCGCGGGCGATGGCGACAATGGTCTCAGAGTCCATGTCCACCCCGTTGCACACCCCCGGGAAATTGTATACCACCACCGGCAGAGGGGACTTGGCAGCGACTTCAGAAAAGAACCGCTTCACCACGTTCATGTTGGTCGCCTTGCCGAAGTATGCAGGAGGAAGAACGAGGAGGTAGTTGGCACCAGCGGCTGCGGCATCCTGTGCGAGCTCAAGGGTCTGCTTGGTCGAGTGCGCACCCACACCGGCCATCAGTGGGAAGTCAGGCCCAACAGCGGCTCGTGCAGTCGAGATCAGCTGTGATCGCTCTTCGCGAGTGAGAAGGAAAGCTTCTGAGTTGGTTCCCAAAATTACCAGGCCCGCCAGTCCAGTCTTAGACAGATAGGCGAAGTACTTGGATTGAGACTCCAAATCTAATGAGTCGGTGTCATGGTGAAAGAAAGTGACCGCCGGGCACCAGACACCCGACGGAGGGACATGAGGCTGAGGAGAGCCCGCGTGAGAACCCATATTAGGAGTAAGTAGCGATGCCGTTAAGAGATTTGATCAGATATTCCAGTTCTATTACCTGAATTTCCTCTCTTTATAAGATTCTATCGGGGATTCAAGCGCAAACAATGAGGGGGCCACGGGCATATCGCCGAATGTTCGGATGCCGAGACCGACAATGTCTCCATCGCCTCCATCTTCTCTATCTTCTCCATCGCACAGGTCACAGCCTAAATGAGTCTCGGATCCTCCACCCGATCGGCCAATCTTCAAGAATAAAGCAATCTGCCTTTGATTTGTCGACTCGGCCCCTTGCCCGAGACACTCATGTGGAAAACGCGGGGGTGTCGAGGCGACGATGACTCGGGCACATGGCCCGGGTTGATTTCATTTGATTTCGTTACTTTAAATTCTCGATCGCAGACAATGACATCTCGAACCTTTGGCAGTTCTGAGCACCCTACTGGATCCAGGCGATTTGCAAAATGATCCCTGAGACTACATATGAGTCCCCGACACAGTCCTGGTTTGACCAGGCCCGATTTATCCCACCTGATGCCATCTTTGCGTTGACTGCTCAATATTTGGCAGATCCGTCTCCCAAGAAAGTCAACTTGGGGCAGGGTACGTATCGTGACGAACATGGCAACCCATGGGTTCTTCCCTCCGTCAGAATGGGTAAGGAGTTGTTGTCACAGGAGTTGAATCACGAATATCTCCCTATCGCCGGCCTGTCATGTTTCCGCAAAGAGGCTGCAAAGATAGCACTGGGCCCGGAGCCTTTTTATCAACAACAGAACAAAGTATACGCCCCTCCGTACTCTGTACAGCACGAACCGACAAGCTAATAGATGTATCAATAGCTAGCGACTTGTCAAAGCCTCTCCGGCACTGGGGCACTTCACTTGGCTGGATTGTTGCTAAGGGCGTGCAAGTCACCTTTACCCAAAGTGTACATCCCCGAGCCGACGTGGTCCAATCACCATCAGGTGTTTGCGTCTCTCGGATTCCACTGTGAAACTTTCAGATACTATGACCCAGAAACCAAAGGCCTAGATATTGAGTCTTATTATTCAGCATTGAGACTGGCTGAGCCTAACTCTGTGGTCATCGTACATGCATGCGCTCATAATCCGACAGGATGTGATCCGAGCAAGGATCAATGGCGAGAACTTGCGCGCCTCTTCAAAGAGAGGCAGTTGTTCCCACTCTTTGATGCTGCTTACCTAGGATTCAATTCTGGCAATGTTGATAGTGATGCCTTCGCTATTCGACTATTTATTGAGGAGTCAGAATTGGAAGCTGGCGTTTGCCTGTCTTTCGCGAAAAATATGGGTCTCTATGGTATCTAGCCCTGCCACGGTCAGTCCATGACTAGAAAATGGAAGTTGATGATGTCACACAGGGGAGAGAGTCGGATGCCTCTTACTTGCAACAAGTACAGAAGAAACGGCCGCGAAGACTCAATCAATGCTTGAAATGCTCCAGCGATCTGAAGTATCAAACCCTCCGGCCTATGGCGCAAAGATCGCGAGCACCATACTAGCAAATGCAACCCTTAGGCAGGCTTGGCATGACGATTTGATCACTATGAGTAGTAGGATTCGCTCCATGAGGTTGAAACTATATGATAGTTTGGTTTCTACTGGTAAGCATCGCAAGAATCCAATATATGACCAGTGTGGTTGAACATGGCTAGGTGCACCAGGCTCTTGGGAACATCTGCTCTACCAGTCTGGAATGTTTGGATTTCTTGGACTGTCCCCAGTGGTCGTATTGAGACTTCGCGGTTCGTTCTAGTCTTAGGACTCTTTTTGTCGTTGTGCTAATACCTGGCGATTTCAGCGCAGTATCACATCTACATGGCAAGCAATTCTCGCATCTCAATTGCTGGACTCAATGAACAGAATGTGGATTATGTTGGGAAGTCAATCACTGAGTGTCTGATACAAGAACTCTGATTTAGACTGACTATTAGATTGATTTGATTCTGTTCGGGTGGTTCATAGGCTAGTCAATCCTTTCGTGCATTAGCGACAAGTCGAGTGATACCTCATCGGCGTGGAACAAATCAAGGATCTCCCGACTGTATAGGTTGATGCTAAAGTTATGAGTGGGTGAAATGCTGGCCTCGGTTGATGCTGAGCGTACTATCTAGGTAAATGTGGGTATTGTCCATCACTACTTTGAATTAAAGGGTAGCCCGCCTCTAATTGTGGGACTCGGCGGCTCTGAACCTGCAACTGTGCTCCTGGGGCTAGCGATATCGCTCTAGTCACTGAGGTCGGATTCAGTCATCCTCTGCTGTGAATTCTCCGTCAATCTACAACATGAATCAAACTCTAGCGACAGAGGTCATTCTCAAGGCGTGTGGTATGATCATCTCGAAACACCAGATCGTCATTCAATCAATTTGAGCCATGACGAGGCCACTGAGCGCACTCCAAGAAAAGCGGAGCTGAGTGATTGACATTGCGAAGCGATATCACATACGAAAAACACAGACCGAACGACTCGAGTGGTTCGTGTATGGTTTGTGTATAACGATCCATTTCAGCTGCAAGACCTATAATGATCATTTTTTGTGCTGTGGATAACATGTACCAAAAATCTCGTCTCGTCTCGGTAACGTCATCTCAATAGCCGATTTCCGGGGCAATAAACAATCTTGGGGATAGATTCAGGCATTCACCCCAGAAAGCCTGCACAGCCAACTTTGCATGTCTAGAAACGGTGTTAAGAAAATATGGTCATCCTATTGGATGGCACATTGGACGAATATTGTAGTCGAGCAGATATCCAAGCACGGGTTCTCACTCAGATACAGGCTGCGGGAGATGAAGCCGTCCTTTCGACGATCGCGGTCAGGAATGAAGTACGCGAAATGCGGAACGGCAAGGGGCACTAAGGCAAGGTTGGTTACTCCGTACACCGTATATGACGCGGATGTTCAGTTCAGAAATTGTAGAGCAAAGATTGGCAAATAGTTCCCCGACATTAAATCGCGCAACGGATGTTTTGTGTTGGTCCGGTTTTATGGCCGAGATGACCCGAAGACCCGTAGCTCCGTTGTATTCTGGGGTCCCGCCCCAGGTCTGACGGATGATCAGGGACATTAATCTGGGGGATATTACAATCAGCACTCCATAGATGCAGATAACATGGGGTATCAAGGGGAAATCTGGGGGAATTGTGACTTCATTACGTACAAAGACCCCGGACAAGTTGGAGATCGGCTCCAGAGGGGAGGGGAATAGCTGGTATTGATGTCTATGAGAGTCGCCTTCGAACCCCTGATCTAACTATCCACTACTCCGTAGACCCAGATTATATCCTAGTTCAGCCGAAGTAAGGTGAAGCGTCAGATAGGATGGCGAATCATGAGGTCAGTACTTGCGCTATTTTCTCACGGCCCGCACACCTAAACCCGAAGGCGTTGGTGGCGCTCCGCATCTGCAGGTTCAGAATAACCCCAAGAGAATGTCTAGTTCCATTCTGGAGACAGAAAATGGGGAGTCTGACGAAGACTAGCTTGCTTTTGGGTAGAAGCGAGAATACCCCCGAGATGTTCCACCTGGAGTGTCGTGTTGGCCGGAGCTTGTTTGCCGGGTCTGCCTTGTTTGCTTCGTTTGCCAAGTTTGCTCCCCTTGCACGTGACCAGCCTCGACGAATCTAATCGGCGCCCAGACGGGCGACTCGGGCGCCCAGCCAACCGCCCGAGACTTTCATTGGCAACTCGGCTTTCGGGATCGCTGGTGGCGTGAAGGAATGACTTCTACACATATCCCGTATTGATTCTGCTATTCTTTTCTGTTGACATCCTTGGATATTTCCCCTCCCCGCAATCAAACGCGGGGAGAGACTCCATCGACGTTTCGTCAAAGCGCTCAGTGGCACCATAGGGGGTCCTTCGAATGGCCCTAAACTGCACATAAACCAATGTTGCATTTCTTTTACCTAACGCACCGAACTCTCTTATCGCACATCGCCCGTCCACCGCACCGACTGGCTTCTCGCCTAAAATTCCACTACCACCGCCCACTTCCAAGATGTGCTCTGGGTCCGTTTCCGGAGTCCTCGTTGGGTGGCCGATCAATTGAGTGGGTCAGCGTCGCACTCCACGTGTTGGAGGCAACCAAGCAACGTTCACGAAATTTCTTTAGTCATGGAAATCCCGGTTGATACCGCATTCGACAGTGCGCAGACTTTGCCTTATATACGGTGTTCCCGGTTTCGTTCCCTTCTTTCGCCTGTCAGCAATCAACATGGGTATCGAAAACATCACCAACGACCATGACACCGAGAAGGTGATGGGGACAGACGGCGAGAAGGCCTTCACTCCTCCACCGCCATTTGAGGGCGACATGGTAGGGGAAATGAGTGAGGCCGAGAGGAATCTCTATGATCACGGCATCCAGAAGTTCAATCGTCTTGGATGGAAGCGACTTACCATCGTCCTCATCGTCGAAGCCATTGCGCTCGGCAGTCTCTCGATTCCCTCTACCTTTGCCACCCTCGGCATGGTCGCCGGTGTGATCTGCTGTGTCGGTCTCGGTCTCATCGCCATCTATACCAGCTACCTCGTGGGAATGGTCAAATTGGCTTTCCCCGAGGTTGCCCATTATCCCGATGCGGGACGGTTGATGGGCCGCCGGTTTGGATGTGGTCGCTTTGCATACGAGCTTGTCAATGCGATGCTCTGTCTCCAGTTAATCTTCCTCACGGCCTCGCACTGCCTGACAGGAACCATTGCATTCCTTGACATCACCAGGAGTGGTGTTTGCTCCATCGTTTTCGCTGTAGTATCCGCTGTCCTCCTGCTGTTACTCGCCATCCCGCCCAGTTTCACCGAAGTTGCCATCCTAGGCTATGTTGATTTCGCATCCATCATCATTGCTATCGGAATTACAATTATTGGTACAGGTGTGAGGGCGACCAACTCGCCCGAGGGACTCGCCGGAGTCGCGTGGTCTGCGTGGCCTAAGGAGAACATTACGTTTACCGAAGCATTCATCGCAGTGACAAACATCATCTTTGCGTACAGCTTTGCCATGTGCCAGTTCTCCTTTATGGATGAGATGCATACCCCCAAGGACTTTATCAAGTCAATCTGGACCCTCGGTATCACTGAAATCGTCATCTACACGGTGACTGGTGCTACAATCTACGCCTTTGTCGGCCAGGACGTGTCTAGCCCTGCGCTTACCTCCGCTGGGGACCTCCTTAGCCGCATTGCCTTTGGCGTCGCTCTACCTGTGATCTTTATTAGTGGTTCGATCAACACCGTTGTATTTGGACGTGTGGTTCACGGTCGCATTTTCGCCAACTCCCCTATTCGCTTCATCAATACCAAAATGGGATGGTTAACATGGCTGGGGGTGATTACGGCTGCCACTATCTTGGCGTTTATCATTGCCGAGGTCATTCCTTTCTTCAATGACTTGCTGTCCATCTCGTCTTCTCTTTTCATTTCCGGGTTCACTTTTTACTTCCCCGCCATGATGTGGTTCATGCTCCTTCGTGAGGGCAGTTGGAAGGAGCCTAAGAATCTGCTTCTGGGCGCTGTCAACCTTGTTATCTTTTTCATCGGTTTGGTTGTTCTTGTTGGAGGAACTTACTCCAGTATCGACGACATTGTAAGTTTTTCCACGGCGTTATGGTCCCGATCGCCTCGCTAACCCCGCTCAAATAGATCATTAAGTACGATAAGGGAGAGGTTGGTGGTGTCTTCTCTTGTGCAGCTCCTATGTAAAGTACCAAGTGATCTGTTTTTTTTTTATTTGTTTTGCCTCAACATGTGGTCTAAGCGTGTTCAAGCTGGCGCTCGAACAGACATCCCTCGACCCTGGTTGGTTCGAAATGGGAACTTCATTTATAGGCGTTGCATCTTCATTATGGGCCATTCATCGGACCATGGAGCGAGAAGCGAAATTTTGTACATATATAGTCTATTTCATTCGATACTTATGATTACGAAATCTTTGCACTGACCATACTCATGCCAGGCACATCACCCACCCGACCGGTTAGTGCGCTCCAGGCCAAATTCTCGCCACTTGCAATTTTCGAGATTAGGTACCTAGGTACCTTTTATATGGTATTTCCATGTAAAAGGTACAAAGCATGCGAACGTTAAGGCATGAATTTTCCTCAACCCTCTGGATAGATAGAGGGATCCCAGGTCCAGTCATGCTATTATAAAAGGGTTCAGTTAACTTAGTATCGATTTGAATCAGAAATGTGATGTATACTCGAAGCAGTAAACTTTGAATTACCTATTATTCTTACATGGCAAGGTTTTACGATGATTTTTACGCTTTCACAGTAGTTACCTATTGAGTGTTAGATTTAATTCTACGTAAATTATCTAACGTCAATAGTTTTGTCTCCCTTTACCTGATTAGAATGTCGGAAAAATGGATGTTATAGCTCTCGCATGCTTCGTACCTTTTGTACGTAAACACCATATAAAAGACACCTAATTTGGAAAATTGCAAGTGGCGAGAATTTGGCCTGGAGCGCACTAACCGGTCGGGTGGGTGGTGCGCCTGGCACGATTATGTACATACTGCCTACATGTACATACAGGTTAACGCCCATTATTCTGCTGGACAAATCCTCACCAATTAAACATTAGGAATAGTAGACGGTATAGTTACTTCGGAAGGCGGTAGCAGAGCGGGTGTTAAAACCTTTGTCTACAAGTACATAAGTCACTGTATGTACGGAGTACTCCGTACATACATACATGTTATGTATGTAGGTAGTACATAATGATCTAGTATGTATTCCCGAGGTTCCTCCAGTGCAGAGGATCGTTCTTGGACTTCTAATAAGCAGCGCAGCCAACATTTAGGTATCCATGTCAGACATCAGGCTCCGTGTCACTAAGATCCGAGACTGTTGCCTACATATACATAAGGTATGTACGGAGTACTCCGTAGTCGATGGCGCCGACAGAAGTGGTGAGAATAGCCATCGGACATGATTGGTACGTCTCTGGCATAAGCACCATCTCACCCCGGCTATGAAATTAAAGGATCAGACATGATGAGGCTGCACCGTGCATAAATAGATTACTCCTTACTCATATTTGAGACATTCAGGTGAGTTGCGAACTTCACCAACTTTGTAGATTCTTGAGGAACTTTCTGCAAACATGTTATATAGGCTAACCGGTGGACGTAAACACGCTACCCAAAAGGTGCCTACATGTAGGTACTACCTACATAGGATAGATATGTAGGGTCATAGAACTGGGGCCAAAAATACAGAAATACAGACTCTTTTCCAAACAAAATCCTGCCTCCGGAGATTGCACGCCAGACGCCGGTGGTATCAATGGGCATGAGGGTCCGTACTTCGTACATCCATATTACGTCCATGGCGCCCTGGGGACTAGGTACATGTTCCTATATTGAGGTAGCTAACATGCCCCTGGAGAATACCCTGGACTTGGAAGAATCAACCAACCTGCCCTTTGCATCTCTTGTTTCAGGGGTTATTAGTGGAAGATGTTGATGGTCAATCGCCAAATATCCGCCATTGCGATTCTGGCCGCCTCTGTTGCGGCAATAGACCTCGACGTCAATGATGAGCGTAAGCCATTCCATTGTTGCCTCGATATGGTCAATCATCTCTGACATTCAGGTAGAATCCTTGAAGAACGCCGCAACAATTGCGGCTTTTAACACCATGTCGAATTACACTTCTAATGTCACTGGTAACATTCCTGGAAAATTGAATGAGTCGTGGGGGGAAGGTGGTGTCTTGTTCCAGACAATGATCCAATACTGGTATCTTACCGGCGATGCTTCCAATAATGACGCCGTGAGTCAAGGGATGTACTGGCAGCGCGGGAATGATGACTACTTTCCTGCCAATTATAGCCAATATTCCAGCAATGACGACCATATGGCTTGGGGTCTCGCTGCTATGACTGCCGCAGAGCTGGGATATCCACAGGATTCTTCGATGCCATCGTGGTTGACTTTAGCTGAGGCTGTGTTCCAACTTCAGAGTCTGCGATGGGATACAGAAAGTTGCAATGGAGGCTTGCGTTGGCAGATTTGGCCGTATCAGGATGGGTACAACAAGAAAGGTGCACTCAGCAACGGAGGACTTTTTCAACTCTCTGCCCGTCTGGCTCGATACACTAACAATCAGACCTACTCTGACTGGGCAGAGAAAATTTGGGAGTGGAGTACTCGTGTGCCCTTGGTGAATACTACTGAATGGACAATTGGCGACACAGTGGAAGTTGCATCGGATTGCAAGTCACACGGGGATCTGTCGTGGACCCATAACTACGGAGCATATATCAGTGGCGCCGCCTACATGTACAACGTGGTCAGTACCTACATGTTTCCTTGGACATAACGGTTGCTAACAAAAAGGGCCAAGACCAACGGTCAATCCAAATGGAAATCAGGTGTCGATGGCCTGCTCAATACGACCTTTCACAAGTTTTTCCCCGACAAGTACGGCGGCAAAATCATGGTGGAAATTAGCTGCGAGGCTACGCGGGTCTGTAGTCGGTCCCAAGAGATATTCAAAGGACTTCTTGCGTCTGAGCTTGCGTTTGTCACCCGTATGGTCTCATACATTGCATCGGAAATCCTGCCAAGATTGCAGGGTTCTGCTATTGGGGCCGCGAAACAATGCACTGGTGGACCGAACGGGACTCTTTGTGGCCGGCGATGGTACCAGTCAGAGTGGGATGGTACTGCAGACATCGAGGAACAAATAAGCGCCACCAGCCTCTTCACCTCGAACCTGGTTGCCTTCCAGCATCTCAACATCGCCACACAAAAGACCTCAACTTCCGCCCAAAACACGTCCAGCACGGCGACTGGAACGCAGAGTCCCACAAGCACCACTCCCAAGGTCGATAGCGGGACTCATCGTTTGAGAAGTCCGCTAGGCGCAGTTCTCGCTTTGATGGTGTCAATTTCCAGTCTAGTGTGGCTCTGATTCTTCAGAACTGTCCTTGGAATCGAGGTATGATTGAGACGTGTTGATGATGGGGATTGTGAACAAACAGACCACGAAAAGGCCCAGATAAAGGCGTGAAAGAAATCATTAGGCCACATACGGAGTATGTGGTCTATACATGTGTACACAATACATAACAATGTGTTTGTCCAGGTACCTCCATGCACATACCGTAGGTGCATACATAGGTGCATACATAGTTGGGTAGATATATATATATATAGATGGGTAATAACCGAGAGAGATATCCACATAGATACCCAGCGATTACCCTTCCTCCCTATGATAATCAATTCAAATTGAACGAAAATCAAAGGGCAAAAAAAAGGGCAAAGGACAAAAGAGTGTCACGATCTTGAAGTGTCCAATGGCCGTTATATGCGAGTCGGCAATTTTAACCTCACCTCCTTTCCTCAACGCCAGACCCTTGAAACCCAACGGGGGTTTTTTTTCCTCGCCTTTCTCCACGTGTACTGGTCCAGAATGTCCCGGATACTCCGCCACTCGATGCATCTAGTCCCGTCTACGGAGTAGACTGAACCTCTTTGACCTCCTGGTCCCCCCCCTGTCTCACGGTCAAGTTTCAACTCTTCGTTTTCTTTCGACATCTCTCTTCCCAACACACTTCCTCGGAAACCGAAGTCAGTCCTAAAAATCAGAAAGCTCCTGAAGGACTCGAACTCATGTAAGTGGGTACAAAAGTTCGTTTCTTGGCACCGACATTGACTCGTAGACAGGCATATAGCTGGAATTGTCTACACTTGATCCTTCGACGGTTCCGATCTGGTCAATAAGAGATTTTGCTCTTTATGTGATCGGATGCGGATTCCAATTGCTGTGCAGCTTGGGCTGCTGGTATTGCTGACGGCGGTTTCGGGAGTCGCGGTGCTCGCCATTGCCACGGTAAAAAGCCCGCGTATCAGAGAGACCCCGACTCTGACAATTACCTTATTCAGTGGTTTACCACCTACAATTTTGTGGTCGACGTCGAGTACGTGCGTTCTTGCGCATTCGAATCCAATGTTTAACCGTCGCATAGATCTAAGGGCCTCGAACTGGTTGCGACCATCAAGGCTAGTCAAATCGCCTCGAATTTGGACCTTCTCGAAACAACGTGCAAGACCATTGCTACTCGAATCTTGATACAATCCGCCTTGAGACGTTATTACGCTGGAAACACGTCCGACGAGAATTGGACGAATTCCATCGCGGATGTTCAATCGGCCCTCGGTAGCCGAGGATACTTGAGTCTTTACCAGGCCATTATCTATTCGAAAAATGGCGAGGGAGGGGTCAAGACATTGCTGAACCAGACCGGTGACACAGTCCCAGATATAACCCTTCCATATACCTTCTCGAATGGGACTGCTGTGAAGTTGGGGAACGATGGCCTGGGTTACCCCCCATCGCTCTACCCGGATCTGACATATCGTAACGTGTCGCACAACGAGTTGACGGCGGTCTATTCATTCTCCGATTATGCTCTTGGGTTGGATTCAGCACTTCTTCTTGGGCCGCTGAAAGTCAACAACTCCTTCTCGCTCGTATCATTAACTTTGCCGATTGTCAATAATACCTCAGATACGGATATCATGGGATTTATGACGTGAGTAGCGTCTCTAGACTCGGTTAATGGATTAAAAGTTCTGGAATTTTGCTGAAAGTCCACAGTGTGGTCGCTAGTGCCGAGAATCTGCAGAGTGTCGTCAGTTCGCGAGATGGGCTAGGAGCCAGCGGCCAAGTGCTTCTCATCGGACCAACCCGATTAGCAAACACATTCGCTTCCAGTGAGCAGCCGGCGACGGCCACATCTACCGCTTACGCTGCGGAGCTTGGTAGAGCACAGGTTCATTACATCTTCGAGCCCACCCCTTTGCCCACCCAAGTTAGCCGCCACACTGGCATGTCAACCGATACTCCATTTGTGCTTTCGACATACCCGATCGCGCTACAGGCCATGCTGCAATCCTACGCACAAGAAAGCAAACCAATCAGCCATCTGTCAACTCGGAACGAGCGAGGAATGAGTGTTGCTGTGGGCGCAGTCCGTCCGCAGAATTCTTTGGTCCAATGGATTCTCCTCGTAGAGGAGACTCACTCGGAAGCATTTGCTCCGGTTGTTCGCTTACGCAGAATTATTCTTGCATGCGTATTCGGCACCGCTGGGGCGATTATCGCGATAGTTCCTCTCCTCACCCACTGGGCTGTGGCACCTATACGAAGATTGCGTGCGGCAGCGCAGAAATCAGTCGAACCTGAGACTGCATCTGCTTCTCCAACCCCGGAGACACAAATATTTGGATTCGAAGCCGAACATCAACAGGGCGGCACAGTTGAGCGAATCGAGGAACACATGAATGAGAAAGGTTCCCCTAGCGTATGGATGAAACGCGTTCGACGCCCACTAGGGCGATTTAACAATTCGACAAGCATAAGCAGTCCGAACACTACCCGGGGCTTTCAGATACCTGGAAGGGTCAAGGAAAGAAAACATTGTGTCAAAGACGAGCTCACGGATTTGACCAAAACCTACAATGCGATGTCGGATGAGCTCACGATCCAATATAATCGGCTAGAGGAGCGCGTAGCTGAGCGGACCAGAGAGCTCGAAAAGGCCAAATTGGCCGCAGAAACTGCCAACGAAAGCAAGACATTATTCATTGCCAATATATCCCATGAGCTCAAGACTCCCCTCAATGGAATCCTTGGCATGTGTGCTGTATGCATGGGCGAAGAAGATCTCGCACGAATAAAAAAGTCGCTTCAGGTCGTCTATCAATCAGGAGACCTTCTATTGCACCTCTTGAATGATTTGCTCACATTCAGTAAGAACCAAATTGACCAAGCTATCCAGATCGAAGAAAAGGAGTTCAGATTGTCTGATATTCGATCCCAATTGAATATAATCTTCCAAAACCAGGTCCACGAGAAGCAAATCGACTTTAACGTCAACTTCGTTTCTGGTCCGGCCAGCGAGCCTAACGGCACTGTCTATCGTGAAAGATGGCCGGAACAGACTCGTCCACTCTCCAGCTCAGTGCAGCCTGGACGCTTAGCAGACATGGTCCTTTGGGGTGACCAACATCGAATTCTCCAGGTACTGATCAATTTGGTTAGCAACAGTCTTAAATTTACACCCGAGAAAGGGGAAGTCAAAGTTCGAATTCGTCTGGTGGATGAGCCTTTCGGACTTGAGACCCCTACTGGAGCTGGAGACATGGCTCGACGTCATTCAAAAGTCCGGCCCAAGACTGCCTCAACTGCAAACTCATCGATCCGTGGCACAGCCGACTTTACGGACACTCAACCCAAAGAACCGAGGATATCACAGTCGAACTTTCGCCAACTAACCTTCCAATTTGAAGTCCAAGATAACGGACCGGGTATACCTGCTCACCTCCATCGGCGTATTTTTGACCCCTTCGTTCAAGGAGACTTGGGATTGAATCGGAAGTATGGGGGAACTGGGCTTGGTCTCAGCATTTGTGCTCAGTTATCGAAAATTATGAGAGGTTACATTCTGCTAGAGAGCGAAGAAGGCAAAGGGTCTCTCTTTACCTTGAGAATCCCTTTGGGATACGTCAAAGAATTGGCTCCCAGCACACATACTTCAAGCATTCCCGGATCACGCACTCCCAGTGTATTATCCCTGGAAGATTTCTCCAATGCCGCACGGACACCTTCAAATCATGGCTCAGTGAGGAACGAAAACCATGCACCTGGGTTTGAGAAATCTGAGATACAGCCGCGTTTGGTTGGTTTGAGTCAACCATTCTTCACACCAACGGTTCCGTCGTCACCCACATCAGTACCCAATAATATACCATCCAATAAAACCTCGTCCGACAAGGGTGATGGCTCGAAGCGCATACGTGTATTAGTTGCCGAGGATAATACTGTAAATCAGGAAGTTGTTCGCCGGTGCGTGTGGTTCTAGTCTAGTGCAATGTGGCAAATACTGACGGATGCTAGGATGCTTGCGCTGGAGGAGGTTTACGATGTGACAATTGTCAAAGACGGACAGGAAGCATACGATACTGTCAAGTCAAACATGGAAAAGGGTGAGGTGTTTGACTTGATTTTCATGGACATTCAGGTAAGAAGTTTCTTTTCGCACTTTTCTAAAAAGCACTCGGCGCTAACCAACGAAGATGCCCATTCTCGATGGCCTTGAAAGTACCCGACTTATACGGCAGATGGGCTACTCAGCGCCTATTGTCGCATTGAGTGCTTTTGCAGAAGAAAGCAACATCAAGGACTGCATGGATTGCGGAATGGATATGTTCATAAGGTCAGTTTACACTGGAAAGAAACGTACTCTTGGCCTGCCACTCACAAAAACAGTAAACCTATCCGACGACCTGCGTTGAAACAAGTACTCAGCAGATATTCCACAATCGTCGAGGAGACCGAGGTTGGCCCTTGAGTGTCACCCAGCGTCTATTGAACACCTATAGGTCTCTAAGATGATGTAATGATCAGCTCGAGGGTTGTGGATGGGTTCACCTAATAAACGTACCTAATATAACCGTATCCATGTACCTATCTAGGTGGCTTTTCTTAAGCACGTACACTACATAATGTAGCACTTCAGGTATCATATATCATGATATACACGATGTCACCCTCTACTTCTTTCCGCGTTCGACTCCTTTGCCTGATTTGGTTCTTGGTTGGCCTCAACTGTCAGAATTGCTTTACCCAAGTACCAGGTACATCATAGACCTAGCTCCTCGAAAGTTCAGTCGGTCTTGTCGGCGTCAGCCTTGATCAGGTTGTTACATGTAGATACGGAAATCCCCGCATACCTAGGTACAATGCCTGAGTGGTACCTAGACAAGGGCCAACGTATTGCAACAATCTAAAGCCGAGTGAGAGCAGGCATGGCTGCACACATTACAAAATCTACAAGCGCAAAGAGGCCTTGAGTTAATTTGTTCTGAACTGGCTGGATTAATGAGATTGAAAATCTCAAACAGGTAGCCTAGAAATGGTAGTCCTGTAGTTATTCCTTAACTTCTATATACTGTCTTTGAATAACCACATCGTGCCTCATGGATCGTAAAAGGAAAACATAATAGGAGCAGCAATCGGAACAACAAGCGATCCAATAAACTGTATCGCCATATTACCCTAATAGGCAATCTCGAAGCTGTACGCAGGATCATAGTGAATAGCCCAATATCCATCCCAGATCGTCTTGGTCACCGGACCCAACTTTCCGTCCTTCACTGGCTTTCCATCAAGGCTGGTGATAGGCATGATACCACCGGCAGTTGTGCACATGAAGATCTCGTCCGCATCATAAGCCAATTGGACTGGGACCAACTCAACCTTGATCTCAAGGCCACTGGCCCGAGCGACATCAATCACACTCTTGCGCGTGACACCTTCGAGGACTCCACGGGCTGGGGTGTACAAGATATTGTCCTTGACGAGGACAATATTGAAGCCAGAACCCTCGGTGAGATTGGTATCACCGTCAGTCAGGAAGGGATATTCGGCACCACGATCAGAAGCCTCGAAAAGACCACGAACAAGATCACCCCACTGAAGATTCTTGACTGTAGGATCAATACAGCCAGGAGGGACACGACGGACAGTGCGCGCGATGATTGCGCTTCCACCCTCAGGCTGTACCTCAGGCTCCATACACCACACGTAAGGTTGAATGAACATATAAATGCGGTTATGAATATCTTCGGGGCGGGAGCCTCGAACGCCCGTTAACCCGCGTGTCACAATGATCTCGACGAATGCGTCACGGATGCCACTCTGTGCCACCATGTCGACCAGAATGTGCTTAACCTCTTCGCGCGGGAGGGGGAGCTTCATGCGCAACTTCGTGCAGCTAGCTTCCAGGCGGGTGATATGGTCATCGAGGCGGAAAAAACGACCGTCCCAGACGGAGGGAACATCGTAAGTCAAGTCGCTGTGCATGAAGCCTTGGTCGAGGATCGGAATGCGGGCCTCGTGGAGTGGAGTAAGTTCGCCCTCCACCCAAGCGACTCCCTTCGCGAAGGGGTGAGTGTTCGCCGCGAGGACACTTTGGCGCTCCTGGTATGCGGAGAAAATCTTTTGCATTGTGGCCATGATGAGCGTTTGTGAGTGGGATGCTTGAGGAAGACCGTATGTCGAATAGATCTACCCAAGCACGCATCTTATGTGCCTTTTAAGAGCAATAAAAAGATCCATAAAGGGAAAGACCGATCGGCTGTACTGTAACACTCGATCGGGTAGGAGACTGTGATACTCGATCGGGTAGGAGGGACATCGGCAAATGCGGGGAGGATCTCGACTTCCCGATCGGGTTATCTGCGATTACCCAATTAGGAGGGCCATCGTCCAAGCTCGTCGGCCTAGGCTTCAGAGCTATCCCTCGTAACATCGACCTAGAATCCGCCCGGATTCTTGTTGTTCGTTTTGTGATTTGTGTTCTTTTCTTTCATCTGGGCCGAAAGATCAGTTCAAGTATTTCCAGTGTTCATTTACTTTCATTTGTCCTCAATGGCTAAAGATATTGAATTCAAAGCGAAAGCCATGCAAAACAACATAGTAGTCATCGGGTATGTCGAGCACAATATGGATAATAATCGATCACTGAAGTTTTGAATAGGGCCGGTGTTGCTGGATTGACAACAGCGCTTCTCCTATCGAAGAAGCCTGGCTATAACATCGTCGTCGCAGCGAAACATATGCCCGGCGACTATGACATTGAATACGCATCACCGTGGGCCGGTGCAAATTACATGCCGTAAGTCAATTACAATGAACTGCCTCACTCCTTGATAACAATCCCTCGTTCTAATCTGTCTGGGCATGAATATAGAGTGTCAATCAGTGGAACAGATGCCGCGAAATGGGACAAAAACACATGGGGACCGCTGGAAGACCTCGCGAAAAATCACCCTGAAGCAGGCGTACACTTCCAAGGTAGGTTGGAAAGTGTTTCTTTTTCCCCCACCTCTTTTTTGTGACTTCAGCTAAACTCGGAACAGAATGTGAGATTCACAATCGAGCGAAGGATGTCGGGTCAGCAACAGCCAATTGGTTTAAAGAGCTGTTGTCCTCCAATCCTTGGTTTGCCAAAGTTGTTCCCAACGTGAGCCTGGAGACGGTCAAGCTTTACGCTTCTTCATGATACTAATCAAAGTTCTAGTTTCGGTCGCTTCCAAAAGAGTCTCTCGGACCAGGCATAGATTCTGCCACAGTCTTTACCTCGGTGTGCATCAATACCGCCATCTACCTTCCATGGCTTGTTTCTCAGTGCCTTGCAAATGGTGTGATTTTCAAACGGGCCATCTTTGATCATATCCTGGATACCACTGTATCAAACATCCATCCAAATGGCCGTGTTGATCTCGTGGTCAATTGTACAGGTCTGATGGCATCCAAGCTGGGTGGAGTCCAAGACACTTCGGTGGTCCCCGCACGAGGGCAGATCGTGCTAGTCCGGAACGACGCAGGGAAGATGTTAGACATGTCTGGGACCGATGATGGTGACGATGAAGCTTGTTATGTGATGACGAGAGCCGCTGGTGGAGGCACCATCCTCGGCGGATCTTACCAGAAGGGTAACTGGGAGTCTCAGCCCGATCCGAATTTGGCAATCCGGATCATGAAGCGGGCGGTGCAAATGTGCCCTACATTGACCAACGGAAAGGGGATCGAGCATCTGGATATCATCCGTCACGGGGTTGGGCTCCGACCCGTCCGAGAGGGAGGTACCCGCATCGAAAAGGAACGCATTGGAGGAATTTGGGTGGTTCACAACTATGGTGCCGGGGGTGCTGGATATCAGTCTTCCTATGGATGTGCCCAGGCTGCGGTCGATCTCATCGATCAAGCTTGTAGTGTTCAAGCCAAGCTGTGAGGTGCGAGATATTTGGGGTCCCTCGCTCAGAGAGAATCATGTCGGGATTTGTACTATATATGGTTCAATTCAAGATCCGCTGTGACTGGCCATCACACGCCAACCACAAGTAGATACATCCGTGGATATCTCCATGTATACACGATTTGAAGTATGTCTCCCAAAATTACCCGTGGGCGGTCTTCTCTGGGAGACATACTGGCGTAAACTGTCCCTGATTCCCCAATCATGACATCACTAGTAGTGAGTAGGCCGGTGTATGCTCTTCACATCTATTGGGTTAGTCCAGAGAGTTAGTCCAGAGACGAGAGATCAGGTCCGCGCTCACTGCCGCGGCAATGTCACCTGAACACGATTCCCCAAAGCGGAAGGAGAGCGGGGACACTTTGTCCTTGACAACATACACCAAAATGAACTATCTTCCAGCATCTGACGTGATGGTTTCTGATCAAGGAAAGAGAACCAATTCCCTTGGTTTCGCTCAAACAGACTGTCATACATGTGCTTCTTCCGGTGAAAAGTGCGACCGGCGTCGGCCACAATGTTCAACTTGTCTCGGTCAAGGTCGACGATGCGGCGGCTTTGCAATGCCTCTCTCATGGGACCCAAGACGAATGTGGTCGGATAACCCCTCGGCAGGTGCATCCAAAGACCTACCTAATGAGGAGATCGGCGACTCCCCCAAGGCTGCCCCCACCGCATTTACCACGCAGTCTGATTCACCCAAGCGTTTCCGGTTCGTCAAGGGTGCTTCTAGACCAAAAAAACGCCGAAGAGCAAATTCATCACAAAAGGATCTCGGTAGCCGAGCAGTAATTTCTGAAAACTCATCTCCTCCGGAAGTTGTGCTGAGAACGGCGCAGAATTTGGAAGGACTTGATGATCACCCAAGGGGGAACAGTACCTTGGCTGGCCTAGGTATGTTTGAATGCTTTCCTTCAAGATGCCGGGTTTCTAAAACATGTAGCTGACGGCTTCCTTTCTAGAGCCACAAGAAGGACAATATTTTGATGATTTTAGTTTATTTGACTCCATACTTCCTAATATTTTTGCCTCCACGCCTTTCCTTGATATCGAGGCTCAAGAGACAGTGCCCCCAGAACTGCCAGGCCTGAGTGCAACACCAGGAATGACACCGCTCTCTATATCAGACCGATCTGAATCTGCGCTGCAGAATCCCCAAGCCAGCCCAATGGCTCAGAATATTGACCAGATGTTTCCCGAAGAAGCCGAACAAGGCATTCTAAGTGACTTGGTTCCGCGAAACCCCCAAGAGCCCACAGTATCTTCTGGTCAATCTCGGGTTCAAAATATGCCGGCGATGTCTGAAATATCTTCTAATGATCATGAAAAGCTTCTTGAACTATGTAAGCGTGGTGCTCAATACCCCAGTCTGCGATAGGAGATGGCGCTTATGAAAGCATAGATGACTCTGAATATTGCGTGTTGCCTCTCACGGGAGATATTCCTGGGGCCGTGAATCCATTTCGATGCATACGCCAAACATCCCAGCGCTCTCGCCTTCTTTTTCATTCCATACTAGCGCTATGCTGTCAGCATCTAGGGCGTTTGGCAGGGAGCTGGCCAAGCGAAGCTGCTGAACATCGCCAGAAAGCGGTTCAGTTGCTAGAATGTGCATTGAAAAATAGCCCGGTGCTAAGTTTGTTAGAGCCTATACTAATCCTCTTTACTCTTGATGCAAGTCAATTACCCCGATGAAATAGCTGAGTGCTGATGAGGTGTCTTTAGTGTACGCTTTCCGCTACCGGAACATGGTCGACTCATCTCATGCGGGCACATTCAGTGCTCCAGGCACATGGGGGCCCAAGTGCATTGACTACGCCTCGTATTCGGTCACAAGTTGCAATGTTAATCTGGTAATGACTTTACCTGTTGAACTGTGAGCGTTAGATTGCTGACAATCCTAATAAGGTGGGACGCCACACTCGCATTGATATCACGACAGAGTCCTATCATGGACCAAGCGTATCTGGAATTTTTGGTCAGATGGGAGAGGCAAGATGAATGGTCATTCTTCGATCTGACTGGATGTCCCCGGGAATTACTGGTTCACCTGTTCCACCTTGCCGAGTTAGCCAAACAGAGCGAGATCGCCTTATCTATGAAATGGCTGACGTTCAACATGACTCCTGTCAATCAGATAGAGCATGGATTAATTGAATGGAAGAATGATGCAAGCTCTACAAACAGCCTCCATGGCCGCCATTTGACCGAAGAGGAAGCGATCAAGCAACTGCACGAGGAACGGGATCGTCATCACTGTGCTGAGGCATGGAGATCTGCATTACTTCTTTACCTTGAAACTGTTTTCAAAAGCGACCACAAGCGACCATCCATCAGTATTCATCGATTAGTGCGCGACACTATTGACCACATTCGATGCTGCCGCCGAACGTCTCAGACGCAGAAACAACTTTTGATACCAGTCTTCCTCGCAGGTAGCGAAACCTCAGATGAAGACATGCGCCATTTTGTGAAAGACTATTGCTCTTACTGGGGGGAGAAAAGTCGTTATAGCATGTTCAACTCGGTCCCAGTTCTTTTTGATGAAATATGGGCCACAGGGAAATGGTGGGGCGCTGTGATTGACAGCAAGACTCGACCTAGCTCCAGCCATGGACATGGAGGTACACAGTTATTATTCGGGTAGTGGTGGTAGGGAATGAGTGTTTGTGTTGAGTTATAATGCTGCTACTTACTCCATTTACATCCCTCGCCCGTTGCGCACTTTGAAACGGTGTCAAGCAGATCGCATTAGTTGGTTAGGTAGTATTTGAAAAGGTTACTGGGGTATATTTTTGACGGTATGATATGTAGGTACACCCAGGATGTGTTTGTTGTCTATGAATATGTATACACATAAGTGTACCTGTCGCATATGTAACTATATATACATATTGTTGAGAACCATGCCTGAGGCAGGATTCTCTCATCCGCAGGATTATCAACGCTACGCCCTTTTTGTCTTTTCTGCCGAAAAGCTCACCTTTAGGGGCCAAATTGAGGACTCCGATCCTCGGCACACAAAGGGGCATAAATAGCAGGAAAAGGCAGATATTATCTAGATCTTTAGATAATTCAATACTTCCATAAGAGATCCTATTCCTAGTATCATTTGAACCCATTGTTGAACCCTACATGCTGTATCATACCTCTGTATCTTCAACACATATGTGTATCTACCGTATCTACCGTATCGTCCGAGAATGCCAGACAATCATTTCTTGCCATTCTTCTCTTCGCAGTGCGACAGCTCTCTCGCTACGTGTTATGAATGCTACTAGCTCCGTGGAAGACGATCCAATCAATACCATAAGATATCTGCAATACCCTAGGCTACCCACACAGTCCAGCATCCAGCGTTATCATGCCAAGGTTGTTGAATCCTTCGCTGAAACGTGTTCGACAGTCACACCTACCAGTAGATACACTTAACAAATCCAAATTGAAGTAAAACCACACACATCAGCAGGACACACCAATAAACTCCTTGGAGACCTCAATAAAGATGAGATTGTTACTCGGGCCCTCGTAGAAAATGCCGACCTTGTCATTGCCAAGCGAGGTGACAGTGGAATACGCCATTGCGCCAGACTCGAAGACTGCACCAGAAGACCATGTCTTCCCATCATCGCAAGAATAACGAATGGTGCCATTCGAACGGCTTGTTTTGCTGTTGGCATTAGTAAAGAGGAGAATTTTGGCATCGCTTGAACCTTGCGCCGCATCAGGATACATTCGTGCGATGGCTCCATTGTTTGCAGGATCGGGGAGCTGGGTTTCGGATTTAGGGGATGAATAGGTGACACCTCCGTCGGTTGAGATGGCAACCTTGCGATAACCACTGCCATCACTGGGACGTGAGTTCAGCATCACATCGCCATTAGACAGCTCCACGACTTTGTTCTCGTCCATCCCAGTGCCGATGAAATTGCCCTTCTTCCACGTCGCACCACCATCATCACTGTAGACACTGAAGGCTTGCGATGCGCTGGAGCCGTCTTCTTGAATGACCCTGCCCAGGTACTGCTGAATCAGGCGTCCAGCGTGCGCACCATATTTGAGTTGAATGCCTTCTCCAGACGAAGCAAAAAGGCCGGTAACGCCGCCCACATTGTCGTGACCATTGGAGGTGCTGCCCACAGGTTTGATTGCGCGAGTAATCAATGGGGGGGCACCATCAGTATCAGATGCGACAGGGGGCAAAGAAGGTTGGTGATCTGGGTCAGTGCTCCAAGTAAGTCCTTTGTCGGTTGAAACCGAGACTTCAGCACTGGTGATATCCAGATTGGTGTCATCATTTCCAATCTTACTACCAAGGAATCCTTGGTTCTTCGAAAAGACATGGAAATTAAAGACCTTTCCAGTCTTGCTGTCGACCACGTAGCTAGGGTCGCTGAAGCCGTACTGCTGCAATGTTGACGTCTTGGCTCGACCTTGGGCGACGACTGTTGGCTCGCCCCATGACACACCACCATCGGTACTACGTCGTTGGAGGATTGAGTTCGGAGATGGGGAATCTCCTCCATCGGGACGCCCATCATAGGATGCCAGGAGGACGCCATCTCCTAGATTTGCCAAGGCAACAATTCGGTACTGGGCATAGTCTCCCGATCCATTCTTGGTCAGGGTATGTTTACCAGAAATGGCTGCAGCTGTTGTCGGGGTGGCTACAGCGAGGAGGGCAAATAAACCAAAGGTGCGGAGGAGATTGCACTGGCGTGCAGCGTCGGCCAGATTGTGGAGCATCTTCAGGGGACTCCAATACAAACAGTGGATTTCTAAGTGGAGAGAGAAGGGTTGAAAGTATGTATGCAGGAGGGATGATGAACTATCTGGTGTCGGGGGGAAAGACATGCTTATTTATATACAGGAGACTCATCCTCTCGAATGCCTAATAGGGACATGAAGAAAGGCAATCTATTCAGATAACACGGTAACACACAATTACACAGTTGATAACCCTACTAGGCAATCTCAGCTAGGCATACGGCATACGTCAGTTCCCCGCAATATCAAAGACGGGGCATATCCACTGGTTCGTGTGAAGATGATCTACATGGCCTGGCTGCATAGTGCCGGGTTGCAGATTTGCATCTCCCAAAATCAAGGCATCCGATGCCACGCGATGCCACGCGATAAATCGAGTTCTCAACAACTAGACACCCCCGCTATTTTAGCTCATCTCTGACAATGCGACCGTGTGGAGGGGTCTGCGATCCGATCGGATTGGACTTGCGACGCGATCGGGATGTCACCGAGGTCACCCCCACCCCGTTGCCCTAATTTGCCCCCGCCTCTACAGGAACATCGTTTCTGACAATGACAAAAGTGGTACTTAATAGAACCCAACATTCGCCGTAATGAGAAACTATCATCGCAACGATTGCAGTACATTCTATCATCATGGCCTCTAACAGCACTTTGAGAAACAAGCCCTTCCCCCCCCGGGATCCACGGTCCTTCCGTCACCTTCTTCCAAGATGATGAGAGTCAGGATATTGACTGGCCAACTCAAGAGCGCCATCTGGAGTATATGGTTATCTCGGGAATGCACGGCAGTATGTTTGCTCAAGAATCAAGTTACTGGACACTGCTGATTGAATGACAGTTGTGCTCGCCGGCTCAAGCGGCGAGTCCGCTACCTTGACTCTGGAAGAGAGGGGTCAGTTGGTCAAGAAGACTCGGGAGATCGCTAATGCCCATGGAAAGACCGATTTCACCGTCACCATGGGCTGCTTGGCTGGCAGCACAAGAGATATCATGACCCAAATCCAAACTGCCTACGACAACGGAGCTGATTTCGTTCTCGTGTTGGTGCCAGCCGTGTTCCACTGGGCCATGACCCAGAAAGCCATCACTGACTTCTTCGAGGAGATTGGCGACCGTTCACCCATTCCCATTGTTATCTACAATTTCCCCAATCTTTTATCCGGCCTGGACGTCAACTGTGACATGCTAGAAAAGCTTGCTGCCCACCCTAACATCTCCGCTGTCAAGTTGACCTGTGGAGGGATCGGAAAGGCCACTAGAGTCGGAGCCCAGTTTGAGCCCAGTCAGTTCACCAGTGTCTCTGGAATGAGTGACTGGCTTGTGGCTGCATTCTCCGCTGGAAGCACAGGTTGTATTTCAGGCGTTGCCAATATCTTCCCCAGAGTAAGAGCTGACCCCTCCTCAGGCCTTAAGTACCAATTATTAACATCTGTGTCAGGTCATGGTTGAAATCTACACTCTTTTCCACGACGGGAAGATCGCAGAAGCTACTGCGTTGCAGAAAAAGCTGGTCTTGCCAGAATGGGGAATCGGAACATCCGACGTGAACGGCATGAAGTGGATCATCGCGAAGACGCATGGCTATCCCCTCACCAGTGCACACTGTCGCCGCCCGTTCCCGAAGTTCTCAGATACCGAGAAGCAGGATCGTGTCGTCCGCTTAGTCGCGCCCCTGATCCCTGTGGAGGAGGCACTGAAGGCGAAGGCATAGAGAGAGATATCAGAAATTATTCATATTATTCACATTGATGCACGCTAGATGATAGAACAAGAAAGGACGAATGAAGTTGCCATGCCAACGTTCCCACCATTTCTCGATTTGAAAAACAGGGCCATTGGGCTCAAACAATTGCGAATGTGGTGTAGAACAATTCCAGACACACGGACCGAATGTCCACTCGCTTTCCTCCCTCACGCTGCCTCCTCTGTGTCTCTTGGAGTACATCGGCAGTCATATTCGCGTTACTAAAAACATGTTGAAGACCACGAATAGTGTCAAGAATCCACTGAAATTCGTCGTAGTCTTCTTCCTCGGTTCCCCAGAGAAATAGAGGCCATAACATATTGACCGGTAAAGACTCATTATTGTTAACCATGAAATGTACCATTTCCTTGATCTTGCACAAGGCTGTGTCAGCTGCTTTGGAGCGAACCAAATGGCGATGTGCGACCCGATGCAGGTGGATATAGCAGGCGTAAAAGTTAGCAAGATACGTCTGGAATGAGCGAACGATAGTAGACGCAAGCGGCTCGGCCAGAGTATCACTACTAATATTTCCAGCCACGGCATGATCTGTAAGAGGTGGCCGTCGGTCGTACAAGGAGCTCAGATCTGTCATAATATCAGCAGCGATAGCCATCACCTCAGTCTCATCCTCCACGCTCCCTCGACTGCGATGATTATGAGCAATTCGAGTGATGCGTCCCGTGATGGTCTGGACTTCCTGGAAGAACGCTATCCCCGGCTGGCATAGTAAATCATAAATCACCTCGTGCGCTCCGGAACTCGCGGATGGACCCGGGTTTTGCGGCGGGGAACCTGCAGAAGTCGAGTTCGGGGGTGACATGTAGATTCCAGATGTGTCATTGACCAAGATTCCTTCACCACCTGCCGATGCTGCGCGGGCATCTAAAAGTCGAATCCAAGATAGGATTCTGAGTTCTGTAGAGCGGTTATCAGAAGAAAGCACATCCAATTAGCAAATGCTTCTACATACCTGTGGAACCTAGACCGTTTTTCTCCGATGATTGCAGGGCGCTATGCGCCTTGGCAAGATTTGAGTAGGCTAGGTCCAGCCGAGAAGTCAGAAGCTAGATTCAGGGTCAGCCAAAGTAAAAATGAACCATAGCTTAGTGAGCACATGAGTGAACCAACATTTATGTATGTGAGGAAAAAGATCGTGGCCAGAACATATCTGAGTTCATTATTGTTGACTATCGTTTGCCCCATAGTTTCATGAAACGTTTGGGACAATGTAGTGGCAGCGTTATCATAGTGTTGCTGGTACACCATATTCGTCCCTGTACTACCAGATTGTATAGCTTCGAACGCTGCGATCGAAGAGCGAAGCATCGGCGAAGATTGTGCCATACTCTCCAGAAGTTCCCGTGCAGACGCGCATCGTGGGCCGTTCTCCACAGGGTCGAGGATCGGCGGCAGATGCAGATTCAATGAGCTTTCAACATCCGTTTTGGCGACAGGGGATTGTGGTGACTGTCGTGGAGCAAGGGGTGAATTCGGGGAATTTCCGTCGGCAGATGGCGCGCGTTCGTAGAAGGTAGGACCCGATGTAGTAAAATCACCGAAGTCAGGGAAATAGACATTCTGAAACATGGAAAAGCTTGCTGTTGGGGCCACCATGGAGGAAGTAAGATCAAGGAAATGAGAAGGAGGAGACAGCTTGTTGGCTTCCAAAGCCGCAACATTGGACTTGAAAGGATCTCCCGCGTCGATATTCTGCAAGGGGGCCTGTGGGTGCGGCTCGGTATCCTTCCACACGCATTCCAAGTTCAAACGTTGACAATGATAACATCGAGGTCGGAGTTCATTGCATCGCACTTTCCGACGTTTGCAGGTCAAGCAGCCGTTTTTCGACCGAGGGCCATGTGGCCGACGGTGGGGATCGCGAGCGACAACAGGTAGAGAACTCATTCTCTCTAGCTTTTCAACGGTGAAATTCCAAAGAAGGAAGGAAAAAAAGGAACCAGGTTGTCCTGCGGAGGCTCATCGGTGACTCCGCTTTAGTGGCAAAAGTATTCAACCTCAACTTTTCCCCCGCCATCTATCGTTGCCCCCCGGCCCAATCAATGGATCATGCAAGACCCCTCATGCCAAGCTCCAGCGAACAGCAGGTTCCCACATCCCTTCGTCCAACCCAATGACTGATATAAATTATACCACACAGTACCCCGTACGTAGTACATATGTTTGAGAAGATATCAACGACAGTACGGAGTAGGATGCAAGCAATGTCTGATGACAGGAACAATACCAGTCGTAGCTACCACTCGATACCAGAGCGACATTGGAACGATCTGAGAGCAGACCATGAACTTCCTGAAACCAAATTAATTAAAGTTTCCACATAGTGGTTCTGATGTACAACGTAGATAGTGGCATCATGCCCGTGGGTTTTGCGCGAGATGAACCTGTGAAAGACTCCGAGATAGATGAGATATATAGTACCATCCCTAGTTTACTAAGCTATCTCATTAGCCTCTCAGAGGTGCATGAAGTGTATTTAAGTGTTCTTTGGCACCTGGGTTTGAACTTAATAGTGTCCAAGTGCGCGACTAAAGTCTTGGGAGCAATCGGGGGACGCTAATCTACGCTAATCTACGCTAATCTACGCTAATTTACGCCAATCCACGCTAGCGAATACTAGCCGACGCTACTGCAGGCTGTGACCAATGGGACCAATTACCCCGCATCTTGACCAAAAAGAGAAACAACCTTACATCGCACCTGCCTATCTGAGCCCATGCTCGCTTTCCTGTTCCGGTCGGCGAGCACTACTGTAAAAGGCAACCGACCTCGGGACTCATCGGCCCTCATCTGCTTCCATCTGCTGCCATATGCCCCCGTCGGCCCCTCTCCATCGGCCACAACCGACCCGACCATCGGAACTTGCTGCGCTGGCGTAGAAGTCGAGATGAGTACAGCATATTGGCGGGCCTCGTTTTGAATTATAAAAGGGAGCTGTATGGAAATTGATTAGAACCTATTGCTTCCATTTACAACTCTGTGGAACTCTCGTAACTCTCAACTTCACCCAATATCATCATGGCACCTCTCCCAGCTGGAGTCGCAAAGTCCCTCGAGGAGACCAAGGTTGAATACAAGCGCCTTGGAGATAGCGGACTCCGTGTATCTGTTCCTATTGTTGGATGCATGAGCATTGGAAACCCGGAATGGGCTGACTGGGTTATTGGGCCAGAAAAGGCACTCCCACTGTTGAAGGCGGCTTATGACCGGGGAATCAATACTGTTTGTGTTTTCTCCGGTGTCTCTCCAAGAACTTAAACTGACGGTGGATCTGTGTAGTGGGATACAGCCAACATTTACTCCAATGGCGATTCCGAGAAAGTCATTGCCCAAGCGATCAAGGAATATAACATCCCGCGACAGAAGTTGGTGCTAATGTCCAAGGCATTCAGCTGCGTGGGAGAGCAGCAGTTCCATGCTTACCCCATTCTTGATGAACTGCGGCAAACCAAGGACTATGTGAACCAGTTTGGTGAGTTCATAAAAACAACAATATTATTAACGGGTCACAATGCTAACACTGGCTGGAAGGTCTCTCGCGGTCCGCAATCTTTACCGCGGTGAATGACTCCCTCAAGCGTCTAGAAACGGACTACCTGGACGTGTTCTGGATCCATCGTTTTGACGAATACACGCCAATTGAAGAGACCATGCATGCTCTTCACGACCTAGTCACTGCCGGAAAGATCCGATACCTCGGAGCTTCGTCGATGTGGACGTACCAGTTCGCCATGATGCAGGCTTACGCAGACAAAAAGGGATTGACGAAGTTCATTGCAATGCAAGTATGTACTAACGAAGAACCCTCCTATTGAGCCGACCTGTGCTGACGGGATAAGAATCGTTATAATCTGCTGTATCGCGAAGAGGAACGCGAGATGATCAAGTACTGCAACGCAACGGGCGTTGCTGTTGTGCCAGTAAGAGCAATTCCAATCCCTCAGTCATGTGGAATGATGTCGACTAATTGTTTTGACTCATTAGTGGGGTCCCCTTGCAGAAGGACAGCTTGCTCGTCCCCTGAACGTACGAGGAACGACAACTCGGTCTGCCGGTGGCGATGAAAGCCCTTCTCCCATGCGGCCTGAATCCGCAGAGATTATCAACAGAGTCGAGGAGCTGGCGAAGCGCAAGGGCTGGACTATGTCGCAAGTTACCCTGGCCTGGACGCTGAAGCGAGTAACGAGTCCCATCATTGGCTTCAGTAGCGTGGAGAGAATCGAGGATGCTATATCTGCACGCGGTAAAGTGCTGACACCCGAGGAAGAAAAATATTTGGAGGAAGTGTACACACCAGTGGAAGTTGTGGGCCATTCCTAAGAGAGTCCTGTCTGTGCATGTGCACCCCGTTGGGGCCTTTTGGCCTTCCAAGGTATTGCCTTGGTTGCTGGGGTTATGAATCGAATTCATCCGCACAATTTGCCCCTTGGTCGGACGAGTGATTTGATGGACGATGTTTCAGTATATATTTATCAAAATGCCGATTTTTAATAACCATTGATATCTACCACATGCCGCAGCCATCTTGATGAGAGCATCTCGAACACTACCTGAAGCTACAAAAGCGCACCCTTCAAGTTAACACAAAGACAGTGAGAGTGTAAGTGCTAAGAAATTCCACAATCATTCCAGTCTGTAGCCCTTTCGAATAAATGAGGTTCTCTACAGGCGGTTTCCAAAGTCCACACAGCTACGCTACATGGGTTCAGTGGAAGAGAAGAGAAGGAAAAAAAGGAAGAGAAAGGATAATCATGATGATCATGGTTTGGAGTTGCATATGTTTCAATTTTGATAATCTGCACCTATGATCTACAGGTGTAACGTTAAAGGAGAATCCCCATGTATTAGATATCTCTTTATGTAGATTTATAGAGCTCAAAATGAGTATACATACAGTGGATGAATGGTTGGCTATATGGTTATCCCACCTTGGCAGACCGTCGGCTCCATATAGGTGTTGGGAAGGAGGATTACTGGATATCCTGAATGACATTTACATAACGCAAATGAGCCCAAGCGATTCATCAGGTAGTTACATGTAGCCAGCGGTTAACTGTATCTAAATACTTTATCTGAACACAAGTATGAAGATTATAGACTTCATGTTTGGATTAAACTAGAAAGTTATGTCATTGCCAACATTGGAAGCTGTATAATTATGGGATGGAATCCTTGTGGCAATCACTCGCCTCAGGCAAGGTTGATATCACTGCTCTTAATGGAACATCCATAGACACTCTTAATAAACATACACAAACTCGTCATTTTTCCGGTCTGTCAAGTCCATGAATGGTGGCGCTTGGCTTGGCATGTGATCCAACACCTTTCCATCAGTAGTGTTCAGATTATTTGCCATAGAATAATCAACAATATCGGCAGACTTGCCATTGCTGATCCGCTTGTTTCTGTGCTGCCGGTTCAAGAAGGCGAGGTTGAAGACTTGAATGACAATGCAACCAATCAAGGCGATAAACAACCCAAGCGTGGCCCTAGTGCCAGGGAGGTATTCGGGCGCTTGCTCGTCAGTAAACAACAGTGGACCCGCGAGGGCGCCAGCAGATGTACCAATCTGGTAAAGTGCCATTGTGGTGGATGTTTTCGCGGCACCAGCCGTGTTAGCGACAGCCCAGGAGAGAAGAATGGGATTCCCGGCGAACAAAAAGGCACATAGGTAATAAGCAGTAAGTAGCGGCCCCTGATTGGATTGATCGTGACTGATCCCATAAAGCATGCCGATTCCGGCCACAACAGGCAGCATGAACGCGATTAGAACGGCGGATTTCAAACTGGCCTTGTAGGAAGCCCAGCAACTGGCAATGACAACGATAGTTTGTACCGCCCCGAAAGGAATATTGAGCAAGGATGTCTCGTACTTGTCAAATCCGAAGCCCTGGACGATGAGAGGGCCAAAAATGCTGGTCATGGCGGAACCCATGTTTGGTAGCAAGGCCATCGCAACCCAAAGCCAACTCTTCGGTTCCAGAGCCACCTCTAAGACGTGAGACCAGTCAAAGTTGTGGGTAGAGGCGCCCGTTTGGTTTGCCCGCAGGCGTTCCACGGCTTGAAGGCGTTCGTGCTCAGTGAGGAAACGGGCTGTGGTGGCATCGTTGTCTAATTTCCAATAGACAAAGGGTGCGGTGACGATAGTAATTAATCCAACAACGATGAAGATGCTACATAATCATTAGTGACATGTTTGCATCGCAAGGTGGAGCTAGCTTACATTTGCCAAGGTGCCACCACGTCCGAGGGAATATGGCCGAGACCATATGACAAAGCAGCCGCTACCATTGTCGCAGTACCGTTCATGGAGTACCAAATCGAGACTCGAAGCGGTTGCTCGACACGACGATACCATTGACTAGTGATGATGGTAAAGAGCGGCATGCACCCAGCTTCAAAAAGACCCAAGAAGAAACGAGCAGCGACCGCAGTTCCGAAGCTGTTGCATGCGGCAAAGCATGCTGCAGCGGTTCCCCAGCCAAAGACCAGAGTTGGCATCAGGATACGGGGTGGAACCTTCACGATGAGCCATGCTGAAAAGGGCTGCCACGCAAGCTGGGCGATAGGGGCAATAGATGCAATGAGAGAATACTCACTTCCTTTCAGGTGCAGATCCTCTTTGAGACCGAAAAGGGCCGCAGTCCCCAGGACGCCTTTATCCAGGACCTGGCGGATAGCGAATTAGGAGGATTCTAGCAAGGGGTAATTCTTGGGTTATCTCACCTGTAGGAAGTAAACCCACGTCAGGATGGCGAGAATGACCTTGTCGGTCTTTCTTTTAATGCGCTCACTCTAAACAATAGGTGTCAGTGTGTTTCGGCGCGGAGTGCAAGATGACCATACATCTTCATTAGTGACCGTGACTAGAATCCCCTCGACCTCCGAAGGTGCCTTGTCCGAGTCGGCCTTGGAGTGAGCCAACTTGGAGTCCCCAATGTGTTCGATATCCTGAGTGGCCATTGTGGACGATAGCTGGTGGGCAGCAATGGGTTCGCTGTGGGTATTTGCGTGTGGATGTAATCGCGTGAAGGAATCAAGGAAAGAGGGCGTTCGTGATCTTATATAACGTCCATTGAAGACTCCAGATCAGGAGGTACCTGATAGCACGACTGGGAAGCATATTAAACAACCAATGGATGGAGACCATTGCCGGTCGCGTATCTCCAGACGGAGTCTGGGGTAAAAGCGTAATCTTGTTTCCCCGGAGTGGGGGTCTGGGGTTGCTAGCGTAGCTCCTGCGCCTCGCCTTCCGAAGCTGGCAATCTAGTAATCTCAGGCGCTCTGCTGGTTGGTCCTCCAGGAGATTCCGCCCCCAATGCCGGCATACCCAAATCGTCCCTCGAGGACTCCGTGGGTCCAAGATAAGGGGGGGATTGGATTGAATCTCGCCACACTCTTTGTATCTGTGGATTTTATGATTACCCTGGATAGGGGATGGTGGATGATGGATGGGGATAGAGTCCCCAAGTGCAACGTCGCATTGTGAGATGATAAGATCTTGGCGATGGCCTTCGATAGGCTGTGCTTAAGCGGATTTAGCTCTCCAACAGGATAAGCCCACGCGTCAACTGGCGCCTTAGCGATTGGTCGTCAATTCCCGACCGGAGAGGAGTCTGAAGCCACGGGTATCGGCTGAAGATGCTCCAGATCATGTGAGAAACAGCCGATCGGGTGTCGGGAGAAAGCTTGTCGTTTTGTCTACTGACACTTGCACGTCCACTGCTCCTTCGCTTCCACGGGAGGATAGATAAGTGGCTTTGTTCTGCTTTCCAAATGGAGCAAATCACCATTGCCAATTTGGGGATTCGGAGCATTTGGACTCCAGACTAAAGGTATATGTCTTGTCCCCGATGACTTTAGTGCTTAGTACTAATGCAGAGGAACTAGAATTTCTTGTCGCTTTCTTTCTTTCTTTGTTTTTGAATTCCCGCTCACCTTTATCCCTCCTTTGGGAAATTGTAAGCGCCATCCCTACGTTTCGGACCAAAGGATCCCGGGCTAACACGATGGCTGGAGTCTCTTAGGGTCTATCATGTCTTCCCCAAAGACGCAGATCATCGGTTATGCCCAACCTTGGATTGTTTCCCCGGGAGAACCGGTGGACATCAAAGTAGGTCATCCACATATTTAGTGAACAAAGGTGGTCGTGCGCAAACTAACACTCACAGGTTTCGAGCACCGAGAAAGAGTACTCCCACCGTTTAGTGCGTCTCGTGCAGGGGCATAGCGGCGATCATGCTCCCCCCGTGGTAGTGGAGGAGATCACGGAAGTCCCCGCTGGCCATCGCAATGACGGCTATTATCAAGATGCTTGCCCAGGATCCTATGCTCAGATTCCATCCTGGGCAGATGTTACACCCGCAGAGGATGAGGGCTTCGAACTAGAGTTCCATGCCCAACCCTACTTGCTAGATGTCAACTACTATTGCCAAACCCTTGTCTCGTGTCTGAACCCATCTTCTCGAACGGGTTTCGCGGTGGTCTTGAAGAACTCCAAGCTCCAGTTTCTGATCGGCACAGGCGACAAAATCGAGGTCATTGAGAGCCAACTTCTTGTGAATCGCTGGCGATGGCTACGAATCCGCATCAGCATCGTAGACCGGAAGATCACCTCGGAAATCCATCAGTTAAACCGTCTGGCCGAAAAGGCTCCCGCCGGGGAGGCAACAAAAAATGATCTGTCGGCGCCCATGGTCTTGGGATCCAATGCCTTGTTGTTTGGTGCAGGAATGTTCAAAGATACTGAAAAGTCAAGCCCAAAGCCATCATGCTTCTACAATGGGCGGATTGACTCTCCTTCCTTCACCCTTGCAGGCTCATCGCCACGAACTGTCGCCCAATATGACTTCGCTAAAGGAATTTCCAGCGACTCGGTCCTGGACGTCTCTGGAAACGATCACCACGGTGTCTTAATCAATGCACCTACACGAGCTGTCAAGGGATACAACTGGGATGGCTCTGAGCCCGACTGGACCAAAGCCTCGTATGGGTACGGGGCGATTCATTTCCATGAAGATGATTTGGACGATGCGAAATGGGCGACAAACTTCTCCATTAAAATCCCATCCACGGCCCGCTCAGGTGCATATGCCGTGGAAGTTCAGTGCTCAAACGGGGTACGCGATATGATCACTTTCTTCGTCCGACCGAATGAAAGCTCCAAGGCTCAGGTCGCTCTGGTTCTCACAACATTCACATACCTCGCATATGCCAATGAGAGAATGTTCGATCAGAGCAGATCCTCAGCAATGACGACTCCCGATGGAGTCAGCATTGGTCAAGGCAATGAGTATTATGAGAACTTGGATGCACGACCAGATCTAGGCCTCTCGGCCTACGATGTACACACAGACGGCTCCCCCTGTGCATTCTCCAGTGCTCTCCGACCAATCCTCAATGTTCGACCAGGATACGTTCACTGGGCCCTGGACCGGCCTCGCGAATTCAGTGCTGACCTTTTCATGATCGGCTTCCTGGAACGTTCCGGTATTCCGTACGATGTGATCACCGATCATTGCTTGAACAGCAGAGGTGTAGAGGCAGCATCCCAATACACCACTCTCATCACTGGCTGTCACCCTGAGTACCATTCATTGCAAACTCTGGACGCCTTTGGTGCATTTGCCAAGTCAGGTGGCAACATGATGTACCTGGGCGGCAACGGATTCTATTGGGTCGCTGATGTAGATAACGCACGCTCTCATCGCCTTGAGGTTCGGAAAGGTGATCAAGGATGTCGATCAGTCACCTTCCCCGCCGGCGAGCGGATGCATAGTCTCACTGGAACTCAAGGAGGTCTTTGGCGGAGCCGCGGTCGGGCTCCCAACTACCTCTGGGGCATTGGGCCCTGCGCGTTCGGTACAGGAAAAGGAAAGCCCTATGTGGCCAATTCGAAATATGCGCAGGATGCCCGGTTTGCCTGGATTTTCGATGGCGTCAGTCCCAATGAATTGATTGGTGAAAACGGATTTGGTGGTGGAGCCAGTGGTGATGAGATCGATCGCCTGGATAACGCGCTTGGGACACCATCTGATGCGGTTCTACTGGCGAGAAGTCAACAGCACGATGACAGCTTTGGGCTTTTCAATGAAGACTCGATGTTTCCCATGGTGAATACTCTGGGCTCAAACTGTGATCTAGTCCGAAGCGACCTGGTATATTATGATACCGCAGGAGGTGGTGCAGTGTTTTCTGTTGGTAGTATCAACTGGTACTGCAGCATGGCATGGGATAACTACAGCAACAATGTAGCCAAAATGACCGGGAATGTCCTGAGAGAGTTTTTGAAGAGAGGAAGGGGTCACGGTATTTAAGCTCGCAGTTGCAGAACTACCCAAGTACATATAAATTGATTGATTTCTGGCCATTTGGTCTTGTGCCTCTGTATACGAGGTGACGGTGTCTTACTGAGATTCGGGATGATGAGTTCGATTTAGAATGTAAGACCGGGTACGGGGGAGATCGGATCATGATGTTCCGAATGTGAGAAGATCAACAGGCAAGGTGTTGCAAGGAAATGGAAGAAGAACAGAAGGAGGAGATGGAAGAGAAGGGGATGGAAGGTCTTGGCATTTCTGCCTGAGGTTCTAGCGACTTATCTGTGTTATCAGTGTGAAAAACGCACCAAAATTACCTAGGCCATAACAAAAACCAAGGTTCCTGTTGATAGCCTAGGGGGCTTATACTGCGCTGACATGACTCACCTGGTTTGGCCCTGCTAATCTGTACATAGATTTCCGTAAAGCCCATAAATGGGCCCCCGCCCTAGGCTCAAGGCCTTACCCGCCTAACCTTCGAAGCCCGACCCAACCCATAGCCTATTAGTGGGGGCCTTATAGGCCCCTATTATAGCCCATTTACGGGGGAAAATAGTATCTTATAGTCGCTGTATTCAAACTCTTCTACTAACTATATAGAGTTTAAATTTCTAATTTCTAGTTACAATACGTATATAAGTGTGAATCCTAATTTTAAAGATAATCTGATTGCCTAGTGAGGGTCGAAAAATGTTGAGAACCATGCCTGAGGCAGGATTCTCTCATCCGTAGGATTATCAACGCTACGCCCTTTTTGTCTTTTCTGCCGAAAAGCCCACCTTTGGGGGCCAAATTGAGGACTCCGATCCTCAGCACATAAAGGGGCATAAATAGTAGGAAAAGGCAGATATTATCTAGATCTTCAGACAATTCAATACTTCTATAAGAGATCCTATTCCTAGTATCATTTAAACCCATTGTTAAACCCTATATACTATATTATACCTCTGTATCTTCAATAGGTTATAAGCCCGGCTATCTCTAATAGCCGGAATACCTAAATTGCGTAGTATAGTCTATTTGCTATATTTACTAGTAAATATTTACTTACCCCTATACACCTTTTTATCTAATCTTTACCTAGACCTATATATATAGGTCTTTACCCTAGGATCTCTCTCTCCTTTTTATATATATCTTACCTCTTATTTTATACCTTACCTTTTATACCTATACCTCTTAATCTCTCGTAGATCTACTTATTTTTTTATCAATTTTATTATAACCCCTATCACCCGACGGTCCTAGCGAGATAGGGGGGTATCTAGTGCACCTAGTGTACCCTATATACCCTACGAACCCTCCGACTCCGACGCCGACCGACTAGACGAATTAGGGTCCGATAATAACTATAGTAATACCTTAGGCGAGGGTAGCGATAACGAAGGAGGAAATAATAGTCCTATAGCTCCCGTTAGTACTAGAAATATAGACCCCGGCTAGGGCCTATAACGTCTAAACCCTACAGATTAACTAGCTAGAGAACTCGGGTCGACCGAGTATCTCTATACCTAGTAGCCCTAAGGATTAACTAGGTAGCTCGTAGCGGGTAGACCCCCCGCTAAAGTCTCTAAGTCTATTAAGACTAATATATAAGTTCTATTAATATAGATTAATAACCTAAACCGATTTAATCGAGATAGCTCTATATTCTCGCTACGTAACCGCTACGCTACCCTAAAGAATAATACCCGAGAAGAGGAAGAAAACGCCCTTTAATATCTTAGTTTTACTTAGGACCTCGGAAAAATATTTAAAAGAAAAGAAGAATATAAAGGACTAAAACTTATAGGATTAAATAATTACTATACCTAGACCGCTAATATATAGTAAGTACTAAACTAAAACCTTCTCGAATAAGTTATCGATAGTAAAATAGGATTATTACCCCTTTTATATAAGAAGTACTATATACTAAATATATAGAAGGGAGTAGCCTAGCTTACTATCCTAAATACTATATACTTAGACTTAGCGAAAAATATTATACCGCTAAGCCCTCTAGAACCTAAGCGTATCTAGTAGGAATTATAAAATTAATATAATATAAAGGATACTTTTACTACCGAATAAGACGCTATTATAATAAAAGTACTATACGTATCCCGTGTCTATAACGTTAGAACCCTAATCGAGGTATTTAAGACTATATAGACTAATAAGACTATTATACGTCCCCCGATTAAGAGTCTACTAATTAAGCTATAAGAAATAGACGAACTCGAAAAATATACGGAACTTATAGCGTGCCTAGATAGCCTAGAATAATACCTATAGAAGCTTAACTACGATAAAATAGTTAGTAGGTTAACTAACTAGCTAGACTAATACCTCTTTAATCGCCTATATAGCGAACTATAAAGAGAAGAAGATAACCTCGCCGCTAGTAAAAAGGTAGCTATAAGGACCTTATCTACGGAAACTAGTAAACCTATAAAACCGCGAGGACCCTATATATAACGAGGACCCCTAGGATTAGTATATACCTTCTATAAAAAGAAGGGGTACCCCGCTAAGAAATACTAGCTAAAAAACCCTAATTTAGTACCTAAATAGACTATAGAAACCCTAATTATATAGGTCGAATATAGTTACGAGGTATAAAACTTCTTAACTAGTATCTTAATTAATAACTAGATCTACGATATAGCCTATAATAAATATATAATTAGCTCGCTAGACTATTTTATACTAGGCACTACGAAACTATTAACTACTACGATTAAAATAACCCTAATAAACTAGCCGGTCTAAGGTATAATCGGGGATATTAAGATTATAGTCGACGATAGGACTAAGTAAGGGAGAGATCTTATTCTTACTAGGACTATATATCTCCCTAAACTCCGTAGTAACCTTATCTCGTAGCCTAAGCTCGCTAACTATAGGATTATAGCGATATATAGAGACGAGGTTATTTTCCGGAAACTAGACGGTAGTATTCTCGTAAAAGGACTACGAAAAGGTAAAAATTAGATACTAAACGTTCGCTACGTATACCGATACTAGACCCTAGATCTAGAAACGTTAGTTTTAACGATAATATAGGAAGTAGGGGGCGTCGGATATCTAAAAATTTAGGCCGATACTCCTATTTCCGCCGAAAAAACTACCTATAGATATCTAATTTCTTAGGCTAATAATATAGAGGTTATCCTAAGAGACCCCTACCCCTAGCTAAGGGACCTAAGTACGTAAAAACTAGAAAACGCCGTAAGTTTACCTAGCTAACTAGTAAAAGACGCTATTCCGCTAAAAAAGGTAATATCTCTTCTACTAAAAAAAGGACCCTTTTCTTAGGTAGAAAAGGTAGAAATACTCGCTACCCGTAGAGTAATAAAGATATAGAAGATAAACTCGTCTAGTGGCTTAAAATAATAGTCCTCGGAGACTACCTCGACTTCTTCTAGCGAGCTACCTACTAAGCTTAAAAAGGATAGGGTTAATATCGATACCTAGTACTATAGACTATACTATATAGGGATTAAACCCCTATAGGAAATAGTAAAAATTATAGAAGGTATTAATATTATAGGCCTACCTACCCTTAAAAGACCCTATAGCTACTACTAAATTAGAAAGGCTTAGCTCGTACCTTATAGAACCCTAGTTTTATATAGATCTAGTAAAATAGGAGATCTTATATACCTTAATCTAGGGGGCGGGGGTAAAATACCTAAAGGTTAGGGAGATAGCTACTAATACTAGATAATTAGTATCGACGACTTCGACGGATAGGGAGAAATATAGTTTACCTCCTATAAAGACTTTATCCTAGACCTTATAATTAAAATAGTAAAAATATATTCCGCCGAAAGGGAAATAATAATTAAGACCTTTATAACCCCCGATCTCCCCCTATTACTAGTAATAGGAAGTAAAATACTACCGCCTAGTAGACTAGAGATCGGAGCCTTCTAATTAGATTACGGAGGAGAGTTTAATAACTTCCGCCTATAAAAATAGGCTAAGGATACTAACACCCGTCTATATTTCTTAGCACTATATATATATAAGTAAAATAGTAAAGTCGAAAGAATAATACGAATAGTGTAAGAATATACTAGAGCTATTCTCGACGATATTAGACTCCTAGATACGCTATAGCCCGAACTAATAAAAATAGTGATAATAACCCGTAACCTTACTATCTATTTCGGTAGAAAAAGAGACGGTCTCCTAAACTAAATACTATATAAAATATAATTCGGTAGAAAACCTAATATCTTATTCCTACGGATACCTAGTAGTAAGGCTTACGTTATAAGAAGCCCCGAAGAGATTAGGGCTATAGTTAGTATATTAATAAGTAGATATTTATAGCCCCGCGCCTAGATAGGTAGACTTATCGGGTATAGTAGCTACTATAGTATATAATACCGTATCTAGCGTCTAAACGTAGATAGAAATAGGGGAGAGATTATAACTCGGAGAGATATTATTTTCGATAAAAGAGATAACTAGACCCTATATAATAATCCTAATCTCCTAGTCCTACTAGAAACCCTATAGTTAGTAAAATAGTCTAGATTCCTATTCCTAGACTCTAGGGACCTTATAGATCCTAAGAACCTTATAAATCCTAAGAACCCTATAAATAATATAAACTTTATAATTTCTTCCGCTAAAAAGACCCCTATAATTTCTTCCGCCGAAAAGACCCCTATAACTTCTTCCGCCGAAGAAAGCACTCTCTTTTTAGACTCTAAGGGAGATCTTAGACTTATCGACGAGAGTTCTAGTAACGAATCGGTCTTATTAGCTAACCTACCGAGACTATCTACTAAAGAACTCGCTAACCTTAATTATAAGATCTAAAATAAGGTTTTCTATACTACTATACCTTAGGTAGATAAAAAACGTATATAGGATCTAATATAATATACTACTATCCTATATATATAAGCTAGACTAACCTTATTATCTAAGGATCTCCTAACCTTACCCCTACTAATAACCCTAAAAAATATAGACCCTAAATAGATAGAAGACCCTAA